TTCTGGCCATTTCCCTGACCTTCACGCCTCCCGGCGGTTGCCCTATATGGTAACGGCAACTGCCTTCGCGCTGCGTTTGCTAAGCAATATCGCAAGCGCGCAGAGCGCGCGCGCCGGCTTCGTGGGCCGGCGCGCGCTGCGCGCGCGCGCGCGCACGCATTTGGTTACCAGATTAACAGTTTGCGAGTTGTATCTGCTCGTGAGCGTACAGGAGACTGACAGTCAAATGCTGGCTGGCTCAGCTGAGTTGAGTTGGCCCTACCTGGGGCTAGACAGATCTGAACAGAAAACAGACACTGAGTCTGAGTGTAAGCGCAACGGCACCGGAAGCAGTGATCTTGTGCAGGAGCGCTGCCAACCCATATCACGCATGGAAGGCTTGCCCTGCTTCGCGCGGGGGGGTGGGGCGAATGACCTACCGGCCCGCCGTTCGTGCCGCCACAACGGACGGCCCGCCGGCTGGGGCAAAGGTTAGGCGGCGCGCCTGCCAGGCAAATCACCGGCAAACAACACACCGAAAGCGGCGGGCCCAGCAAAGTACTTACATACATAACCGAAGGAAGGCCGCCCGGCCCCAGGCGGCAGGCCCCGCCCCGGGCCTGGACGAGGGAGGCTGCCAAGAGCTGGCCCCCCCTGCGTGCCGGCGCCGGCCGCTGCCGGCCCTGCGCCACAGGGGCTCCACAAAATAGGAAACAAAAGAAAGAACGCCCCGGCCTCCCTCCCTGTGCAGGACCGCCGGCCACCTTGCCCTTTTTTCTCGTCTGCCTTGCCCAGACTGCCGGGCCCCCTGTCTTTCATACGCGCACCCACCTCCAGCAAATGCGCCCCGGCCTGGGGTCGCCTCCCGGGCAGGAAACAAAGAAAGCGCGGCCGGGGCCGGCGCGGGTTGGCTGGGGGGCCAGGGCGCATAGGCCTGCGCGCGGGGGCCACAAAAGAAAGCCCCCAAGGCTATGGGGGGCCAGGGCGAACCCAAAAACGGGCCGGCGCCTCCCTTCGATCGGTCGCGCGCGAGCCGGCCGGCTGGGGCCGCCATGACGATGTGGGCACCGCCCCCGATCGTCTCAGTTCTTTCGCAGTCATCGCTACCCGCACACGCGACTCGCCCCCAACCAATCCGGGCCCCCGCCCGGCTCCTGCTGGGTGTGCGGCGCGGCCCTCTGCGCACCGGCCGCGGGGGCTTCTGGGCGACGCAAATGCTTACCCGTCCCGCGGGCACACGGCGGGCGCGCGCCCTCTCATCGGCCGCCCTCGCGTAGCTCTCCTTCGCCCAGGCATCCCGGTCCTGTGCTGCCCAGAAAAAGGAGCCCGGCGGGCGGGCCCGGCGTGGCCGGCTGGCCTTCCGCCCCGGCTTGGCGAGTGCGTTGCCCGGCTTCCCCGTGGCAGCTAAGCGCAGCGCAATCACCAGCCCCGCTGATTCGCTTGCGCGATCTTTCAGACGTCTAGTACAACTTCCGTGCAGCTTTATCCTGCTGTCACACTCAGATTCTCCTGAAGGAGGCGAACAGAAACTATACTGGCGCACGACGGCCGTGTCGTGGTTTCCAGCTGCATTCAAGTGCACAGTCGAGCCACTGTGGCGATTTCTGGCCGTGGCCGTCATTGCATCTTACAGAAATTCAATTTAGACGTACACTGTCTTGTTCTTCCAGTTTCATCGATTTACAGAGCAATTCACAAATTTGGAAAAGAAAAAAGACCCAACTACTGGTCCGCCTCTTCAGATGAAATGCCAAATACCCCAGATCTTAGGCAAAAATATCAACCTCCCCAGCACTGCTTCTCATCTACAGCACCTCAGTTTGTTTCTTGTTTCTGAGCAACAGCGTCGCCAAGCATCGACAGAAAAAGAAAATTGGTGCTCTGAGTCAAGTCGTCAAATGCAAACTCGTCGCATGCACAATAGCATAATTGTTCACGTAGAGTCTGCGGACTCACGCCCCCGCTAGGTAGCGTGTTGAAGTAGAAGTAGAACATAAGTATCCACTTTTATGAAACTGTAGATTCACACTGTACCTTTAGAAGTAGTACCTTGGGACGACAGGAGTAACGCTGCATCTCGTCAACCATGACCAAAAAGGTATCGACAGGACTTGACCCAAAGGAGCACCAATCTATCATCTTTCACTCGTCCTACCAGCGTCGACGGTCTCGGAAACCCGGCACTGACCATGCAGGTATCGTCGATCGGTTTTCCGTTTGCGAATTTGGAAATCGTCAAATCCGAAAACTCCTTCGTGTCCACCCAAGTCGTATCCTCAAAGGACGCGTTGCTCCGCACTTTCTTGTACCCGTGTTTCTGCAATAAGAGCTGCAGATCCGGCTTGGCGCGCTCCACGGTCAAAACCCGAAAACGGAGTTTGTCCCACGGAAAATATCCTGCGCAAAAGTATCGCGCTCGTATTGCAGTCATGCATACACAAATCCTGTTGTTAAGGTAAATCCGCATTACAAATTTTATTTCTCACGCTGAGGAAATAATTTGTAATGCATTTATACGAGTACGATACTATTGCAATGCATAGGAAATTCTCCATCACCAAACTTTCCGCTCCCTCCACGTCCAGCGAGAAGTAGTCGATGGTGCTCGGGGCATTGAAGTGGCGCCAGACATCTTCTAGCGATATCACTCTCGTTTTCTGCGCGGATGTTCCGTACTGGAGGTTTTGCTTCGTGTTGTCGAAATTGTTCCCGATGATCCCCGATAAACCGTTGGTTTCCGGCGGGTGAAAAGCGAACTCAACCTCCCTCCCGGTCGGGTATCCGATGATGTTCTGAACTAATTTGCAGTTCTTCCGCTGCTTGTACCCGGACAAGTACTGCGGGTCCGCTTCGAGGCAGAGTCCCTGCCAGTTGAACTTTTTTTCTAGCAAGAGGCTGTTGGAAATGATCGAGGCGTCGTGGGAGCCGAGCTCGATGAAAAAGCCGTTGGATTTTATCGAAGCGTCAGGATTGAAATCGTCAAAGTTTGTGATGCATAAAACGCAACCCACACAATGCCTGTCTTGCAGAGTAGGCAAGGGAGGCAGATTGTAAGCCTGCTGAGGGGTAGAAACTCAGCTGCTAACTTAGCACGACAGAAGGCGTCTCTCTTACCCAAACAGCATGACAAACTGGATTGCGGCTGTGCCGAAATTTGTCATGCGCCACTTGAAAACTAGGGACCACCTGGCATCGGTTTTATGCATTACAAATCAATATTTCAACTCTGTCGATTTCACAACTCCTGACACCCCCATAGATTTGCAGTTCAACAGGGACTGGACTAACCAGTCCTGACCCGCTTATCCTGAGTAAAAACGTACCCACACCAGAGTTGTGATGCAGATTTGCAAAGACAGGAAGACTTGTAGTGCGCATCCCCATGAGAGCTATTCCCAATCGTGTTTTGAAATTTGTGATGCTGTGAACAGGATGAGCAGCTCAATCTGTGATGCGGCTGCACTTGCTAACCTGCACTACACTGCAGAGTAAAACTTGTCATGCGTGACTCACAAAGCTCCTAGGTTTGTGTTGCAAAATCCCCATCGTGACTCTGGTGTGGGTACGTTTTTACTCAGGATACCGCTTGGCCGTGAACAACCTGGGCCGCCGAAGGATCGTCTTCAACCTCCGCAGAGAGTGTTGTGCTTGTGCTGCTTTTATGCATTGATGCAAAGGTATCGTCCTATCGTAGTAGTGTATTTCGCATGACATCCGAAAGGAAAATTTGTCATGCTGATTCAGGTAAATGAACTAGATCTATCATGCAAGACTGGCAACATTTAATATACGAGTACGATACATCAACTTGTTTTGCACATGCTAGCTTTCCGCTCCCGGGAAGGCCGTTTCCACCCATTTCTGCTGCTGGAAGTCGAAATGGTAAAAGGATTTCGCTTGGTCATTGCTGTCCAACGCAGTCGATGGAACGATGGTCTTCTTCTTTCTCGTCGTGCTGTCGGAGGTAGAGGGTGTGGCTGCGGCGAGTTTGTTGTCGGCGTGATCTTCGGTCCTTATCGCATGATCGCTGCCCGAGCCTGTCAGTCGCACAAGCTGGACGGCGTCAACAGCACCGGCGAAAAGGAAAGCAAAAATAAACGCCACCAGTCGTCGCATGGTTTGGAAGTGTCAGATTAACAGTGAAGACTGAGGCTGCACCAGCAGCTAACTTAGCAGGATGAAAAATAAAATACGTCTCATCTTCAGTTTTGCTTGCAAAAGGAACCGCTCGCACACGGACGGCGCCAGCTTCGCTCAGTCGGCTGCTGCTGGGTGCGCTCTAGAGGACCTATGCGCCGGCATCTTCTCCCCCTTCACTCGAAATACCTCCATCGTATTTGGATCCTGTCTACTTTTGCTGTCCTGATCGTCAAAGGCAAGCTCCGATCTCAGGTTTCCTTTTTCAAGATTATGTTGGGAGATGAAATATCATTTCGAGAACTTGTAGTTCCACTTTTGCAGGAGCAGCCCCTACGTACAATCCTTTTTCTTCCTCCCCAACATCGGTGCCAGCGCTGCCTCCCCAACAAAAAAAGAGCAAAAATACTTAGTGCGCAAAACTGTAGGTCCAGCTGATTTGCGTTTTCAGCAAATCGACTCGTCAATGTTAATAGATAATTGTCCACTGGTCCACATCTTCAAGTCATTTTTTGTCAGCGCAGTACTTCATCAAGTATTCATCATCACCGGCAAAAATGTGAAAGCTTCCACATGTTGCTGTAGTTGGCATCTTCAAATCAGCAGTTGCAAAGCGCAAAAATGTTGAGCAACAAGCGACTGTCCTGAATAAATTGTGCATTCATGATGTTCTTACTGATGTTCTCGTTGTAGTATAAACGAGTGGTTCATTCTGTTCCACCGCACCATCTGTGTTCTAAATACAACCTCCTAGCAGGAGAAGTAGTTGCTTCTTTGATTGCTGCGGTAGAGACCAAACGAGTACCGGTCGATAGAGCAACAGGTATAGTACAGCTATTTGCTTGTTGTTCTTTTCCCGCAATATTATCGGTGGTCTTCTTTTTTCGTGAAGTACTACCGCCACCTGCTCAACACGGAGACAAAGTCCTCGACTTCTGCTCTTCACACCCCCATGTTGTTCGTCGCTCCGTAATTGATTCCGGGCTGCATCGTTGGGTACCTCGGCGCGGTTCCGCCGGCGCCCCCCTGCACGCTGATGCTCATGTTGGGTTGTTTATCAGCAGAAAACGCGTTAACGTGAACGGAATTTGTGACGCAGCGATGCATCAGAAAAGGTGCGCAAATTTGTGTTGCGAAGCATGCATGGAAGGCAAGATTTGTATATGCATGACTGCCATCTGTGAAAACCGTTAACGTATAAACACTTTTTCCTTTGATATTGTTGGAAGTAGGGCGCATTCGGGTTGTGTCCGTAGTTAATCGGTGGGGCGGGACTGCGAAGATGGTGTTTTGTTGATTTTATTGGTTGACAGACTGCATAATTACTGCAAAACAGGATCAGTACTATTTCTTTGCGCTGGTTGTTGCGCATTAGTAGAAGCAAGTGTATTGAAATTCGTATCATAATCATCAACCCAGCACAGCAGGTAGTATCTACGTCAGTACATCAGAAGAACGTTCTACTTGATGAAACTAAGAAGTGCGATATAAAAATTTTTACCCCCCAGGCGGCGGCGCTGCCCCGTAAGTGTTCACCACTGTAATTGGTGCTCCGACCACGGAAGCAGTACCGGTTTCAACACCCCAAATCTTCTGCCGTTCCTGGGGTATGCAATACAAATTTTCTGTACATGTACACAATGCATGACAAATTTTACCAACTTGGACGAGCATGCCACTGGTAATGCTGAATAGGATTGGAAGAAAAGTTTGTCATGCAGAAACCACATTTGTACGTGTACGGGAAATTTACTGTGGATATGGGGCTTCCAGATCGCACAGGCGTAGATATTCGATAAACACGGGACCAGCATGTTTGCGACAATATGCAACGCAAAAGCATCGTACTACCCAGTATAAATTGCATCACAAATTTGCCCAGCATTACGAAATTAAATTTGTAAATGGTGATTTACCTGAAGAGATTTGTAATGCGTACACGCAATTACTACGAGTAGTACGATAGTGCTTTTGCAATTCATAGAATTGCGCGACGAGCAATTCCACGGGGTTGTCACAGCCCTGCCAAGCAAAAACCGCTAGACCGGGAAAACAAAAACGGCAGCAGGCGTTCTTCGGGTGGCAGTAGCAGCAACAGCAGGAATTTTCGTGCTGCGGCAAGGGTTTCCACCGTTTCTGGGGCTTCTTGAAGTTCCAGCAGCAGCACGTGAACAGTATCCTGTGCAAAAGTATCGCACTCGTAGCTAGTGTTGCAATACAAAAAATTAGCTCATCCAGCATCACAGACTGAATTTGTCATGCTGATTTACCTTATTAATAGCATGTAGATTTGTAATGCGTATTAATTGCGAACACTACGACGAGTACGATACGTTTGCGCAAGATAAACAGCCAGTGGCAGCAAAGCGCGGCCCAGATGTCGCAGTGGCTGTCGCAACCCTGGTAGGCCCAAACCGCGAAAATAGGGAAAAAGCAGCGGCACCACACGTTTCGCGGGTCGCAACATTCATGGACGCTGTCCTCCTGCCGGAACGTCATTTTTTGGATAGTTTTTCCTTGGAACAATCTTCAATAAATTTGAACGTCAGATTTTTGAGGAGTAGCTAGTGGTACGGTTATCGAGAACGAGATCAGATGCAAATATTAAACTTACCACGACAACTTCCGCATCACGTGACACAGTAAGGAGCCGTAGGTGGTCGTGGTTGTGCAGCTTCTACGAGAGACAGCACCGGAGCAGGACATCAAGGTCCTTGTTGTGGTTTTGTTCAAAGCGATGCTAGTAGTTCAATAGAAGCATCTACTTCAGCACCACGTGGTCCACGATAGAGCAGTAAGATCGCACGCGATTATCTACCATGTATCATTTTCATTGCTTCGCCTTTCTACCGCTGCTGCAGCTTGTAGATCTTCACAAAGTGAAAGTTAAGCCCTGGTGGCTCCGGGTTGACCAATGATCCCTACTTGATAAAACGATCTTGCGTAAAAGCTTCACGATACAAGTCTCGTGGAAATGAAAAAGATCGAACATCAAGAACGCATACAGGCGTCACCACAAGGGAACGGTTACAGTGCAGCGCAGCAAAATTGAGCAGTGCTCAGATGAGATAAGGAGCCACCTCCCCCGGCAGCGAACTCCGCAGTGGAGAAGTGTGTGAATCACGCCCGCGGGAAAAAGTTACAATACCAAATGAAACGTAAAACTTCCAAAACATTCGCCCTTTCATTAATTTCACATACGAATTAAACTTCATTTCTTTTCCAGTTCTAGGTCTCATTTGCTGCCTTGTTTACTCATCGTACATTAGGGACAAGCATTTCTACGGTTTTTATACGCTGTGCTTCTTCTTCATCGTTGTGTGATATCGTACCATGGACGAGGACACCGGGTTGGTACGCTTACTAGTTTAGCCAGCCTCAATGCCGGTAGTTTTTCTTCTCTCCGTGTAAAAGCGATCACGCTCCTCCTGATGGGAAGTAGAGGTAAGACAAGTGAGTACTGCTAAAGTATTGACGGCACACACATTCTGCATTGATTTTGTATATTTTTCATGTCATACCATGTCATTCCGACGAGGACAAGAAAACTTACACCCGTCATTTTTACTACTCTTCTATTTTTCGATTCAAACTGAAGCTTGTGCGCACGCGCACCACGCGCCCGACTACTGCAACAAAACCCCCCGAGGAGGCATAGAAGCCGTAGCCGCACCACCTCCAACGCTACTTTTTGATACAGACTGAATAGAGCTGGACAATTTCGAAGCCGATGAGGTGCAGCCTGAGATGATCCGCTCCGGTGGTTGAAATCCCGTTGCTCCCGCCCTCGGCGTCGTCGAATCGGACAAAGCACCCCCGTTGGTGTTCCAAATCCCCCGCAAAAGAGGTGGCACACTTAGCCCCCGCTGCATCTTGTCCGCGTTGTTCATTTGCGAGATTTGCGCATTTAAGATTAAGTTCGGGACGTGCAGAGGCGGCGCGATGATGGTCTGATTCGGCTGCGGCTGGATGAAGGTTGTCGTGGAGAGGGAGGGGGTCCGGGTCCGGGCAGGAGGTGGATAATTAACACTATGCTCCTGCTGACGATACTGCTGCTGCAGCTGCTGCTGCTGGTTCAAGATTTTACCGTGAGTGCTGTGGGCTGCAGCTCGGGAAGATGTCGATGAAGTTTTGCTAGTGTTTTTGGAGAATTCATCCTCGTTCAACATCCTCTGTACGACCGCTGGCTCGTGCGTTTCTGTTCTGGCATTTTGTCGGTGCATGTTGATTTTACTTTCAGTTTCAGCACCACCGCCAAGTTCCGCAACGAGATAGTTCTCGGCATGCGACGACACCAAACCAGCTTCGACCACAATTGTCGCCGTGTTTTCGCAAGTGGGGTCATCAGGATGCGTTGGCTCCTCAACGCTTTTATTTATCATACCGCTGTGGCTTCGCTCCTCGTGCTTCAGATCGAACTCGATCTTCATCTTGTCCGCGTCTTGGTCTTCCTCACCCTGTCTCATCCCGACCATCACTCTCGCGGGAATTTTGTTTTTGTTCTTCTCCAGATATTCTGCTGCGTTGATTTTGGTTGAAGCGGCACTGGTAGCTCCTCCTTCGCCGGATGTAGTAGTTAATGTGGACGATGCTGAGGAAAAGGGATTCTTCCTCGGATGTGCGACTTGATGTCGACCCCGATTTGGATTTGCTACGGCATTACCATTCGCGACACTAGGCGTCGTCGCGGCGACTGTGTTTGTTACGGGGGTTGTCGTAGAAGAGGCCGGCTCCTTTCCCCGACTTCTACTGCGTGGTCTTCGTGGTCCGTTAAAACTGCTACGAAATGTTGAACCCATGTTCGCCAAAGGCTGCCTGGCGCTGCTCTCCGCATTGTCTAAAAACGCCAGCGGCTTCGTGTTCTCCGAAGTCGGAGTAGTGATCTTCTGCGGATTTCGGGGGATTCGCGCTTTCGTTTTCGACACCGCTGAGGAGACTCCTCCTGTAGCAGCTCCCATTGTTCGCGCGGAGCGGTCGAAGGGGTTGATGTTTGCGTTGCTTTGATGAACTGGATGTCCTTCTTCGCCACTCCTATTCATTTCGTTCCTCTTCACCGGCGAGCTAGAAGCGCGATTTTGTCGTCGAGGGTAATCATTCGAACGCCGGGTAGTTGTTCGCGAAGCGGACGAACTTCTCCCGCGCGCAGAGGTTTTTGCTTCCTCTTCTGCTGTTTGATCAGGAGCTACAACTTCCGCAACCACACCAACAGCACTCTCTTCACATGCGAGTTCTACTTTTTTACCGCCCATCTTGCTTGCGAACACGGCGGTCGTGCTGGGAATCATGTTGGTAGCTTGATGAGTAGACGAAGACTCCTTGCTGCCACGTGTACTAGAATTCGACGTCGACGGTACTTGAATGGAGGTGGTGGCACCCGCGGTACCCGCAGCCCTTGTTCTTTTCGAAGGCGATACAACATGAACACTCGATGGTGCTGGTCTTGGCGGAGCCATAGCACTGTTCTTTACTTTCACCGGGGAAGCGGAGGAATCGCTCAGCTTTTCCTTCACTTTCCGAAAAGCGCCCATGCCGGGGAAGGGTCTGGGGCGGTTGCCAGTGCCGCCAGCTGTTGAGGAAGAAGTGTTATCAAGTGTAAAAGTGTCTGGGTATGGAAGACGCCCAGAAAAGCGCCGGAAGTGCGTCTTTTTTATTTGCGTGAGATTTGCGCGAGATTTAAAAGAGCGGAGTAACAACTAGGCCAACTAACTCGGGATTCTAAGTGCGAAAGTTTTTCGAGCGGCCGAGACTGGTCGCCACGAGTTGCCTAGCTAGCCAGGTAACTCGTGGCGGCCAGTAGCGAGCAGGCAACTCGTGCTGGCAAGGGCCGGCGAGCGCACAGCCGGTTCGTTACAGCAGGAATTCCTTGTGCAGTTTTGTGCTTTTGTGCATGCTATTTGTCGTCTTGGGGCCTTTTTTGAAAATTCTCGGCGGGGCAACGTTTTCGCTTTCTTTGCAGCGCAGGCGGTGCCTGCTTTGTCATGGCGAAAATTGCTTGCCGTGAAGCTAACATTTATGAAGCCCAACAATTTCACACGCTTTCCTATGAAGCGAGTTTTTTACCGAAAGCGCAAAAATTATGCACAAAACCGCACGAATTGCATATGTTGCTAGGACGTTTTCAAAGCGCACCTCTAACCGGAGTCGTCGGCTCCGGTCAGAGGTGTCGCTATATAGAAAAACTTTCGCACTTACAATCCCGAGTTAGTTGCCCTAGTTGTTACCCCGCTCAAAAATAATAGGAATATTGCCAAATCCGTCGGGCAGCTTTTTGAGGCGAGAACCCCCTCCGTGAATATTTTGAGGCATGTTCGCGAATATACTTGAAAATATTCAGGGAGTGGGTTCTCGCCTCAAAAAGCTGCCCGATTTGGCAACGTTATTAATATTCTGGAATATTTATTGGCGAATATACTTGAAAACATTCAGGGAGTCGGTTCTCGCCTCAAAAAGCTGCCCGATTTGGCAATATTATTAATATTCTGGAATATTTATTGGCGAATATACTTGAAAATATTCAGGGAGTGGGTTCCCGCCCCAAAAAGCTGCCCGATTTGGCAATATTATTAATATCCTGCGCCATTTATTGGCGAACATACTTGAAAATATTCAGGGAGTGGGCTCTCGCTTCAAAAAGTTGCCCGATTTGGCAATATTATGAATATTCTGGAATATTTCTTGGCGAATATACTTGAAAATATTCAGGGAGTGGGTTCTCGCCTCAAAAAGCTGCCCGATTTGGCAATATTATTAATATTCTGGTATAGTTATTGGCTGACATACTTGAAAATAAATACTCACGGAGGCGGTTCTCGCCTTAAAAAGTTTCCCGAAGGATCTGGCAGGATTCGTAATATTTTTGGAAATCTCGCGCAAATCTCGCGCAAATCTCACGCAAATAAAAAGCATGCACTTGCGGCGCTTTTCTGGGCGTCTTCCATACCCAGACATTTTTACATTTGATAAGTGTGGCTGCCGGACAATTGTTGCTGCACTGCACCATCGTCCACCGCTGCAAGAGCATCTACATCAGACTGGTCAAAATTGTTTCCTGGAGCTGCGCGAACGTATGAGCTGCCGTAAGTGGAATTTTCTGGTTTTTGTTTCTCCTCAGGATCTTCTTCCGGACTGCCCTGTCGACTGGTTTTCGCAATTGCGAGGATATCCTCGGTGGTGTGGTAGCTGTCATCGTTTTTTTGATCCGCCTGATCATCGGTTTCATCTTCCCGCGAAGGCACAGCAGCAGGGACTATCGCCTCGGGTTTCGTCCGCACTAACTGTCTCGCCCGAGCACTTCCACTAGCCTCTTTCACAATCGATTTCACACTTGCTTCCTTGTCCACCAGCATGACAGAGAAGGAGTTCTCCTCAGTATTTAGCGAAGGGTTCACCAGGTTCACGACACTGTATTTCAAAAAATCGTGAAGATCTCCACTGCTTGATGGAAACTCCGGCACCAATTCCGATCCCTTCGACGAAACTACCTCGGACTTCCACGGTAACGCGGGCTCCAGCAACTCCGTTGCTGCCCCGACAGAGAGAAGGTTGTCTTTGCTGGTTAAGGATAATTGCTGTTCTGGATAGTAAAGCATCGGCGGCGCAGGTGCGGCTCTGGTCGTTGTGGAAATCCGACTACTGTGGTTCTTTCCCTGCCGACCACCTTTGGGACCTTCCTCAGTCTCCACCGGAATTTCCTCCAGTTCCAAATCGTTCAAAGACCCGACATATGCTCTGCAAAAGTATCGCACTCGTACTAATTGCAATCACGCACGACAATTCTTGTTTCTTAGCCAAATCAGCATTACAAACTTCATTTTTGCTTCTGAGAAAATTTGTATTGCGATTTACACTAGTACGATGCTTTTGCAATGCATACGACACTCCGCAAATACCGCAACAAATCTTCTTCCGCCTGTTGGTCTTCCGCGGTGATGATGTTTTCAAACATTCTTTGCTCCGTCGACAGCCTCTCGGCGTAGCTGCGGTTGTTGAGAAAGAGATTCTCCATAACCGAATCCGCTGGAGTAATGTGGGATCGGGAGTTCGTGTTGGAAGTCAAATTCGAGGAAATGTTGACTTGCTGGTCCGAAAGCGACTGTTCTTGTTTAGGAGCGTCGAAATTATCCTCGTCAGTGTTGTCCTCAGCAAGCGCAGCAGCGTCTTCCTCTGACTCTGTGTGTTCTCGTCCCGCTTCGCCATTCACGTGCTTCTGTTGCTGCGCCCGCGCATCCGTTCGTGTAGGGCGCGGCCGGGTAGTTTTGTTCGCAACTGGGCCACTGTTGCTGTTGGGTTGAAGATGTGTTCCACCTGCTATTCCAGATTTCGGTTGGCGGACGATCAACGCATTGCTGGCTCCCGCTGGACCACCGCCACCCGCAGGTTGTCCAACTCGAGCTCTTTCCCTCGAAGCCGCCCTTGTCCTCTTATCATTCCAGTGTCGGTCCTCGAACAGCCCGGAATCCCGGATTCTTGTATCCGCATTCCAGCTCCCGCCGGCAGTACGCTTCACGTTCTGATGAAAAACCGACCCAACATTAGACATCATGCTGGAATCAAAAGAAGAATTTGTTTTGTTTTTCGCCGCAGATGTTGACCCAGTGGTGCTCCGTTTCTTCTTCCTCTTCACCGGCAAGTAGTTGTGCCCGGCTAGCTTCGTCTTGCTCAAGAGCGACGTGTCCGGATAGGTCAACCTGGTTGGAGAGGCGCTGCTATCCTGATGGTCTTGATTGTTTTCAGCGACGAATTTGAAATTCTGCTCCTCCTCCTCCAATTCGTCCAGAACGTCCTGAAACCTCACCCTGCTCGCCGACATCTCCTTCTTGCGGTTCTGTAACTCCTCTGCGATCTTCAGTCTTCGTTCTACCTGTTGCGCGCGGGTGGAAGTTGTAGTGGTCCTTGTGCCGGTCGTCGTCGCTCTTAATGTCGTTTGTAGGAATCTACCGCCTCCGTTTTTGTTTGTGCCAACAGAACTCCCTTTGCTTGAAGTCGACAGCATGCTGTTTGCGCGGGCAGAAAGCGGCACTTGAGGCGGGTTGTTTTCTTCGTTTACGAGGACCGGACCGGAGCGGGACCGCTTCGGAGAAGCAGAGTTGCTTTTGCTCGAAGCGTTGTCTACTGCAGAAGGATACTTCCCTTTTCTAGAGGGTGAGCGAGATGCAGCAGTAGAACCAGCACCACAAGCAGCATCTCCACCAACTCGCTCAACCCCAACTTCGACCACTGACTCCGTCCTGGCGTTGGCTTGGTTCAGGAAGAAACTTTTCGCGGAAAGGAGTTTCACGGAAGGAGTAGTGGAAGAGGACTTTCGCGGAGAGGGATTATTTGTGTTTTGCCTGCCAGAGGCAGCTACTTTTGTTGTCCCCGCAGGTTCTGGTGCGAAGAGGTACGTTTGCTTCGCATGATCCGGCAGACCTTGACCTATCTTCACCTTCAAGTAGTTCTTGTTCGGAGGCTCCTGCAAAGACGCCGAAGGATGACTAGCTCCAGTCCTTGTATTGTTCCGGGCAGGGGGTTGAAAAGGAGCGCCAACAAGGTTCTTGGTCGCGTTTTGGTGGTCCTCGGAGGTGTTTTTAGTCGTCTGTGTGTGCGCCGTCGCGCCCTTCGAGGACGGCGAATTCGAACTCGTCGTTCCACGCTTCCGTAAAAAGCTCCTCGTCGGCTGCAAGAGATTGATACTTGGAGCCTGCACTCCCATCCTGCTCGCGTTGAGCTGGAGGAACATTTGCTTCCTGGTGACGTTAGCTGATGCAGGTGGGAGGTCCTGGGACCGCGCGCGCAATTGCTGACTCATTTTCATCCCGGGAGAAGTAGATCCTCTTGCGCTCGTTGGCGGTTGTTGGGAGGTGGAGACAGTAACCGTTTCGACCTCAACGGTGGGAATTCTGGTCGACAGCGGAACTTCGTGCAGCTCCATCAAATGAGCTTGCTTCTTCGACGACGACGATGACGCACGGAGGGCGGCTTTCTGTGCGGCTACCTTGCCTGCTGCAGAACTTCTCTTCGGTGACGCAGACTGCGAGCGACTTCGTGTGGTGGTGGCTCCCGACGTACTAGGGGCCGCAACTCCTGGTGCGGTAGCTTTGGCCACGACCTTGTGTCCAGCACTGCCTGGTGCGCGCGGACTTTTCATGACTAGAGAGGATGTTTTGATAGTAGCCCCTTGTTCTCCTGCACTAGTACCTCCTCCTCCGACTTTCTGCGGCGATTGCAGCGGCTCGGGGAAACGAAGAAAAGCGGACGAAGACCTCCGCCGCGGGCTCCGAGAGGTCGACGGGGATTTGGTGGCAGAGTCAGGCTTATTGCTATTTCTCTGAGGCTGAGCGGGATTGGCGCCGCGCGCAGACATCGGGGTTTTATTCAGTGCTGTAGATTGTTGCTCGTCCACCTGAAATGTCAGTCCGGGATGCTGGTCTTGCTGCCCTTGCACTTTCAAATAGTTGTTGTCCTGGTACCTTTTGAAAGCTTGCTCCGCGAGCACCACCGACGGCGCTCGGGTTGATGTTCCGCTATTGTTTTGTGGGTTGCAGAACAGATTTGTGCTGCCAGTGACGAGTTTTGAAGATTTGTTCCCTGATGTAGTTCCCCCAGTAACTGATCTTCCAGTAACTGGAAACGGTCCAGTACCAGCCCCGCCGACGCGGTTGTCGAAGTGAAAGCTCGTGTTGAATTTCGGCTTGCTGCTGCTTCTGGGCGTACTATTGGTCGCCTTGAATTTGTCCTCAGTGGCATGATATGAACTGCAAAAGTATCGTACTCGTATTGCAGTCATGTATTACAAATGTTTTTCTTGACGTAAATCCGCATTACAGATTTTATTTCTCATGCTGAGGAAATTTTAATTTGTAATGCATTTTTACGAGTACAATACTTTTACACAGGATACATGATCTCCACGCCGCACGATTTCCGACAGACTTGGCGTCCTTTCGTACGGAACGGAAAGCCGGATGCTCGATTGGTTGAAATTTCTTGGGGTGGTCGGGTTACTGCGACTGCGGTTTACCGGTAGATGAAAGGAGTAGCTCGCGAGGGTTTTGAGGAACGTCGTGTTGGGTGGGTTCGAGGTGGAATCTTTCGTCGTTGTTCCTGTGAGGTGATTCTTGCCAGTACTGTGCTGTGTAGTGCCCCCTCCAGGTCCGGGTTTCGTTGAAGGCGGTTGCTGGGGCGGGAATGCGGGCAGGGCGGTAGTGCCTGTTTAATATTTTGAGGTGGATTGTTCAGTTTCAGAGGTGGAGATACACAAATATTCACGAAGATGTCCTACTTCTTCCTATAGTGGTCGCCCGTCTTGCTGTACGACACCCAAGAGTTGTGCTAAACAAATGATGTAAAAAGTTAAAGTATCCTCCAAAACTACAATCGTTTCAGAAAGCCGTAACCGACCATGTTTTATGAAATTGAATTACGAGAAATAGTACCTGCCCGCAACCCATGCGTCCACATGACGCCGGCATCGATGGCCCGCGTCTCTGGCGGGTGGTACAGGACGGACTCGATCTCATTGATTCGCGTTTTCGAAGCGCTGGTATGGGAGTGCACAACTGCGCTTCCCCCTCATTAATATGGCATGAACAGCAGCACAAACACCAGCACGCGTGGGGCCTATGCATGAACAAATTCATGCCGCTCCTAGTGCAGTACTCTTTGGGCTTCCGGAATCTGTCATGCACAGAATGCCACAAGGTACAGATGCTGGATTTCGGATCTTACATGGCAAATGAGGGGGAGGGGGAGTTGTGCACTTTAATAGCTGGCCCGCGTGTGCCGGCTCCAGATCGGAGAGGTGGTGGGGAGATGAGGATGGGAGTTCATTGTGTTCGTGGATTTTCTTCTGTTCTTGATGCTATTGTTCCGTTATTGCGAGCAGTGCTGGTTTGAAAATGTTTCGTATGTTGATCACCGACATGGAACAGAGATGACACTCTACGAAGTGAAACCAAAGAAGCTGCACCAGCAGGGAAGGAATGGCAATAGTCGATATTATTGAGTTGACGACTTCAGGGCAACACGACAAATAGCGAGGGCACAAATAAATAACCAATACAGTGACAGAAATACGAGGAAGAAAATTTCTCCGCCTGTGCCCGTCGAATTCTCTCTCTCCTCTTCTGAATAGCGAAGACAGAATAAACAGGCGACAGAACGATCATGAATGCGAGTGCAGGTGGACCTCATGTTGTAGAAGCGGAATCAATTCATCACACGAGCAGCAACGTGTGCGAAGATGTTTTTATTTTTATTTCTACTCACGTCCGATGGCGGTGGGGCTGCTGGTGCTGGAGCTTGTCCTCAAGCTTCAACAAATTGCATTATACATTGTGGAAAACCTAAATCGAGGCACTAAAATCTAAATTGGTCGTGAGTGCGCTAGCGCTGCCAGGGGTTCTTGTCATGAACCGAACAACTACTGCTCGAGGTGCTAGCAACTAACTTTCTCTGTCGGTAGTTCTACGCGCTGAGAGATTACATGAATTTGCATTTTGATTTTCATCGTGCAGCATCACATCTAGACTTTGAATATTTTCTAAATTGCAATTCGGCTTCGTGCTGGTAGCTTCATATCAAATCATACTGAGTCACACGCTTAGGTTCATTCTGATTTCCTTAGTTGCTGCAAATGAGATTTGATTCATTTGCGCGGGCTCACGTGCTGGTGTGTAGCGCTTTCTTTCGCCAGCGCTTTGCGGTTTCGAGAGCGCGGCTTCTTCTAGCGGGGTGGGGCTGGCTGATAGCGATAGGCTACGTGGCCGCCTTGGGCTTGGTTGTTTCCTTGTTGCTCTGGTATTTCTGCCAATATCCGCACAGCGGCCAGATGTAGTATGCTTGTGAAGAGTAGGACCGCGTGTGCTGGTACCCGTAACCTGCAACGCCTAGCACTGGCGGCCTGTGCTAGTTCCGCATCCGAAAACTATGCTGCTTGACATTTGCTGGCTTCTTCCTTTATTTTTACAACGGGAAACCTATAGTAAATAGTGGAGGCGTGGTACCTCCGCAGACGAGGGTTGCCCGGCATAAAAGACATACTTACGAATAGGAAACCGTTGGCGTTACAATGCATACAAATAAATTATCAGCATGATAATCATACGTAGAGATCACGCAGGCGAAACGGGGTGGACTGACACGTACGTCCAAAATTGAGCATAGCAGCACCGCTCGCTCGGAGCCGCTCCTCATGTACGGTCTGCCTTTGTTCCGCTGCTGCTGCCAGGTTTCTCTGCAGCGCGGCTCCCAGCGCGGCTCGTTGTCGTGACTGCGACGGACTCGGCTTTTGCTTTTGGTGTTCCTCTTCTTTCTCCCTTCCCTGCTTTCTTTTCGCCGCCTCTTCGCTCTCCGTTTTCCCCATCGATTCCTTGTCCTTCTCCAAGACGGAAGTCTGTTTGTCTTAGCGTTCTATCTTGTAGCGGAGCAACGTATCTTCAATCAACCAAGAGTGTTGTAGATGCAGAAATGTAAAAAAAATGAATCTCATTCACAACACAAGAAACGCAAACCAACTTCGTTGTACTTACATGAATTATTTCGTGAAAAAAAATGCATACCCAGTACCGATCCATCCGCATGCACGACATCGCTCACTGAGATACCCGCGCCATCGTCCTCATTCACGGGGGGTGGGATGTTCTGCGAGCCGCGCAAATTTTCGTAAGCATTGACGCACCAACCTTTAATTTTCGTTCTTCCTATGTAGTTTCTTTTTGTTTTTCGTCTGCGGATTTCCTTTGGTGCAGAAAAACTAGCACACGGAGCATTATTTAACATGCGGCCTGCCATGTGTCTCTTCAAAATATCTCTTCAATATACAATATGCACTTCCAAAAACCATCTTCATCAGAAAAAGATACTTATATAGATACTCAAGTGATCCTCCCCCGGGAAGGTCAGGGGTAACGCCAACCACTGCGCAGCGCTTGTCACGCGCTTCCGGCAGCGCGCATTGGGACCACGACGCCCCATCTTTGCTTCTGCAGCTTTTGTGTGGTGCTACAATGTACTTACCGCAGTAGAAGATTCAGTTTCTATTTCAATGATTGTCAGTGGTGCGCCGACACCAGATGCAGATCGGCAGCTAGCTACAGTTTGCACGGAAAGCAAAGTTTTCGCTCGTACTGGCTTTTATTTTGCTGGAGTAGAAGCCAATCTCTTTCGCTCCCTTAGCTTTCTTCGAAAGAAGAAAAGCAAACAGCTTGTAGCTTCTACTTGTGGCGATTATGTCTTTAATGCAGGCATCACATTTCTTGCGTAGCTTGAATTGCAGAATTGTTCTTCTACAGGAACTTTAGATGATGCAGAGTTTTCGAAGTTTCTGGTACGGAGCGATCTACCACACGCGTGTCAATGTTGTTTCAAACGACCAGGCATTTTTCCTACTGAAGACGACCCTCCCACTCTCGTTCTAGGCCGAAAAACCGACTACAATCCCGAGTCGTCGACTCAAAAACGCTGACTCACATTCCCCTGTCAGAACATGATATCTTATTGACCCCATTCAGTTTTTTTCCAAGAGCACGTTCTTCTTACGAGCATCCATCCCGCCTACGAAGAACAAGTAAGGGCACGAGACCGAAAAACTCTTTGTCGCAATCAGCGACAATTTGTCCATAACAGCTGTTCTTTTTCATTCAGCACTTTGGACTAGATTGACAACTCAGAATGTAGTCCCAGTCATATATTGTTTATCTAATCTGAAGCTGGATTTTGTTGCGTAACGACTAACGAGATGACTCTTCCAGCTTGGTTGTAGTGGATCTTGTTCAGGGTGGACCCTTACCGCTGATCGCAGTTCTTCGTAATACATCAACAGAACAAGGGCGATCGTCGTTGGAAGGTCTCCTTCAGTACAGAATTTGAATGATTTTTAGTGGGTCAAGCTAGTACAAATGCATAAATAATCGCGCGAGTTTCTAATTGTGCTGCTCCGGAGCATGCGTCTCTGCTGGAACGCACCGACTAGCAAGGTGCCTGCCTTGCCTTCAAGTGCAGTTTCTCCTCCACGGTGCCACGCGTGTAGAAGCGGTAGATGTGCGCCGTCCGCTTTTGCCCCATGCGGATCACCCGCCCTGTCGCTTGCTGTTCGTAGGCCATCGCTTCTGCGGTGGTTCGCCCTAACATCGGGTGGACCAAGAAGACGTGGCTTGCCCGTGATAAGTCGGTCCCGCTTGCTTGGGTTTCCAAACTCAGCAGCAGAATTTCCGGGGACTCGCCGAATTCGGAAGATGCGTCTTCTTTGAAGCTGTTGATGATTCTGTTCTGCTTGTAGCTGCCTCCATGGAGCTGCATGTAGTTGAAGTTGTACTTTGTGAACGCCGTCGCCAGCTTGTTCTCGATCCCCGCCCATTGGACGAAGACAATCACCTTCTCGCCCGGAAATTCCACTTTGATCCGGCGCAGTTCCTTGCAAACCGCCTCGATTTTCGACCCGAAGTGGTGAAAACTTCCCGGGGCGATGACGACTGCACCAGGCACAGCCTTCAGCGAGGCGCTTTCCACCGGTTTGCGAAGCTTCGCGAGCTGGCGGTATGGTTTTTGGTTTGCTGGCTCGATGCGCCGCCGCTTTTTTGCAAGAGCAGGGTTGTTATTGTCGTCGTGGTCATCCAACTCTTCATCACATGAAGATTCGGAAGATGACGAACTACTACCACCGCCGAACGCGAGAGACGAATCTTCACCACGACCACCAGCTTCGTTATCATCTCCCGCAACGGCGGCCACTATCGCACTGCCATCACTGTTCACATTCTTTGGCCCGAAATACACATCCGGGGGTTCCAGTGTGGCTAGCGGCTGCTGGCAGTTTGGATGACAGCACTTTTTTTCACTCTGCACACGCGTCTTCAAGCACGCTTTGCAGAAAAGATGCCCACATTTCGCCACGGCGAAACTACTGCGGATTTTGGCGGCGAGAAGCGGGTTCACTTCTGTGTTGCAAACGGAACAACGAATTTCCGAGTCTGGCGCAGTGAAGAGATGCATCGCGGTGGAAAGAAAATCGTAGGATCGGGCGTGGTCCTGCATCTTTGCGAAGGTGTTCTTCAGCTCCTGGGCAATCTCGGTAGACACAGAAAGCTGCTCCTTAGTCAGCAATTGCAACGGTGTGGCATTTTTCGCTTGTTTACTGGATGTTTTGCTTGTAGTTGTGTTTTTAATATCAGCGATTTCTGCTGCTCGGGATGAAGAGGCCCCACCTGCGCCGCCTCTCACTGGACTCGGAACTTCTTCCACAGCCTTCTTCATCTTCTTCATGTTCGCCGCTTTATTCCCGTTATTTTTTGCTTGAGTAGTAGCTGGATCCGCCTTCTTGTTTCCACGATTCGAAGGTTGCTGTTTGATGTCTTCCTGTAGTTCATTGGAGACCGAAGCTGTCGCTAAATCCAACAAAGAAGGAACTTTTTTGTTCTGCTGCTTCGCCGCGTCTTTATCCTGTAGTTGTGCTGCTGGTCGTTGCAGTTGCGCAACATTTTGCTGCACCACAACAGCTGTGCCAGAAGTCGTGCTTGTTTTAACCAGAAACTCTTTGCGTGTCTGGAAAACCTCCGCATCCTCTCCGTACGCTGCGTTCATTGCGCTTTCCAGCGCCGGCGGAAAGGCAAGCGACGCGAGCTTCTCGTCTTTGTAGCCACATACCTGCTCGTAGAGGAGTTTCCAGAGCTGGTCCTGGCCAAGTTTCAAACACTCCGATGTGTGTCCGAAGAAGGAGGCGAAGGTTTCCTGTACGGAGCTGCAGTGGGTTGTCAAGAAGGAAACGAGGGGCGAAGAGGCTGCTGCTGCATTCGTGATCGGGCGGCGAGCAAAGAGATTTATTGCTTGATCGCCGGGTGGCGTTGGTTCGTTTTCTTGATCATGGTTCTGTCCTTCGGTACTACTTGTGCTTTTGTTTTTCATCTTGTTGTAGTTGCCTGCATCAGTATTTGAGCCCGGAAGGAGGGCATTTCCCTCCTGTCCCTTTCGCTTCTTGGCAGCTGGTTCGATTCTGAGGACTAATATTTCTTCACTCAACTCTTCATCGTCTTCAGGACGATCTTCATCTTGTTGTTTCTCTGCAGCATTTTGTCTTTTGTCTTCCGCAGCCGCAGCTTGCTTTCCTTTGCCCTTTGCTTTGGAAGAGGATTTGATATTCATCAAAGAGACCTCCACATTGCTACCACTAGCTGGGACCGAAAAGGAAGATGCGAATGACTTTGAAGATGTTGCTGTTTTATTGGTTGTTCTTTTCACTGCCCGGGCAAGCTGACCAGGAACAGGAGCCGCGACTAGTGCGGCCGAGAGGGAGGATGACGGAGCCCCTCTAGCCCCTGCTCTATTCACCGCTTTATCATTCCCGCCGTGACCTGCCACCTGTCCCCCTGCACACGCGCGGCGCAACAGCTCTAGCTGCGCAACAGCCGCTTTTGCAATTACCAGTTGCGCGGCGATCTCTGCTTTTGTCGTTTTGTGCTGCCGCTTCATCTCCTCAGCCGGGCTTGCGGCGTTTGTTCCTGCGGAGAAGTGCGAGCAGCGCTGCAGCAATTGGCTGCACCGGTTGAGCACAGGTTCGGAGAGTTGGCTGGCGGAAACGTCAATCCCGTTTCTTGCTGAAAGCTGCGCCTCCGTTGCGACGTAGAGTGCCCGCTCGGCAGCTGTGAATTCCACTGCGACCTTGTGAAAGTGCACAACCCCCCGCTCGCACCCGCACTGACATTTTGTCATGCAAGATATCCTCAAAGAAATGCAGGCTGTGCCTTTTGGCACTGTTTGGACGACAAGTCCTCCTGGCAGCCCAAATCAATCGCACTGCGCTTCAATGCAATTTTTTCATGCAGGACCGGCAGTCTTGGGGACGCTTGTATTGCCGTTCATGCCACTGAGGGGGAGGCGGGGTTGTGCACTCTCATAGACTGCGTGTTGTACCTGCTTGATGCTGGAGACCATCGCATTTTCGGAGTTCTGCCGAATGCAGGCATTGATGAAGCCCTGCGCGTTTTCGTGGAGTATGGCGTGCTCAACTGTTACATTCTGTCACGCAGAATTGCAATCAGAATCGACACGATCAAGCTGCTTCGCATGACAAATTTCCGACGAGCCCAAGAGCCTGAGAATCTTTGCCAAATCTGTCATGCAAGAACCGCAAGGCCCCCTATTTCACATTCACTTTTACATTTACTGTTGCAGTTCTTGCATCACAAACCCATGTAACAGTTGAGGATGGAACAGTTGAGAACGCCATATGGAGCACCCGAGAGACACACGGCGGGGCCAACACTCTGCTCGGATCGCCTTCCCTTGATGCTCTCCAACATTGCTCCTGCTTCCATTCCGCAGTCTTTCGCAGCCTCTCGTCCCTGTCCTCAATTGCACGGATTTCGGGAGGGGGCATCTTGCCGTGGCCGAACTGTGGGCCCTTTTCTGTAAAGTCGGCGCCCGGTTGGAGGCCGTTGACGATGATATCGATGCCGAAGACCCCGGCAGTGATTTTGGTATTCTGGACCGAGTCCACCGTGGGGGTGCCAGTTGGGGTATCAAGTGGAAAAGTGGTGGCCCTCGCCCTACTCTCCAAAGGAAGCGTGCCAGGACGATAGGGGGCTGCGTCATGATGAACAAGGTTCTTCAGGCAAATAATGCGCATCGTTTCTAGACAAGAGTAGAATTTTGGGCGGGGTAGCTATGACTACATAGACATACGCCATGGCCGTAGCCCTTTGTCAAGACATTATAACACCAGACAAGAGTTGTAGATCTTCGCCACCAAGCTTTGGAGGTTAAGGCAAACACTGCATCGAACCACTGCGCTTCCACTTGATAAAGTCCCCACTTCGAAACCGCTTTCAACCCGATCAGAATTCCTGTCTTTCCCTTGATGCATTCCGCTTCGTGAAATTCGTCATAGACAATTCTGCGAAAGAAGAACTGCTCGAAAACCGGAAACAGCAGGTCTTCGGATTTCGATTTTTTCAAAACCCCCTCTGGACCACCGTTGCCCTGCACCAAGCTCTTGATTTTGTTCTGCGTCAGTCCTGCGCTGCCCTTGAAAAATCGCGACTCGAAGTAGGACGTGCGGGTCGCTTTCAGTTGGTCCGCAGCAGGATTGGCACCCGCCGCAGCATTGGCACTGCCGCGCTGATGATCATCCCAGGCTTGAATATAGTCCGCGGTTGCTTTTCGCAGGTCCTGCACACTGTAGGACGCGTTTGGGCCGAGCGTCCGGCCACCCGTGTCGTCTTTGTCCAGAAAGTCCAGGACGCGCTTGGCGTAGACGGAGGAGTACAGGCACTGAAACGTACACAGGATGATGTCATATCCTGCCAGCTCTTTTGCGCTCCGCGTCGTTATCCCCCGCACGTCCTTCATCACAAGCACTGACCACTTGTAACTCGTGCAGAATTTCTGGATTTCTTTGGAAATTTATCCCGTACAACAACGACTCGAATATTAATTTACAGACGAGTAGTTCAACGTACAAAACTTGTCATGCTCATGATCAGCTTGTTAGGAGATCTTTTTGTTTTTTGCATCTACCGGGAAAAAAACCCACATGATCATCTTCTTGACCCTGTACTACACAGCGAAATAAGCGTCTTTTTTTCTTGATCTTGTGTGCAAATAGAGTCGTTTTTACTCAGGATAACCACTGGTCAATCAAGTGGCTGGGGACCAGAATCAGTGTTGTTTTCGGGGCCGGGAAAAATGCCTTGGACTCGCGGGCAATGAGGTCATGGGGAGACGGGCTGGATGGCGCAGTGTTGTCATGATTGATGTTGTGCATTTGTTGGTCAGCATCGTCCTCGGGTCGTTTGCGTTTCTGATCTTCATCTTCTGCTAACATGTCTGGTAGTGCAATGAGCCCCGACTGCTCCTTCTTCTTCTTGTTGTTGTTTGTTTTCCGCTTGCTTGTTATTTTCGCTTGTTTTTCGTTTTCCTTCAAGTCCCTGCCCTTTCTCGCATCCGAGGAGCCTCCTTGTCGCCCCATTGCCAGATCTTCCTGACTTGCCAGCAGCGACAGAAGGGTGGCCGTTTTGCCAAAGCCCACCTTGTCGGCCAAAATGCCGCCATTGAGATTGTACTGGTAGGTCAGTTCAAACTCGAGTAAAAATTGCCCCGCAGCTGCCGGGGACCCGCCGTTGGTGCTGCTGTTGGTTGTACATGTACTGTAGCAGCTGCTAAAAATCTTCGGCGCCACGGCTTTTTTCTGGGTGATAGTGAATGTCTCTGGACAATTTTCCCTCTGTATCATCCAGGCCAACGCCTGCTTCTGTTCCGGGCGGAGTTGCAACGATGGGTCTGCCGTCCACTTCTTCGGCGCCGGTGCTTCTGGCGTATCCGCGTTGTTTGGGATGGCGAGCTTGGTACTCAGTGCGGCAGGAAGGAGGTCCTCGAGCCGTTGCCGTTCTTTAGCCGACGCTGGTTGTAGCTTCATCAGCTTGGCAAGCATGTTCTGAGGAACTGGTTTGAGTGGGTGTCGTTTGTAATGCTGGTTGAACAAGGTTGCGCCTTGCCGCTTTATCTCGAGGTCAATACGTGCTCGCTCGTTGTTGTTTGCGATCTTTTCCACAAGCTCGCCGGCCTTCACTGCCGCGGGCGCAGCTTTCGTTTTGCGGTTACTTGAAACAAGTGGGAGGAGTCGCAATCTCTGCTCTACTTTGTCCGCTTTGCTGAAACTCTTCTCCGCCATCGCGTCCAGGACCGGCTTGAGGTTTTTCGCGAGGAATTTCTCGACGCGCTTGAAGCCTGTCTCCGAAATCTCGATCCAGAGCTCTACGCCTTCCAACACGTCTGGCGCGGCTTCGCGCGGTGCCCCTGCGGTGAGGTGGTTATGAAACCTCCGCAGCACCGTAGTGCTCGAGTTTTTTGCCAGAGCCGTCTTGACAGTCATCCGCGTCGGCTTTCCTGGCAGTTCAGGGTAGCGACGCAAAGGCAAGGCAGGCTCCTCGTAGTTGTTTCCTTGCTCCTCCTGGTTGTGCTGGCGGTGCCCAAGGGAGACAGAGTGAAAGCTGCTGCTGGGGTCATGAGATGACGGGACGTTGGTGTAGTTGGCTTGTTTCGCCCGCCCGTTCATGACCATCGAGGCGTACTCCTCAAATGTAGTCGCCACTGCTTCTGATATTTCATTTTCCATCGGCAAAGATGAAGATGGCAGGGCAGAAGAAGATGATGATGGCACGGAAACTGATGAAACAGCAACAACTTCTGGTGGTGCATTTGCGAGCTGCTGCAACGCATAATTATCCCGCTGCAAGTTCTTCACATACTCACCGATTTCCTCTTCGCTTTGCAAAATGCGCTGAAATGGTTCTCGCCGTCGCGTCTTGTGCGCGAATGAAAACTCGGCAATCACCATGGTATCGGTCTGTTGGTCGTACTTCAAGAACATCTTCGGGGGCTCCATTTTTAATCGGTGAGCGTCCGCATGCATGTCGTGATCTGCAGCAGCCCCTGAAGTTGCAATCCACGGCGATGGTCCGAATGGATTTTGTTCTATCACCTCCTTATCCTTCATTACGTCGTCTTTTCCTGCTGGCGCTTGATTGGAGAAATTTGGTGACGAAGAAGTTGTTTTCTCCATCCTGCCGAAATCGTCTACGGCAAACCGGTCTGTCGTTGCTGACGCACCCGCCGACACAACGGAGGACAGTGGCCGGACCCCGTCTTCGAGACCAGCATCGCCTTTCGCCAATTTCTTCTCTTGTCCGCGGCCGTCTGCCCTCGCGATCACCATCAGGAATTCGTTGTTCCGCCAATGGCACACAACTTCGCCCTTGAGCCATGACGCAGAGTCGTCGCTCAAAAACTCGACTAAAGCGCCGACAGGAAACGAGAACTTCGGCAGCATCAATTTGCACTTGTTCTTGTCGCCGGCTGGTGGGAAGGGGTAGTGGTTCGGAAGGAACTGTGTGTGATTCCCCTGGTAAGACGAAAACTTCGTGTGCGTACGAAAGGGCTGGGCAGACTCCGGGCAGACTTCCGCAGGGAGCCAGTTGGGAGAAGCACCGCTCCTGGGACCGCCGCGATTCCAGTTCATCAAGATGCGGGTCCGGTGCCCTGGAAGAGTAGTACTGATCGTGCGTTCAGCCCAGCGAAGAGCCCCGACAGTGCCGCCAGCGCACTGCTCCGGCCGATCGAAGCCCTGAAAATCATGTGCCTGCAGATCTTCCTCGAGGACCCGTAGGTAGTAAGGAAGCGCGTTCTCCTCGTTGTAGCGGAGATCTTCATAAGCAACAAGCACTACCCTGTACTCCCTGCTGCGCCGAGTCCCATCAGCAGTGAACTGGCAGTCAGAAAGCGATGCTTCCTCCGGCACTATGGTGTCGATTATACCGAAGTACTCGGGATGTGATGTGCGCTTCGTAGAGACCTCGCGATTTGTGTTGCAAGAACTCCGGCGAAAGCAAACTTTCCGCCCGACGTCAAAAAGCGGCGGCTGTGGTTCCGGGACGGCCTTCACAAGAGGCCCGGGGAACGGAGTATCGTTGGGTAGATCAAAGTATCTTTTTGTCCAGCCGGGACCGGCGCCCGGTTTATTTGGCTTGTGCGGCAATTCAAAACAGGTCTGGTATTTGTTCAGCTGCGAAGATACGCCACACAGGTACGCGACATGCCAAGAAGGCGGATTAGTATTGGAATTTATCACGCCAAAGAAATCCACCGTTGCGGTTGCCTATCAAATGAAACCAAACATAAAAACATGGCGAAGTCACTAGAGTCTATGGCAACAAACAGTGCGGGCGAAGTTTCTATTTCTTCCATGTGCGGTCAATACAAGGACACTAATGCAAATATCACGAATTTCAATTTGATGTCAACATTCAAAGATAAGGAGAACTTGGGCCAACAACGGCGAAGTTGAACAGTTCATCTCCATACGGGAGGCCGGGTCAGTGATCCTCACCAGCACTGGACTAATGCGCGACGATGTGAGTCCCGGGTCGAGATTGGTTGAGCTCGTAGATGATCCTGAAGATGAGCTTGCCAGCTGCTGCCGTAGTGCTCCGACCGTGTTGCCCTCGCTCTGCAGATCGTCTGATGATGTGGCCCCAAATGTACTGTCTTCGAAGAGCACGCTCTCCAGCACGGAAACAGACCAGGACGCCGGTGCGGTACACAGATCGGAGTCGCCGCTTAGGGCGGTGCTTTCTGACAGAAAGGGCTTTCTGAAAGAACAGACTGATTTTATTTTCTTCGTCTCGATAGCCTCAACCTGGTAACTGCGCTCGTACTTACCTGCTGACGCGTCGAGGGTGTTCGTGTTGGCTGTCCCGACTTGACAAACGATTCCGCGCTGGAGGCCTTTCCATAATCTTGTGTCGGTCGTGTTGTATCCGCGAAAACAGACTTTATCACCCACCGCGAACTTTGCTTTGGGCACCGACGGCACGTGCTTCCAAATCGCACTCGGAAAAGCGGCGTGGTTTGGCAGGTACTGAAAGAATGCGGCGTTGGATGTTGTTATTGACTCGACAATCTGGGCCTGGGTGAATCCCAAGTGCGGCTGGTTTGAAGTAGTTACTCGCGCCAAGCGCCAATGCCCGCAGACCAGACACAGTATTTCGACGCTCCCGCCATTACCGCTTGCAACTTGCTTCAAGGACCCCACCGTGCCTGGCCGGCACTGCTCCGCAAGGGGAAAACCCGGAAACTGCGCCAGGGACAACTTTTCCTCCGGAACCGGGGTCAGCAGTGGCACTTTGTCCAGTGCGGTCTCCGAGTTGAAGTTGTGCGTAAAGTCGTAGGAATACGGCACTTCACATTTTTCAATCGTGTAGCAGTACTTGACGTCGCCAGGAATTCGTGATGCGGATGGTGCTGCGAAAACCTCGACTACGATTCCGTTAGTGCGGTCTTGTATCATGCCTGGTTTTTTATGTTGATGAAGGTCTCATTTTCAATGAATGACGAAGCATTGTAGTTTGAAGAGCTTCTACGAATCAAAAATGTAGATGGTCCGTAGCATACATAGATCAAGAATCCGTTTCCTTCGTGGAAAAGAGCCCGCGATCACGGAACAAAATTCAACAGCACTCTGTACTGACCTCCAAATTTCGACCACAATAACGCGACTCTATGCCCGACTTGAAACTTGGGTTGTACAATCTGCGCTACAGCATGACTTTGTTGCTGCTGCTGCGTAAACTGCTGTTGCTGGACGGCGGAATTCTGCCACGCAGGCTGTTGTTGCTGCGTCAGCTGCTGCTGGTGTTGTCCTTGATAGCGGAGTTGCATTCCTGGTGGTGTATTTCTATTTTCTTGCACTTGCTGCGCCCACCAGTTCGTAAGCGTGGGGCTCTGCAACACCTGTTGCGCTTGGGCCGGTGTCAGGTCCATCAATCCGCGTCCCTGCGGATTCGCGAGGATGGCGGTGAGCTGATGCCACAACTGCTGCTCTGCCGGACTAAGCTGGCCAAGGAATGCGGAGTGGTTGGCCACCTGATGTCCCCCAGCGTGAAGGTTCGCGGAAGAGGAACTACTTGAGCTTGAAGAACCAAATCCTGGGGTGCCACCGTTCCCCGTGGGCAAATTGAAATTGTTCGGATTCATCCTGACTTTAGATCAAACTGTTTTCTGTATACATCGAAGCAATGTAATTCTAATTGAGGATTTTTCTCGTTAGAAAAGAGACTAAATTTTATCAAAAATCTATAGTCATCAACGGACAGAATTAATGCTCGAAGAACGATCATTCTTGTTTCCCATGTAGACAATGCAGAAAAAAAAACGGAAACATGCGAAAATGAAAAACCACTCACACGCAGACTGTGAAATCGTCTCTCCTCCATCCAAACTTCCTCGACGTCAGCAAGAACCAACACATAAAAAACTCACGACCTTGATTGAAACTACACAAGTGTGAAACGACCGATGCCATGATGGTTAGTTACTTATACAGTTTGTTGGAATTCCAACTCGATTCCTAACATCGACATGCTATGTATGTTCTTCCTCCGGCGTTGGTTTGCGCACTCGACTTCAGGACAAACTCTCACGGACCCTCAAAATGAAAATAGGTGACAAGTGTATAATTGAAAAATAAAATCGCCACTTCAATGACGGAAGACAAGTTCATCTTCATCAAATGGGCAGGGATTTCTTCCCGATTTCCATTTGACATCCTGCTCTGCTTATCTTCCCGCTCCTAGAGCACCTAGCAGATGAAAACAATCACACTAGGAAAACGGCTTTTTTCTGCTATCAGACCCTCTTCCAGACTCAATTTGATGTCCTTTTTCTGTCCAGAGACTCAGAAAAAAATATTTCGTGTGCGACCGCCGTATTGAGTTTTGAGGCACAGTGTACCTTGATATTCGACTCTATAAACCTTGTCGAATAGAAAAGTAGTTCAAATAATAACTCATCGAAAATAATGGGAGAAGCACCAGCTGCTTTCACTTTTTGCAAAATGTCAAGGAAAAACATCACCGCGACAACCCTTTTGCTTCTATCCGATTCCGAGTACTGCAAAAAAAGTACTGGTAGATGTCTGACGTTGTAGTTCTACTGTTAATATGACGGTACTGCTATTCTTCCTCTGTTGCGGGGTAAGAAAAGCAACAGTAGACGAGGAGCAAAAATGTAAGTTCGACAGCAAGAGAATAAAGCAGAGAAACAGAAACTAGCAGCCTTTGAAGCTCCAGCGGTAGAACTGACCCTGATAGCATATCACTGAAAATTAATCTAGTACTAGGACAACGGCCTAGCTAGAATGATAAATGCTAATCGTCACAGATTCAGATGACGAAAGGAAAAAGCATGGACTTCATCAATCTACTGCCTCTGTTCAGACATTTAAGTACTGGTTTACTGTAGCAAATAGAGTTCATTTTTTTCCACATGTGTGCTTTAGTAGAGCATTAGAGGCTACACACGCAAACACTTTCGACAATGATAAACAAGCTCTTCGAACAAGACGAATCAGGGGTACCATAATTAAAAAAAAAATCGGTGGTCGACGTGGCCTACTAGACCACAAACAAGTTCTATTTTGTGTCGAGTACTATAATGCGCAGCTTTAGCGTCGACATCGAGAAAAAAAACTCTGTTGGAGTCAACGCCCTTCTGTGCATTTCAGATTCCTGGATGTGATCTACTACAGTTCTAGTCCTGAACCTAACTGCAGCAAGAATCATGTCACAAGGACGAGATTCACGGCCGCGATTTTTAGCATAAAAAAGTCCAACAACAGCAGAAGTAAAGGCCGACGCTTTCCGCCTTCGCCTTTCCAACTCGAGTATCAAATCTAAATTTATCTAAATGCTTGTTTTTTTTTCCTAGAATTTCCATTGATGTCAAGGTCCTGCTGGAACTAACCCCGAAAGGCTTCACACCAGCACCTCACATCCACTCCAGCGACGCACCACGCCCCCCGCGCTGCTTTGCCTCGTTCCCCCCATTCTTTCCTTTTCCAGCCTGTCCAGCCACGTGTCTTTGGTGCAGCGGCTCTTCCACGGTGCCCGCGGTGTAAAAGCGGTGCACTTCGACCGCGGTTTTCGGCTGTCCCATGCGCCGCACGCGGCCGACCGCTTGCTCTTCGTAGGCGGCGCTCTCCTCCGGCGTTTTCCCGACAAAGGGGTGGGCCAGGAGCACGTGGGACGCGCGGACGAGGTCGGATCCGCTCGCCGCCGTGGACATGTTTAGCAGCAAGATGTCCGGGCTCGGCCCGTACTCCGAGACGGCGTCGAACTTGAACGAGTTCATGATCCGGTTCTGCTTGTGCACCGGGCCACAGAGCTCCATGAAGTTGAAATCGTAGTAGGCAAACGCGGAGGCCAACTTCTGCTGGATGCTCGGGAACTGGACAAACACGATCACCTTGTCCTCGGGCGACTCGTCGCGGATGCGCACCAGGACGTCGCAGATCTTCTGAATCTTGGACCCAAAGTGGTGGTAAGACGGACCTCCACGGAGAGAGGTCGTGGAGACAGTTTCTCCGACAAGAAACCTAGCGGCGCTCGGGGGCGGCACCAAGAACATGTCGGAATCTTTGCTGACCTGAGCAGGGTGAAACGAAATTTTTTTAGTTCACAGGTCGGTCCTCTTTATTTGTGCTGCTGGAGCACGACTGCTACTGCATTGCCGAGTACTTACGCTCGTTGTTGTGGGGCGAATAAAAACACACGATGATGATCTTCAGGATCATCGATAATTCTAGAGCTCGTCGAAGACTATGAAATACTTTGACATGAATCAAAACCGAACGTAGCATGTCTTACCTTATTCCTGAGCGAAGCGTATCGTCCGGGGTCATCTTCCCAGATTTTCGTGTGTTTTCCCTCCGACAAAGCCCATCCCACCACAGACGCTTTCTTTACGGCCAGCAACTTTGCATCGTTCGTTGAGTTTCCGCCCGTGCTGGACTTGGCCACCCGCCCCAAATTCTGGCTCATCTGTAGTACCGCTTGACTAGTACCTCCATTTTTTATCTTTGTGTTCCAGCTTGAAGTACTAGCACCAGCTGTTGTCTTCGGCCCGACATAGACATTCGGCGGCAGCAGCGTGTCCAGCCTTTCACCGCACTCCGGGCACTTCTGTTCGCGATTCACGCTTTCGAGCAAGCAGGGTCGGCAAAACAGGTGCGCGCACTTGGTCACCGCAAAGCCGGCCCGGCCCCAGGGCTTGTCCGCGCAGCTCGCGTCGCAGCCGCCGCAGATGAGGTCCTCCTCCGCTCCGGTGAATAGAGCGTTGGCCGCGGAGCAGAAGTCAACGGGCGCAGCCCTCTCGTACATTGTGGAAAGCGTCCTCTCCAAATCTCGCACGATGGTTTGTTGCAACTCGTGAGCCGTCGCCAGAACGTTGCTCAGCTTGACACAGTCCGGATTGGGAGGTGGAGCAGGCTTGTTGCTGCTGTTCGCGGAAGATGACGTCGCCCCTCCTGCCGACGAGGATGCACTGTTCGATGAGTCGTTCTTCATCATTTTCCTCTCCGGGACTTTCAGAACGGCAGCTAGCGGTACGGCAACAGATTTCATTTTGTTCTTCTTCCCCTGTACGCCTGCCTTCGCGGGAGTCGGTACGCCGACGACGAGCACAGCTTTCTTATTAGAGGTGGATGTGGATGAACAGGATGATGTTGTGGTGCTGATTTTATTAGATTTACCTTTCACCGCAGTTTTCTTGACGAGGGCCGTACTATTTTGCTTCGCATCTTTTGTGCTTGTTCTTTTCGCTTGCAATTTCGATGTGGCGCTCTTCCTGTTTTGCTTAGCCGGCTTCGTCGCTTTTGCGGTGGTGTTCTTTGCTTTGTCATTTCCATCGATCTTCAATTGTTCTCCATCGGCCTTTCTGTTCTTTCCGGCAACAGCAGAAGCAGTGGCTCGTTGTTTTGCCGCTGCTGCCAGAGCCAGCTGTGACGATCGTTCATGCGCCTTAGCACGCCTCACGATGCTCCGCATTGACTCCAAGCCGTTAACAAGGATTTTTCGGAAAAATTCGCTTCTCCTTTCGTTGTCACTTTCAGCACTTGATGTCATCTTTGGGAAGATTGTGATGTTCGCCGTCGTACTAGCACCAGGACAACCCGCAGCGTGGAGCAGCTTTTCAGTGGAAGTTGATGACTGCGCTGCGGTTCGGAACAGCGTCTGAAGCTCCTGTCCGTACGGCTTTCCTATGTACTGCAACGAAATCTTCTTGACCAGGTCTTGCACTTTCTCGCTCAGGAACGGCGGGTGCTCGATTTTGGTGACCGCAGACGGAGATGACTGCATGGTCTTCGGAGACGAGGAGCTACAAGTTGGGGCGAGAGCAGCAGCAGCTTTCAGATCCTTGTTGTCTTCTTGTTCGGAGGACGTTTTGCTCCGGTTGTTTTTGTTCTTCGAGTTGGGTTTGCAGGAACCCTGCTTGGCTTTCGCTTTTGTTCCATCCGCCTTCTCGCTCTTCAATCTCAAATTTGTTTCTGCAGTTTTTGTTGATGTTGGCTTCTTGTTGTCCTCCGCACTTTTGTCCTTCTTGCGCCGCTTCGAAGGCGGAGCAGCAACTACCACCGCGAGTGAGAGAGCTGCATCAACGTCGTCGTCTTCTTCCTGATCATTCGTGGCGTAGTTCTGAGCTGCATTGCTCTGGGTCGTGCTCTCTAAAAAGCACTCCTTTTTATTTTTCAGCAGCTTTCCGCTATCTTGATCAGTTTGAATTGCGACATTGGCACGGGGCACGAGACAGTAGTGCCACGTTGTGGTGTGAGCGGATTCCGCGTCCGCGACAGAGGATCCCGAGGAGGACGAGGGCGCTGCAGGTCCAAGTAGTTTTGACAACTTTTTAGTCGCCGCCTTCCGACGAGACACTGGCTGGAAGCCGAAACTCTCGCTCGCCATCTCCGACTCGTTGATATAATTGTCCCCCTTGACGACGAAGTTGCCCTTGCTCTGTCGCTTCATCTTCAGTGATTTGCTGACAGCAAGGGACGGAGAGGAAGTACTTCTTTGCACATTGTCCGAGGCCACCAAAGTAGACAAAGGTGGAGCACCTCCTTTATCAACGGCTAATCCTTCGTCGCCCGGATCCATATTTGCGTCGGTCTGCACTCCGAAACTCCGACCGGTGATCGTCCACGATGTTGAGATATCCTCCTTGCAAGAACGACGAGAGGGAGAAGATGATGCTTTATTCAGTTTCAGTGCGAATGTACCACCGGTGCTGGTGGGAAAATGACTCGTAGTCGTACCTCCACCGCGCAATGACGTAGATGACGAGGCTGACGACCGTATTAGCGGTGTTGTTTTTGTAGTAGTAGCTCCATCTACAACTCCTCCTGCCTGTCCCGCCAGTTTTGTTGGCTTGTTGATCTGGCTTTCGTTGTAGTCGCCCTGTCCAACAAGAACTCCTGGTCCCCCTACTTCTCCACTGCACAGCACGAATACGCGCCGCAACAGCTCCAGTTGGGTGACGAGCAGCGTGGCATTTTCAAATGCCGACTCTACAGCGTCTTCTGCCTCCTCCAATTTCCGCTCGAGCTCCTCCTCCGCGGTATTATTAAGCGACCCAGCACCACCACTGGACAACCCCTGCTCCCCCGCAGCGAAGTGCGAGCACCGCTCCAGTAGCGTCCGGCACTGGCGCAGCACACCCTCGGAAAGTTCCTTCTTCGAAACGTCGATTCCGCTGGAAGCCGTCTCGGAGAGGGTGTTCAGATAGAAAATTTGTTCCGCCGGAGTGAACTGTACCGCATAGTCGTGGTGGATCTGTATTGCGTTTATTTCTTAGGGGGGGGTACTAGCAAGCTGATGTGGGTGAAGGATTGAAGAGATGATACCAATTTAGCCGATCGGAAGAACAAGAAGAACTCTACCTATGAATCATGCACTTTTTCCTTGTTTCGTCGTCATTCGTTTTCGTCGTCAGCACATTAGAAAAATATACAATACCGTTTCAATCTCATCGACACAGGAGTTCGTTGCGTTTTGCCGAATGCATTCACTCACGAAGTTTTGGCAGTTGTACCACAGAACGGAGCTGGTGCACGGCTCTTTGAAGCACCTGTTCGGGTTATTCCGGGCCTTCGCGGCCTGCTGCGACTTCCAAGAATATGCTAGCAAAATCTTGATCTTGAAGAAGGTTAGCAGAAATAAGCACAGCTGGAACCTCTGGGCCCATGTAGTTCACAAATAAACACATCACAAATTTCCATGCAAATCCATCTTCTATACTTCGCTTCTTTGCTTCAAGACTTTGCTTCGGATACGGCGCCGGCTGCCAACGACCGCTGTGCCCCCCTGTAGCCTTCCAGCACGTGCGCCGGCGCGTGTTCGGGGACCTGGAGCCCGTCCGCGGAGAGCCACTCGCCCCGCGCCCCGTTGGCCAGGACGTCGACGTTGAAGAGCCCAGCCGTGGTTTTCACCGATTCGATCGTCTCCACACTCGGGGTCCCCGTCATGCCCCAGCGGGACCGGCCCCGTAACCACATGAGCACCTGCGTCTTGCCGCGCTTCGCTTCCGTTTCGTGGTACTCGTCGAACACTACCCTGCGAAAGTAAAATTGTTCCAGAACCGGAAACAGCAGATCCAAGTGCGACGAGGACCTTTTCCTCGAGACCACCTGTTGCTTTTGCTTTGCTTGATTTTTGTTCCCGCTTAAAACTGTAACTTCGGGTCCTTCCGCTTGTTGTTGTTCCCCACCGCCGGTCCCGGTCACGTTCTCGCAAAACTCCTTCGCCCGCTTGGCACTCAAGCCCTCGCTGTTCTGGAACCAGCGAGATTGCAGGTACTTCTGACATTTCCTATCGTCCCCGGAATCCCAGTCCGCGATGAATTTCTTGGTTTCGGCTTTCAATTTCAGCAGGCTGTACGGTCGGTTTGCCGCTGCGGGTTTCGGCTTGTAGCCCCGCTCGGGGTTTTTGATGCTGTCGGGGGTGTGCTTCTTGTCCCCGGAGAGAAAGTCTTCGACGCGCCGCCCGTAGGTGTCGGAGTAGAGGCAGTGGTAGCTGCAAAGAATCAAATCGTACTCCGCGATTTCGCGCACCGTGTTGTAGGACAGGCCCCGCACGTCCTTCACCACCAAAACGTTCCAGTTGTAAGCGGAAACGAACTTGTCTACTTCGGGTATGGAAGCGAATTTGATTGTGGGTCAAGAAGCATAAGTGAAGTTTTTTCTGTCTGAACAGGCCTGCTCGACGTGTGCACTCTTCACTCAGTCATGCAGAAGCAGCACGAAAATATCTTTCATTGAGATGAAGTTGATGATGATGTTTTTACAAACTATCATGAAACAATAACAAACTTCACTTCCACCTCGACCACACCAATAATTTTTTTCTCCATATCCTGCGACCACTGGTCGATGAGATGACTCGGAACCAAAACCAACGTTGTGTTCGGCGCGTGAAAAAAGGCTCCTTTATCGTGTTCCGGAATATGATCCATCATCTCCTTCTTGTTCGCCGAAGTTGTACTAGAGGCTGCAGCTCCCCTCCCCCGCTCCGCGTCTTGCTGCCGGGCGATCAGGGACAGCATCGTGGCGGTCTTGCCGAAGCCGACCTTGTCGGCCAGAATTCCCCCGTTCACCTTGTAGTAGTAGTTAGCCTCGAACTCCATCGCCCACTTGCTCCAGGTCAGGCGCCGGAACCAGTCGTCGTCCGACAAAATGGGCGAGGTGATTTTCCGTTGCGAGATCACCACGTCGGTGGGGTTGTTTTCCCGCTCCAGCATCCAGGACAGCGCCTTCCGCTGCTCGGTGCGCAGCTGGTGCCGTTTCTCCTGCGTCCACTTCTTCGGCGGCTTCGCCGGCTCGTCGTGCCCGTTGTCCGGGATTTGGAAGCCGGCGGCGGAAGTTGATGCACTAGGCGATTGCGCGATGTTGGAAGACGAGGAAGAACTCGAGCTGAAATTGTTGTAAGTCCGGCTACTGGTCGTGTAGGTGTTCTTGCCCCCGTGGTAAGCATACGCCGGCGACTCGTCCTCATCTTCCTCGTCGTCGCTACTTTCCCCGTACAGATTGCTTGTTCTGTCGGAGAAAGAACTGTCCTTCTTAATACTCAAAGGAGCTCTACTTCTTGTGCCGCCCCCCTGCTGTGGTTCTCCAAGAAGTCCTAAACCAGTCACACTCTTCTGGGGCTGCTGGAAGTACAACTGCTTCAGCAAGTTCTGGCTGGGTTTCCGGTTCAGGTCCTCCGCCACGCCCATGACGATTCGAGTTCCGGTTGTGTAGGCCGGGCGCTCGGGGTCCGGGAGCAACTTGATCGTCCGGGTGATTTTCGCTGCGGCTTTGGCGCTGAAGCTGTCGTGCAGCATGACGCTGAAGATACCCTGCGCGCCGCGCATGGACAGTGTTTCCTGGCGGACTTTCTCGTCGACCTTCAGCTTGACCGAGAAGCTCAGGCCGACGTTGCTAACAAAAGAAAAATCCGGCAACACGTGGAACGGCACGACGTTTTCCGAAAAACCGGCGCTCGCCAGCGCCGCGTCGGAGGAGTACGACTGCCTCAACGCCTGCAACTGAAGGTCCGTGTTGTTGGCGAAGCGAAACAAAGGGAGCGCGGGCTCGCGATCCTCGATGGGCAGTAAACGGGGCTCCCTGATGGTGCCGCAATCGATGGTGATCAGCGATTTGCTTGTAGTTGCGTTAAAGTTCTTGTCGTGGTTTTGCTTCAAGATTGGCGTTGGGGCTGATGACACCTCATCGGCTGCAAACCTTGTACCGGATCCCTTCGTCAAGACGTCGTAGTACTGCTTCACCGCGGTTTGCACGCCAGCCGGAATCGCGATGGTCTTGTTCTTCCCAAATTTCTGCTGCTTCCCGCCGTACGTGATGTCGTGCGCCAGCTCGAGGAAATAACTGGTCAACTTCTGCGGTTGCGTGATCTCCCGCGTGTACGGAATTTGATCCGGACGCGCGTGTGCGAAGGTGAGCCGCGCGATCGGAATTTCAACAGCCAGGTTCTCGTCGTCATCAGCTTTTTCTGGCATGATCGTGGGGTCGGCTGCAGCTGCAGCTTCGTTGCTGGTCCTCAAAGACGACGAGGACGAAGAAGCGTTGGTTTTCTGGGCGGGACGAGCAGGAGTTCCACCAGTACTTTCAGCTTCTTTCTCGAAGTCCGTAGCGAGAAACCGACTGGTGTCCACGTGCTTTGCCGGATTTGTCGGTCGGATGAACATGCGCTCGTTCCCCAGCTTCAAATCTCCGCGAAAGACGGCGCTGGCCGGAGCAGTTTCTGATGTCTGATGATCATGATCCAAAAATTTAGAAGATGATACTTTCATACCGACAGAGGTGCTAGTGATACCCTTGACCAGCATCTGGTACTTGTTCTCGTACCAGTGCTCCTCGACGCGGCCCACCACCCACTCCGGGTTTTTCAACTTGCGGTCCGCCGGTTTTACAAACTGCACCCAGGCGTGCAGGGGAAATGCGAACGGCTTCGTCTTTCCCCAGGCCTCGTTCGGGAAGGAAAAGTGGTTGGGCAGGTAGCGCTGCTCGCTGTAACAGTAGGTGCCGTCGCTCTCCTGCCGAGCGGGAACCGTCACCATCGTCCAACCGCGGTAGGGCTGCTCCGACGCCGGTACCGTCGTCGCCCGCACCCATTTGGGGCTACTTGTACCATCGCTTTTTGTTCGCGACGACGACGGCACACACAAGCTCGTCCCCTTCGGCAGTTTCTGCAGACCCGCGACGCAGGTGACATCGTCTATCGAGACAATCTGTGGCAGAGGTTCTTGTTGGTGTGCACCAGAGGACCGGTCACCGAAACCAGAGGAGTTGAAGATGCCGTCGTGATTTTGGTTTGCACCGCTACTGCTGCTACTCGACGTAGATGCGGATGAGGCGGACAGATGATTCGGCATAGTGTTCCCGCTTGCTCCACCTACCAAGAGCTCTTGCACCGACTGGAATCCGGCGAAATTTTTCTTGGCAAATTGAACGTCGATTTCCTTCGCCTGCAGTACCGCGGGCTTCGGTCCATGCACGGGCTCTTGGCTCTCAAGGTACTTCTCGACTGCGTCTAAGTCATGTACTGCTTCAATATTAATATTTCCCTTCTTGCTAGTAGTAGTAGTACTTCCGCATCCACCCGCAGTATTGACTTCTTCAACACTGCTCGCAAATGCAACTACATTTTCCTTGCCCTCGATGCTCTTCTTGCTTCCTCCTGTCTTCGAGGAAGTCTTTTCAACATCGGCTGATTGGCAAATCACCACCACCTCCTCGATGTCGTAGACGATAGGGAGAAACTTTTTCTCGTCCTTGTCCAATTTCAATTCGTGCAACTTCGTCACCACACCATACCGCACCGTTTTCTTCGCCTTGTACGAGCGCGCCGCGTCGCTGCCGAAGCAGTTTACCGCCTGCACTCTGTCCCCGATTTTGAATTTCGGCTCCGGCCGCGAAAGCTGGTCCAGCCGCGCTTTTCTGGCGTCGTGTTGTTCCTCTTGCTGCAGCTGCTTTCCCCTCGCGAGTGTCGCCTTCCGGACATTTTCCTGTTCCTGCAGGGACGCGAGGTAGTCCTCGATGTCCATGTCGGAGAAGCTGTTTTCTTGGTCGACGTGGGATGCGTTGCGCGCCAGCTTCGGCTTATTCCCCGCGTGGTGCACTTTGTTTCTGTGTGCACCAGCAGTCCGGCCTCCCGCTGTTGCGGCCTTCTTCTTGCTATTTCCACCGGAGATAGGGCCGGAGGTGGAAGAAGAACTAGTGGGGCCGGCAACTTTTGCCTTCTTCATTTTATGATAAAATCGAAACAATTTTTCGTCCGCGCTCACAAAAGGAAGAAAAGTGTCATCTAGTGACGGGTTATTTTTCTAGTTCTACTCGTAGATGCTGATGCACCAGGACGTCGACAAAAAACTCATTAATTTTGCAACAGAAGGAGCGAAAACAAAGAGATACGACAAAGCAGGCAAAGATACACAAAAAACCGAACAAGTGCCGTTCTTTTTCCATGAAGCAAGTGCACACTTGCTTTAAGTAGTTCAGGCCATTTGCAACGAGAAGCGATTTGCGTTTTGGTCGGGCTTTTAGGACTCTCAAATCGCTCTAGTCACGAACTTTGACTATATTTGAACGGAACGTCGACGCTCGAGGTTTGACGAGTGCGTTTTCAGTCGGTGGAAGTAGATATTTGCATGCTTCAAAAGATAAGGCCACTACATCTAACGCTTCGCGAAAATGAATGAAGACCGACGATGCGAGACGACTTCCAAGTGTGTCACGACTTGTTTTTGGTACGCAGCTCCGGGCACACACTCAAGGGAGCTACCACCACGACGAATGGACGCAGTCTGTCTTCATCGTGACGATGGCAAAACTCAGCTACTTCCGCTACTTACGACTGTTGAAATCAACATCGAACGGCGGTTGAGGTCGAGTATTTTAGATGACTTGACGCCTGTATATCACGCAACTTCTTGACCACACTAGCCCTAGCTCATCATAGTTTTGTTCTCTGTGCATTCTTACTACATGATGAAAGTGAAAAAATACTGAAAAAATCAACATAAGCAACAAGCATGTTCGACGAATCTTGGCCATACCTTTGTCGGTCATGCGATAATTGTAGACAATTGAAAAAGTTGTGTGTGCAACATGAGGATTTTTCGGTTCTTCCGTCTATGATGTCCCTTTATTGTTGCATCAGAAGATGATCAGCGTTTGTTTCTGTTCCTGTTGTCAGACCGTGGCCCTGAGGACAGCTTGTCGACGACAAAGTCACGTAAACACTTGTGCTCGACGCGTTGTAGACGCCACAGTCATCGATACAATAGCGTGCTCCATCATGATCTCGTGTTGCACCCCCCGGATCAAAATCAGCCGTAAAAAACCCGAAATCTTGTTCCTTGTTTCCGGCACAGCGGGCATTTCTGGTTCGGATCATTCTGTATGCATTGCTAAATTACTGATGTACTTACAGTACTAATAATTGCAATGAATCAAGATGCACGATAGATCTTGTGGTCGCAGCCTGCCAACGATAGCATGACAAATTTGATTTCTCATACTCATGCCAAACAAGAATGATACTTGATACAACTGTCGTGCAATTTTAATACTACCAGTACGAATTCTTTCACACGGCATATCCTGCTCTGCCTCCATCCGGTCGTCGCAATGCGCACACAGCGCCAGGTGTCGGCACTCCTTGAAAAGCACACAGGGACGGTCGGACAGGCAGGCGACGCACCGGAAGGTGTATATGGAATTCTCAAGCGTTACGAACTCAACTGCCACATTAATTTCTGATGCAAAAGCGCAAGGGGGGAGCTTGCAGTTGCATTTCTGGCATTACAAATGTGATGGCACCACAGATCTCCATGCTGTTTAAGCCCCCTTCGAGGATTTGTCATGCGAAGTAGTCATTGGTCGCGTCGATGCTGATGGTGCTTTTGCATCACAAATTCATGTAACAATTGAGAAGGCGACGTCATTTGACGATCCCATAGTGTAGGGATTGTTGTTGTAATTCTCCTCGTCGGCCAGGTTCATCGGGGACAGCGAACTAGTACCCACTTCAGCGCCGACCACACGCGACTGCAGATGATGTTGATGTTCTCGTCTTGAAGTTGTAACTTCACCACTGGCGGTAGTGGCCAATATTGCATCTTCGTCGTGTGTAGTAGTTGTTTCGCCTTGTTGTTCCCTCTCAGCTCCAATCTCGCCCTCCCGCGAAGAAGCGGGCGTCCGCTCCGAAACGTCGACAAACTCGCTATCTTGGTCCGCCAGAACCGCAGCTGCACCTCCATCCCGCCCCCCAGCCATCACCTCGATTTCCTCATACAGCACCTCGGTATCCTGTGCAAAAGTATCGTACTCGTAGTAATGTTGATCGCACTCATGCATTACAAATTTCCTTCTCAAGCTATATCCGCATCTTATGCTGAGGAAATTTGTATTACAAATTTCCTCAGCATAAGATTGCATTAAATGCAATCTATACTAGTACGATGCTGTTGCATTGCTTACTCGGATTGCTGCAACAGCATTCGGTGCGTCAGCTTCGCGACTTCCTGCTTCAAGTCGTCAATTTTCCTGTTGATTTCGTTTTTCCAGCCCCGGATCTCGGTATTGGGCTCGATCTCAATCGTGAGTTGTCTGTTATTGGTGGCAGACGTGCTGCCGTTTGGAGAAGAGGTTGAAGATCCTCCTCCGGTCAGCGGAATGAAGAGTTGGCCGTTGTAGTAGCTGACAGATGACGAGGAAGTGTTGCTTGTTGCGTTTTGTCCCCGCCCGGCGGTTGACGTTGTTGCGGCTGATGTTGTCGTAGCAGTGCCTGAAGTCGCAAGTCTCGCTCCCCCTCCAGTGCCCGCTCCAGCAGTCGCTGCGGAGGTCACCACGGCGGATGCGCTTGCCGCTCTGGCCCGACTACTTGCGTTCCCGGAAGAAGTGACAGACGTTCCTCCACTCTGCCGTTCCCACTGCAATTTCGCTTGGTCCCTATCAAATGCAAATATGTCTGGGTCTGGAAGATTGACGCGAGGTCTGTCATGCACATTTTGCATGACTTCTGATGTCTGTGATGCATGCCCTAGCATCGCAGATTTTGTGAGGGCTTCCTGTTTCCCATACCGCAGGAGAAATGCTCTCTCGCCGTGACAAAAACTGGACCGCTTTTGCTGTTCATGCAATACAGATTTTTGTAGAATCCAAGGTCAGCATCACAAGTTGCATCCTTCCAGACCCAGACATATTTGCATTTGGTATTCCCAGGCCTGCTGCAATTCGGTGGAAACCCGGGGTTTCACGAAGCGCAGACACCGGAAGCAACAGAAGTGGACCGCGTACAACACCGGCATGGTTAAAACCATGAATATCGAATGCAAATATGTCTGGGTCTGGAACAAAGCAACTTGTCATGCTAAATCTGACTCATGCAAAAATCTGTGTTGCATGATTACCAAAAGCTGTCCACTTTTGACCTAATCGGGAGGCAGTTTCTCATGTAGGATAGACATGATGGCACTCTCACAGAATCTGCAATGCTAGGTCCTACATGCCAGACCTCATGGGTCATGGAAAACCTGCATGACAAGTCTGGCATTCTTCCAGACACAGACATTTTTGCAGTTGATAATAAACACGATGAACAGATCCCCCTTGGCGCACAACACCGCGAAGGAACAGCCCGGGTGCGGGGGAGAAAACTCCCGGCGAAAGTCGTTTTCGATTGGCCCGTATGGATTCCAAAAGTATCGCACTCGTATAAATGCATTACAAATTTCCTCAGCATGAGAAATGAAATTTGTAATGCGGACTTACCTTAGTAAAGAGGTTTGTAATGCATGACTCCAAGAATACGAGTGCGATACTTTTGCACAGGATAGCCCGCCGCACTGCAACATGATTTCAGTCAGGAACTTCTGCAGATGGCGGCCGGGAAGGGTGGCCGGCGAGTAGAACTGGGAGACGCATTATGTATGAGAAAAAAATCCATCGCATGAATATCATCCATTTTTTGCATGACAAATACAGGGAATCTTGCGGCTTTCGCATGACAACTTGGATGTGCATGTGGATGGTTTTTTTTTCTGGCGATACGCATGCGGAGAAGAAGGACGACCAGACGATGAAGCCGACCTGAAAAACGGTGAGAATCATCTTCTTGTCGCGGTCCACCTCTAATCTTTTCGTGTTGAACAGGAACAGCAGATCTTGCACCAGGTCAGGACAAGGAGCGCGTATAGGATTCTGCTTCTGGATCTGGCCTAGGTACGTCTAACAAAAGCAATAGCCGCGGAGTACGGCTTGAACCCCGTGTCGTGGTCTCGTTGTCTGCACAAATGAATCTTGTTTCAGTTTCCAAAGTTCCAGAAAAATGTCGGAAGGCTGGCCGCTCAAGAAAAAACCTACTTTATTTCTCTCTGAGGTTGCTGGCAAAACAAAATTCATCACTACAACATCAACTCATTCAGGGAGAAGAAAATTGATCGATTTTGCCGTTCTGACATGCTCTCAAAATGGCTCACTGATGCGGTCGCCTGTGACGATCATATCTGTGCTACAGATATGCCGACCCTTTTTCTCTCTCACATTTTTCCTCGCTCGTCGTCCGTGTTCACCTCCTATGCCCCCGCTCGTCGCAATTTGCTAGTTTCAAAAGAGTTACTCCAGTTACACCTTACGTACCAGGAGAAACTGAAGGCATAATATTAGCACGAAGCCGTGTAGTCTAGTTTGTCCCAACAAGGAGTGCAGCGAAACTCATTCGTTCCTTAACTTCCTTATCCACATGCCCCGCAAAAAAAGTGACGTGGATTGACAGGAAAGAAACCAGAGCGAGCTCGTTCCCGTCAACGTGTCCACCCCACAGTTTCGCTTACGGATTGAAGAAAGACACGCGGAGTTTTAGTTTTTCGTACATCGCTGATTTTTCTAATAATGGTTTTGTCGTTTTTCGTTTTCGTGGCTGTACTAGGACTAGCAGATGTTCTACCTACTTGCTATGTAGCTAGCTGTGCCCTAAATGGGTACGTAATCGGAACGTCCATGGCGCCTCGATATAAAAAAAATTGTAGACCCGAAGGCCATCTGTGGTATTATTGCGCATGGTATATATCAAGACTGAGCTCCTTATTATTTTTCAAGTTGCGTATTTAGAGCAAAAAAAAGATGATGGGAATGATGGTTGATGAAGCTGAAGGCTTGTGAATGAGGTTGACGAAATAAAAAGTGTGGAGCTATTCGTACTCTAGCACTAGCAGTTCCAGGTCCAACATTCTGATATAAAATTGCAACAGCTACATATAGCTTCTTCAGTGAGTGGTCGTGGTGGTGGGCGACATCTACATTGCGTGGGTCTTCATGTACAGATGGAAGAAAGACCGAGACTCGGTCCCGGCTTTCTGGGTGGTAAAATGTTCCTGATATACGTATGTCGATGACTTCGGCTTCGCGCCAGCTTCAGTCGTTCTACTGTGCGGGCGCGATAGTGCCCTCATCGAGAAACGGCTCCAGAAGGTCCGGCACGTTCGTCCACTCTTGAGTCATGACTCGTGTGAAAGTTTCCGCAATTCCAGAGACCGTCAGCAACAGCTGGCCCGCTTCTGTCGTCATGGCAGCAAATCCATACCGATCTGGCTCAGGAACGACTTTCGCGAACAAATGCGCAAACTCGGCCTGCAGCGCTTGGAAAAACAACCCGCGCAAGGAATTCGCTCCCCAAGTACAGCTGCCTTCTTCACCCGATGCAATTGCGTCGTAGGTTTTCTTGATCTGGATGTCACCGCGACGACAGTAGTCCAGCAACCGGGCGCGTGCTTCCTCCCTCACTGCGTCTTGATCTTGAGTCTGCTGCGTTCGAAGAAGTTTCTCAAATTCCTGCATGTCCGCAGGTAGCGGAGCACTATCTTCAGAAGCTGTCGCTAGTTTCACGCGCCCCTGCAATAAAGTCAGAATCATCGCTATGCTTCCGGGCGCACAGGCCGCGAGGCCCCAGCCGTACTCGGTCACAGACTGGAGGAGCTGTTGGCAAAGAAGAAACACTGCATCATCGTGATTCATCCCGGATTTATCATCTTGAGCCTGCAGGACCAGGTATCGATACACGACCGAAAGCGCCTCGGGCCCGGTGCAAATCATTCCTCCGTAGTTTCTCGCAAGATCCGTCGTGTAGAAGCGAATCAGTGCGAAACGAATCATCTCCCCGATAGCTGCAGCGCTTCTGCCTTGAGCACGCGGAACGGTTCTTTTCAAACGATCAACAAAAAGCTCTTGGCCCAGTGCCGTCAGGACTTTTGATAAAAAAGCTTGCGGATCGAAGCCGGACTCCAAGCTGGTCGCCGAGGAAGCCTCGCTGTTGACATGTGGACTTTGCAACGCGGCTTTCGCCGCTTTCAAACAAGCCTTCAGATGCTCCGTCATGAAAGCTGTGTGCACATTCTGCGAATCGGTAGCTAGGCGGGCCATGGAATCCGGGTCGCTCGGTGCTTCCACGCCGAGGTTTTTCGGGCTTTGCGCGCCCCTGTGCAGAAGTTGCAGCATGGTCTTGTAGTCGTCTCGAAAGAAAAGCGTTAGAGTCGTCCCCGTGTGGCCTTCAGCTTCACGTTCGCAAAATAAATTGATATCCGGGCAGTGCGGATCCTCGTCAAAAACCGGTAGCAGAATAGAGGCTTTTCTCTCTTGCGCCATGTCCAAGTAAAGGTGGTGCGGTACGCGAAATCCACGCGCCACGAAACGAGACAGCAGACTGATTATCATCTGCTCGTCGCTCGTGTACCTCATCCACTGCGACAACGTCTGGCAGATAATCTTTTTCAGCACGAGCTCATTCAGATCGGGCGGACTTTGATCAATCTCGTCGAAGATCCGGAAAAAGTGATACTCCATCACGCTGCAGAACGGACGCTGGGGAACTTCGATAGCGATCCGCGAGCGAAGGAGCGCACGGTCCACATCTTGATGCTCGGCCGCGAGAGTCAGCTGGTAGACCTCGATCGGGACAGCTGCGCCACGAGCCACAAACGCACGAAGCAGATGATGGTCGAAGGCTAAAAAGCCTCTAGCACGGTAGGAGCCGTTTGCGGCGATGTCTTTCAGTGTCACACTCAGTACTTCCGCTGCACACTCTGGCGCTAAGCCCTGAGTGAGCAAGTCTGCGGCGTGTAGGCATAAGGGCCGGAACTGTTTGATCGGGTCGTGCTGTTGATCAAGCTTTGGGCTTTTCATCATGTCTCTCAACTCCTGCAGCTGCACCTGCTTGGTGATCCACTCCAGCAACTCCTGAATGAACTCCCCGTTGACCCGGACGCCTCGTGCTGAAAATTCGCTGATCACGTCCTCGAAGTGAAGCGCTAGGTGATCGTCCAAATGCGTTCGGTTGGCAAAGAAGAGGAGGGATGGGTCTCTGGCCGCAGGTATGCAATTAACCAAAAACGGTCTGCACTGCAGCGGATTGACCAAAATGGTGGATGGAATTTTGTTAAGGTCGGGCGGATGGGGATCGTTGTCGTAAATCTTCAGCAGTAACCGCCAACCGGCTAGGTCGCTGTCAAGCGCCGACTTTATACCATCCGTACAACGTCCGGTGCCATAAAGGCGAATATCGCAGATGCGGCGAAGCGATTCCGCGAGCACAAGGTAGATTGAATGCGAAACTTTCGTGCCGCGCCCCGAGAGTTCCGTCAAAAGTCCGTTTACATGATCTTGGCGGACCTGAGACCCCTTGTCTGCGTTGCGACCAGGACCACGAGGCTTTTCCTTACAAATTTTCGACACGCGCTCCTGATCATCGTCATCAACTGCTTGAAGAAATTTCTTCAGCGTTTCCGCACCTCCGATGATGCGTTGGTCGACAACATCTACATCACGCCGAGGACTACTGGCGGCCGATGTGGAAGGTGTCGCTGCGGTTGACATGTTTTCGACGAAAGATGAAGCTTCAGTGGTTTTCTCGTCAATTATAGATGTTGAGGCTACAACAAAATAAGTAGGCTAGTTGTGGCAAAAGGAGCCGCACGACGATGTGGCCAGATGAATCCAAACGTGCTGATCTCTATTTTCAATCAAAAGAAACGAATGCCTACCACGATGTCGCAAAAACTACCGGCCATTCGTCCTGTTCAATAACAGGTGCTAGGATGCCAGTAGTATCTCATAGATCAATAGAAAAAAAAAAAATTATATTAATGGGTATGGGTAATCAGCGTTGTGAAGGTGAAAAGTGATACCGTCTTCACAAAAACCGCGAGGTAGTTGCTTACTGTGAGTTTTTGGAAAAGTTTCGAACTCCATCTGGTGGACTTCGGTGCGATGGCCTGAAAAGTAGAAATACGAAATGAAAAAGTGATTGTGAAACACCTGCAAGTAGTACTAGGGATATCTCCACACATTGGTGTAGTACCTGCAGTAGGCGCGCTTTAAAGTGAAACACAGCTACAGCAAAATAATATTGACCAAGACCTTGTTGCGTTTCCATGGAGTCGTGAAGAGTTGCAAGATAATATTGCTGTCGATCGACCATGCGAGGTGGAGTCCATGACCATGCATAGTTGCTCACTTTCCACTGCAGCTCGTATCCAATCGTACACACCACGTGGCAAGCTGATCAAGCACCAACTACAAATGATCCCTTTGGGTCTACTCGACTGGTGCTAGAAGCCACGTCTTAGTCTCACTTCAGTTGAATGAAATGCTACCACGGATCGTGGGCGACGCAGGAATGTGATGTCCTCGCCTTGAGACTACAACTGCACCCATATCTATTCCACGCAAATGATCTCCAACTTCGCATAAGACGTCCGGCAGCCCTGCCATTGTTCATCATCAAGAAGAACTGTCGTGGTTCGGTTCACTGACAGTCATATACTCTGCGCGCACATCTTCGAGACAGATCTTCGACACGGACCTGCTAGTATCGAGATCGAAAATTAATTCCCTCAGTCGTTGACGCACTTAATGGCACTAAAAGTCGGCTCCTTCGCTCGAAGCGGTGAACAAGAGATACAGGGCACTACATTGGTCCCCCCAACTACCTTCATCTTTAGACTCGCCTTGTCCTCGTCATCACGCTCTTTTTTTATTTTATCTTTTTTTCATTGTTTTTCCAAAATAAAAATCTCATTTGTCGTGCGGTTTTTGTGTTCTTCTTCAAGTTGTAGACTTTCGGAGAACCGTTCATCGTCTTCAGAAAAACATAGTCATCGGTCGTATGCATCTATTTGTTTGTATTTCCTCCCCCGTGTGCGGTTCGAATTAAATCATACACGACGAGCGACATACACATAATAGTTTTTGTTTCATAGAGTTTAGTTCTTTTCTTTGGTTCTCAACACTTTTTCGGAAGGGTATCGACATCCGAGCGACTCTCTTTTGGACAGCGGACACGTGTTGAAATGAAAACCAAAACTCTATTTGGGCCTTGAACTGTGAGTTTTGTTTAGCAAGAAATACGGATTTTTGTTGTCTCGATATAAAAACGTAAAAAAAAAAAACGATCTCGAATAAAGTAACGCTACTTCAATTTTTTCTTCTGTTGTGCGTGACCTCCAGCGGCAGATGCCGCTGAGCGAGCTTTTTCCAATCGCTTTTCATCTCATGCAATTGTAGTTATTCGTGTTCCAAATCATGGCTATAAAATAAAAGAGTGCGAAAATATATAGCAAATCGATAAGTCTCTCTTTCATCTACATCAATTTTCAGGTATGTAAAGCGGAATAAATTACATTGCGGCTGGTGCTACGGAATGAGAATAGATATAGAGGTAAATCGACCAAGAACCAGCAGACTACCCGTTTCAATTTTGAGTTTGCGTCTGAGACGAGCAGTTAGTTACGTCAGAACATACATGAAGATTCTTATTTTTCACAGCATCAGCACTTCATCGACCCCGAGCAGATACTCGTGCAACAGCGCTCCTCGCTGACGCACCGACGGTACTATGCTGGTGCATATCTGGATCCTGTTCCGGAGACTGGCCCGAGGCGTTTCAAAAACCTGCGATGTTGATTTAAGCTTCAGCATAAATATGAATAAGTTACTCTTGCACGTCGAGTGCCGGTTCTTCTTCTTCGATACAGCGGCTCGGCGCTAAGTACCCGCTACTGTACATCTTCATCATGATGGTCATCTGCAAAGTTGGAGCTGCATGAAGAAATCTAATAAAATATATAAGAGTGCCGACCGATCGAGCGAATCTACATTCAGCAGTGCAGTAGTAGAAGTACTTACTTTGCTCCTCCCGAAAATCGAGAAAAGGCGCCAGGAGGTGAAGAAGAAGTTCCGCTTCCGGCCTGTGGTGCTCATGATTCTTCTTACAGTTGTTCTCCATCCGAGCGTTCAGCTTCAGCACATAATTTTATTAATTTTTCCGATCATCTTCACGAGCGGCGTTATCTGCAGCTCTCGCAGGACACAATAATTTCTTTCGCCCGCCCGCGAGCATCTTCCTTCGCCTCCACCGTGTGCTTTCTTCTACTACAATTTGGACTCTGGTCCGCCTGTAATTATTTTGTAAAGGGTGGCTTTCTTGACTGTTGTCGTTGAAATGCGGTCCTCATGTTCATCTCATCTGGATCTTCAGAAGCAATACTTCTTCACGATCAAAAACATAAGTACGATCGATCAAGCACACAAAAGGAAAAGCCTGCGATGTGAACTGCAGTATATACTTTGCTCGTCCTGTTCATCAAGAAATGGCTCCAGCAACTCCGGCACGTTCGTCCATTCTTGAGTCAGGGTTCTTGTGAATGTCTCCGCAATTCCAGTGACCGTCTGCAACAGCTGTCCAGCATCTGTTGTCATGGCAGCGAACCCATCCTCATCCGGTTCAGGAACTACTTTTGCAAACAAATGCGCGAACTCCGCCTGTAACGCTTGGAAAAACAAACCGCGAAGGGAATTCACTCCCCAAGTGCAGCTGCCCTCTTCACCTGATGCTATTGCGTCGTAGATTTTCTTGATCTGGATGTCACCGCGATGACAGTATTCCAGCAGCCGGGCGCGTGCTTCTTCTTTCACTGAGCTTTGATCTTGAATTTGCTGCGTCAGGAGAAGTTTCTCGAATTCCTGCATGTCCGCAGGCAGCGGGGCGGAATCTTCAGAAGCTTCTGCTAGGTTCACTCGTGCCTGTAATAGAGTCAGAATCATCGCGATGCTTCCGGGCCCACAGGCCGGAAGGTCCCAGCCGTACTCTGAGGCGGACTGAAGGAGTTGCTGGCACAGGAGAAAAACTGCGTCGTCGTGATTCATCTCGGAGTTATCATCTTGACCGTGCAAGACCAGATATTGATACACGACCGAAAGCGCCTCCGGCCCGGTGCAAATCATTCCTCCGTAGGTTCTCGCAAGAGTCGTGTAGAAGCGATCCACGGCACCACGAATCGATTCCCTGATTTGTGCCATGCTCCTGCCCTGGGCACGTGGAACGGTTCTCGTCAAACGATCAACAACAAGGTCGTGGCGCAGTGCCGTCGTCACCTTTGATAAAAAAGCTTCCTTATCTAAGGCGGACTCGCTGCTGGCCCCCGAAGAAGTCTTGCTGGAGTTGACGTGTTGACTTTGCAAAGCGGCTTTCGCCGCTTTCAAACAAGTCTTCAAATGCTCTGTCATGAAAGCCGTGTGCACATTCTGCGAATCTTCTGCCAGTCGGGCCATAGAACCTGGTTCATTCCGTGCTCGCAGGCCGAGATCTTTCGGGCAGCGCGCACCCCTCTGCAGAAGTTGCAGCATGGTGTCGTAGTCGTCGCGAAAGAAATGCGCCAGAGTGGAGGTCGTCCCATACTCGTCGTCTACTGCAGTGATGTCCGGGTAGTGCGGATTCTCGTCGAAAACCGGCAGCAGAATAGAGGCTTTTCTCTCTTGCGCCATGCCCAGGTAAAGGTGGTGCGGTACGCGAAATCCACGCGCCACGAAGCGAGACAGCAGACTGATTATCATCTGCTCGTCGTCCTCGCCTCTGCAGAAGCAGCGCAGCCACGCACGCAATATCATGCAGATCGACTTGCTCAGCACGGGCTCATTCAGATCAGGCGGACTTGGATCAATCTCATCGAAGATCCGAACGAAGTGATACTCCATCACACTGTAGAACGGACGCTCGGGAACTTCGATAGCGATCCGCGAGAAAAGCTGGTTACCATCTTGACCCTCTGCGTCGAGAATCGTCTGGTAGAGCCCGATCGGGACAGCTGCGCCACGAGCCACAAACGCACGAAGCAGATGCTGGTCGAAGGCCAAAAACTCTGGAGCATGGTAGGGGACGTCTTTCACTGCCGCACTCAGTACTTCCGCTGCACGCTCTGGCGCTAAGCCCTTTGTCAGCAAGTCCGCGGTGTGCAGGCACAACCGCCGGACCTCTTTAACCGGATCGCGCTGTTGTTGTTGATCAAGCGTTGGGTTTTTCATCATGTCTTTCAGCTCCTGGTCGGTAATCATGTTCATCAACACCTTAAGGAACTTCGCGGTGATCCGGACGCCTCGTGCTGAAAATTCGTTGATCACGTCTTCGAAGCGAAGCCCGAGGTGATCGTCCAAATACGATCGGCTGACAAAGCGGCCGCGTCTCGGTTGCCAAATCGCAGATATGCAATTAACCATAAACGGTCTGCAGGGCACACTCTCGGTGGATGGAATTTTGTTAAGGTCAGGCGGATGGGGATCGTTGTCGTAAATCTTCAGCAGCAACCGCCAGCCCGCTAGTTCGCTGTCAAGCGCCGACGTTACACACATAAAATCTCTCCTGCCAGCATAATCGCGATCACGGTAGATGCTGGAAAGCAATTCCGCAAGCACAAAGTAAATTGAATGAGGAACATGCGTACCGCGCTTCGAAAGTTCCGTCAAAAGTCCGTTTACGTGATCTTGGCGGACATGAAGCCACCGGTTGTGCAGTAGGTCCCCCTTTCTCGGACAAGAAATTTCCCGCACGCGCTTCCACTCATCCTCACGAACTGCACGAAGAAACTCCTCTAGCGTTTCCGCACCTCCGATGACGCGCTCGTCCACTTCTTCTTCTCCTTCACGCCGAGGACTACTTCCGGCTGACGTCGAGGGCGTCGCGCTCGACATGGTTTTTGCACTAAGTACTCTGCTTGCTGCTGCTGGTGGTTAAGGGGCTTTGTCCAGCGACCTCGGTTTGATTTAGCTGTAGCCGGTGCCGGCAACGGTCGATAAGAAACGCAAGAGCGTCCTCCAGGTGGAACTCGTCTATGTCTATTATTGACACCACAGATGATTGAATATGTTTCTTTTACTGCAAGTCCAACCAACACGGAAAAAATGTAAACGAAATAAATAAATGATGAACCACCACAAGCACAAGCTCCTAGACCAATTCCGTCGCTTCTGATGTCGGTAAGCACGGGCTTCTTCGCAAAAAATATTGGTACGCAGCAATTCAATGAATGCGATTGACTGAACTTGAAGACACAGAGAACCAATTCTATACATAATCTTGCTTTCGTTTTTCTTTTTATTTTTATCTACTATGCCATGAATTTCACAAGATCTTGATCGGAACATTCTCTTCGAGAAGAACTAAGGGCATCGGAAAAGTCAAAACCTGTAGAAGGCAAGATCAACACGTATGATCAGCTTCAAAATTTCTAGATCGTCCTGACTTTTCTGTACCAAGTCGCCACAGCAGCACCGCCGGAGAAAGAACTTCGGTTCGTGTGAACGAGGATCATCCCTTACAGGAAGAATGCAACATCCCGAATAAATTTCGTCCAAATAAGACGATTTTACATTCTGTATTGCTGCAGCGTTCTTGGTACTACTTTTCGAGTTGGAAGTAGTGGGGATCTGAAGAGGACCATGGGCACTACGATTCCACGTAGTTTCAGCATCCTGATCCAGATCAGCGTTAATCCAGATCGGCGTAGGTATCACAGTTCCAGATCTTCTCAATGCTCATCGCGAGCGAAACCGTACGAGACGCAGCCGCTTCGGTTAGATCTGAAACTAGTACTTGTTCTACTCGCAACACTACACAAACACGCCGGCGTAGCCTTCAGTAGATAGGAGGACAGTGCCACGCGTATTAGTCTCAAAGTCAAGAAAAAATTCTGAAGATTCGCCGGTAACCGTCATTTCTTCAATACTCCCACGGCGCCATTCCGAGCATTTTTAGTGGATCGTATTTCCTGCGAACCATCCCGACGCTTTCTAAATTCATTTCCCCAAATCTTTTCTTCACACAAGCTTTCGCCAACGGGTACAAATCTTGTTCGAAAAACCGCGGCATCTTGCCCCAATGCACCACCCCATTATACCGGAGGCACAAAGCGAGGTGCTGTCCCGCGTAGTAGTTGAAGTAGTTTTCGATATCGGCTAACGTTCTCGACTATCAAACGCAAATATGGTTGGGTCTGGAAACTTGTGATGCTAATTTATGTCATAAATTCGCAAATATGGTTGGAGTGTCCTCGCAATTCATAATATGAATTGCGAGGACACTCCAATAGGCAGCCACGCATGACAAGTTTCTGGGCTCCTTTGTGTTTCGCTTTCCGCATGACAAACTACATTTTTGCATGACAGGCAAGAGGCTCTTTATTTCCTGTCAAGTGCATTACAGGTTCAAGTCAAGAGTCATGTGAGACAAGCATGACAAACTTGCAATCTTCCAGACCCAGACAGACTTGCATTTGATATCGAGGACGTCTCCTGGTTGGATGAATCTGATTGCATTTTTACCGCATGGTGGTCCTCCGATGAAGATTCGGATTCGGATCCCGCCGGTGCTGGAGTTGCTGTAACTGCATCTGGCGAAGGTGTCACCCGGTACATGATCACGCCAATCCACGTGAAGATATCGCTGTCCTTCTCGCTGTAGCACGGGGACAGGTAGCTCTTCGACGCTTTGGTCCACCTCTGTTCGATTGGGGACGGCGCGGCGATTTCCTGCCGCTCCACCTTTTCCAGTATGGGACTCTCAAACATTACACTCTCAGCTGTTACATGACTTTGTCATGCAAAATTGGCACGACCAGCATCTACATCTACATAACCAAGCTGCTTCGCATGACACGTTCTTGACGCGCTAGATACCATGACAAAGACAATCGGCCCCAAACCTGTAATGCAAAAGGCGCAATCTTTTCCCCTTCACTTTTGCCATTCTTGCATTACAAATTTCATGTAACAGTTGAGAATGTAACGTCTGCGAACGCCATATCCAGCAGTTCCAGCATGTAGTGGAGATCGTTGTCCAGACTGTGCTCCGGCCGGGAGAAACTGGTCATGGGGGAGTTGAAGTCTTTGTCGTTCACTTTGAAACAAATCTCCATGACGTGCTGCGATCCTCCGCACTGGAAACCGAGGATGTCTTTGGAGTCTGCTTGTCTCTGAAGGGCTTTGCAATTGAAAGTGTTGGCTCCTTTGGCTGACGTCGTGCTAGATCTGGAGGCGGATGAAGATGAAGAAGAATTTCTTATCGTCGCCGCCGTGTCCATGTTCCAATGAAAATGAGAAGACCTCGGGTCGAAATCAGAGAATAGGGCGTCTTGTTGAGCGCCGGACCTTGCAGACCGATTCCTCAGCGATAGCGAATTTCTGTTGTTGCTTGTTTTCGACAACGGCTCACCGTAGAAATGATACCCACCGCCTCCGACGTCCTGGCTCTTCAATTCCTCCGTAAACCGTTTTCCCCTTTTCTGCACCAAATTCCGCCAAAACTGTGCTTCTTTTTGGTATCACAGGAAAAAGCGTTAACGTTAACGGAATTTGTAATGCAGGACCGCATTAGAAAGGGAGCCTAAATTTGTATTGCATGCCGTGCATTCTAGGAAAAATCTGTCGTGCATAGCTGCAACCTCTGGAAACCGTTAATGTATAGCACCTTTTTGTTTGATATCTGGTTCACCTCCTTCACGGTTGCTGTGTCTAAAGCACCGATCGTGTTGGTTTTTTCGTTCAGTTTATGAACTGCAAAAGTATCGTATTCGTATAAATGCATTACAAATCTCGTCCTCAGCATTAGAAATAAAATTTGTAATGCGGATTTGCCTTGCCCTTGAAAACAAGATTTGTAATGCAAGACTTGCATTTGTACGAGTGCGATACTTTTGCACAGGATACAGTTTTGTCAGATACGACTCCCTTTCTGGCGCGAAGGAAGATTCCTCTGCGTCGTCTTCTTCACTGTCAGGTTGCATTTTTTCCAGTGACCTCGCAGTCGATATATTGGAGCCAGAACTTGAAGTATTCCCCAGCACTGGATCACACACCGTGACCACCACGTCTTCTGTCCAGGGGATCCAGTGGTACCTGACGTGCCGGTATCCTGTGCAAAAGTTTCGTACCCGTACTACTTGCAGGCATGCATGACAAATTTTCTTTCCAGCAAGGTAAAACAGAGTGACAAATTCAATTTTTCACGCTGAGAAAATCTGTATATGCAATTTGTACTAGTACGATGCTCTTGCAATTCATAGCCGGTGTCTCCTGATCCGCTCCCGGTGCCCGTTCACCACTTCTTTCCTGGTCAAAACGTAGATTGACTCTTTCAGCTGAAATTTCGGCACCACCTTCAGCGTCAGGGAGGAAACCACGCCGAACAAACCCAGGCCGCAGCGCAGATGGTAGAAATCCTCGAGTTTGGACGCGAGTTGAGAAGACGAGGAAGAAAGTGCAGTAGTAGTGGATCCGGCCGTTGCATTACTAGAGGATGTAGCTTTTGAAAGTTCTCCCTCCAGCTGTTTCTTGTCCAATTTCACGACCCCGTGACTGCTCGGCGTGACGACCTCAATACCAACCACCATGTCATCTACCGTTGAATCGTACACCCCCGTTCCGTGCGCTCCAACCTGCGTCCACCCTGCGATGGTTTGGTCGGTGACAGAGGAGAAGTTCGAGAGAGTCAAATTCTGCTCATCCAAAGTTTCCAACACCTCCTGCACCGTGCAGCCCGCACCAACAGTGATGGTCATGTTTTCCTTGTCGATTTTGATGTCCCGAAGTTTTTCGCAGGACAACATTTGAGCAGCGGGTGCTGTTGTTGTTGAAGGGGAGTTTGTATTGCTGGATGTGAAATCATTTTCATCCGCTTTGATGTTCTTCAGTATTTCCTCCTCCTCCACAGCGATCAATCCTGCTCCGTTCGGACTCAAACACGCACCTAGAGGTCGGAGGAAATTCTGCCGCGGGATGGCATCCGCGAGGTTCGTGATTGTCGTGCCACTTTGATGACTTCTGCGGTACGACGGAGAGTACAGTCTTTGGCTCAGCAGTTCCTGCTTTCTTTTCTCCATAAATGTCGCCAAATCCTCTGTATCTTCCACAACAACCGTCTCGGCATTCTTGCCGGATTTCCTGGTACCTGACCAGTTGACCACTTCCCCCTTCCGGATTTCCTCACAAGAAACCGCGGTCGTGGCGCCGGTGAGCCGGAGGGCGGTTTGCGGGAGGTGACGAAAAGTGGACGTGAAGAAGAAGGACATGATCGTGATTTTTGATGTGCTGTTGCACAACTAGCTACGGGGGCCGATAATTGGAGGCGGAGTCAGTTCCAACAGCTGAATAAGTGAAAATAAGCCAACAGGAGCTACATATACTCCGGAAAGGTTTAAGCTTCTACTCAGTGCATTCACTTCGCAGCGCCGTTCTGCTTTTTCATGTTGTAAAATCGTGATGCACTACTAGTTCTAGCACTTGATCCGGCAGTCACCAATTGCCGAGGGTAGCTGCGAGGACGCAGATCTAATTACGATTACTCCTCTGGAGTTCTACGTAGGCCTAGTAATTTTGTGGATTGTTTCTGCATCACGATGTCATGAGGACTCTGAGTTGTTCAAACGAAGAAGAAGAACTACCTGGACCTCTATGAAGTTCAACATTCAATGCTGTCTACTCGTCGTCGTGAATTTGTAGGTAAAGTGCTACACTTTCATCTCATAAGACCAAACGAACGGTCTTCTTGATACCGAAACAAATCCTACCGATTATGACAAGAACCGAATCACTGCTGACTGCGATTTTTACTTGCGCTTAAACATCATTAGGGCAGAACAAAGTAAAGGAACACCAGTAGGCCACTTGCATGGTGACACAACTGAACGGGGTGCCAGTCGGAGTTTGTTATTCTCTAGCTGGGCAACTTCTTCATTTTGATTTACTCCGTACTGAAGTCGATCCACCTACGAAAAAATAGCTGAGGACTTGACAAAGCAGAAGTCAGACATCAACAACATCTTCATCGCTATTAGTGTTCATTTGTATACCGAAAAAACTCGACAATGAGGAACTTCACCTCAGGTCTTAGTCTTTCTCTTGAAAAGGAATTCCTCTAAATCGGAAACGAATTTGTCAACATAGTGTTCGTCGAAACAGACAGCACGGGCTTCTTTGGTTCTACAGAAGAATCAGCTGCAAGAAAGGCACTTTGCTCCATGTGTGTGTAATGACCTCAGAAATTATGAAGCCCAGCAGCGTGGTTGCCAAACCCGCCGTCCTCACTCTTCATCCTCTTCCTCTTCCTGCGAGCCCTGCTTCCGCTTGGCTTTCTTTCTGTTCTTATGCCGATCTCTGTCCGAACGCTTGTGATTTTTCCTTCTTCCTCCACCGCCCCCGCGTTCATCGGACCGTTTCGACGAGTGGCCGCTTCGTGACGAGGCTGATCGTGATCTTGATGTGGAGCGCGAGCTTCCCCGACTAGACGTGATTTCGTTATGAGCCTCAGCATCTTGTTCGAACAAATCTTCACCCTCTACAACTTCCCCGTCCCCAGATGTGCTGCCCGACCGGTGTCTTCTCGAAGGAGGTGCAGTCTTGATGTGTTTCTTCTTCCTATCACCTCTCCGGCCACTTCGATCCTTGTCTTTATCGTCCCTGTTTGTACTTCTTCGTCGTGGTCTCCTTTGCGACACCGAGCTTCCGCTCGTTCCCCCGGATCTGTGTCTCCTTCTGCGCCTACTTGCGGCACGACTACTAGCACTGGTTCGGTTGTAACTCTTGTTCCGGAACTTATTCTTTCGATTTTGACCACTTTGACGACCTTGCTGGAGTTGATGTTCTTGGCCGTGCTTTCGCTTCTTCAGCGCGGAGTTTTTACTGGAAGAAGGCGCTTTCTTTGAAGTAGAGTTTGTTTGCGCAGAAAATTTCAAGCCGTCATCACCTCCTTCGTCCTCCTCATTCCCGCCAAACAGTAAGTCTACTGTTATGCAGAGAGAACTTCCCGCACACGACGTGGTCACGTACAAAAACTAAAACAGATGCGGCTTCTTTCGTTCGTTGTGGATCGGCTCTGCCGACCGGGTAACCCATCGCCTCGCATACAAAAAGCATGACCAAAGGCTTCTGCATGACAAAAGTTCCTTTCAATTCTATTCAGCATGACAAGTGACATCCTCGAAGTTGACAAAATTTGTCATGCATTCTGTACGTCGTATATGGGAAATTTGTATTGCTATCGCATACCCATCCCGTCCATTAAACTCGGTTCCTTCACTACGCCATGCTCGATGAGTTTCCGCTCTTCATCCCCAAAGCTACTCGCGGGCGACCGGAAATCCTGGGTGGAGAGGCGTTGCGGGGGGAGCTGTTGTTGAAGAAATTCCTGCTGCTGCTGCTGATTTTGTTGTTGACTTAACAGATTCGACGAAGAACTATTGAAGGAAGATTTTGTCCGAGTTAAAGTGGGTTTATTCATCGATCTTCCACCGTCGCTGTCGCTGTCACCGCGTTTCGTACCTCTCCGACTGCCATCGTCCGTTTCGTCCTCATACGAAGTTGAAGAGCCCGAACTTGTTCTCGAAGAACTGCGATGCTTTCTGTTCTTTCTCCTGTGCTGTCGCTTTTCCGTTTTCTCGCGTTTTTTCCGCTTTGATGAAGACGATGAACAAGCTTTATTCGGTAGCTTTGATCGTGAAGAAGTGGTTGTCGAAGTCGACACAGCTGGTCCAGACGTAGACGCAGCCGACGCCATCATCAATCTTCCACTGTTCAAGGCCATGCTGTCCCTTTTCAGCATCCTCGCCTGCAGCTCGGCCTCGTCGAAGATATTAAATCCGTCCATGGAGCCGCTCCCGCTCCCGCTCTCCTGGTCGTAATTATCCGGTAGAATACTGTGATGTCGCTCCGCAAAGGAGACGGTGCGTGGGGTTGGGATTTTTACATTCATACTCTGACCCTGGCCACTGTTTCTGCTACTGAAATCGTTCGCAACCAACATCTCGTTTTCCTGCTGCTGACCAAGATTCGTGTTGAAATGAGTGTTGCTTGCCAACAGTGTCTGGCTCGACCAGGTCCGCTGTGGCGGCGGTGGTTGCGCATGCGCCGGAGGGTGCATCTTCACCGAAGGCGCAGATTGGTGTTGCTGCTGCCGCTGTTGCGGTTGGTTCGTCCTACTGGAAGTCGTGAATGTCGTGTAGCTTTTTGTGAAAGGGAGATGATCCTGGTTCTGTCTATAACTTTCCACATTTTTCACAAAATTGCTCGCATTGAAATCTAGCTGGACGGGGGACGGGGGCTGCATGTTAGTCGCGCAGCTTTCCTCATCCACAATGTAGTATGGCTTGCACCAGTCGACGTCTTCACCTATAGGCATGTGTGGAAATCTTCACTCGGTTTCAGTTTGTTATGCTCCGAAAGCAATACCGTTCAACTTTGTCATGCAAAACAAGAAGGACAACCAATCAACACAAACACGATCATGACTTTACCGTAGAACCCCCGCACGCGATGGCTTCCAATCATCGATGTCAATAAGCTTTCCTGTTCCTGCGGTTCAGCTCCAAACATTGTCGGTTGGTTCAGCGTTCGCGCAGTTGTACTACCCGGTCCTGACAACCGTTTCTGCTGCTGTCCGGAGAAAAGTGAAGCCGCGGCACCGGTTGTTAGAGGTGATGGAGTTGATGTGGCCACCGAGTTTCGAACCGTGGAGCCCAGATCTCGATGGAAGCCCGCTGCAGCACTGGATCGACCACCATTGCCGTGCGCAGAATAAGTGGCGCCTGCAGTAGAGGCACCAAAAGGTGACGGCATCACCGGTCGGCCACTTTTGTCGTAGAGGAAGCTGGTTTCCTCTTCATTTGGTAAAGCTACCTCGCTCTGCCGCTGGTCATAATTTTGTATGTCACCAAAATCGCCGGTGATCATTTCATCGTCCTCCATGCCCGGCATAGCGGCTGGGATGACAGATCCGCGGAAAGACGGAGGCTTTACAGAACTCCTGCTTACTGCACTGCCCGGATGAATTTGTTCTCCCGGCAGGTGGGCGACAGAAGACGGAATTGACACGCCGCTCCCCCTACAACCAGCTCCAGCATTCACGACGCTCGCCGTATCAAACGTAAAAGTGTCTGGGTCTGGAAGAGTGCGCGATTTGTAATGCAGCTTTTCCATGACCCATGAGGTCTGGAATGGAGGGCCCAGCATGACAGATTCTGGGCGACCTTTCTCATGCCTATCCTGCATGAGAAACTGCCTCCCGACTTGGTCAAAACTCGACGGCTTTTGGTAATCATGCAACACAGATTTTTGCACGCTGCAGATTTAGCATGACAAGTTGCATTCTTCCAGACCCAGACATTTTTACATTTGATACGCCTTCCCAGCAATCGACTGCTCCAGTGCGTTGCTGATCGCGGAGACCGTTCTCTGCACCGTCTCCGCAAAGAATTCTTTGGAGGAAAGCTTTTTGCTGTTCTTGTTGTTGCTTTCAGCTCCTGCAGCACTTCTTCTACTAGAAGACGGACGGACGACCAGCATCCCCTCCACGACTTCAGTCCCCGGCGTGGTCGCGGCGGGACTGGTGTGAGATGCGGTCCTTGGAGTCGTCGCAGTGGTGGACCTACGGGATGATCTGCTGGAAGAAACAGTTGAAATTTTGTTCACACTTTTACAACTTGCTCCGGACGATCTGCTGGTCTTCTGTGGTCTCGCGGTAGTAGGAGCTGCAGCTGCGACCTCTACTTCGACAAAACGGCCTTTGCTGTCGCGTACATACAGAGTGTTTTCGTCGACGACGCTGCCATCTGCTTCCAATTGCTCCTGTACCGTGAGATCGCCAGCATCCTCCAGCATGGTAGAATCGTGCTCCTGTTCGAAACTCTCTTGCTGCGCTACTTCCGAACTGCTAGCATCTTCACTGCCTGCTGATTCACCACCGTGATCATCGTTTCTTGTTAGCCTCCCACTGTATTTCGAATACCGCTCCGACACTGTAGCTTTTTTCGAAGCTGCTGATCGTCGCCCAGCCGCGTTCTGCATTGTGGTTGCAGGTGCAACCGCGCTTTCTTTCCTCGATAAAACCCTCGCGTTGGAAGTAGATGTGTTAGGTCGTGATTGACTCGTCTTTGCTACACTTTTCATTTTTGATGAGCGCTGTTGCGATGCTCCGGATCGTCTTTCTTGCTCTGTTCTCATATGATCCGAATCTCGGCCGGCGGCAGTGGAGTACCGACTGCTTGTCTTCTTCAATCCCGCGGCAGACGGCCTAGCTGATGTCTGCTCGTAGTCCCTCTCTCGTGAGGGTCTACTCGCGGAGGAAGATGATCCACGTCTAGTTGCTGTTTGTTCCAGTAGTTCAGCTTGAGCTCCTCTTGAACCTGGCCGGGACCCGGATCTCCTCGTGCTGGTCCTCATACTTTTCGGATCGTTATTCTGCAAAAGCAAATGATCCTTGCTCCTCGTCCTCGATGATGCAACAACTCCCTTCGGCGCCGGAGAACTCAACACACTCGGATCTACCAGGTCCCGGCTGATGGAGGAGAGCAAGTGGTCCGGGCGGCCGGGGGTGGGGAAGGTCGCGCCCCGGGTCATGTAGTGCACCGGGGTGGACGGGGACGAGGGGCTGGCGAGGGCAGCTGCCATGGGAGGCTGCGGTTGGTTTTTGTCCTTGCGGTTGAATACTTTAGAGAAGTCACACCATGTTGAGAGAATGCGTCATGAAGTGTCCGTACTATACGTTGAAAAGTTCTTTGAGGAAAAGCTCTTGTCTATTCCTTTCTTGCTAAGGCTCTTTTTGGCACCAATACCGAAACAGGAGGTAACTACGTTATTATATCACAGGCACCTGGTACCTACTTACACACGTGTGAGCAAGAACAATTTGACTCAAAGATAGAAATTCTACATCACGACGCTGCAGAAATTACGGAGTGACTCTGTAGAAGATACCTCGCTGCAGCTTCATCTTCAAAATGGAAGTATCTTCATGTGCAGCACGACTACTCGCATTCACAGTTCCTACCTACTACACTACAGCACGATGCCGCTCCAAGCTGTGCTCTTCTCAAAAAGACAATCTGCGCGTGGCCGCGTCAAAATACGTCGCACATGTGAAGAACATCATGTCGAACGTTTCATCTGGAGGACTGATCTTTCGCGACTCAACATCTTTCTGCACTTCATAACGGTCGTGCTCCGGGGGATCAACAAAGAGCTGTGCCGTACTTCAAGAACTTCTTCTTCGTGTTCGTTCAAAGGATTTAACCGTGTTCAGGTACAAAATCGGAGTTGTTTGTTTTATCCATAGCCATACATAGCATGCGAAGAGGAACAAAAAACCTCATCTGCTGCACAACTGCATCACACCTTCGCCGCTTCGCCTCCTCCACTGGAATTCATCAAAACATCCTCTCCGCTCGTCACCGTACTGACCACCGGCGTCGTCGTTGCCGTCGTGGTGCCGCTATTCGGAGCCGCCGCAGTTCCGCCAGCCCCAGCAGCGCTGGGCGCAGTTTGTGCTTGTGCAGCAACTCCTCCTCCACCCGCAGTTCCCATGACCGACGCTTGTAGTTGTGGTGGATCGATCTGGAAGAATTTGTACATGACGGGCAGCAGCGATTTGCACTGCGAGTCCGGCGGCATGGTCGCGATAAACCGACGGAACACGTTTTGAACGTACTCCATCTCCTTTGTAGGGGTCAAATACAATCCTTGAATCTGCCGGAACTTCTTCTTGTTCTCTATGATTTCGCTGTATTGCTCCTGGATTTTGTTTCTCTGGTCGACAAGCTTTTTATCCAACAACTCTACCTGCTGCTTCAACTGCGAGATGTCACTGTTCGCCTGCTCCGGGTGCAGGGTGTACGCCTGGATCGGCAGGCGATTCAGCAGCTTCTTCTTCCGGTTGGTAAGCAGCGTGTGGTTTTGGTACAGGCCGGATTCGCGGATGTCGGTGATGGTTTTCATGGATTGCCGGTCCCCGATGGAGGAGTTGTGCCCAGCGGAATTGGAGTTGTTGTCTGTCGTAGGTAGAGCGTGTTTTAGATAAATATCGCAAAAAAAAAATTACAAACTTCTTGTGATGCAACACACCGACCCCAGTGTCTTTCTCTTGCTACACATTCAAAAATGCCGTTCCCTGCGGGGATCGAACCCGCGCCCACCCCCGAGGTTCATTTTCGAATTGCAGTCGAATAAAGTGATGGGGGCGCTCTACCACTGAGCTAAGGGAACTATTGATATGCCCGCGTAAGCCAAAGAAAGGGTCGCCAGAATTGCTGTGCTAAACACAGACACTCGGGCAAAAACAACACCTCCTCGCTCTGTTATTACGCTGAAAAGCATGCAATGCTCTTCGGTAGGTCCATAGAAACACATGGCAGCAGTAATTCAACGTACTTCTTGTGCAAAAATCACAACAAAGAGCGTTCCCTGCGGGGATCGAACCCGCGCCCACCCCCGAAGTTGCTTTTCAATCGAAAGTTGAATCAAGTGATGGGGGCGCTCTGCCACTGAGCTAAGGGAACTTGTGATACATCTGCGCAAGCCAAAGAGAGGGTCACCAGAATTGCTGTGCTAAACACAGACATTCGGGCAAAACAACAACTCGCATGATTCTATTTACGCTGAAAAGCAATGCTCTGAGGCAGGCTCTTGAAAACACATGGCACCAGTAGTTCAAGGCACTTGTATTTGTTCTGTGGAAACAAGATCGCAGCAAAAAGCGCTCCCTGTGGGGATCGAACCCGCGCCCACGACCCCCGGGGACTTTGCAATTTCTTATAGTTGAAACAGGGGGTGGAGCAGGCGCCCTAGTACCACTGAGCGAAGGGAACCACTGCAACATCCGGAAAGCGGAGGAGAGGGTCTCCAGAATCGCTGAGAAAAAAATGCGCGTTCCGGGATTCGGACCCGGACCTCTCAGTCACGGTCGGCGCCGACCGGCAGTCGGGTGGCCATTCAGAGCACCAGCCCACACTGCTGCTGACCTCTCTCAAGCATCGCAGCGCCGGTGCTGGACGATGCTTGGTCTCTTTCAGTGCCTGCAGACACACACACCACATGGCAAGATCGGCCCGGTAGAGATATGTGGGTGGAGAGAGCTCGACCGAGCGCACTTCCAGTTGTGCTAGCCGCGCGATTGAAATATGGACGGCGCAATCGTAACAGGGTCACCAGAATTGGTCCGCTAAATACAGGCACTCGGGCAAAAAAGGGCATCCGTTTGTTATTGAAAACCCGCAATAGCGAACGCGAAGCGCGAGTTACCAGTTTTCAAATAATATTTCAAAGTCATCTCCGTAATTACATTCCCCGACGCCTATTAATTATGTGGACAGACAATAAAGAAGAATAATTTTTTTACCTTCCATATCCTCATTCAGCCCCTCTCCCCGTCCAGCGGAGCTCCCCAGATCATCGTCCCCGTCAAAATCGGAATCAAACTGCTCTTCAGCGAGGTAATTCCTTTCTTCCTGCTCTCGAACTTCCCCGCGCAGCGCCTGCACCGCCAACTCTAACGGTGGGATCAAATCCTCCCGGAGCCTGGTGACTTCCCGTTTTTTTTTCTCCTCATCCATCAGTTCCGTCGAGATCATGCCGTTCGAACCACTGCTCCCCGTCCCGCCCTTCGCGGTGGCCTTGTGCAATTGGAACTCCTCGTTTTGGATGTCGAACTTTAATTTTTCTAAAATCCTATCCTGCTCTTGCTCCTCGGACTCCTTTATCGATTTTTCGTCGAGTAAGTGCTGCTGCTGGTCCACGTTTTCCTCCTTCCGTTTGACTTCCTGCTCTTTCTCGATCTCGAGTAATTCTAGATCGTACCGGAGCCGGGTTTGCTGCTTTTCCTGCTCTTCGAGCGCGGTGCCTGGAGTAAGGGTGATGTTGTGTGTTTATTTCTCTAAACGGCGGAGGTTCTTTCTTGCACCCATCAACTACATGCTGCGAATCTTCATCGCATTCACAAACACAAGCATATCAAAGGAGCAACAAATCGAGTCATATTAAGATGATCAGCGTACAATTTTGATAAAATCATACGGAGGCTCGAGTTGATCTGCAGTGCTGTCGCGGTCGTTTGCCGGAACTGCAGGAATTCCGCCTGTCAAATGCAAAAATGTCTGGGTCTGAAAGGTTGGAAATTGTGATGCGAACTCTGAACTCTAAAAAAATCTGTATTGCATGATCAGCAAGAGGAGTCTGATTTGTGCTACATTTCATTTCATTGAGACGAACCCCCTGTGGTCGTCCTCACGGTGTCGTCTTGGCCCTAGGCTGTTTCGGACAGATGTTGGCTGTGTCCGGCAAGAGGACGGCTCTGCATGGGCAAATGTTGGTAATGTCCAGCAAGAGCTCTTCCGTGGCCCCATTTTCTGCCGGTTTTTGGCTTTCGCCAGGATTACCCGCAACACCACCCGTGGACAGTGAAACCCATTTCTCATGCGGAATAGGCATCAGGAAGCCCTCTAAAAATCTGCGCTGCTGGGTCATGCATTACAGACATCCCGGGTCATGCAAAATACGCATGACAAACCTGGCAATCTTCCACACTCAGACATTTTTGCATTTGATACTGCCTGTAGTGTGTCCACCTCGGAATTCGTCTTTGTCGTGACCTCTTTTGCCGTTTTCTCCTCCTCCTGCAGCTTCTTAAACCCAGACTCAAAGTCTTCGTGGAGCCGCTTGGTCAACATCTTCGGTTTCGCTGATTTACATTTATCATCGCTGTCTCCAGCGGCCATCTTGCTCCTTTCCAACGTCTCCTGGGTGACCCAGTAGCCCTTCCTTCGCCCGCTGTGGTAGACGTAGGACCAGGTTGTCGTCGTTTTTTGCTTCGGAGATTTGATACCGGAAGGTGGTCGTGTGGGGGATTTGGGTGCGCCGCTGGCTCCTGCGAAATTGAAAAATAAAAAGTGAAAGTGTATATCTGAAAGGGGCGTTAGTACTAGAATAAGGATTCAAAACAAGCGGGGATTCTGAGTGTTGAAGGACAAAGTACACTGAATTTGATCAAAATCACGCATCACATTCACATTCTCAACCATCGTACAGTACAGACCTACCGCTCTCTTCTCCCTGCTTCGCCTCTTCAATCAGTCTCTCCAGCTCCGGTTCCAACCCAGATTCAAAATCCACCTCGACCACCACCTCGGCGTCTCCGCACTCCTTCTGCAAAATCTCCAAGTCCAACCTGTCTTCCTCCTGTAAAGATTTCAGATTCTGCTTCGTCAGCTCAATTTGCATGGACACCGTTTGCAGAGACTCCTGCATTTCGTTCATTTCCTTTTGGTTTTGCTCCAAATTCTGGTTTGACGCCGACATTTCTTCCTTCAACTTCGACATGGTGTCCTTGAGATTTTGCTTTTTCTCGTCGAGGTCGGATAATTCAGCGGTGAGCTGTCTTTTCTCCTCTTCGACAAGTAATCTCTTCCTGTTGATTTCTTTCATCTCTTCCTCCAATTCGGAGAAAATTTTCGATTTGTTCTCATGCGTATTCGTCTCGATGGACTTCAGCTGGTCGGCGAGTTTTAAGTTTTCCAACTCCAGTTGCTTCAACAGCGTGTCCGTGTCGGTGAGCTCCTGTTCGTGCTTGGCGAGGAGCTTCTTGTGCTCGTTGCTGGTACTCGTGATAAGGCTATCTTTTAACTCCTTGTTGGAATCAGAAATCGTGGCTGTTATTTCCTCCTGGTCCGCGAGTTGGTCGTTGACTTTTTGAAGTTTTTGCTCGAGGGAGTGGACGGATGCGGATTCGAAATCTAGCGGTTGACTTCTAGTACCGGTGGACGCAGTGGATTCTGTAGTAGTTTCTGCAGCGGCCGCCGCAGCTGCGGAAATAGAGAGACCTTGCTCCAATACATCGGCGTACTCGTTGGACAAAGCGAGAAGCGAATCCGCCGTCGCCCCTGAAATTTCCTCCGCGGTTAATGCCAACTTGTTTATTGCGGTTTTGAGCTGGTTTAGTTTTTCCTCTGCCTTCTTGTCTGTGGAAGATGTTGTGTGGAGGGGAGGTGGTGGTGGAGGTGGGGCAGCTGGAGGTCCCGATTGTTCTGTTTCGCCAGCTGCACTTTTGCACTTCTTTTCCTCTTCCAATGTCGCGATGCCAGACTGCTTCTCTACTAACTCGGTTTCTAGCGCCTCCTTTTGTTTTTTCAAACTGTCGACCTCGCTCTGCAAGGAGAGTAGTTTGTCTTGCAAGGCCTCCAAGACAGCAGCAGCAGCAGTTTGTTGTTCACCGCTTTGGATTTCCTTGTTTCCAGCTGCGTCTTCACTACTTGCAAGAACCCTAACTTTCTCCTCCCATTCCTTCTCTAGTTCTGCCAATTCAACTTTCAGCTGCTCCTCCTCTTTCGCCTTCTCTTCTTCCAAGCCACTCCTCTCCCTCTCCACAAGTAAATTCACCTGCTTCTGCAGCTTGCGTCGCTTTTTCGCCCTTTCTTGCAGCTTCAAATCCTCTTCCGCGGATGATTTCAATTGCTTCAGCTTTTTCAATCTCGCTTCGAACTCGGCTTTCTCCGTGCTTTGCTTTTTGAGAAATTCGTCGAGAATGCTCTTCAGTTCCTCCTCCTGTTTCTTCTTCAAACTCGCAAGAAGCTCGGCTTCCTTCCGCAGGGCTTCGGCTTTTTCGGCTTGCTTTTCTTCGGCGGTCTTGCTTGTTGCATCAGTTCTTGCACCGCCAGCAACTGCATTTTTCTTGCTTTCCTCCAATTCCGTCTTCAGCTGCTCGATTTGCTTCTCCGCGCGCTTCGTCCTCTCCAACGCCTTGACGATCAGCTCCCGCAGTTTGTCATCGGTAAAGTTCGTCAAATCGACCTTTTTCGAAGCAGCTGCGCCTCCACCGGTCTGAGCAGCTGATGATCCACCCGCGGCCGTGGGGGTTGCATCACCCGCGCTCTTCGGGGTTTTGGAAGGGGAGGAGCCACCAGCCTGCTCGTTCTTTTGCAAGGGCTGAGGCGGTTGCTGCTGTGCGATCATCTTGATCTGGCGTTGGGTGTTCAGGTAAAAATTGTGAGCTGTCTTGTCTTGATATTCTCGGCTAGGTAGTGCTTTGCTGATTGTAAGTAGGTTATACTTTCTTTTCATTCCGAAAAACAAATAAAGACACGGATTCAGAATCAGATTCAGAACCGACCGGAATAGAACCTCTATCGGGAGGACGATGCTGGCAGAATTTTAATTCTACCTGTGGTGCTTATTAAGCTTCCTGCACGAAAAGGTGGTCAACATTGCCTCAAATCTATCGCGCTTCCAATTCTAATATCTGTGAACAAGGCGGAACAGACTCAAAATTTCTGATAATTGCCGTCTTTGCAGCTCCAGCACCAGCGCATGCTGTCAATGAGTGAAATGTTGTGCTGGTTCGTCATCGTCTGCGTTGCATGATAGAAAATTGTACACAGTGGTGTTGCTGGTAGATTCTGTTTTTAACTACCATAGCATGATTGTACACGAATCGGACAAGCTCTATCATACAGAAGTTGCAGAAAAAGCTACTTAGCATCAATAGTTTCGCATTCGTCCCATATGCAGCTCCTGAAGTTTTGCTTTATGGATGTGACACCCACCTCAACTTTTTAACAAACGAGATGAGCATCGGAAAATGATGTTGAGGTACGACAACTATCGTACAAGGCTACACAGAGTTCTAACATCAAGAAAAAATCGTGCGATCTGGTCGACCGCAGTCGTATCCATTCAATATCTGTCGTACAAACAAGATAAACAAGAACTCACTAAAGACGGTAAAAGAATGAAAAAAATAAAAAATGTAGGCTGCAAGAAGTTGCAATATCGAAATGCAACTATTGCACCGTGCACCACACTGTGCATGAAAAGCAGGTGATCAAGAGTGCCCAGCAAAGCTGTTGCTGTGTTCGGGAAAACCGAAACACGAGGGCACAAAGACGAGAAAGATATGATAAAAAATCAGGATTGATGGCCAGGTTGATAATAAGGGGTAGTTGTAAAAAAGCGAGCACTTGTCGTGTTCATCGTGGTATTTTTGGTAAACGTATAAACATTGGGTACTAGCAAATTTTTACGGGAAGCTCTGACTTTTACTTACATTGCTACATCATCTTGTCACCGATGGCCGCAGACACTTCCACAGCCGGACTTGATTTTCCCGATGCTTTATCAAATGCAAAAATGTCTGGGTTTGGGAGATTCTGAGACTTGTCATGCACGTTTTGCATGAGCCATGATGTCTATGATGCATGCCGTAGCATCACAGACTTTGCGAGGGGTTCTTGATGCCTATTTCGCATGACAAATTCCCTATCCGCGTAAAAAAAAATTACATTCCCTTTGCTACTCATGCAATACAATTTTTTTTGGAATCCAAACGCAGCATCACAAGTCGCATTCTTCCAGACCCAGACACTTTTGCATTTCATATGCCTCCTTCAAACCAGTTTCCTTCTCCAAATCCCCTCCAGCAGCTGCTAATTTGCTGGAATAGTGGACTTTCTGGTTGAAAAACATATGCATTGCAAAAGTATCGCACTAGTAGAAACGCATTACAACTTTTCTCAGCATGTTGAGAACTGGACTCTGTCATGCTGTTTTACCTTAAGGACAAGATTTGTTATGCATAGTTGCAATTGGTACGAGGGAGTACTATACTTTTGCAATGCATAAAACATGACATGCGTCAATTTGTTCAAAACCAATAAAACCAACAACCCGATAAAGTTTATCCCGTGTAAAAACGTCCCCACCCCAGAGTTGTCATGCGGAAACACATGCCCAAAATGTTTCTCATGCGGAGCCCCATGATAGGTATTCTCTAGTCGCGTTTGGGAATTTATAATGCTCCAATCAGCATAGTGCGCTAGATTTGTGATGCTTCTAAACGAGGTAAACAGAACTACCTCCTGACGCCGAACTTGTCATGCGCAACACCCTAAGCAGGTAGATTTGTCTAGCAGATTTCCCATCTTGACTATGGGGTGGGGACGCTTTTACTTAGGATAAAGTTCCGCAACATGAAATCCTCGTCCTTCGTAGCGGAATATCCCATCCGGTGAATCGTGTCCATCGCTTCGCTATCAAAAGCAAAAGTGTCTGGGTCTGGAAGAGTGCCAGAGTTGTCATGCAGGTTTTCCATGTTCCAGGACGTCTGGTATGTAGGACGTAGCATGGCAGATTCTGTGAGAGTTCTATCATACCTACCAGCCATGCTCCGGCTAACGCCGGAGCGCAAGGCTGTTGGGCCGGAGAAAGACTGTTTGCCAATCGGACCACAACGCCACGGGCGGATGCACAATGAAACACACTGGAGTCCTGCCGCCTGTTTGCGCCGCGCCAACCCGCAGGACCGCTTGCGCGCTTCCCGCGCCCGTAGGCGCTCTGCGCAGGGAGCAGCTGCAAAGAGCACCGGGGGCGAACAAAAGCCGCCTGGCGCGAGAGGGTAGCGCGAGAGGGTGGCGCGAGACGCCACAAATTGTGACGCCTGCGCCTGTAAGTAGATTGGCGCGAGAGGGTTGCGCGAGAGGGTCGCGCGAGAGGGTGCGCGGCGCGAGAGGGTGGCACGGAAAGACTCCGAAGAAAACAAGCTCGCGAATGGCCTGCAATGCGAAATGTGGGTAGTGCCATGCGGATTCGCGCCCACTTCTTTCTGTTTTTACCCTCTCGCAGACCTCTCGCAGACCCTCTTTTTGGCCTCTTTTGGGGGTCCCCGCTAATAGTCCGGCTATATTCGCGGGTAGAGGTCGACAGAGGTGGCCGAGAGGTGGCCAGGAGGGTGCGCGGGAGGTTCGCCCTTATTCGCGCAACCTCTCGGCACCTCTGTCCACCTCCCGCTTGCCCTCTGTTTTACCTCTCGGCCACCTCCGTGCCCCTTAGCGGCCCTAAAGGGCGACCGGTTCGGCGGGCTATACTCGCGCCCCCTCTCGGCCAGCCTCTCGAACTACCTCCCGCGCCACCTCTCCACCTCTGTCGACCTCTTTTTTACCTCTTTTGACCTCTTTTTGACCTCCCTGCCACCTCTCGTTTACCCTCTCTACAACAATATTTTCGCATGAATATAATAGATAGTAATCCTGCATGGGAAACTGCCTCTCGATTAGGTCAAAAGTGGACAGCTTTTGGCAATCATGCAACACAGATTTTTATTTTACATGATTCAGATTTAGCATGACAAGTTGCATTGTTGTTCTAGACCCAGACATTTTTGCATTTGATATTCATTCCCGGTAAACCCGTAGCAAATGTGCTTGTAGCTCCCGGGTAAACCACAGGTATACCCTAAGTCCGTGGTTGTTGTCGGCACGCCGTTCGTATCAAATGCAAAAGTGTCTGGGTCTGGAAGAGTCATGCTGTTTTTGCATGACGCAGAAGGTCTGGCATGGAAGCTCCAGCATCACAGGTTTCGAGAAGCTTCCGCTTCCGCCATGTCGAATCCGCATGACAAATCCCCCATTTTGGTGACAGAAAGTGGGCAGCTTTTGCTACCTATGCATGAGAGATTTTTCTGTGTTCTGAAATGCGCATCACAAGTTTGTATTCTTCCAGACCCAGATATTTTTAGATTTGATAGTTCACAGACACGACGTCATCCGGCTTCCAAATGCACCCGCCCTGGTTCGACCCGGCGGACTGTTGGGCGAGTAGGTAACCGTTTACCGTGTTGCTCGGTGGGGTGAGATATGAACTGCAAAAGTATCGTCCTCGTATAAATGCATTACAAATTTCCTCAGCATGAGAAATAAAATTTGTAATGCGGATTTACGTTAAGAAAAAGACTTGTAATGCATGATTGCACTACGAGTACGATACTTTTGCACAGGATATGAGAGAACTAGTGATCATTGGGCAGCGGTCCGCGCCGGGAAGGGTTCGGCCTTCGTACTCCAAGTAGACGGCGTATGGAAGCGTCAGGTTTGAAATCGACAAAGTTGAAATGATTTGTCATGCATAAAATGGATGCCAGTTGATGGAAGACCGATTTCTAAGCGGCGCATGACAAATTTTCGGAGCACCGAAATCCAATCTGTCATGCTGTTTGGGCACGGACGACTGCTTTTGTCATGCTCCTTTAGCAGCTATATCCCAAACCCTAAATAGGCGCACAATCTGACTCACTTGCCATCCCGGCAAGACAGGCACTTCATGCCTCGCATTTTATGCATGGCAAATCGTTTCAACTTTGACGATTTCAATCCTGACAGATCCATACGGCGGTATTGTAGCTGTATTTGAAGGGCATGGCCCAGGACATCCACTGGAACACGATCAGGGTGTTATCCAGGTCAAGCATCATTCCCATGAAGAGAATATCACACGAAAAAAGTGCTACAGTTACACATTTGTTATCAATTCACAACGCAAATTTCTCTGCATGAGAGAGAAAACTTGCAATGCAGAAATCCTACGAAAAAAGAGCCACGATTGGAGGCTCCTAGCATATCCGGCATGACAGAGCTTGTCTGTCTTGCTTGGCCTGCAACAAAATGTGTAACTGTAACACTTTTTTCTCAGGATAGAGAAACGCGTTGAACCAGTAGCCGACGTAGTTGAGCATACCTGGTGTGATCAAATTTGTATTGCGAAATATCAAAGGCGAGACTCGTTTGTGATGCACGTTATGCGACTATGAACATGAGCTAGTCAACCAGCAATCAATACCGATGATGATGTTATCGAATTGCACCGAGCTCGCCTGGGCGAACGCTTCGAACACCAAGTGGTTGACAAAGCAGTTGATCAAGAACATCCCGTAGTCCCCATCCTCCCAGTCGAAGTTCCCCACACCATAAGCGTTCCCACTTATGGTCGCAAAGGCGAGTAGAAACACGATGTATGACAGTGCACAACTCCCCCCGCCCTCATTTGTATTGCATGAACAGCCATACTCTCATCAGCAAAAATGCCGGCTTTGCATGACAAACTTACAATGGATTACATTGCTATTTGGGCTACCAGAACTTGTCATGCAAACAATGCCAAGAGGCAAAGGGTGGCTTGGGTATTTTGCATGACAAATGAGGGGGAGGGGGTGGAGTCGCGCACTTTCATACCATCGGGATGGACACCAACACCAACGCCAAATGGTAGTCCCGCGCCTTATAAAACCCGTTCCGAATCTCATCTCGGACTAATTGGTACTCATTCCCGTAGAAAATCACGGAAACGCAGCCGAAGACACACTGACTGCAGATGCACCACATGATGAGCCACATGCGGAAGAGGACATTCGGCTGCTTCATCTCCCGCACTTCTACGTAAACTAAGCAGAAGAACATGCACGAAACCCAGTAGAGCGGGATCCGACCTAAATAGACGGAGTAATCGGTAAAAGCGACGTGGAAGGCCCGTTTCGTGACGGCGACGAAGGAGGAAGAGGTTTGGATCGTGGTCATCTTCTGGATGGAAGTCGAAGTAGTTGTCGTTCCTGCTTTGTCGGAGTCCGTTTCTAGGTTGTGATTACCCTCCACGTTGAAGGCTACTTCCATCTCCATGGGGTAAACCTTTGCGATAGAAGTACCTGATGAGCCTCCTCCGAGGACGAAACCAGCAGGAGCCGCGTTGTGCGACCCCTCGATTGCAGGCACGTTAAAAACATGGCCTTGGTTCTCCGGAAAAGCGTTCGCGTTGTTTGCCCCGGAAGATGAGGAGTTTTGTTCGTCTTGATTGTTCATCCCGTCCTTCCCACTTGTTCCCGTTCCGCTGTTCCCCGTACTAGAATCCCCGGCGCCGCTACCGGAGTGTTGTTTTTGCTGCAGTTCCAACGAGCTCGGCTTGACGACGTCATCGGTTGTTGTTCCAACTAAGTTGTTATTTTGCAGCATCGTCGTGTTCATCTTTTTCGTATTCCAAATCTTCCATGATTCAATGATATCGTCCACGACTTCCTTCGGCGAAAAATCCGCGTTGATTTTGTCCAACAACACTTCTGCGGGGTTGCGGCCAAAAGGTAACGCATGCGCACCGACATTGTCTTTCGACCCACAGCACTTGCTGAAGTACGTTTCCACAAACGACTTTCTCCCAGCATAAGCGGTAAACCCATTCGCCAGTAATTGCACTTTGTCAAACATTTGCCACACGTCGAAGCTGGGTTGTATGGATTGCAAAAATGTCTGGGTCTGGAAGAATGGAAAGTCTGTCATGCTCTGCTAGCATGACTCCAAAGTCTGTCATGCTCGTTACCCGAAAGCTTCACTTTTCTGTCATGCCGAAACGGGGTTTGTCATGCAGAATACGCAACACCTAGCAAGTCAGAGACTTGTCATGCTGAGCCATCACTTGGGGCGTCCTCAGGATTCGCCAACCAGCATCACAAGTTTGTTTCCCGACACAGACATATTTGGATTCGATAGGTTGGTGGATCGTGCAAATGATCAACATGTTGTCCTCGTGGGCGATTTTCCGGATGTACCGCATGGTGTAGTAGGCGGAGGCAGCGTCCAAGCCTGTGGTTGGCTTATGCATTGCGAATGTGTCTGGGTTTGGAGAACAAGTGCCAAGTTTGTCATGCATATTTTCCATGACGCCTGATACCTGTGATGCAGGCGGTATCATCACGATCACAGACTTTGCGAAGTCCCTCTGATGCTCATACCGCATGACAAATGCCCTTTCCGCGTAGCAAACACTGGACAGGTTCCTTTTGCTGTTTTCATGCAACACAGATTTTATCTAGGATCAAAAGATAGCATCACAGGTTGCATCCTTCCAGACTCAGACATAGTTGCACTGGATACGGCTCATCTAAGAACAGAATCAGCGGCTCCTTGATCAGAGCTTGCGCGACCGAAAGTCTTTTCTTCTGCCCTTCGGAGAGCCCGACCGTGCCGAACTTCCCGCCGATTTTGGTATTTTGACAGGATTGGAGGCCAAGTTTCCGAATCACCTTGTCGACTTTGCTTCTATCCACATTCGCGAAATCTGCTGAGTACTCCAACACTTCTTTCGGCGTCAAGGTCGCGAAGTACTCGTTGTGCTGCGGAATGTAGACGCAGCGGTGCGCGATTAAATCCTGTAAATTCTCCACCTTCTCGCCATTTATCGCCACAGTCCCAAACGTGTTCAAATTCTTCGCCGCGTTGCAGGTAATCGCGTCTAAGAAAGTCGTTTTCCCGGCGCCGGACGGACCAAGGATCGCGTAGACTTCGCCCCGGTTCGCTTCTAACGAGACGTCGATGACAAGTTGTTTCGCCGGTTTTCCCTGCTTGTTGGTGAGGAAGCCCGGTTTGATTTCCTTCGTGACGACGTTGATGTTGTCGATTTTTAACAAAGGGATGATCGGGTTGGAATCGGAAGAGGAAGTATTTCCCGGGTTGGAGTTATGGATGTGTCAGGATTGAAATCGACAAAGTTTTTGAAATAATTTGTCATGCATAAAATGCAGCCCACAAAGTGCCTGTCTTGCAGAGTAGGCAAGTGAGGTATATTGTAAGCCTGTTAAGGGGTAGAAACTGAGCTGCTAAAGTAGCATGACAAAAGGCGTCTTCCTTACCGAAACAGCGCGACAAACTGGATTTCGGCTCTACCCAAATTTGTCATGCGCCACTTAGAAGCTCGGTCACAACTGGCATCCATTTTATGCATTACAAGTTATTTCAACTTTGTAGATTTCAAACCTGACACTCCCATAGGAGTTGTCTTCAGCGGTGTTGTCCTGCACTTTGTACTTCAGCTCCGTGGATGTACTAGTTGTGCCTGTTGCTGTTACATCACCAGCTTTGTCGTTCTGCAAGTCGTTGTCGTGCTGGTGGTATGAGAGTCGTTTCTTGTTCTTCGGGACCACTCCGTTTGCACCACTGGTTGGCTGTAGCGCCGAGTCACCGATCTTCGGCACGTCCCCGATCATCTTGTAAATCAACCCCATTCCGTAGCACAAGTTCCACAACAACCCGAAGTATCATCTGCAAAAACGTCCCCACCCCAGATTTGTCATGCAGATTTGCAATGACAGGAACATTTGTACTGCGCATTTACATGAGAGGCATTTCCAACCGTGTTTTGGCATTTGTAATGCTGTAAACAGGATAAGGATCCCGGTTTGTGATGCGACTGCACTATCTACAATATAGAGACGAACTTGTCATGCGTGCCTCCCAAAACTTCTGGATTTGTGTTGCTAAGTTTCCGACTTGACTATAGGGTGGGGACGTTTTTACGCAGGATACGAAACCCAGCAAAATCATCGACCGTTCGAAAACCGGATCTTCGTAATCCACCACCGGGTAGACCTTGTGCATGGTGCGCAACACCTGGATCCCGGTGTAGCCCCAGCACTGGTACTCTTGGTAGGCACAGGCAAACCCAGCACCAACCGCCGTTCTCGCACCAGCAGCACCGGTAAATCCGTCTTGGAAGATGCAGTTCGCCTGTGTCGCGACGGATTCCAGCATGCCCGCTGCACACGGCGCTGCATTTTTCCACTCCGTGTGTCTCGCGAAGTCCGCATACAACACCGCGGGGATGGCGTGTCGGTGGGGACTGGTGTAGGTCAGAGCCCGCAACGGCCACACGACCAAGTCAAACTCGATCATGAACCCGCAGAAAAGGAAGGAGGCGAACCAGAACTGGATGTACCCCAGAAAGCCGACCAGCATGTTGTCAGTTAAGGAGCAGAGTTTCCCAAACCCGTCGAAGACGATCGCCATCAGGAGCATAACCGTAAAAGCCTCGAACCCGCCCTCAATCTCGTAATTCCCGAGCCCGTACATGTTGCCCGGAAACATCGCCATGAACACCGTGAAACCGAGGCAGGGGATAGATAAAAGAAAGTTACTAACCACGACGCAGTAGCTCGGGTAGAACCCCTGGGACCGGATTTCCACCTTCCAGGTTTGGTGCGCCTTGTTGAAAAAGTACACACAGATGATCGACTCTAGCGTTATGTTGCTCATCGCCATTGCCATGGGCCACATGCGGTTCATGTGGATTGCAAAAGTATCGGATTCGTATAAATGCATGACAAATTTCCTCAGCTTCAGCATGAGAAATGAAATTTGTAATGCGGATTTACGTAGAGCGAAAGATTTGTAATGCATGATAACAATACGAGTGCGATCCTTTTGCACAGGATAGTTCATCGCAAACTCGTTGTCGTATTCGATTCCTTCCCACCAGAGCGCGACGAGAAAGTATCCACAGCAAAAGTATCGCACTCGTAGTAAAAATTATCGCAGAGATGCATTACAGATCTCTTTGTTGAGGTCAATCCCCATTACAAATTATACTCCTCACGCTGAGCAGATTTGTCATGCGATTTACGCTTAGTGCGATGCTTTTGCAATGCATAGAAAGAAGCTCATAACGAAGTTCATGATCGCCCGGGCCCAGTACAGTACCGGGTCGGTCATCGTGACTCGGAGATCCCGTGCGAAGGTGACTTTCAGCTTTTCAAAATTTGTCGATTTCCGGCAGTTCTGGAACTGTTGCTGCATCGTTTTCTGCGATTTGAAGACTACAGTCGTGTTTTCACCGTCGTCTGGGGAGGTTGCGTTGGCACCAGTTCCAGGTTGTTGTAGTCCAGTGATCAACCCAACAGTTTTGTCCTTGGATCCGGACCTGGTTTTCACCGCTTGATTCTCTTTGTTCTCCTCCCACAGTCGCAACACCCGCTCGACTTCATCCAACGCGACAAAATCTGCGTTAATCGCGTTCAACACGAAGTCCGCCGCGTTCTGCTGATTTGGTTTTTTCAGCCCGCAAGTTTCCTTGAAGTAATCCAAACAATGCCCCCGGTACCCGAAAAAGGCGGACTTCCCGTCGGAGAGAAGCAAAATCCTATCACACAGATCCCAAATATCCTCCGCCGGCTGCTGCAACGTGCAGATCACACTAACATTCCGCTCCACGGCGATCTTCTGCAAGCACTTCATGATGTTGAACGCCGCGGCGGAATCGAGGCCAGAGGTAACGTCATCGATGAACAACACGTCCGCTTGACGCAGAAGCCCAACACCCAGCGCCAATCGCCTCTTCTGCCCGCCAGATAAACCCTTCGCTAAGCCGAAAGCGCCCGCAACCTGCGTGTCCTGGCAGGACTCCAAGCCGAGAAGCTGGAGAACGTCGTTGACTCTCTCCTCGATCAATTCAGGCGACTGCCACCGGGCGGCGTAGGTTAAAACCTGTTTACAGGTTAAGGTCGGGAACTGCAAGTCGGTGATGTTCGGGACATAAATGCAGTGCTCCATCCACTGTTGTAATGTTGCGACTCCCTTCCCATCGACCGTGACGGATTTTGCGGTGTTGGTAGTCTTTTTCCCGGTGTTGAATGTTAGCAAATTCAACAAAACCGTCTTCCCCGACCCAGACGGTCCGAGAATCGCTGTGACCTCCCCGCGCTCGCATTTCAGATCGATATCCTGCAAGAGTTGCTCACCCTTGTTGGTCGTGAGAGACGCTTTTTCACAGACGTAGGACATTTTGAATTGAATTTTTCAGAAATAAGAGTTGGCACTTCGTTGAGAATGAAATTCGAATTGAGAAAAAATCCTCTTTGATCGGAGGGTGAGGACGGCGACGGGGCAACGGAACTTTATTTCGGGTGAGCTAAAACAAACAACTTTATTTGGAACAAGGATGTACAAACGATGCAGTTTTGGCGCATCAGTCTATTAACTCTGAAAGTTGAAGTTGCCACACCTACTAGGGTTTGTTTTCGTAATCGTTTTTTCAGGGAGGTCGCCTTCGGGTTCGGTAAGACTAAGACCTAGGGATACTAGGTGTTCTCTTCCTGTTTGCCAAGACGAAGATTTGATTGGTACATCAACAACGGCCACGTTTCCGCTTTGTAGAGTTTAAGTTTCCCACCCCCACGACTTTGTTTTCTATCGTATTGTTTTGCTTGCGCTGTCCCCAAATTCAACCAGTGCAATTGTTGCAAGATACTGTGTTCTGTCATCTTCCAATCGTGACCGACTGTTTTGAAGACCAAATTCTTGATCACTCCTCCGCAAGTTTGCTGTTGCAACAAATGCTGAAGACAACTCTAAGAACACTGCAGCTCTACACACCGCCTCGCGCATTGCCTTGCCCTTACTTGTGGGCAGCTGGCGTCGCCAGATGACCATCGCTTCTTTTGTCGTTTCATCTTCGCTCGGGGCATTTCCAAAAACAAATTCGAAAAAGGTTTCTCGGCGACGTGATAGGGGAATCTATGCGTGGAGAACAAATATCGGGCACTGTCGTTGTTGTCACAGAGGTGAATAATTCGTACTGGATACATCATACTAGAGCGAACAGTCGCCTGTTGTAAAGCTAAAGCAAAATCGAAATTATACGTCAATCGAAATTACTCGTGCCTTCTGCTTCTACCAAAGCAGAATGTAAAATAACTGAACAGTAAACAAATCCCTCTACTGTTGGAGGAACAACTCAAACTGATACATTTAGGAAAAAGAGACTCAGGTGCTAATGCTCGTGCCCTCTTCTACAAACCAAATCTCGAAAAACTCGTGGTAAAAGGAAAGCTATCGCGTCAAGAACAGCGCTTGAACTTACACTTGTGAATTTGATTGTTGAAAACTATACGAATATTTTTGGTTGACGTTGAAGTTTTGAAGCTGTCGTAAGTACGTTTTAAATAAAGCCTCGATAATATTATTTGCTCTCCTTTTGCTACCGCGCTATTCTTTTTCATTTTAGGCTAAACGAATTTCATTTACAGTTCCTCATCCTCTTTCGGCGCGTCCTTTCCATCCCAGGCCTTCTGTTTCACCAACTTCGGCAAATCCTTGGGCAAATCGTTCAAGTGCTTCGGCGCTGACAACCCAGTGATGAACGTCCTAACCGCGGACTCGGTGAAGGACCCGCGGTGGGTGACGAAAATGTTCTTCTTCCTGGAGATCGCCACCAGTGCGGGAAACCCGAAGCCGAGGTTCAATTTCTCCTCCAATTCGTACTGGTCGCCTCCTTGCGACCAGTAGAAGCTGGCGGGGACACCGCCGGCAGACCGGGCAGCGGTGTTGTAAAGCTCGAGGTACCTGATAAAGGTTATTTCGTCAAAAAGTTGTAAAGTGAAGGAGTTGATGATCACGATATTAAGTTCGAACTGCTAGGATGCGGGAATATTAAAGCAACCAGAACTGCAGCTTCAGAGGGTCATAAGTGCAAAAAAGTTCCGGCATTATTTTCGTACTTTTTCCTCTCCTTAGCACTGGATTCCATAATGTGTGGGAGGAAGGCGATCAGGCACAATTGTCCCCCGCTGCACTTCTCGTCGAACATTTCCTGGGACAACAGCTGTTCGGCCTCCACGGTCATCATGAAATACTTCTCGGCGAACTTTTGCAGGGAACCCGCGTCTCTCCCCTCGTTGTAGTCAACGGCGCTGCTATCGGATTTGGGACCTGTTGGTGTATTGTTTTCGAACAACATGCGACACATCATGTTGCAACATGCGAACTCGAACCTCCAAATTCAGTCATGCAAAAACGCACGACAAAAAAATGTAAATACCAGCTGGAAACAGCTTGATTGTTGGGAATCCTCGCACGCCAAACCTTCCTGGCACACCCGTCTCTGTCGTGGCGTCCATCTTGGCGACCTTGACTTTGCCCTTCATAGCAGTAGCCGTCTTGTCCCAGTCTCCCGCCATGGCCTGATAAAATTTGAGTACGGCGTTACAAATGTGATTTCGATTCTGAATATATTTCGTGCGCCATTTGCATTTGCATTGCATCACAAGTGGAACTCTTTTTCGTTGTAAAATAAAAAATCATGCACCGAAACCCTACTTAATCATGCATCTAAAGAAAAGTGGTGCAGCTGTCTAGCGCTTTCTAGTTCTATCAATCTATGGTGATAAGTTCGTTCAGGCGCAGGCCTTTATCTTCAAGCACGAAAACAACTACCATACCTTGCAGTGTCCGCACCAGGGCGCGTAGAATTTGACAAACCAGACGTTTTTGCTGTCCTTCATCACCAAATCGTCGAAGTTGCTATCGGTGAGCACGACCGTATCGCCGCCTCCCGACCCGCCAGACCCACCGGACCCACCGCCGGATCCACCAGATGAACTTCCGCCGAAGTTGCCGCCGCCGATTTTGTATCAAATGCAAAAATGTCTGGGTCTGGAAGAATGCAACTTCTGATGCTGCGTTTGGACTCCAAAAAAATTTGGATTGCATGAGCTGCAAAGGGAGCGCAATTTTTGCTACGGGAAAAGGGCACTTGTCATGCAGAATAGGCATCGAGAAGCCCTCAAAAGATCTCTGAGGCTAGAGCATGCATCACAGACATCATGGCACATGCAAGACTTGCAAGACAAGTCTCACCATCTTCCAGACCCAGACATTTTTGCACTTGATATTTTGCTAGAGACCATGTCGTTGACCTTCTTCATGGCGAACTCGACCATGGATTTCGCGTCCCGGCCTGACCTGTAGTCCTCTGGCTTCGACTTGTTCGCCCCGAACCATTTGATGGTTGGGAAACCCTGGACACTATGCTTTGCAAATATGTCTGGGTCTGGAAACTCGTAATGCTAAAAGTGAATGGGAGTTCCGTTGCAATACGGAGCCACGCATGACAAATTTTTGGGCCCCTATGTGTTGCGTGTTCCGCATGGCAAGCTGCGTTTTCGCATGACAGGTAAGAATTCCGTTTGATGCCTATGCATCACAGATTCTTGAGTCATGTCAGACATATTTGCATTTGATAGACACCATACTCCTGCATCGCGGCCTGATCTTCGACCGCGACGAAGCCGATTACACCTTCGGTAGGAGAAGTTTGTCATGCGAGTCTCGTAAAAGTATTTACTACGAACGGCAGAATTTTTGTGGTGCGACGCAGCATTGCAATGAAATAGAACGAAGTTGAAGCCGTAGCGTCAGCCTCGTCGCGCATGACAAAATAAACACATGATACCTTTCGTGGCCTTTGCTGCCTTTTCGTACTCCGGTGCTAGCTGCTTGCAGTGTCCGCACCAGCTGGCAAAGAATTCCACCATGAATGGTGCCTCGCTACCGATAACCTTCTTCTTAAACGCAGCGGCATCCAGTAGCTGGACCGGAGAGCCCTTCTGGTACAGCGCGTCAGCTGAGAGAAAAGAACTGGTGGCTAGTATCGTACTAGCGAAGGACCTTCTTGAAAGGACCATCTTTACGATCTACTTTAACTTTAGCACGCCGGTGGTGTTACAATTTACTGTTGCTGATGTGTTGCTAGGTTGCGGAAGGCTCGTCCTCGTAGTTATTTCGATGAATTGTTGCGATAGATGCTGCAGCTTGTGCTTTTCTTCCAAAACCAACGAGAAGTGCCTTACTACAGGTCAAATGATCATCAAACACAAAAACTGGGGGCGAGTTGGGGGAAAAACGGCGGGGGGTGCAGATGTAGGAGCCTGAAGGATAATTTATCCGGTGGCCTGCAATGAAAGGAAGTTTTGAAAAATCATGTAAACTGATCGCCAGAGGCATAGCCACATTGAAAAAGACCGACGTGGGAAACAAATGAAAAAGATCTTTCCAAGTCACGGGGGGAACCACATCACGGCAGATTCAGAAAAAGGTTTCAGTCGGATGGTATTCTGTATGTAAAGTTTGATCCTCTCTTCCGTAGAACACTGATTTTCCTCCAATTCGTTTGACGTAGCCTTGGTCTGCTTACCAGCACAAGGAAAACAATGCTTACAAAATGCAGGTATGGCTATCGGTATTCTCTCACGTTGCACTTCATCATGTTCTTTCTCAACATGCGTAGTTCTGTCCTTACTGCTACTGGCAGTCGAAACTGCATTCAATTCCGTAACTGGCACCGGTTTCAGTGGCTCTAACACGCGGAGCGTTTCCTGCTCTTCTATCATAGCGAGCTCGGCGTCGATGTCTTCCTCTGATACACCGTACTGAGCCATCACGGCGTTGATCTCGGCGTTCTGTTTTTGATTTTTAGATTCCCACTTCATCATCTTGAGAGGTGACGATAACTAGTACGAGATGTAGTGCTGATATGCATCACACGTTCACGTATCACAAGAACATGCAGAAAAATCGTGCATCACAAACTCGCTAGTAACTAATATACCCATTCCCGCAATTCTTCTGCATCTTCCAGCAGATCTTCCACTTTTTCCACCGACACTTCCTTCTGCTATCCTGCGCAAAAGTATCGCACTCGTAGTAAGTAGTGCAGTCATGCATTACAAATTTTTTTCTTAAGGTAAAATCGCATGACAAATTTTATTTCTCACGCTGAGGAAATTTGTCATGCATTTATACGAGTACGATGCTTTTGCATTGCATATCCGCATCTTCTTCAGCATGTCATTCCCGACCTGCATGGCTTGCACCACACTCTGCTGCATTTGCAGCAGTTCCACGTTGTCGATCAGTTCCAGGAGCTTCAACAATATCCACCTGTGCAAAAGTATCATACTCGTAGTAATTGCATTCATGCATTACAAATTTTTTTCTCAAGGGAAAACCGCATGACAAATTTTATTTCTCATGCTGGGGAAACTTCTAATGTATTTATACGAGTACGATACTTTTGCATTGCATAAATAACGCGTTGTCGCAATTCGTCAACATTTTGCCGCTATCAAATGTAAAAGTGTCTGGGTCTGGAAGAATGCAACTTGTAATGCTGTCTGCGGATTCAAAAAATATCTGTGTTGCATGAGCAGTAAGAGGAGTCAGTTCTCGGCACGCGGAGAGGGCATTTCTCATGCGTAATGAGCATCGAGAAGCTCTCAAAAAATCTGCGATGCTAGCACCAGCATCACAGACCTCACGGGGCATGCAAAATGTGCATGACAAGCCCCGACTCTTCCAGACTCAGACATTTTTGCATTGGTAGCCGTGTATCGTCTTCTTCTTCAAGTGAAACAATGCGAGCTGCTTCTTCTTCTCCCGTAGGCAGGTGTTTACAATTATCGCTTCCTCCTCGATTAAGTTTGCGAACCGTTTCTTCTGCTTGTTCAAGTCATCGCGCTGGAGTTTCAGCTGGAGGAGGGTTCGGTCTTGATCTGTCGTGCGGGAAACGGGTTTATTCTTCTGGTTGGGATTGCCTGGTTTATCGTCTTTCGAATGTCTGCCGCCCATGGTTTTTTGTACTTAAGTATATGTTGATGTTTTGCCACTGCCTCTATAATATCGGGCTAAAAATATGAATGGACGTGGAAGCTACGAGTACCTGCTCTGATCCGACTCACAGAAGTTAGATTCTCTTTTTGTCGGAGCTTAAACGACTCTTGTGCGAGCAACCTGCAGTTTTGGAGAAACATCCTCGCGACTCTCATGTTGTTGCCTACGGATCCACCCAGCCCCAGAGCATTAATCGGAAACTCCCGCATTTTGCGGTGAAGATGTTGAGGTCTGTAAAGACATTGTCATTGGCCATGTCCCTTTATCTTTTTCTACTTTGTTGAAAAATACCTTGACTCCAATCGCAGCGATGTTGTGAAAATCTCTAGGATTGTTCACGTTGGTTTTTGCGCTTTAACAAAAAACACGAATCGCTGCTTTCTCTACACCTGTCCTACGCACCGAAATCTCTACCGTGGTTTCAGAGTGAAAATGTGTATCATATCAATTATCCCAAATGCAATTTACAGCTGGCGCTTACGCTTTTACATTTCTCTGCGTTTATGTCCTCTAATCAGTGTAGTTGTCACGACTCGACGAAGTGATAAAGTATAAACAATCTTCGGCCCCCAATTATGAATTACGATGACTAAACTTGTGCCGGAGCCGGGGCGGCACTTGGCCTTGATCATATACTTGAGATGAAAGTAGTAAGTTTGTTATGCTTTGAGCGGATTGTAGCTCTATCTTCGTCGCCCTCCTCGCGATGAAGACAAACGTAAACACCGAGGAAACCGTGATAAGCAAAATCCTATATCATCCACCCCAGCATTCCACCGCCACTGTCTGGCGCCGGCGCTCGTGCAGCCTCGCGATCCCGCTGTTTGCTATGGGAACGAAACTTTTACCAGAGTCATCAACAGGAGATGCTAACAAGAACGCCGACAAGAATATTAAATGAACCTTGTCCAGACACGACACTACTTCTCCTCGCTCGCGACACATACAAATTTCATCGAACAAAAATAGCCTCTTGTTGACTCTGGATGAAGCTCAAGATACCACTTCTTTCCATACTTCTCTCGTTCTTCATTCCTGGCCTTCTCTGCCGCCCGTTCCGCCTCCATGGTTGCCAGTTGGGCGGCCAGCGCACCCGATCCCATATGAAAGCCTCAGGTTGGAAATCCTCAAAGTGAAAATAATTTGTAATGCAAAAAAAGACTCCAGCTGAAGCGGCATTTGTAGTCGGCGCATGACAAATTTCCCGGGTGCGTAAAGCATGTCTGTCATGCAAGTTAAGGCAAAGGGGTGCCCGTCTGCCATGCTAAGTAGCACGACAATTCTTCACCCCTAGCAGGACAATAGTCGGCCTCCATTGCGTCCTCTGCCATACAGTCTTTTTTGCGTCGCATTTCATGCATCACAAATCATTTCCACTTTGAGCATTTCCATTCTGAGGGTTTCATATCCCATGCCGCTCTCCGGGCCTGCGCGGGATTTCGGTTTGGTCTTGTACAAAACAACATCAAATGCAAATGTGTCTGGGTCTGGAAGAATGCACGTCTGTCATGCTTGTCTGGCATGACTCTTAAATCTGTTACGCACGTTACCCAAGAGCCCCATTTTTCTGTCATGCAGAAAAGCAGGTTGTTACGAAGAAGAGGCAACACCTACGAGCTCAAAAACTTGTCAAGCTGAGCCAGCACTTGTGGCCTCCTCATGATACGCCACCGAGCATCACAAGTTTCCAGACCCAGACATATTTGCGATGCATAAACAATAATGACGACCAAGACCCCGATCCCGTACAAAATGCTCGCCTTGTTCATTAACAGCGGGTCCTGGTTATCCACAGTAAATTTTCCGTACGCGTACAAATGCAGTCTCTGCATGACAAATCTTGGCTTCGATCCTAGTGTAGAATGACAAGTTTTGCACTCCAAATTGGTGAAATTTGCGATGCATCTTGTACATGTACGGGAAATTTGTATTGCATACTGGTAATCGATTATCAGCCGCTCGATCAGTTCCTCCAACGCCGCCTGCGGCCAGAAGTCCGGCACCACCCGGGGCGGCTCGCCCACGCACACGAACACGCCATCCTTTCCGTCGACCCGCATCCGGCAGGGATATTTCTCGTGCGAAATGTTGTCGACATCAGGGTCCGCGAGCGGGTTCATCATTTTTGCTGCTTGGCGCGTTTCCAGCAGTCCGGGGAAGTAGAAGTTGTTCTTTTTGCTTTTAACAGACGACGTGCCTTTTTTCTTGTACTTGTAATTGCGCCCGAGCTCCTGCTCGGCGTTTCTGTCATCAACAGAGTGCTGTCCTCTGTGTTGAGAAGATGCTATCGAGTTGTATGAAGCTCCTTCATCTGGTTCTTTCTTTCCTCTGCGCAACAGCTCCCATGAAGACGACGTGAAAGTGGTGTTATTTTTCGAGCGGTGTCGTGGTCCACGGTGTCGTGCATCAAGAACTGCGCCGTGCTCAGAAGTGGTCTGCCGGTTGTCGTGCATGAGCGAAAAGAAGAACTCGTCGCCCGCCGCATCTGTATATGAATTGCGAAAGTATCGCACTCGTAGGTATGAATGCAGTACAAATTTCCTCTGCATAAGGAATAAAATTTGTAATGCTGACTTACCTTGAAAAAAAGATTTGTAATGCATTCATACGAATACGAGTGCGATACTTTTGCACAGGATACTGTAGCCTCTTCCGCCTCGTCCGCGTCGGTCGAATTTGTTCCATTTGTTGCGTTCTTGTCTAACGGCTGTTCCACCAGGTCAACCCCGTTTTTTTGCAAGTATTTGAACTCGCAGAACCCGTCGAACTTGTTCAAAAATTCTCCCGTTCTGCAGGGAAATTCCAGCGGGTAGACGATCGGACCGCCGTCGCAGCACTTCTGCGCGTCTTCCAGCGTACAGGTGACGTTGCTGCAGTAGCAGAATTATGCATCGGAAAAGCATCACAGTAATAGCAGAATTCGCATGACAAATCAAATAGCTATAGCTCAAGCTCTAGCTCAGCATGAAAAATGCAATTTGTAATGCTGTTCTAGCTTAGGAAGAAGATTTGTCATGCCAGACTGCAATCTCGTCTACCAGTAAGCTGCTTTTGCACAGGATAACACCTGGTGGCGAATGGGGACGGTGTTGTCCGGCTCTTCGGGGCAGTCCATCATCGGAACCCCCTGGTCCCGGGGCCGCTTCGTGCAAAGTTCCCCAGAATTTCCCGTGTCGCAGTGGGCCATCCAGAGACAATTTTCCACAACCTTCTCCCGGAAAAAACATCCATCCCCATCCATTTTTTGCATGGCAAATGGTGGATTTTATGCATGTTTTGCATGGCAAATTGGATGGGTATGGGTGTTTTTTTTCTGGATAGGCCTCGCACTCTTCGTACGTCTCCCCGTTGCAGACTGCGTCCGGGAAACGCGGGACGCAGTTGCCCTCCGCGTCTCGCTATCCACACGAAAAAAATTCACGCACGCACACAATAAATGCGGTTTCTGCATGACAAAACTTTGCTTCAATCCTATTCAGCATGTTCTTGCCAAGTGATGTCATATGCGTTTTCTGCGTGTACGGAAATAAATTTGTACTGCATACTAGCATACAGGTGACCTCAGCAACGCAGTCGAGGAAGGCCAGGGCTCCACAGTTGCCGATCGACGGGGGCAATGAACTGCAAAAATATCGTACTCGTATAATAAATGCATTACAAATCATCTGTTCAGCATGAGAGAGAAAATTTGTAATGCAGATTTCCCTTAAGACAAAGATTTGTAATGCACGACTTGCATTTATGCGAATACGATACTTTTGCGCAGGATAGGGGCGAAGCGCAGAGGGATTGGTCCGTCTCGGTTTCCTTCTTCTATGGCATTCTCAAGCTTTCTTACACTCTCAGCTGTTGCGTGAATTCGTCACGCAGAATCGCAGTACATAAACATAACTAGATGATCAAGGTGCTTTGCGTGACAAGTTCCCGACCACGCACTACAACCACTAGATAACATTATGATCTGCGCCACGCTTCTTGTTATGCAAATAAAGGCGAAATTTTCCGCCTTGCAATTTTGCCATTGTTCTTGCGTTACACATTCATGTACCAATTGAGAGTGTAACGGTTGAGAACTTCATATCTTCAGGCAGTAGTTTGCGGAGCAGAGAGGGTCCTCGTCACTGAGAACAAGATCTACGCAGAATTTATGCGTTGCAAACATGTCTGCCGCATCTGGAACTCAGTGTAGAGTTTCTTGAGTTTGTCGACATACGCCGGTATATTGCCTTAGAGTGTGAAGTGAGCGGTCTGGTGGAAAAATTCAGTGCGTAGCAGCACAGGATGATCTGCGAGGGCAGCTTTGCCATGCCTACTCAGCATGAGGAAACCTTCCTAAGTGTGGTCAATGGTTGAAGCTTTTGCTGCGCATCATGCGTGAAATAAGTTCCTTGCATCTTTCCAGACCGAGACAAGTATTTGCATTTGATATTTTTTCTCGACACCCTTGTACGTGAGTTTGCCGCTGAACTTGTTATCGCCTCCAACATCGTCGCAGTCTTTGTAATCCCACTTGTTTCCCTCAGCTACGCACTGCTTTAAAGTGTTCGTTCCTGTCGCTTGGTCTCCGTTTTCCTTCCTGCATGTTCCGACTGGCGGTATTGCGAGAAAAAATCCCCCCTCCCCATATTGAAAGCGAATCCGTCTGAAAATTTGCCATGCAGATTTGTCACCACAAATCCTGTCTGTCTTGCAAGAGCGCAAGCCCAGAGAGTCTGTCACATTGTGCAGGCGGTTTGTGATGCTGTTCGGCTTACAGTATAGACAATTGCCTTGGCAGATGCCTGCAGTGCTCTACTGCAAGACAAATCCGATTTGTGTACGGAAATCCAGCATCAGAAACTTCGTTTTGATATGGGGAGGGGGCATTTTTCCTCTCGATAGGCGGGTCGGGTTGTTTGCACCCGTTGTCTGAGACACCTAGTGTCGCATCCTTCTCCCATATGGAAGCGCCAGGATTGAAATCGTCAAAGTTTGTGATGCATAAAATGCTAGACGCAAAGTGCCTGTCTTGCAGAGCAGGCAACTGAGGCCGATTCTAAGCCTGTTTGGGGTGTGATATAGAGCTGCTAAAATATTAGCATGACAGAAGCAGTCTTCTCTGCTCAAACAGCATGACAAATTGGATTTCCATGCTGCCAAGATTTGTCATGCGCCACTTGCAAACTGGGCTTCTGCTGGTATCGCTTTTTTGCATTACATATTATTTCGACTTTGACGACTTCGATCCTGACACTCCCATATCCCACTCCAATTGTGTGAAGCCTTGGTCGCAAACAGGCTCCACACTATGGGAGTGTCAGAATCGAAATTCATAAAATCGAAAAATTTGTGATGCACAAAATTGATGTCAGTTGGAGCCTCAGTTTCCAAGTGACGCATGACAAATTTCGGGAACACCCAAATCCAGTCTGTCATGCTGTTTGCGCCAAGAAGACTGCTCCTGTCATGCTATTCTGGCAGCACATTGCATACCCCTAAACAGGCTTACAATCGGCCTCATTTGCCTGCTCCCCAATGCAGGCCTTAAGTGCCCTACATTTTATGCATCACAAATTTTTCGATTTTGTCGATTTCGATCCTGACACATCCATACACACGATCGCTGGAGTAGAGAGATCGACCGTAACAGTAATTCTCGTGGTTCTTATCCACAAATAAAAAACAACCACTCCCATCCATTTTTTGCATGACAGTGCAGCTACTTTGTCATGTTTTTCATGGCAAATTGGATGAGGATGGTTCTTTTCCTGTGGGTAATTCTCCTTGTCCTTCCCCATGCAAAATCGCTTGATCCCGATTGCTATGAATTACAAAAGTATCCAACTCGTACAACTAATCGCAGTCATGCGTTACAGATCTTTCTCAAGTCAAATCCGCATTACAAATTCCAAAAAAATTTGCAATGCGATTTATACTAGGAACGATACTTTCCACAGTGCATAATCGCCGACGGCACCCCGAGAATGTCGGCGCAGTTGGTTGGCTGGACAAGATTATCAATGTCGGGCGGGGTTTCCACGATGGGCAGGTTCGGCACACAGATTCCATGCGTCTCTTCGTCGCCTCTTTGCTTTGTTCTAGAACTAGTACCTCGCTTATGACTACTGCGGCCTTTGGAGGTAGCTTCCTCTTTCGTCTTTGAAGTAGATTTTTGCTCGACTTTGCTGTCCGGTCTGTTCTCGTTTGGTCCTTCATGCTGTTCTTCCTTTCTAGTATGCAAAACAAATTTACCGCACCGCACGACGCACAATCAGCATCACAAATTCATTCCCCAAGCTCAAGCATGCCTCTTGGTGCAAACAATCATGCTGAATGCGATTTTCGATACTGAAGATGGGAAGTTCAAGTTGTGTCAACATCCATACGAACAATAAAACACTTCGTACAAGAACTACTTAAAGTAATACCCTACGGCGTCCTCACGTCGTTCTGTACGGGAAATTCACTGTTGATACTGTCCCGTCGCCATTTGTGACGCCGAGGACTCGTAATGCGGAAGACCGGGAGCAGGTACAACACCTTTCCCCGCCGGGTTCTTCTGGTCGGGTCGTGTTAGTTTTGAATCTGAATCTACTTCAGTTGTAGAAGTTGTTTCATTTTTTTGTTCGTCTTGCAAGAAGGAGTCCTTGTTTGATATTTCGTCGATAGCCCTCTTATGCTCCGCCTTGGCACCAGCCTTCGTCCCGCCACTACTTTCGTTAGTCCTGCTCGTTTTCGTGGACGAGGTGGATGCTTGGCTCGTTACTTCCAAATCCTCGTGCTGAGGCAGGTGCCGCGGCTCCTCACCGTCGCTACGTCGCGGTGTTTGTCCCAACGGAGGATGTTCACCCGTTCCGTGGCCAACGTCGCGCTCCAGAAATTCCTGGTCTTCTACACGATCGTGGTCGGGTTCTTCGTCCGGGTTACTGATATCTTGTCCCACCGTGCCTTTCCGTGTTTCGGACTCATCATCTTCCAGGAGTTTCTTATTTTTATCGGTGTTCACGTAGTTCTTGTTTCCGGGCCTATCAGAGTGATCGGGTAGAAGATTTGCTGCAGTGCCCTGCTCAAGTAGAATTTGTGAAGAAGAAGTAGACGGCTCTCCTGCCTCTAATGCTGCACGACGAGGAACCTCAGCAGCTGCTGGTGCTGCTGCGATAGTATGCTCTGGAACGGTGCCTCCAGAAATTGCCAGAGATTTGTTAATGGTTTCATCATGTTCCGCTTGCTCTAGGTTCTCGTCCGCTGCCGTGATTTCCACTACTTTCATCTTCAAATGCTGACGTTCTTCTTCCGTCTGCTGACTGTTTTTTGTCGGAGCTGGAGGTCCACGCGAAGATGATACCACCTGCGCTTGCTGCTCGTGCCGCTGTGTCAGGGTTGGCTGAACTTCTTCATCCGTTAATATGATTCTTCTCCTTTCGTCGGGTATTGTCGGTGAAGAGCGACCGGTCCTACTCCCATATACGCCTGTGCTAATGCGGGCGTCTTGTTTGGCCGGTAGACCCCCGTGGTCTCCCGTGATTGCTGCGTTTTTTTTCGCCGGTGCCTCATCATCAAGAAGGAGCTCTTCTTTGCCAGCACCATCTAGAAGTAGAGGACTATCTTGTTCTGTTCCTCGTCGAGGCGAAGTCGGGGTAGTTGCAGTTCCGCTCATCTGATGTTGTCCTGACAACTGTTCCACACGCCTCTCTGGGCTCGTTTGCACAAGACGGACTGTTTCGTCGGTCGTCTGGACCCGTGCGTGGGCCGCGCAGTTTCTGCTGTATAGCAGGAGATGAAGGTGGCAAAGCCATGCGGTCTTTGCAAAGCGGAATTTTCTCCGCAGGAGGGGATCGGGAGCGGGTTTGTCATCGCCAGGCAAGCGAGGCCTCCGACCTGGCTTGTTCGGTCCGACTCTAGCCGACATCACGAAAGTAGACCATACTACCGGCCGCGTGAGCCGGTCGTGTCAGGAGGTGAGCCAACTAAGCCAATCCATGGAACAAAAAACTGGACGAGTCGTCCATCAACACTCACACTAACAAGTAGAACTAAGCTCGTCACGACTCACTCATCACAGACACACAGCCTCTATCGCCCGGGCGCACAGAAAGGAGAATCGCTCTGCTTCGGGGGCGCCCCTCCCTCATACTTGGACGAGAGCATCTTCGCCAATATTGCTGAAGGGGGGCCTCACTCGGTCTCCTCTCTTCGCTCTCCACGGGCGGGATAAGGAAACAGGCCAACGAACATACGAGGAGCACTCGCTGGCCAGACTTTGTTGGCGATGCGCAAGAAGAATGAAACTTTTTACAGACAAACTTTAACAAAAGCAGCTGTCTTCGAAGGCGAAGGGCCTCAGGCAGGCCAACACAACGCAGCGCCGTGGGTTGGTACACAGATACGAGGCGCCCATGCTCGGCCACCGCGCTGGCCGGCCGGGCCCGCAAACACAGCTTGCACGGGCTGCCGAGAGCGTGGGCGCCATGCCGCCGTCGCTCGGCCTTAGAAGGGCCGCCAACCTTGCAACCTGGAAGCGAGGCACACTAGACAACCAACACGGGGCCAGAACACAAGGGCCGCCCGGGGTGGTGTCTGCGTGAAGCGGACACAGGGCACACGGCTTGGGCCCCCGCCGGGCAGCATGTCGCGGCCCGGGGCGAGTCGGCGCATGGGGCGCGCGGCCGACACAAGGAAAGGCGCAACCCAAACGAGGGCCGCGCACGCTTCTGCAACTCCCCGCGCGAGCCGGCGGGCGCGCGCGCTTGCAAGCTAATAAATAGCCGCAACAACCGGCCTACGCGTCGGGTGCTCGAACTGCGGGCGCCAGGGCCTCCACATCGGCTCGAGTATCCTGCTCACCTCCTGAAGCTCTCCTCTCATTCACCTCCTGGAGTTCGCCCTGCAGTGCCGCTCCTTCTTGTTTGATTTCCCGCGCCCCACCATCCAGAGCGCCCGCTTTTTCTTTCCTTCGCCTCGTTAAAGCCGCTCTCCGAGGCCTCCGCCGCGTCCCGGGCTTCCTCTGCGCCAGCCTGCACAGCGATCACCTTGCGCTCGGCCCCAGAACCACTGGCGGCGTTGCTTGCCAATCGGCGCGGAGGACGCTGCAAGTCGGTGCATTATATACCTCTGCCATGACAGCAACAAAATGTCCACGCCCCTCTCGCTCACATTCCCTATTTCTTTGATGGAGTGTATTTCTCTCGGTATTTTTTGCCTCTCGCAAAACCCTGAGTTCGTCAACATGTTCGGGCCTTGTCTGCCTCCAATAAGTTTTGGAAGCCATACCCATACAAATCAATTTTGCATGGAACGACAAGAGCTCCAATAGCAAGAGCCACGCCTTTGATTCAACAGAAAACACATCGTCGAACAGAGAAGCTTCTCAACCGAAGTGTGAAGAAGAACAGGAACATGATTATTAATTTCGCGCAAAATCGATTATCGACTCCCTAGGTGGGAAGCGCTGTTGGCAGCACGATGTTCTTGTGTCTGAAAGTCTCCTGCGCAGAACTTGAACTTATCTTAATAAAACGACAAAAGGGCTGGGCTGTCACTGAGAATGGAAGTGAAACTGAGAATTATGAGGCTCTCCAAGAAGCAGCTGCCATTCTACTTCCTCGTCAAAGTATCGTGAATCCCGTACAGAAAAACAGTCCTGCCTGCATGCCCACGGCCATCCACTGCGCATTTGACCACGCGACGTTCGCGCTTGTATTTCCTAAATTCGCCATCAAGAAGAAACCCACACCGATCAAGGCCATCATCGCAAGAACGGCCAGCATCCCACAGGCAAACGCTATTTCCGGACTGCCGTTCATCCCTCCGACAGAAGTACTACTTTCTGGACTGGTCTTCATGCCAGACCCAGACCCGCTGCCGCCACCGGACGAAAACACCCCTCTGATGTGGATCCAATGCGACAAGACGAGACAAATCTGCGCGAGTTGGGAAAACACGTTGTGCATCATCTGCAAAAGTATCGCACTCGTAACAATTGCAGTTATGCATGACAAATCCAATTCTCTACCTGAACTAGCATGACAAATAGCATTTTTGCTCCTGAGAAAATTATTTGTAATGCAATTTATACTAGAGCTAGTGCGACACTTTTGCAATGCGTATTGTGCATCGTCGCGTTGGATTTGTTCGAGACCATCAGCTGCACAATATCGCAGATCGCCCAGCCGACGATGAAAAGCGGCTTGCAGGCGACGCAGTCACAGGAAATCTCTGTATCGTCGGCTGAAGCTCCTGCACTGCTTCTTGTCGTGGGTTTTATCGGACTATTTGATGTCATTTCTGTATTCACGCCGGAAACGAGGAGTATCCCTCCGCACACGAACAACCGGAGCACACTGGTCGCGATTATAGCCGGTCGGAGGTCGGATTGGTGCTCCACGTCGGAAACGGATGGGTGTGGGCAGTCAGGGTTGTCGCTGGATCCATCGTATGCACTGCAAAAGTATTGTATCGCACTCGTAAAGATGCATTACAAATTGCCTTACCATTACAAATTAAATCTGTAATGCGGATTTACCTTAAGGAAAAGATCTGTGATGCATGACTGCAATTACTACGGGTACGATGCTTTTGCAGTTCATACATCGCACATGTCATCCTTGGCGATGAACAGCATCATGCAGGGCAAAATGCCCGCAAGGATGTAGATGATGCCAACGATGTTGATGAGCATGGTTTATTTTTGCTTGCGCAGCCGGTGCTTTGTTTCTCACGGCAGGAAAGAGAGACGCTTTCATTGCGATGGTGCTAGTAAGCATAGAGCGGCAGGACTATACGCCTCTGCGCTCCTACTGAAAGGAGGTAAAAACCGCGCCAAGTAGGACCTCATCTATTTACAGTGCGGCGCGTGGTACGATACTCGCTTCATAATTTTCTTGCAAATTTCTATATGCTAATTGTCCCCTGTGCGAGGCCCTGCGTTATTCGGAACAAAGGAAACTGAAGACTCGCTCAAACACGAGGAAGAGATCAACAAGGACACGAAGTCAGAGGTTTTTTTTTTTTATTTTCAATGAAATCATAAAAATCATAAATCTGTTGTTGGTGAACCGACCGCCGGAGCTACCACAGCTAGCTCGAGCTCGGATGCACGACCGAAAGAAGATCCTTCCCAAAGGCCGATGGTCGTCATGCGGGAGGTTCGTCCCGGGACGCTGGTTACAGCAGATCAAGAACGAATAGTGACCGAGTGTTTCCATTCCGCAATATCATGCTCATGCACAAAATCGCATGCAACTTGAACTTTTTTTACTGATGCATGATATGATGAAAGCCGTGAACAACAAGAACTGCTACACCTAGAAAAATTTTGAGTTCTGCAGCAGCTAGAAGCTTACTTCTTTGGTATTTGTCGCAACAGCCGCCATGTTGCCGAAACGGTGGCGATTTACGCCGCTGAGCTGCGGAATTCTGCTTGATTTTCGTACCTTCGCGCAAGCAAAGGGAGCTTTCGCACTTAGTAGTTCTCAGAAGTAGTGTCGCTTTGGTCGTTCGTATTCATTTTCACAATACAATCACAGGCCTACAACTTCCAGTTGACCTTCTAATACGTCTATCCGCCGATAATACTGTCCTTCCCCGACCCGAAACTTCGGCCGGCCCTTCGGATCCTTCCCCCCAGGCCAATCCAGCTCGAAGCAACTGCCCGGCACGATGCGGAAGTCCAAGCTCACCCGACTCCACTCAGTCTTATTCGGCTCCGTGAAGTGCAGACACTTATTCCCGTAGAACCGCACCAGCTCCCCCCGGCAGACGTCGAAACTGCGGAAATCGCCCCGGTTCGGAAAGGATTCGGAAAAAAGCGAATTCGACCCCTTGACCGTGCCGTCGGTTTCGTTTAACGAAAGCCAGAAGTTGATCTGCCCGGGTTGGTGGCCGTACATCGCGTCGATGTGCGGGAGGGTGAGTCGCTGGGTAGACGGGGTTTGCACGCGAATGCAAGGGGTCGCTTGGACGAAAAAGTGGGTTTCTAGTACTTGTTTGTCGTCGGAGGAGCGGCCTGCTCGTGTGCTGTCTTCAGAGCAATAATTTGTCGCGTTGTTTATATCTTGCGTTCCCGACGTGCCCGATCCGCCACCCGCATCAGAAATCGCCTGTTGCAAATGCGGGAAGACAACGGCTTGTAGAAAGTCATGGTAAACGTCCTCGATCGATTCATGAGTTTGGTCGGCTCCCAGGTCCGCTGCAGCAGCCCTCGGCGTTGGGTTGTCCGCAACAGAAACTTCCTCGTTTTGTGCCAGCACAGCGGTCTCCTCTCCTGTTTCCGGAAGATCCTGCTCCTGCTGCTGTCCCCGCAATAGAAACCCGAGTTTTCTCTTCGCCGCTCGGACGGATCGCTGTGGGTCGAAATTTTCAATCGTCTCGTGCCATTTCTCCAGAGTCTCATGTTCTCGCAGCTTCATCACGCGGCGCAGCGCCGCGGCGAAGCGGTCGGCGAAGACGCGGGAGAATGGAATGGTCTGCTGCTCCTGCAGGGGCAGTGGCGGTGCGCGAGCTTGTTGAGCTGCTCCTTTATCCTTGGCAATGGCGGCAGGTCGCTCAAATAAATCATTCGCATTTATTTTCCCAAGGCATGTTAAACTCTCTGGCCGCGGCTCAAGTTCGTCCGGCGCCGGTCCTATTTGTTCGTCGAACTCTAATGTTGGTGGGCATGCGTCGGGCGACTCGAAGCGGGTGCTCGTCCTCTTGCGCAGTTTTTCATAATCTTCTCCACCTGGAGCTCCTCCATCCTGTGCCGCCCCTACTTGCTGTATTATATCAGGTCGCGCACCAGCAGAAATTTCAGCCTGACCGTGGTCTTTTGCAGCACTCGCACCACCAGTTGCGGTTCGGCTGGAGCAAAGCAGGTAATCCCTCCCACGACCGGTTTTCCCAGCGTAGAATTTTTGCATGGATTTCCTTGCTAGCTTCACCGAGGCGGCGGACGGGAGCGACATTTTTTTTTTTTGTGTAAACGAAAAGCTTTGCCGCGTTTACCACGTCTTTCGGATCGATATTGGGAAGATGAGTTTGTTTGTCATAATTCCTCCAGCGTAAGGATAAGTGGCTCACTGCGGTAGAGGTGGAGGTTAAGGCTCATCTTGACGAGATACTAGGCCACACTGAGTAGACACGACAGATCCGATTTAGGATTTTTCTCCATGTCCATGGCCATGATGGCGATGTAGCCCTACATTCCCTGCTTATCTGAATCTGACACCTCCCTTTTTGTTGATCCTTTTTTTTTCAGTAAAACCTGTGTGAGGAGGAGGAACTACTAGCAGAGCAGACCTAATTGTGCGGAAAAGACTGTTGGTGGCCTCCTCGTCGGCGAACTTGCTGTAAGGGACACAAACACGATCATATGATTTGTGAGCCTCCTTGATTGAAGAGAGATCAACTTCTGAGCTTTCTATCATTCCGATTGAGTGAGGCTGCAAAATTCGGTCGTCGTGTATTTTTTAGATCCGATATACACACGCGTGTGGTGCAAGACAGCAAAAGCAATTGTAACACATAAGCAGCAACCGATCCCCTCAACAGCAACAGGCCACCACTTTGGTTGCGCCAGCGGCGCGTGCTCGCTCCCGTCCGTATCAAAATCGTTTCATCGCGTAAATGATTATCATCATTGTCACCTGGCATCCTTCTCACCTACACACCATCAGAGAACGTTTGGGTCTTCGTCCAGTAGTAGATTTTTACCTCGTTCAAAAACAAAGCTTTTACAGCCTTCAACATAATCATAACAGTTTCTGAAACTTTACCACTTATGCGATTTATTTTACTTACATATGATTGCTCTTCACATGTCAGCAGGATACAACTATGGGACGGACGAGCAACTGCAACCTTATGATGTGTGTACTGAACTACTACTCGTACCGAATATAGACCGATAGCTCATCAATTTTTTGAAGAAGTGAAATTTGAAGGGTTTTATCTTCCGCAATCACAATGTTCAGCTTCCAAAAGTGGAAGCGTGATATCATAATCATGCGCATCCACCTGTTTATTTCCGAGTAAGTAAGGTGTTCATCTTTTTGCGTTTCTAAAATCTGGAACAGTCCAGTAGAAGGACTACACTCAGTAAGTCTAGTGGTGCTTCTGAACAGTAAGAGTATCAGACACACAGGAACGAAAAAATAATTACAGTTAGCGTGGGTATTTCTGCCGTTTCGTTTTTTTACAAGGGAATGATGCTATATTTCTCTCGACAATGTTTGAGTTGCTCTGCTTGCTATTTCACTACTTTTTGTTTGTGTTACTATTGCCTTTTGTTTGTGTAACTACGCGTCCTCAAGCTACCTCTCAGGTGAGGAAGTCTTATTTCTGTACTCTATCGAAATATGTGCTTGGAATTGAATTTGATTTTGGTATCTTTAGTATTTCAGTTTTCAGCAGGTAAAGTATATTTGTAAATGTAATTCAAGTAAAGTATATTTGTAATCCGTCTGCTACGTCAGTACTCCTGAAAGTACAGCGCACCAACTTAAATCGTTATTTTCACGCCTGCTCCGATTGTCCACCGGTATTCGCCCCCCGGTTTTCTGGACTTCGCTTTTTTGGGTTCATCGCCACATCACACCGGTCCGTTGCTTTGGGCGGCGCCGCGACTGCCCGCCCTCGGCCCTGCAGCCCCTGCCGTCTCTGCGGCAGCAAGTTTGGGGTGGCGGATGCGGAATTGAATCCGGAGCTGTGCTATGCACTGCAAATGTGTCTTGGTCTACTGGAAACTTGTGATGCTAATTTATGAATTGTGGGGACACTGGAATAGGCAGCCACGCATGACAAGTGGTGTTCTTTCGCTTTCCGCATGACAAACTACATTTTTGCATGACGGGCAAGAGGCTCTTTTCCTGCTCACGCATTACAGGTTCAATAGTCATGTGAGACAAGCATGACAATATAAGTACTTGTATTCTCCCAGACCCCGACATATTTTCAATGCATATGAGCAGGCCGGCGTTCCCCGGTTGACCGTCGATGGCCTTGCGGGATTCGCTTAGTTTCGCCGCGTATGCATTGCAAAAGTATCGCACTCGTTGTACTAATTGCGTTTATGCATTACAAGTCTTTTTCTTGAGGCATATTCGCATTACATACAAATTTAAAATTTGTAATGCTATGTGAATTTATTGTAATGCAATTCATACTAGTACGATGCTTTTGCAATCCATACCGCGATCTCCATGACGTACTGTGCCTGGATTTCGGGTAACTGGAACGAGCTCGAGGCTGGGCGGAAGACGTATGAACTGCAAAAGTATCGTAGTCGTACTAATCGTAATCGCATTTATGCATTACAAATTCCATTGTTAGGGTAAATTCGCATTACAAATTTCATCTTTCATGCGGAGGAAATTTGTCATGCGATTTATAGATACTAGTACGATACTTTTGCACAGGATAAGACCGGGTCCCAGACTAAACAGCTGTGCACCAGCTTCCGCAAGTCGTTGGACAGGACGTCGAGTCTCCTTATGTTTAGCATGTGACTCAGTGGAGAAGTCGGATTGCCAGAAAATATCGCTTTCACCATCTCCATATCGTCAAAACAGGTCCACTGGAAGGCTTTTGTCGTGGGGGTCTTTTTGTTCATCAGATAGTTACTATTCCGCCGTTCAGCCTGCGCTGAAGTGGAAGCCGTTCCACCACCACCGGCACTGCTGCTGTTTTTCCGCTCCGTCGAAGGTGTATCACAGGAAAAAGTGTTAGTTAACGTTAACGGAATTTGTGATGCAGCAATGCATCACAAAACGTGTCAGAATTTGTCATGCATAGCATGCATATTGGACTACATTTGTGATGCATGACTGCAATCTGTGAACATTGTTAACGTTAACACTTTTTCCTGTGATAAGGTGGTTTTTTATTCGACGAAGATCGACTGCTCTGCTTGTTGTGTGCTGTTATGCTCTATCAAATGTAAAAGTGTCTGGGTCTGGAAGAGTGCATGTTTGTCATGCTTGTCTGGCATGACTCTTAAATCTGTCGCGCACGTTACTCAAGAGCTCCTTTTTTCTGTCATGCAGAAACGCAGTTTGTCATGCAGAATAAGCAACACCTAGAAGCTCAGAAACTTGTCATGCTGAGCCAGCACTTCTGGCCTCCTCATGATACGCCACCCAGCATCACAAGTTTCCAGACCCAGACATTTTTGCATTTGATATGCTCTGGCTATGCTCTCCTGCTGGAACCCCACCTCCGTTATTGTAATTGCTCAGGGCCTGTGACTGCACGGCCGACTCGTCCTGCAAAATCGATCCGTTTGATGACGGCCGCTTGCTGTTGCTCGAATGCCCCAGACTCGGGGTTTTGGACAGTTTGGACTTGGAGCCTTGTTGCTGGGCTGTGATATTGATGGGACGGGACAAGGTGGGTCTTGACTCTGATGCAGCTTCATACTGCAGTACGAGGACGTCGACAAATGCATTTCTGGGCTGACTTCTACTAAAAAAAAAGTTGTTTAGAACGCTAGCGAACAAGAAATGTTGAAGCACATGAAGAGATGATCATGATCATCACCATGACCTCCATTTCAAAAATAAGTCCTCAACAGTTAATGTTCATTGCTCTGCACTAGAACGTCCCTGAGGGAGGTGGACGATTATTAAAAACGAGATGAAATATTTTTTGCGCACCATCAAGATACCTCCTTCTGCCCCGAATTCCGGCGGCAAGGCTTGCTGCACGGCATACTGTGCCATGGTGAACGGCTGCACAATGGAGGGCGTGATTTCCGAATTCAGGTCGTGCTCCCCGGCAGAGGTGGGTCTGGATTTAAACTCTCGGGAGCTCGTCGCCGGATCCGTGAGACTTGTGTCGGTGATTGTTGTATGCAATACAAATTTATTCCCGTACATGTACAAGATATACATCACAAATTTCACCACTTTGAAGCGTAAAACTTGTAATGCTAGACTAGGATCGAAGCCAATTTTTGTCATGCAGAGACCGCATGTGTACGTGTACGGGAAATTTACTGTGAATATTGTGACACTTGCCCGCGATTGTTGTTGTTCTTTTTCGGTGTCGTCCGCATTTCTTGAGAGCTGGTCACCGAACTTATCTCGTTTTTCGGCACTTGAGAGCTGTATAGCGGTAAAATTGGTATTCTTATTCAATATACAAAAAATTTAGAGCCCCCTCTCAGCCCACCAGAACAACCTCCTCCGTCCACCGTCCAACGTCGACGACCCCCGGCTTCAACCTCGTCTGCGCCGACCTTTTGTTCTTTATTTTTGAATGCGAGGCTATTTGATGACGAATGCGAATGCGAATGAAGTGTATGAGCTTGTCGTGGTGTTAGATAGTTCAAAATAGCTAGCACTTGAGATGTTCGGCGAGTAAGATAATCAGTTGGGGTCGCCCGGCTCGGTCCAACAGCAGGTCCACCACGGTGTCCGACTTGGGCACCAAGTGGTGCCCAACATGCGCAGCCTGGTCGAGCTACGTCTCTCCAGAAAAATCGGCGACAAGTCACGATATGCGAAATCACATCTACAAGTGCATGCTACATTTTGAACTATCTACCACCACGACAAGCTAGCTAGGTTAATGTAGATTCATTCCATTATTCCAAAAATACCACTCAAAATTAGCAGGGTCGCCGAACGCCGCCTACTTACCTGTTCTGTTCTCGACCTCTCGCTGCAGCACCACCTTCAGTTGCGTCGCCGGCAGCCCTTGACGGGGGGAAAATTTTTTGCGTTTTTTGAATACGAATACCAATTTTACCGTTATAAGCTGGTCACCGAACTTATCTCGTTTTTCGGCACGTGGTGCAGCTTTTCGGCGGAGGAAGAAGAAGATTGTGTTTTGTTGTTGCTCGATATGACAGTGCACAACTCCCGCCCCCCCTCGTTTGAAAGGCATAAGCAGCAACACAAGGGCTGGTATAAATGCAGCTTTTGCATGACAACTTCGCGACCGATTCATGTGCTGGCTCAGCTTCCGAAATCTGTCATGCAAGCAGTGCTTAAGGGAAAGGAGTCGGCTTGGTACTTTGCATGACAAATGAGGGGGAGAGGAGGTATTGTCATACTCGAAGAATTGAACGTAAACGTGTTGGTCGTGGTTCCGGAGCTACTGGCTTGCGGCGGCGTTGGTTCCCGGGCTTCGTTGTATTGGAGCTTATGGTAGGGTCAAGAGGTCCAAATTCCCAAGTCGAGGAAATTGAGTAGATTGAAATTAAAAAAATGGCGCCGCTTTTTCGACATGACTTCGCTATGTAGCCCCGCAGCTGTTGTCTCCGTCTCCTGTGTCGCCCTGTTTGCTCCTTTCGGTTGTCCCCACAGTCGCCGACTATTGCACCGCTTCGCGGCTAGTGCTGCTAGATGGAGCTACTACTATTGGGAAGAGACTGTTGCTGCGATTTCTCCGCGCCACATGCTATACAAATCCGGCCAGATCTCAGCCCAGGAAAAAAATAACCGAAGTTTTCTGGCAAAGAAAAATCGTCGACGCAAAAAAAGAAAACGGCAGGCTTGCCGAAAAAAACCGGGAAAAAAAAGCGCCCGGCGAAAAAGTAAATTGAGTAAATTGAGAAAAAAAGGTCCGATTTTTTGTGCAGGCGTATTGGGAACGAATTCCACTGGTCAGGGAACACGACCTAAAAATCTCAATTTACTCAATTTACTTTTTGTGTGACGCACCAGAAAAAGCCGGATTTTTCCGGTTTTTCTGGGTGCGTTACACTTTTTTTCTGGCGCGCCATTTTTTTTCTGCTCGCGGAAAAAAAAGTCCGGCGTGTGGCCAGGCAAGTCCGAGAGCCATTCTTCGCGCCGCGCGCGCGCGACCCTCTCGATGGAACTCTAGTGCCGAAAATATTTGCGACCGCACGCTGCGACCTTTAGCAAAGGCGCCAGCTGGTCAAGCTAGTCCGGCTACCGTTTCCAAAACCTCCATCCGGCCAAATCACTTCGCGTCACCGCCTCGCCACGGTTCTTGTTTTTCTTTTTCAAAAAAATATTTTCAATTTACTAAATTTACTCGACTTGGGAATCGCACCACATAAGTAGGGGAAGGACACGGGGAGAGCGAAATTCTTGCATAAAAGTTTCAGATATCAAATAAATCCTGCACGGTGCAGCTAAGTATGAGGGCGCCATTCATGTCTGATGTGGTCTCAATAGTACGATCTTATCTGATTACGCACAGAAAGAACCACTTATGCAAGAATTCTTGAGACAATACTCCCCCTGCCTCAGTCTTCCCGTACTGATATTTCCGTTGTTGCTGAACAGTTTGCTCTATTCTGTGCAAAAGTTTCGCACTCGTAGCAATATATCACGATTACTCATGACAAATCTCCTGCTCAAGGAAAATAAGCATGACAAATTCCACTTGTAACCACGCTGAGCAAGTTATTTGTAATGCAATTTCTACATTATAGTACCGAGACTTTTGCAATTCATATGCTGAGACAATGGGATTGCGTCCAGGGGATTGTCCAGCGCGTCTTGCTCGATCTCGTGAAATAAGGCAGCCAGCATGTATGAAAATGCACAACTCGTCCCCGCCCTCCCCCTCATTTGAGGTGCATGTGCAGCAAGACAAGCAACGGAAGAAGTGGAGGGCCCTTCGCATGTTGACACGGACTGTAGTAGTACTGTTTGAGATTCCAAAATTTGTCACGCAAACAGTGCTTCAATGCAAGAGGTGCTGGAGCTGGAATTGGTATCTTGCAATACAAGTTGTAAGGGGAAGGCCGGGGAGGTTCGCACTTTCATAGCATGATCGGACTGTCTTCGACTAACGAAGCCAAATTCCTTCTTATCAACGGCTGAAAATTATTGTCTTCCTCGAGGCCGCTGTTGCTGGATCTCGTTGCGTATACTGGTGTGCAAAAGTCTCGTAGGCGTACTAGTGGCATCAAGCCTGCTGCATCAGTCATGCTGACCTGGTTATTTCCTATCTGATTCAGCATTACAAATTCCATAACTCATGTTCATCTTGCTGAAAATTTTGTTCAATTTCATGCAAGAATTTATGACTAGGTAGTACGAGCAGATGCTTTTGCAATGCATATAATTGCCTGAAAATGCTCCAAGTAGTTGTTATCGGGCCAGTATGCATTGCAAATGTGTCTGCGTCTGGGAGGGCGCGAACTTGTCATGTTGCTAAGTCTAGATCGTACAAAAATTTGTGTTGCATGCCTCCCAAAAGCTACAACTTTTGAACAAGTTTAGAGGCAGTTTGTCGCGCAGGATAGGCATGATTGAGACGTCGCAGAGCCTGTCATGCTACGCCCTGCACTCCAAACCTCATGGGGCAAGGGCATGGAAAAGATGCATGCGAAGTTTGCATTCTTCCAGACCCAGACATATTTGCAATGCATAGCCAGGAAAGGCGCCCGCTGGATGATCCTTTCACGGTATCCTCCCGCCCTGCAGACTCCCCGGAAACTTCCCTTATCAAATGCAAAAGTGTCTGGGTCTGGAAGAATGCAAGGCTTGTCATGCTTGACTGGCATGACCCATGATGCTTGTAATGCATGACCTAGCATCACAGATTTTTAGAGGGCTTCCTGATGTTGCCTATTCCGCATGACAAACGCCCTCCCCGCGTAGCACAAACTAGACTCCTCTTGCTGATCATGCAATACAGATTTTTTTAGAGTCCGAAGTTAGCATCACAAGCTCCAACCTCCCAGACCCAGACATTTTTGCATTTCATATCCCTTTTCATCTCACCACTCAGCTCTTCGGGTGGTGGAGTAGCGCCGCTGTTCTTCCTATCTACGCCTTCTTTCAGCCTTTTTCGTTCCTTGCCGCCGGATGTTGGAGAGGTTTTCGCCGCTTTGGCTAAGTTGCTGTAATCCGCTCCCTGTGGGCTTTCCTTGCTCGAATGCGATTCCGTGTTTACGCCCGACGCTTTTGAGGCTCCGAGCAGAGGCTATGGAGGATTTGAAGCGTCCGTTACTACATTTTTGGAGGTAGTCTGTGTAGTTTTTACATGTGGTTTTCTTCTCTTCATGCAGAATCTTCACCATCACCTTCCGGGCGATTATTCCACCCTCTCGCATGACGACAAGTTCATCTCGACGCGCTGCAAGAAGAGCGCAGGGGAATTATCCTTTCAAGAAAAGCTGTAACGCGATCCACGCAAGGTCCTCGCCACTGTAGTAGTTCTTGTGTCGCACACACATGTATACGGCTACCAATTTATTAACCACGCTTGAGAAAAGCCGATTGATAACTGCTGCACGTTTGCGGGCGATCGCGATCCGAAGGAAAAGGCGCCGGAACCCTTGCTCGGGGAGAGAGACGACGCGTCACCGCCATCCCCGCTATTCTGGGAATGGCTTTCCTCGTTGTTCTCGAGAATCCGACGGTTTCTTTCCGCGAGATGCTTCGCGTTTATGGATCGCAAATATGTCTTGGTCTGGAAGAAGGGAAGGTCTGCCATGCTCTGCTAGCATGAGTCAAAAATCTGTTATGCTCGTTACCCAAAAGGCCCACTTTTCTGTCATGCCGAGACGGGGTTTGTCATGCAGAATACGCAACACCTAGCAAGTCAGAAACTTGTCATGCTGAGCTGTCATCTGTGGCGTCCTCAGGATTCGCCAACCAGCATCACAAGTTTCCACCAGACCAAGACATTTTTGCACTTGATAGCGTTCAGCTTCGTTTCGTTTTCAGAGGATCTATTTTGCAGTTTTTCGAAACTTTCGAACACCTCGCCTCTGTATGAATTAGAATTGCAAAAGTATCGCACTCGTATCAATGCATTACAAATTTCCTCAGCATGAGAAATAAAATTTGTAATGCTGATTTACCTTAAGAAAAAGATTTGTAATGCATGATTGCACTACGAGTACGATACTTTTGCACAGGATACTCTGGCGTCGAGTTGCGCCTGGGTTTTCGCGACGAACTTTTTCACCAAATGCCCTATCCTTCCAGGTCCCAGAATCATGTCCACCAAGAGAATTCCCAAGCCCCAAACATCCGCTAGGGCTCCGTCGACAAAGTTCAGCCCGGGGATAATCACTTCCGGCGCCATGTAAGGCCAGTGGCCCGGTACGAGCCTTGCTGGGTTGTCGTAAATGCTTCCCGTGCAGTACTCTTTCCTTTCTTCTTCTGTGAGGTTGTCGATTTTGTTCAGCCGGTCTTTGTATGGATTGGAAATATGTCTGCTTGGTCTGGAAGAATGCAAAGTATGTTGGTTGCCATGCAGCACAGGCAACACCTAGAAGCCTCTCAAAAACTTTTCATGCGCGGCCACGAATTGAGACGTCCTCAAGATTGTCCAGCCCGCATCACAAGTTTGCAGACTGAGACATATTTGCATTTCATAGCTTGAAATTGTTGCCGTTCATTTCCACTTCCTTCATCAACGTGGAACGGGTAAAATCCGTGACTTTTACCTTTCAGTATTTATTTTTTTCATCTATGTGAAAATTCGTAATGCGCAACTCCCTTGAGAAACTTTGTTTGTCATGCTCGAGATGCATATGTATGTAAGAGAAGGGCGTTAATCGAAATCATCACCATCAGTTGTAAGATCATCAAAACAATAAAAATATACCACTCCGTTCCTTCCCATGTGCACGATTTCTGGCTTGATATCTCGGTGACACACCAGGGCCTGGTGACAATACGAAATCGCGCACAACACCTGCACCCAGACCGCGTGAATTTGCTGCTCCGGGAATTCCTTGTTCGGGTAGGTTTGCAGAACGTGCATGAGATTCCGCCCGTCGCCGAGGTCGTCCATTATAAAGTACAAATGGTTCGTGGAGTGCAGCTATCGAACTCGAAAAAGTAGATGCAGGGTCTGCCATGCTCTGCTAGCATGATTCACAAGGTTGTCTTGCGCGCTGCCCAAAAGTGCCATTCTTCTCTCAGGCAGCAGCGCGGTTTGTCATGCAGAGTAGACAACGCTGTAGCATCTGCAAAACTTGTCATGCTTGGCAGCCAATTGAGGTGTGCTCGTCTTTCTCCAACCAGCATCACAAGATTCCAGACCCAGACATATTTGCATTTGATAGCAGCATCCCGTGACAGCAAAGGATGTTCGGGTGCTTCTCCATGGAGCTGAGTAACTATGACAGTGCACAACCCCCCCCCTCCCCTTTCTTTGTCATGCAAAATCCCAAATCCAGTCGCCGCCCTGCGGCACTGTTTGCTTGACAAATTCCGGAACAAGCCAAAACAGCACTACATTAGGGACATAGATTTGCCATGCATAGGCTCCATCTACGCTGGAGCTGGTGTTTGTATTGCTGTTCATGACATACAAATGCGGGGGAGGAGGAGTTGTGCACCTTTATAGCAGCCCGAGCCTATACTCGCGGTAAAGTTCCTCCAATTCCAAAGCCGACTCAATTTTGTTCTTTTCCACAACCCGCATGCATCTCATCACCTTCGGCGTGTTTTTCCTCCGCGATGTGCTGGTGCTGTGGTCGGAGGAAGAGGTGCTACTCGTTCCGGTTTTATTCTTCTTCCCCCCGGCGCCCGCCGCGTCATCCCCGGTCAGTGCGGTGTTGTGGCACCGCCAGGTGACCCCTAACCTCCCCTCGGAGACGATCTTTTCAAACACCCAGGAATCCACTCCCTGGGCGGTCTCGAGTTGGTCCAATATCCTGGGCAAAAGTATCGTACTCGTATTGCAGTCATGTATATACAAATTTTTTTCTGAACAAGGTAAATCCGCATGACAAATTTTGTTTCTCATGCTGAGGAAATTGATTTGTAATGCATTTATACAAGTACGATACAACTTTTGCAATGCATATCCAGCGCCGGGTTGCAACTTGCGAAGTGCTGGAACATGCGCTTGAACACGTACTGCCAGAGAAACTTGTAGTACTTCAACTCGACTGTCTATCCCGAGAAAAAACTGCTACAGTATGCACATTTCTAGTGAATTCAGCAATAGTACAAACTCGCTCTGCATTGCAGAGCAGAAAACTTGTAATGCGCAGATCCTAGGGGAAAACACACGCATGAAACGAGGCTCGCATGCCTTTCCAGCATGAGAGAGGTTGTCTGTCTTGCTTGGTCTGCAACACAATGTGTAACTGTAACACTTTTTTCTTTGCATACTGCCTCTACATCGGCCATGTTGATCGCGGAGGCTTGCTGGTTCAAGTGCAGCTGCCGTGACATTCTTGCCATGTTCGACTCCATATGCATTGCACAAGTATCGCACTCGTATAAATGCATTACAAATTTCCTCAGCATGAGAGGTAATGCTGATTGACCTTAAGAAAAGAATTTGTAACGCATGATTGCAATACGAGTACGATACTTTTGCACAGGATATTCCACCCGCATCAAGTACATGCGTACCTGGAAGTCCAAATTGAAGCACGCGCGCCAAATCACCCCGTCGGCGCCGAGTTGCAGGAGCTTTTCCGTGATCTCGATTTGCAAGGCGGAGTCGAGGAGCCGCGGGAGGACTGTGATAGAGATAGGTCGGCGTCGGGTCGTGTTGATCAAAAAACTAAAAAACTATAACAAGAATAAAAAATATAATCATGCTGATCATTTTAGATAAATTTAGTAAACTCCTCCTTCCAGGAGCTGCAGCTAAGTATCTATTCCTTATGCACACTTATGCATTCATCAGTAGTTCAAGTTCTTCGCGCAGCGAGTAGAAAGAATCTACTAGACTTACTAGAATACAACAACAGTACCAAGGTCTCCACTGGCACTGCTTCGTTGTCGGTCCGGCGAGCTAGAATGGCTGCCTGGCAGACTAGGCACGCGGGAATGCGAACGCTGTCTGTCACTGCCAGAATTCGTTCTGGACCTGGGCTTTGCAGGATTGTTCGGATTCTGTTGTTCTTGCTTCATCTGCCCGGTAGAACTCCCAACAACCACGTTCGCATTGGCAGCGTGGTCCGGCGATTTGTCAATGCTCAAGTCGTGGTTTTGGTCTTCATCTTCATGATGATGCAGCCCACGATCTTGCTGATGTTGCAGCAATTTCTCATGATGGTCTTCGTGGTTTTGATGTTCGGCAGGATCAACATTCTGCTGGTCTTTCGTCGTGTTCTTAGAAGTTGTGCTGGAAACAAGGGCTGTAGTCGTGTTGACTCTTTCGTAGATTTCTTGTTGTCGTTGGTCAACATCTACATCGTCCTGCTCCTGATGTAAACCTTCCTCATCCCCCTCTTCCATGCCGTCTAACAACGCGGACACCGACGTCCCACTTTTTTCTTTCACACCGGTGCCGCTTTATGGGAGTGTCAGGATTGAAATCAACAAAGTTGAAATGATTCGCCATGCATAAAATGTAGGGCACTGGAGGCCTGTATTGGGGAGCAGGCAAATGGGACCGATTGTGAGCCTGTTCAGGGGTATGCAATGCGCTGCCAGAGTAGCACGACAGGAGCAGTCTTCTTTGCCCAAACAGCATGTCAGACTGTACTCGGGTGCTCCTGAAATTTGTCATGCGCCGCTTGCAAACTGAGGCTCCAACTGGTATCGATTTTATGCATCGCAAGTTTTTCGATTTTGTCAATTCCGATTCTGACACTTCCATAAGGTTCCGAAATTATTTACCGACTCTGACTGTTTCGACGCGGTAAACATGGAGCTGATGGTTTTTTCCATACTGCTGTTGCTGGTATTGGTGATCTATGCGTTGCAAACATGTCTGGGTCTGGAAGGATGCAACTTGTGATGCGCATTTCGCAACACATGAAAATCTCCCATGCATAGGCAGCAAAAGCTGCCCGCTTTTTGTCACCAAAGTGGGGCATTTGTCATGCAGATTCGGCATTGCGGAAGCTTCTCGAAGCCTGTGATGCGAGAGCTTCCATGCCAGACCTGCTGTGTCATTCAGAAGTAACATAACTCTTCCAGACCCAGACATATTTGCATTTGATATGATCTGCTTCTCTTTGATTTTCCCCAAATCTTCATTCTTATCCTTTGCAAAAGTATCGTACTCGTATAAATGCAAGTCTTGCATTACAAATCTTTTTCTTAAGGCAAACCCGCATTACAAATTCCATTTCTAATGCTAAGGAAATTTGTATTGCGATTTATACTAGTACGATACTTTTGCAGTGCATAATTCTGCACCGGTAGCAACGTCGGAGGAAGAGGAACACCTGCTCCAGCAGGAAACAAAGCCGCCTGCGCCTTCAGGTGCTGTACCACCTCCGCGCTGCCTCTTTGCAGTTTCGCTTTTTTCAACTGCTTATCCAGTGCAAAATTATCGTACTCGTAAAAAATGTCATGCTCATGCAAATTTCCTCAGCATGAGAAATAAAATTTGCAATGCTGATTTACCTAAAGAAAAATACTTGTAATACATGATCGCAATTCGAGTACAATGCTTTTGCAGTGCATACTGCCGCATCTTTTCCTTCAACTCCAGTTTCAAAGCGGTAGACGCCGGATAGGCGTCCTTGATCGAGATGTGCACGACAAGAATCGGCGGCGACTGCGGATTATCCTGTGCAAAAGTATCGCACTCGTAGTAATCGCAGTCATGCATTACAAATCTCCTTCCCAAGGCGAATCAGCATGACAAATTCCATTTGTAATGCTGAGCGAATTTGTATTGCAATTACTCCTAGTACGATACATTTGCAATGCATACGGGTACGCGTCAAACAGCCGGACCAAATCCGGGATCGGTAATCGTTTTGTCCTATGCAAAAACGGCGTCCCCGCCCAACAGTTGCCCCGCAAATCTGCATGCTTTAAAACGTTTCTCATGCGTATCCCCATGCGATGCATTTTCTAAGTTCTGTTTTGAAATTTGTGATGGTCGAATCAGAATACTACATTGCGAGCCCAGACTTGTCATGCGCAACAGCAAAAGCTTGCTGATTTATCTTGCGAGTAGATTTCCCAACTTGACTGTATGGAAGTGGGGACCCTTTTACATATGATACGGTCGTCGGTTAAATCACCCAAAATCAGCAAAACATCCTTCTCATCCACGTCCGGGTACAAATCGTCACTGACGTCCTGTACCCCCCGGATCTGTTTTGCGTATTTGTCCCGATCCTATGAGAGTGCACAACTCCCCCTCCCCCTCATTTGTAATGCAAAATACAATATTCAAACCTGCTCGTACGCACTGCTAGCATGACAAATTTTGGAACTGCAAATAATAGTACTACAATCTGCACGCAGATTTGTCATGCGAGAGCCCGTTTTCTGCTGTTGTTTGTGTTGCTGTTCATGCCATACGAATGAGGGGGAGGCGGAGTTGTACACTCTCATAGATCCGGTCTCTGTAGAAACTTGCGCAGCGGTCGTTCGTGCTCCAGCTCCCGCGGGAGGTTGTTGGGATCCAGCATCGCACTGCTGCCGAACCGGCTGCCCAAAGAGCCCGAGTAGTTCGGCTGAGAGAAGCCAGTCGAGTACCCGATCGTGCTTAAACTGGATGTGGCAATATTGAACGCAGTGTCGCTGTTCCTCGCCGAGGGACTTGGCGGCTGTTGATCACCGAGTGCTTTGTTGAGTCTGCTAGTACTGTATCCACAGTAAATTTCCCGCACATGTACAACAAATGTGGCTTCCGCATGACAAACTTTTTCGTCAAACCTCTTCATCAGCATGACAAGCGAGCTCTTCTGAAGAATCCCTGAAATTTGTGATGCATTTTGTACATGTACGGGAAATTTCAATTTGTATAGTTGCATATACTGTTGCTCAAGTGTGCAGCTCCCGCACTGTTGTGGTCCGTTAGCTCGGACAACGGGAGTGGCGGCTTGGTACAGACGAGTGCGTAGTACTGCAAACTCAAATGCTCCAATTCTCGCAGCGCGCCGGTTATCCAGGAAAAAACACCCATCCCCATCCAATTTGTCATGCAAAACATGCATAAGCTGCAGTGTTTGTCATGCAAAAAATGGATGGGGATGGGTGTTTTTTCCTGGATACCGGTGAGTGAATTCACATACTCGAACTGCTCTTCCTCCGCCGCCAATTTCCACTGCAAAAGCAAGCGTCCTAATTGCAACGTTGCATGACAAATTGAAATGTCCAGTCTCAGACTCAGGTATATGAGCATTACTAAAAGTTTCGTTCTTCTATATGATCGTGTTGGGAAAATCATTTGTAATGCGGTTCACACTAGTTGTACGATCATTATACTTTTGCAGTGCATAGTCAACGGCTCTGACCGATTCCTTAGCCGCGGCCGGACGAAGCGTGCCTCGCGGAGCGGCGTGATCGGTATGAGAGTGCACAACAACTCCCCCTTCCCCTCATTTGAAGGGCATAAGCAGCAACACAAGTGCTGGCATAAATGCAGTTTGTGCATGACAGATTCCAATATAAACTCGCGACCGGTCGTTGTAGTGCTGTTCCGGCTATTCCGGAACCTGCCATGCAAGCAGTGCCAGGGAAAAAAGGATGGGCTTGTCGTTTTGCATGACAAATGAGGGGGAGCGGGAGTTGTGCATTGTCATAATGGGCGTCGGAGGTGTCGATGCGCCGTCGACCAGAGTCGGTATTCTGAGTAAAAACATCCCCACCCCAGAGTTGTCATGCAAATCTGCATGCCAAAAACGTTTCTCATGCGAAGCGCCATGAGAGGCATTTTGTAATCGCATTTTGGAATTTCCGATGCTATAATCAGCATGATATGCTAGACCTGTGATGCTGCTAGACTACCTAAACACGACTACACTACGAGGACAAATTTGTCATGCGAAACAACCAAAGCTGGCTGATTTGTCTAGCAGATTTTCCATCTTGACTCTGGTGTGGGGACGTTTTTCCTCAGGATAGTCGGAGGCGTTTGCTCATTGAAGGTGTCCTGGCCACTGTGGTACCCCCGGAGAGAATATGCACTGCAGAAGTATCGTACTAGTAGTAATTGCAATACAAATTGGCTCAGCATTACAAATCAATGGAATTCGTCATGCTGATTTGCCTCGGGAAGGAGATTTGTAATGCATGACTGCGAGGATTACTACGAGTACGATACTTTTGCACAGGATAGAGAATGTGTGGATGCGTGGCTGGCCTGGGGACTGGTGTCGGCTATTGGACCAGTACCAGTAGCCAATGGAAGCTTGTTGCCGTTTTTGTTCTGGACGAGGCTTGAAGCGTTGCTTGTTCCACCTCCCGCCCCAGGAGACGCCTGCGCGCCCGCAGCTGTGATTGTACTAGGGAGCTCTTCTTGAGTAGATGCGGCAGGACCTGCACCTCCAGCGGTGGGACCACTGTGGTGCGAGTTGGTCACGACAGGTGGTGGCGTGACGATGGAAGAAGCAGGTCCGGGTGACACTCTGCTCATTCGATCGTAGTCAATGGGGGCGGTGATGGTGGTGTGACCGGAAACCGAATATCCACAGAAAAAAACCCATCCACATCCATTTTTTGCATGACAAACATATGACTTGATACGTGTTGTGCATGACAAATTGGATGTGGATGGGTTTTTTTCTGTGCATACCGAAGACCCCTGGCCGTCGCCGCGATAAACGTCGTCGACGACCATGGTTTATTTTCAGAGGTATGTAAGTAAGTGGAGCAATGAACCTATTTTACATCGGTGACAGGCCGAAGATACAAAATAAGCAGACACGACCTTGCTGTAAGTTTGTAGTACAACCTCCTCCACCCATCGCTCAGTCAATGTCAGTGCTAAGAGTTCCAGCCGTAACAGGAGCAACTCTGCTATCCCACGTGCATCGTACACGCGCCGCTCAGAATCAGAATCAGAAAGTTTCAAAAAATGCGCGAACCACCTACGAAACGCAAGTATTTTTTCTTGCGGCCGACGCCAATGCTACACTTCTGATGGTGTACGTGAAGTCAGCATTGGCAATGGCGAGACAGCAATGGCAATGGAAAAGAAGGAAAAAAGCTTAATAATAGCAACAAAAACTCTTCACTGTCCACTCTTCAGTCTTCACTGTAAGTGGTCGGCCGCATTATATTGCTTGGCCTACAGGAACCAACTCGAAATCAAGTACCCCTCCTGTCACTACTCGCTCACATGCAGAGGCCGAAGAAGCCCTGCAGCTCCTGAGAAAATGAATCCACGCTTTTACTAGCCGCTCCGGGGCACGCCGATTGGACAAAGAGGCAGTGAAGGTGAGCAATCATCATCATCTGGTGCAGCAACCGCGAGTACATAGTGCTTAAACGGCATGATCGCAAGAACAGGCCAGCTTCATTGCAGCGAACAAGTCGCTACAGTCTCTGAAATCGCAGAGCGACAAGGTCATTTAGCCTGGACTTGCAAGTACGTCCTGCTCGCGTGTGATATTTATATACACAGCACCAAGTCGATACTGGTCTTCCGGTCATTTCATTGGTTGCAGAAAGCAAAGACTAGCGAAATACTTTTGTTTTCCGTCCTCGTCTGAATTATGTGGAGGGTTCTCTACCAATGACTGCAAGCAAAAGGAGATAGCAAAGCAATTACCAGCAAAAGGCGAGTCCGCAGCCCCTCGCACATGACAATCACAGTCTTCTAGCGAATCCACCGCACCATATCTTTCATTTCTACAATCGCTGGTATAATGAAGGCCCAAGTGGTGCGTAGGTGGGAGATCACGGACATCGATTTGCAGAAGGCGAGCCTGCTCAAGATTAGCTCGCTCCGACAGCTCTGCTATTTTATCTTCAAGGAAAAAGTAGTCCTCAAAAGTGATAATCCACGGAAGAGCCTAAAATTGAAAAAACCATCTTCGCATGACGTAGCCACAGCCAGCAGGAAAGGCGTAAAGAGGCACCTGAATCTGCTGACGTCATAAGTGTGTAGGACGACGGGCTGCCTGGAAACTACAAACCACCGGTCGTGGTGCAAACCAGGAACTGCAAAGTAGGCGACGTCGACGCAATTCGAATGCAAGAATTGACAGCAAATAAGGAATACTTCGTCCATGACAAAAGAAGCATCCTAGATATTGCTAGTGTGCCTCCTTTCCTCGTCGTGAGCAAAAAAGATAGTTATTCAATTTCCATAGGGCCGCATTTTCTCCCAAGCATGCAGATACCGGACAGGAATGACGACTTTGAATTCCCGCAAAAACGCCGGTAATTTTCCGTCCAGTTCCGTTTTACAGCATTCCACGAAACACTTCAGAAAACATCCCACATTAGCCGCTTGAAACGGATTTTTCGCCTCCAATCGCACCGACCGGAGGTTTTTGATTTGCCAAATCTTCCCGTTCTTCTGCTGCTGCAAGACGATTCTCCAGGATTCCAACACGCTCTCCCCGAGTCCCCAATGCCCCGGCCCTTTGCTCGTCACATTGTGGATGTAGTGGGAGAGGAGCGGCTGGCAGTCCTCTTCCGATAAGCGCTGATAAACTGCTGCGCCGGTTTGCTTCAGCGTATTTGTTGTTTGCTGGGTCAGAAACGGGAGCACGTAGAAAAGCACGTCGACGAAGGTTGGGGGTGGAGGTGGAATGGTAGAGGGTGGTAGTTCGTCCGCTCCACAACTAGGAGGTGCAGTAGGGGCTGAAGGTCCTGTCGCTGTTGCATGAAGAGAAGTCGTGGCATTTTCATGCATCGCTGGTGCCGACGTCGACGTCGCCGCTCTTGCCGCGCCTGCATGATCCTCGTCAAGATGAACTACAACGGCTGTAGTTCTATTTCGTGCAGCCTCTCCAGTTGCAAGTGACGGCGGCGTTGGCAAAGGTGTCTGTACAAGCGCCTGGTGTAGTAGCTCTGTGGTAGTTTCTCTTTCTACTTCTATTACACAAGCTCCACGACCGGCGTTTTCCAAAGAAGTAGGACAAGAACTGTCGTGGTCCTCTTGATGTTCTCCTTTTGGTCGTCGTCCACCCAGGAGCACATAGGGCTGATTGCATTTTTCGACTTCTTCACCCTGCTGTCGTGGGTGTTGTTGGCGTTCCGAGCAGGTGAAACTACTACTCTTACTCGCGGTGGTGGAGGAGCATCCTGGAACCAGTACCAGAGAAGCAGGTGATTCCTCCATTGTCGCCCTACTTGGACGACGTTTTTGGAACCACCGACACCGCAGCCCAGGGTTGTATTTGTACAAAATTCTGGTGCGTTGTCCTCGACGACGACAGATTCCCCTTTCTGATCACATTGCCGCGGAGAAGGCGTCTGGTTTGGGTCAGTCGAAGGTCTCCTCGGGATCATTTCATCTTTTTCCGTAGTTCACATTCGAAAATGCTGGCACATCTACGTCTGACACGTCTACGGTCACGACACGGCAGCTAGTGTGATCTTTTCCACCACGCTTCTTGAATCAATAGAAACACGGACGGCGTGCAAAAGTGAGTGGCCGTGACTTGTTACTGTCACAACCGCTCTACTGCTCCATCTTCGTTTCTCTGAGACGTTTTCTTCCGTGCCTCTCATTACCCTCCTCTCGGAATAAAAGCAGAGTCACGTGGTGATCTCGAGAATTCATTGTCCAGAGAAGATTTTATACCCTAAATTCAAACAACGCACTTCATCCGATTCGAAGAAAACACAGGTCGCTTAGGGAGCTCGCAGGCCTCCGCGCTGCAGAGCTTCAGCGTGAAAAACTGAAGCTGGTGCGACAGAACCCACTACAGCGAAGAACGTCTATGAACAATGTAAGGGGCAGAAGCTTCAGCAGCACGTAGTGCTTTCATTGGTAACAGCACTTTTCGAATGCGTCAAAAAAATCTTTGCAACCACACTATGCAAACAACAACGGCAATGCCACTCTGTTGTTTCCAAAATTAGCAATCTGATGAGCTCGCTCAACTATCTTTGCTATCTTTTTTTGCGAAAAGTTGCTCAGTGTCAGTACTATGCAGTGTTTTGCTAGTGCTAGAGTCACACGCAAACACAACACAATACTTGTTTACACATAATTGATTTTTGTTCGCTTGTCAAATTCGTGACGGTTGTTACGTGTGGTGCTGTATGCAGAAGTCCTCACAATTTCATCCAAAACTTTGAAGTATACATAACTCTTCCTTAAAACCAAAACTTTGAAGTACTTACGGGTCACCCAAAACTTTGAATTGCTTACGAGTAATTCTTCCCTCTTTACTTTGATGACATGACGATGATCAGGAAGATCTTGAAGTTTGTTTGTTTGTTTGTTTTTTGTTGATGGTCACGGGGAACCTCTTGAGGGTTTTTGCTTTCTCCTCACGCGGCAAGCAGCTTGTGGCATGGCCCCTCTAGAAAAAAAATTTCTGCTGGACAGCTACACGAACCTTGCGAAAGAACTGAACTACTTTACCTTCAGCTCTGAAAGTCTTCAAAGCTAGTGCTACGGCTACAAAAAATAAAAAACAAGGAAAATTTGTTGTTGCCGACAAATTACTTGTTGTCCTCGTTAAAAAGCAAAAGTGTAAATAGAAGATCTTGAAGTTAAACCCCGTAGCACAACTACATCGACCGCTGGCTAGAACGATGAAGTATGGACTTCTATCACCTAGCCATTAGTTAACTGTACTCCGGTCGGTTAGCACGGATGCTGGGAGGTAAGACTTCATCCCCCAGCTAAAAAATCATACAATAGCATTCACTTGCATACTTTACAACATCAGGAGTCATCTGTTCTCGACACCTAGCACGGCTCCGCTCGCGCTCTATACCTGAGTTACAGCATGATCAGCGGATCTACTAGTATCCACTGGGCTCCTGATGTCAACTAGCACTGTCGGAGAAGACGCTGCACCAGAGTCCGTAGCCTCCCTCCGCCGGTCAGGGGATGGGCACCTCGTGAAAAACCAATTTGCCGAGCTCTGCTGTCGCCTCCGTGTTCGACGCGGTTTGTTCCGTCCACGAGGCCAGGGCTTCGTCCGGTACTACCTCCAGGTGTTTTTTTTGCGCGATCAGCACCTGCTGAAGGACCATCCCGGGGAGAAGCCCTCTTGGGCCAGCAGGAAGCGCTGTCGTAATCTCGGCCTGAATGTAGAAACCGGTCGACACCTTGGGCTTCACGATGTCACGGAAAAGCTGTGTCTGCTCGGCCACCAGGTCACGGAAAGGCTTCGCTGCCTGTTCAGATTTATGATTTTTGCAGGTAGTTGTGCTTGTAGTACTTATATCAGATCATTATTTTATTCATGATGGGGCTGTAGGTCATATTATGTGCAGCAACATTTTAATATTCTTGATATTCTTGATATAGCATTCTCATGTTGATGAAAAAGAAACAAATACAAAATAAAAAGCTTCTTCCCAGGTGGAAACGAACGAGCGACGATACAGGCGGCGGCGGCGTAGCCACTCACGCAGTCCGCCTCCGCGTTCTCCCAGTTTGACCTACTCACGAAATACAAATATGTAGACCACGAAGACGCTTTAGTGGCAATGTTACGCATGCGTCTGCTGGTCCTTCGCTCTACTAACTTCCAAGGAAGGTACCTCTTCGCTCTGGGATGTGAGCAGTCCAGCTCCAGCTGCAGCCCCCTTATGCATTGCAAAACTATCGTACTGGTACTAGTATTCGTAGTGGTCGTCATGCAGATCCAGATGCATGAGTTACTTATTAGCTGGGTAGTTGTGCGGATTTAGTACTACTAAATCCGCAGTGCAAAAAATTCCATTTGGGAGTAATCCTCCTGAGCTGCTAATTTGCAATACAATCACTATCACAGTGGTTGAATCACTACGAAATAATTCTAACCCGAAGATACTTTTGCAATGCATACCCCTTTTCCTGCAACTTATGCTCCTGGTACTGCCAGGACGAGTATGAGAGTGCACAGCCCCCCCTCCCCCTCATTTGTATAGCATGAACCGCAATACAAGCATCGGCAAGACGAGTGCCGGTTTTGCATGGCAAATCTACACTAGATTGTAGTGCTATTTGGGCTACCAGTAGAGCTTGTCATGCATAATAGTGACAGGAGGGAAAGCGTGGATTTGCTACTTTGCATGAGAAAAAAGAACGAGGGGGAGTTGTGCACTGTCATAACGAGGAACGGCTCTCCCCGAAGTCCCGAACCTTGTGAAGCCGAGTCAGGGCTCCCTTATGCTGCTGGGCCAGAACGAGAATCCCTCCCGGTTTCAGCATGTCCATGACAGAGTGCAACATAGCTTCCAAGTGTTCCGAGTCTTTCCGCCCGTGACGCGTTTTCCCGTACTGTGTTGCCATGAAACCGCACATCGTCGAGCAATGTGGCTGGAGAGCTTCCTCGAAGCCACAAATTTTTATCCCGCCTTGTTCCGCAGCTTCCGCCTCAGGATAGCCCCCATGTGCTGAGTCACAGGAGCACCCGAGATTGCGGATGTAGATCAGGTCAAACTTGCCTTGGTTGTCGAGCTGAAACTTCCTGTTGATCGGCTGTTCCCATTGCCGGTTATCGAGCCGTACCGTGCGCGTCTCTGCGGTGCCCTGGTGCTCGGCACAAAATTTCCGCTCATCTTGACTCGTATGCATGGGAAAGGATCATCCTCGTCGCACTAAGTGTAAGTGACAACACGAAAAATCATTTGAAAAGCAAAAATGGATTTCGTCACGACGCGCATCGTCCAAGAAGGAACAAACCACATGTGTCAACATGTATTTTTCATGCAAGTAGTACGAGTACGACCCTTTCGTACTGGATAGCTCCCTACTGTGCGCACGACTTCAAACGAGTCGGCAAGATCGTCGGGTAGTACGGATTATCAGATGCAAAAATGCCTGGGCCGGGAAATGATAAGGTTGCGTTGACTGATGTTTTGCACGCCTCCAGAATTGCTGCTTTGTACTTAACCAACACAAACGGCACCTCTTTTATCAAGCAAAAAGAAAGCAGCTTGATGCAATGCGCACTACATTCATATCACAAGAGAGCGTGGGAAAAAAAGCGAGTCTTAATACCCCTGTACGACTCAGCATCACAAGTTCTTTGTTCCAGACACAGACTACATATTTGCAACGCATACAGAAGTAGCGTAGTGGGTCAGCGAGTCCCTCAGATCCGTCCCCCGCTCCAACCAGGTGGTCCACCGGCGCCAGGCACGTGGTGTGCGGCCGCGAACGGTAAAAGGCAGCCGCTTTTCTATCCAGGAAAAAACACCCGGATCCCCATCCACTTTCTAAGGCCTGACTCATGTTTCAAGAAGTTCAGGCGGCCTGAACTTCTTGAAGCATGATTTGTCGATGGCAGATCAATTGAATGGGGATCATGGGCCTATATTTTTGAGGATATCGCTCTGAGGATCCATACCTAGTTCTAGGGCGCGAAATTTTCTGTCCGCTTCCTTTGCAGCCGAAACGCCTTGGACTATGTGGCGGTGCACCTCCATCAACAATCCCATATCCCATTTCTGTGTGTGGAAGGCCCTGGAAATCTCAGCCAAGTTTTGGTACGTAGCCTTCCCGTCAGTGACTGGTGCTCCGCCCGACGTGCTGATGACTCCCGGCGCTCGCACGTACTTACCGAACTGCGTTATAGCGGCCTCAGCGGGAACATGAGCAATGATCTCAAATGGAACGTGATTCCTGGATGATGAACAAGACCCAACTATTTATACCTGGCGACTTTTGTGGTCCTGCCGCAAGAAAAGAACTTCTACCCACCTTGATGCAAAATGAACTGCAGGGGGCTGGCTCGGAAAAATCTTCCGCCCTACATGCAAGACATATAAAAAGACGTGGTCGGCATACTTGAATGGATCCATTGAGTAGATCACTGTAGTTCCAGCGAAGCAGGCCATATCGTTGGTCGCCTCTTTTAGTCCGGACCGGAACTTTTCAGCGAGGCGCGAGACGGTGTCGTCCCCGCCGAGCGCCGGGGGAGACCGCGGGTCACGACGGCGGGCCGAGGACGAGCGACGAGGCGGCGGCCGAGATGAAGACCCAGACCTCGAGGAGCTGCGCCGCGGCGACCCAGACCTCGAGGAGCTGCGCCGCGGCAGCGGCATGGCCGGATTTCCTTCTCCCGGGGTATGTTGCGCTGCAAAGGCTTCATCAAGACCGAGCAGCGCAAAACCAAAACCCGTCAGACAGCCGGCGAGCAACGATCTGATGGGCATTTTGCCGAAAACACGAGGCTGCGTCATTTTTCTTCCTGGAGGTAGTTGTTCCAATACGGCAGAGAAACGAGTGATGATGTTATCAAACAAAAAAAGTTCGTCACGATCACTCATGCGCATTTTTGCAATACAAAATTTTTTGTCATGCGTAAAAATGCATCACAGCCAAACTTCATTAGGGATTTCCCTAGTGTTTCTGCAATACAAGGAAAATTTGTGATGCTAAGAAAATTTGTAATGCATAACCTGCAAGTTAGTGATTGTGACAAACTTTTTTCTCTCCATAGATGTTCTGTTTGTTTTAATGATGTAGACGAGTCGACCGAGTCGACTTCGCGGCTTTGTATAGGGAGGGGGGGGAGGGGGAGGGGGGGACCCCGGGGTTCCGGGGGCGGGGAGGGGGGGATCCCGGGGGGCGGGGAGAAGCCGGGCCCGGGTCGGGAGTCCAAGAAGCTTCCTCTCCCTGTGGAGCACGGATTTATTTCCTTCGGAACCCTCGTCCTGTGAAGCAGTACGCCATAGCCTTGTAACCGAAAATCACCTGGGAACCCCACGACCGGAGACTCCCTCTCACCGGGACTCTCGCGTCCCCGTGAGGCCCGAACCCCACGAACCCCCATCAACGGTGCCTGCTCCCGGTTTCCGCCTTTCTCTCTGCCCCGGCACGGCCGTCCTTTTTCGCATTTCCCCCGGTTTCCCCCTGCTGTTCCGCCCTCTCGTACAGCGTTTTTCCCTGTTTGCACCTCTTTGCCCCTCTTCGCCCTTTCCTCTTCGCCCTTTCCTCTTCGCCCTTCTTGGGTGCTTTTTCTCCTTCTCTTTGGCACCTCCGTCCCGGCTTCCACCCTCCTCCCCTTCCCACTTGCTGCCTGCCCTTCCCCCCCCTCCGGCTTCCCCCTTTCTGCGCTGCGGCCCCCCACCTCCCCCGCTCGCTCCCTCCCCCTTTGCCTCCTTTCCCACTCACGCCCGCCCCCTGCTCTAGAGTCTGTGGTCCTGGCTACAGAAAGCAACGCGGCTGCGTTCGATTACAAATACTGCGGTCACACGGATAATAGCTAGTGATGTAGACGAGTCGACCGAGTCGACTTCGCGGCTTTGTATAGATTTTTTCTGCTTCAAAAGGAACTAAGCTCAAGAAGAACTAAGCTCTATGCAAGACTGGTTCTGGTTCCTTCGGTAAAGTAAATTAGAATTTCAACTGGTTTGATTGCTCACCGCAGGAGAGCTGATGCACCAAGAGTCACAAGGTGCGAAGAACCTCGATGTAGTCGATAGAAAAATTGATGAAAAGATTACAACAACAGCCGGGGGGGCTACCGAGGAAAAAAAACGATGATTTGAATGCAACCGATAAAATGTTGCGATAGACGACTTCTTTCTTCTCGGAGATTTGTTTTTTCGTCGATTTCAAAAATAGTTCTAGGTTTTGATGTGTGTCACAAATAGAAAGAGTTTGCGTTTTTTCAGTGAAGGAGCAAAACTACTACCTTAGTGTAGTGGCAGACAATTATGCTGAAGCCTGTGTAGGTGGACAAGGAGGTTGAAGATTGGACGACAGTGGTTCATGTAGTATTCGCAGAGACCCCCACGACAATGATCACCACGCACTATGATCTTTATTGGTTTACGTAATTTTCTTGATCGATTTTGTTGTCTCGTGCTCTGAACGCCGGCGCTGTCGCGTGTAAATTGACCCTATTTTGGGTAGCTCAAGACTTGACTATTGCGGGGCTAATCACTAGGATCATCAGGGGCCTGATGTTCGTGGTTCGTGTTTTAGTGTCGTCATTCTTGGCGTAGAACGTCATCACTTTATTAGGTCCTTGATCGCTCTCATCATTTGCGTCATCGTCGTGAGTTGCTAACTTTGTACCGAGTAGTGTCTTGGTTTGACCAATAGGCCCACAGATTTCGCATTTCGATCTTTCTTTGCTCCTCCTGCTTACCCAAAGCCATGAAAACTGCCCATTTTCATACCGAACTTTTCTGCTTCTGTGTTGTGCAGTGCATTCTCGTCCTGATGAGGATCCGGAGTACTGTATTTTTGACCTCGGCCGACCATAGAAGAAGATCTTCGCAGGAACTCCACGCCCGCGACCGGTAGTTTATTTTCGAGAGTGACAGGAGAAGTGACCAACCCGACAAGATGATCTTTGGCCGAAAATCAAATGCAGAACACCTCCGACACCTTTTCCTTTAACATAGGTGCCTTGTGGAAGAAGATCCAGGCTACTTATTGTGCTGGCCGGAAGATGAGGTTTGGAAAGCTTATGCTTATCCGCATGAGGAATACACTGGGAATTTGACTTGCCATTTTTCATCAGACAGCTTCAGAGAGACTTTGCCATTTCGTCCTCATATTTTTCAGCATCCCCGTAATTCTACTGCCGTACTCACAATAGAAGTTACTTTCAATGACCTCTAATAGACTGCGCAGTAGTACGTGGTCAACAGTGACCGCTATCTAAAAACAGTTTGTGTACAAAAGTGAGGAGCTCTTGTTACTTGACATGCAAAACTTCGCAGTATAATCTGGAAAACAGATCCAAATCATACGTGGCGCGAAATGCTGAAATAAATATCTAGCTTTGTATCTTCTGGAAAACAAATCCAGCAATACAACGTGACATGCTTCTAATGTTGCTGTACAGTAAGAATGTATTTGTCCTCTGAAAAACAAAATCCAGGTATGGGTAGTCAAGAAAGCAGCAACCTGTCGTGTCTTCTATTTGGGGAAAAACAAACGCAACGCGTTTTACCAAAAGCTGGACTCATCTAGTTTTCCTCCTTATAGTTTACAACGCTTTATTCGGGTTTAAGCAATATACATAGATATAGTTTACAACGCTTTCGGTTTTATGCAAGCTGCAAGGACCAACATTGCTAGCACAATGCAACGTTATGAGTTGAGCCCTTTTTTCCTCTGGAAGTCGTCATCTGCACCATCATCAATTTCAGTGCCCGATGAAAGCACTAAAGCAAGGAAGAATCAATGAAGGAATGAATAGTAGATAAATTGCGGCTAAATATAAGTGGAAGTAGGAAGAGAGACAGCTGCCCGTGAGTAGTAATATTACTCACGGACAGCTGTCTCACCACATGCCTCCGGTCTGGAGCTGTGTTTTGAGATTTGAACGACGTGTAGTCGCCGCCCCTGTACTAATTGATTCTGCCGACACCGAAGCTGCTTTCAATCTGCACGACACGGGGTGCAAACAATTCAATTTCGTCCTTTCTTGGGGCGCCGTGATCCCTTTGTTCCGACTTTCCCGACCACGTTACTGACTGCGACTTCCTCCAGCGCCCCATCATCTGGCATTCTGGTTCTCCAGGAAAGGTTACCGAATCCTGCCGCCGTATCGCTGTTCGACCCACTCTGCTCCAACCACGACGAGCCCGGGGCTGCATAATCCTCAGGGTCTTGCTTCTTTTGCGCGATTAACGCCTGGTAGACGACCACCCCAGGGAAAAGCGACTCCTTTGAGAAGTCTTCATTGGGTTGGACAACTCCCATCGTAATTTCGGCCTCCATGTAGACTCCAGCCTAAGTCTGTGGCTTCACAATGTCATGGAACAGCTGCACCTGATCCGCAACCAGGTTCCGGACATCCTTCAATGAGGTAGCAACCTCATCCGAGAGGCTGCTGCCGTCAGCTTTTCGCTGCGCCTGTTGCGATGCCTCCGAGCCCAGATGAAGATGTCCTCGAACCTCGGCGAGCCGAGATATTGCTCTTTTGTGCTCCTGGAGCAAAACTAGAATGCCGCCCGGTCTCAGCATGTCCATGACAGCGTGTAACATACGTTCGAAGTGCGCGCATGTCTTAGCCTTTTTCGGTTTTCCCGAGCTCTCCTCGTCCTCCACGAAACCGCACAAAATGCCCGACTTCGCACAGAAGCACCCAACATTGCGGACATAAACCAGATCAAAGTTTCATCCCAAGCAAAAACGTACTTACTTCCCCCCCCGTCGGGAGAAGTCTTCAAATAGGCAGAAGTAGTTCAGCCTATTGCCATTCAAATCAAGAAGCGGCGAAGGGTAGCGATACGCGCGGCAGGAACTTTCAGCTCGCACCGTAGAACTCGTGATTAATAGCTAGTGCAGACGGCGCCACATCAACACATCAGCACATCCTACAACGATACATACCGAGTTCGTGCTTCTCCTGAGATGTCGAGAATGAGAAATAGAAATTCTAACCCCACTCGCACCATAAATATACAATAAAAAAATGACTGCCCTTCATTATCATGAACGCTGCTGCGTGAGGCTCTTAATGAACGCTGGCTCCTGCGAGAGGAGCGAACGCTTCTCGGGCCGGCTATGCAAAGTTGCCTACTACCAAAGTCTGTAGCGCAGGGGGCGGGCACGTGTTGTTTTTTACCTGGGATATTTCTCCTTGATTGTCGAGTTGAAACTTGCTATTGATCGGCTGCCCCCATTTCGTGTTGTCCAGCAGAACGGTTTTCGTGCCGAACTGCGGCTTCTGCCTGAGGGCATAACCCCACGCCTTTTTCTCCTCCTCGACCGCATCTAGGTCACCAGTGGTTCGGACCACTTCCAGGCGTGACGTAATAGGAGGAGCATTTACTTCTACTCCCCCAACGGGGCCGCGGGTGAAATTAGATAAAGCCAGTGGCACAACTTCTTGCTTCCCCCTTTTTGCATTTTGTTCCCACAAATAGCGGAGCCAAACCCAGCTTCGACCTGGCTTCTGAAACGGTAGCCGTTCTTGTTTTGGTTTGTAGCTAATCTCCAAGGCCCTGAACTTGGGCTTGTTCTTTCGATCTGCTTGCTCCTGTTGGTCGTGTTGTTCTACATCGCCGCCGCGATCTGAACTCCCCTCCTCGATGTAACCATACAGACGCAACAGCACCTCGAGGTCCCAACCCTCTTCAGAATAGGACTTGAGGACCTCCTTCGCAGCGGGGTCCAGGTCCCCGGGTCCACGCACAAATTTCGCCAGCTGGCTGGTTCTTGCCCTATCAAGTCCCGTCTGAAAGGCTTCGGCGAGTCTCGACACGATATCATCTTTGCTCGGCGGGTAGAAGGGGGCGGCTGCAGCAGAAGCAATTCCTCGCCTCGCGGCAGCTGCTGCGCGAGCCGGCGACCCAGAAGATGATCGAGACCGCGGCGACGAGTTGCGGTTGCGGCGCAACGCCTGCATGGGCAGACCTGCACCTCCCGGACCACCCGCAGCAGAAGCTGTATCAAGACCGAGCATCGCAAAACTCGTCAGACAACCGGCGAGGAACGAGTTGAAGAAGGGCATAATTTTGCCGGCAGAACGAGGCTGCGCCATTGTTCGACCTGGTTGTTGCAATTAGGCAATCGGTTGAAGATGTTGTGTACACCTTTAGTAGTTTTGACGAGTGGTCCACTACCCCGCGACTTTGTCAAATAAATTATGTTGTTGTCGTGTGAACAAGATCCACTCTGATGTCGATCGAAAAGTCGATGAAAAGATACAACAGCCAACGCGGCTAGTACCAAGAAAAAAACTATGATTTGAATACAAGAACCGATAAAATGCTTTTCAGTACACGACTTCTCGGAAATTATATTTTTTCGTAGATTTCAAGCGTAGTTTTGAAGTAGGTTTTTGAGTAAGTACTATCACAAAAAGTTTGTTCAGCGAAGAAAAACAACTAAGTACCACAGTGTACTATTGGCGGACATCAACAACTACGCTTTAAAGCCTGTGTAGTTGGACGAAGAAATAGCTCTTGACAGATTCTGAGAGACAATAGTGTTCGCAGATGTTGAGAAACCGAAGGTGACAAAATGCTGGAGCCAATGGAGTTGTTCGTAGATATAATGATCGTGAAGCGTAAGGTTGATCTCGTAGTCTGTCACATGGGTTGGGAGGATTTCGATCTGTTTTTCTCTCACGCACGACAACTTGTTGTAGTCACATTTCTACCGAGTTTTCTTCTGAAGATCAAGATTCTGTCGCGTGGTTGTGAGATGCTGCACTTCTTATTTTCTCTGATCATGAACATGATGATTGATAAGATCCGGATCTACTTTATCCTTTTGGGCAGCACTACCTGCTGCTGATCGCACAAATTTATTCGTCTACTTTGACATAGAACAAGATCATGGAGCTGCGTGCTGCAGCTCCTGCCACGACACCCAGAAAGATCGATTATCTTTGATACGTGTTTGAATGAAAACAAGTCGCCGTCGCGATAATACTTCTCACCGGCTTTTTTTTTTGTTCGTACGCAACAGCGGAAGAGAGACACCGACCACTACCACAGCTACAACTTCTTTGTCTTTCAGCCCCATATTTTTTTCTTCATACAGGCTCGTCGACCCGTTTGCACTTGAATCTGATCTTCGGGTAGGTGTCTCTCATCCTGCGGTAGTGCTGCTTGTACTTCATTTTCTTGTTGTAAATTTGCCGGCGCCGCCCACGAAAGAAGAAGAAGAAGAAGTCTCTCGATGAAGGTGGACACAAGTAAAGCAACGGCATCTTATGCACAGTGCGAACAGGAACTACAGTTGTACTTAGCAAAAGCAACGACATCTGCAGGTGGAGCAACATGAACAAACGACGAGGGGACCACGTCGACGCGAACCCTCCTGGAGGGCCGCCTGAGCTACGCCTCTAGTTCTGTCGGCTGCCATCTACATCATCAGTCGAAGATGAAGATTACCATTTCATCTATATTCGTCGAGAGTCCTTGAGTAGTTGAACTGTAATATCGGGTAGTACTTATACATGACATCAGTTCTGTATCACAGAGAGCACGAGAGCGAGGGGCGACAGGCACGATAATTTTTCTGGGTAGTTTAGTAAGAAGAATAAAGTTGGTAAACTCAGGATTCTCGCAGTCGCAGCTCTCCGGCTCTCGCTCTCGTCCACATCCGGCACATAAAATACGTCTGCTTTGTGGTGAGTGCAGCAATTTACGTATTCCTCACAGGACGAAGCGGTAAAAGGGGAAATCACAAGTTCGAGAGAAGAAGGTAAAAACGAGGTGGATTATACGTCGGACGAAGCTTGATAAAATAAAGTAGAGATACGTGTACGTCACAGGACAGCTATTGTATTCTCTAGTAGTAGTTCGAAAGTTCAATGAGGTAGTTCGTACAAGGTGGAGTAACAGAAACCACAAAGTAGAGCTCGCTTGTTCTACATCAATCTTCCATAAAGCAAACCGAAACAGAACAGCATCATGTGGCTAATGCTTACTCTATTCGCGAATGTTAACAAACTTTTCTTCAGTTGTAACCGTCCCGCAGGTCCACGACGTGTATTGGCAACCCGTTCAGCGCAAAATTCACCAATTCTTTCAAGACCTCGGGTCGCTCGGTGTGGTTCAGCGTCAGCTGCATGAAGGGCCTCGGCAGCACCACCGGGGGTCGATACTCCATCCGCGTGTCACAGAACACGTTTCGCTGTCGCAGCGTATCCAACACCACGGTGAACCGATTCATGGATTTGCCCCACAACGCGAGCCATACCTGCGTTTTGATGCATATGGGAAAATAAACGACATTTTGCAGAAATGTAAATTTTCAGAAATCACACTTGTATCAAGAAACTGCATCATAAAACATGTAAAATCAGCTCCTTTTCAGAGCAAAAGTTGCGCTTGTGCGTGATGCCTACGAACAACTTTATGCGTGTAAGCTACAAAGAATGAAAAAACTCAATATATTCGCTATTACTACATCAAACGACAAACACAATACGCTGAGAAATCAACACGAAACAACTACTACAGTAGCATATACCGTGTCCTTGCAAATCAATGCTCTGCCCAACCACAGCGCTCCACCGTCCATGCTGTCGTGGCCGCGGTTCAACCGGAGAAGTTCCAGTTTGTAGCGTTGTTTGGCGAAGTTATACGCGTCGTCTTCAAATTTAAACATGCACTCGTCGTATTTTTTCTGCCGCCAGTACTCGTTTGCTGTCATTTCTTTCCCCTCCGGACTCACGTAGGCCGCCCCGTCCTTGTCCTTTGACGTGACCAGCTTCATGTCGTTTATGCATTGCAAATATGTCTGGGTCTAGAACTTGTGAAGATGCTGACTCTGGAAACTACAAAAATCTGTATTGCATGAACAGCAAAAGAGGTTCAGTTTTTGCCACGGCGGGAGGGCATTTCTCATGCGGTATAGGCAGCAGGAAGCCCTCATAAAATCTGTGATGCTAGGGCATGCATCACAGACATCAGGAGTCAGGTAAAATGTGCATGACAGACGTTGCACCCTTCCAGACAACTCAGACATATTTGCATTTGATATCGTTTTCGCCCTGCTCATATGCATCGGAAAACTGGCATCGTACGTACGTAAAGGCTCATCTTCGCAGTGATCTTCTGAGCCTTCTCAACAAGTAATGTTGAAAGACTCCATGCAAAATATGACAGCACGAGCACACGCATAAGATTTTTTGTCATGCATGACAGCCACCAGTACTACAAGTACGATAACTCTATTTCTTTCCCTCGATAGCTGCAGAATCGCGTCGACAAACGGTTCCCAGGCCGAGGTTCGGTTCTTCTCTATTGGTTCCAAAATCCCGAACTTCCCGTGTTTCTGGAAATGCGCGAAACACTCCAAGTATGCATTGCTAAAGAGTACTAGCATCGGGCGTAGAAGTAAGAATTGAGTCACAACTTTCACTGAGAAGAAAACAGAAGGTCGTAAATGTGATGCAGTTGCAAATGGTGGAAGAGGTAGAGGTACTACAACCCGGAATAAAGATTTGAATTTGTGTTGCCGTGTTCTTGCAGTAGCAAATGCGCACGATAATATACTCTAGTTGCACAGGATATCAGTGGGTTCCGTCCGTCGGGCTGGATTTTGTAGGTCTGAAGCTGCTGGTCGGTTGTGGCGCCGGCTGCTGGGATCAGAGCGGTTGCTTGTTCCAGTGTCGCGTTCGCGGGGAGTGTCTGCTGGGGCCCGGTCGTGGCGCCGGGATTCAGGGTCATGCCCGGGGCGAGGGCTGCCGGGATGACCGTGGGGTTGCTACTGGAGGAAGTGGCGGCCATCTTGAAAATGCTGGTGATTTTATACTTCCACCTTCTTGTCACGACGAAGTACTACGAGTACTTGCGGCTAGGTAAACCAAATTGTAAATGATCCAAATACTTATTCGAAGCCTTTTCCCTCTGAGCAAGTCCAAAGCACGCCTATTGTTCTGCCGCTCGGGAGGTACGGGCTTGCTGTTGTTGATGGGCCAAAAATGATTCTCTCAGCAATATCGCGACCTCTCGAAACGACACTCTCATGACTCTCTCCGATTTTTACAGAAGCCACAGCCATATCAACAAAAAACTCTCCTGCCCAGCAATCAACTCATCGATTCATGCTCCGTTACAGTTAGTCTGCTGCTCGTCTCGTTGGATACTCTACGCGAGGCGGAAGCCTCACGCAACAAGTTCAAATAAACCGCTAGCTGCGACTAGAATCTCTCTCCATACTAGTGGTTGCTCGACCGGTCAACGGAAGCTGCTTTTCGTTGGATTTGAGCTGCCACTACTGTTCATCAGCGTCACCAGAAAGGAAGATGTCCTGCGTCAGCTCATCTCTCGAGAACATCAATTTAAAAAACTAGCACAAGCCTCTTATTTGTGGCGCCGAACAACACCGCCAAGGATTGCGGACCAACCGGGCTGGGGCGGGTGCCAAGCGAATGCATGGGGGAGGGGGGCATCAGGGCCCCGGCCGGCCGCGGCGTGCGGGCAGCACCGAGCCGGCTTGCAGGTATAGGCGCCGGCTGAGTCTTTCTCTGCCTGCGTGCTGCCTGCGCCACAAATAACAAATACACGAACGCGCGGGCGGGCCGGCCGCCCGGCAATGGCCGGCGCGGCGGTCTGCGGGCCGACCAGACAGCGGCCCAAACTAACAATGAATGGGGCCGGCCCGCCGGCAATCAAGAAAGGCAGGGTTTGCGGCCAAAGGCGCGGCAGACCATCGAACCGGGCCGCGACGCCAAACAAAGGGCGCAACCGCTGCAAGGGCCGGGGCACGCAGGACAACACCACCAGGCCCAAGCCTCTGGCTTGGCCGCGTGGCTAAGGCACTACGGACGAAAAAGGGCGGGCCGCCTCGCGATCGCCTTGGAAATGCATCGGGCTGCCAATGAATTGGGACGGACGCGACCCGGGCCCGGCCCCCTCTCCAACATCGTCCGCATCAGAAAGGGCCGGGGGTGAGCGAGAGGAGAAGGCGGCCGCGCCCTCTTCCTGGTGGGCCCGCCGACGAGAAAGGCTGTCTGAACCAACCCCGCGCGGCCGCGGGCGCGGCGGGGCGCCAAGCTCATCAATCTGATGCCACCTCGCCGGCCTCCCTCTGTATCCCGGGGCCCCCTCTTATGCGCTCCCCTCCCCAGCGCCGTTCCGGTGCGCCATTGCGTTCGTGTGCGCCGGCCCATGCATTGGCCGCAGGTACTGGCGAAACCCAACGCACATGCCCGCCTGCCACACACTACAGCAACCCGAAGGGGGCAACAGGAATTGGGGGCGCCGTTAGCCACTGCAAGAATACCCCCGCGCGGTGGCCTACTAAACTCGGCAACCGGCCCGCCGCGCCCTAACCCGGAAAGCCTTCGCTGGCCTTTTGGCTCCCACCAGAATGCCAGGCGGCGGGCGTGGCTCTGTGGGGCCATTCAAATGACCCCGGCCGGCTGCACCTCCAGCGCATCTCTCGGGCGCTGTCCTGCTGAGCACATTGCAATCTTGTTGGCGCGTTCGCTCGAAACCGAGTTGCCTACGTACTCCACTCTCGCTTGGCCACAAATAAGCACGTAGCTCCTCATCTCTCACTCTCGCTCCTTGCTTGGCCACAAATAAAAAGCATTTCTCTCCCGCAACAAAATATGACACGGTCGTCACCACGACCGTGGAGAACTAACTTTTTGTCAAGTTGTCACGGACTGGTCCAGCCCCTCACCAAACTCGTCTATATGTTTTCAAAGCAAAAAGAGTTCACTGTGCACACAGAAACAGTTCCTTGCCATCCCATTCTGTATCCTGTCAGCACTCGTTTGTCATCAACTTTTAGTATATTTGTACTTATTCAACGGAAACCGTCGTGACAGTTCCCATCACCTCGTGCAGCTCTACGATGCAGTATAATACTTCTTCAACAAGAACTCCTACCCCGCCACAAACTCCTCCCCCCTTTGGTGATCCTCGTTGCGCGGCCGGTTTTTTTCTCCGCATCGTCTCGCCAGTTCACCCGTCCTCTCGACGCCAGCTTCGTGTCGGGCTTCCTCAGTCTCGTTGCATTTCCACCCGCCGCCCTGGTAGACCTTCAAGCTCGAGTTGCTACAACGCGGCTCGGGTTCCTCGTTCATCCGTAAGTTGTAGTTTTGTAGTTGTAGTTTCAATTTCTCCACTCGAAATAAAACGGAGGAATACTGTTCGCTGGAGTTCATCACCCCCTGTACCTGCTGGCAGTACTGGATTCGGGAGGCCGTCCTCTGGCCTCCACCTTTCTCGCCGCGGTTTCCAACATCCCGACTGGTTATAATGCGGTTAAGTACTAGCTTCCTCCTCCCGACTGGAGTTTGTTCCTCTTCTGTTTCGCTTCCCTCCATTTCCCCGCTGTAGAAAATCATCCCGCCGGCTGCGGTAAATCAAACCTGGCGCAGAACTGAATCAGCGGTATGCTCGCGTTGAAGTCATCTTCGGACAAGAAACTCCGCCCGTCCAACAAATCTCGCGCGTGGTACCGTGCTGCGTCCTCGGAGAGACCGGTCACGGAGACGTAGAAATGAGTCAGATCGGACTCGCTGATACCTGATTTATGATTGTGATGTGTTGAGCAGAATAAAGTGGTACTAGAAAGAAGACGACGCATGATACTAGAGTGCAGGTGTCATCCATCTGATTACGATTTACAATCTGCATGACACTAACTGCTTGATGTGGTCCTGCGTTCCGACATAACAATAACGTAGAAGTAGAAACAAGTACCTCCGTCCTCATCGTAGTCCAGCAACTGAAAGGCGAATTTCATTTTGTCTTCCTGCGTCTGGTAGTTTCTTAACTTTTCGTAGACGTTGATGAAATCCTGCAGGTTATGCATTGCAAAAACACCGCACTCGATCGTAGTGATTGCACCACTGCATGACAGATCTGCTTTCTGACAACTCGAATGTGCATGACTAATTTCTTTGGCTCTTCTTCTGTATTCAGAAAACTTGTCATGCAAGTTGTACTTGTACTACACCTAGTACGATACTTTTGAACTGCATATAGGTGTAGCAGCGGCGATTTCGACAAATCGGTGGAATTCCGCACGTCCTTGTTCAAAACCTCCAAGGCCCGGGGAACTAACGGATTTTGGTTCCAATCCGGGAGGTTGACGAATTCCTGGTAGGACAGATCCCGTTTGTTGATGCGCTTCGCGTAGTGCCGGTTCAGTTTCTTGATCTCCGCTTTCGTGAATTTCTCCCGGGGGCCGTAGTGCGTCCCGAAAAACCCCTTGCTGACCGGCGGGTCGGGGTTGTCGGACGTCGCGCGGGGAGGCTTGGAGGAACCGAACAGGGCGGAGAACATGTTGCTTTTGGTGGGTGCTGTTGGGCGCCAAGGGACGTCTTTGTTACTTGGCGGACGAGGACCACGAGGAGTGTGTGAATTTCAAAGCTATTCTGACGGCTAGTACGAGCGCTACTGCTAGATTTTCTTCAAGTGAAGACACACAGAAACTCATCTTGCTCATGTTTCATCTGTAATTCTGCCTCGCCGTTTGCGTTTCTAGTTTTATAATATTGTGAAACATTCAGTCACGAAGGTCGACTCTCGGGGAAACAAGGATCGGCTCCCTAGCTCCATATTGATGTGCGCAGTGGCCTTTCTAGAAATGGAGACTGGTTTCTCAGTGAGTTCTTTTTCGACTCTTCATCAACGCCACCTCTCCCTCACTCTACCTGAACTGAACTCATTTCTTTATCTTTTGAGGAGTTGGGGCGTCACGCTCGCCCGTTTTCCTTAACGAACCACCGGCAACCAGGCGCAATCCCACCCGAAGGCCGCTCTGCGGTGTAAGTAAATGAAAACAACGGCGACGAGGGCCCACGAAATAGAGTGAGACGCGGGCGCGCGCGGCCGCGCCGGCCTGCCGACGCGGCTTGCTAGGCCCGCACAGCGCCGTAAGGGGCTGGCGCCCGCGAGGGCTTCTCCGCGCGAAAGGGCGCCGCTTGGCGCCGAAGGGGGCCGGCAGATTGCGTCGCAATGACCACCCGCGCGCGCCCTGCCCAATCGATCTAGCATATGAGAGAAAACGACCCGCCCGCCCGGCGCAGCGCCGCGGCGCACACGAAGAAAGCACGCGGCGCGGGGGGGACCGGGGCGCCACACTTCCTGGAGCGGGCTTGTTCACCCCGGCCGGGGTTTGGTGTGCTGGGCTCATGCACTCGGGCCCATCCGCGCCGGGTAACGCAGTTTGTTCGCCTTGCTCCACAGTTGCTCCGCCGCTTCGGTGTTTCGCGAAAATGCTGATCGTGATCGCGCACGCGCCCACAGTGCGCGCGGGCCTGGCCGCCCGTGTCCATGCATGATACACATCCGCCGGCATGGCCATGTCTGCGGCGCTTCGTCTCGGGGTCGAAGAATCCGGCCCCGGGGCTCTTGTGCTTCGGAGCGGCGGCCGGAGGAGTCGCATCAGCAACAAGTGAATTAATGCGACTTGCCCGCCGGCCGCGGTCGAAGACGCGGCCGCCCCGCGCGCTCTACCCGCTGCCTCGTCGGCTGGATTGTCCGGCATAGTGATAATCTTAATGCCGAAACTCACGGCTGAGTGCACTCTTTCGTTCCCTACGGGAGAATTTTCTGCATACCCATACGAGAACAGCTTTCTTCTAAAGGTGCGGTGAACGAACTACAAAACAATCGATAGTACTTTTTAATTTAGAAGAACTGATCATGTTTTTCTTTTTCACCTGCAAGTAGAGCTGGCTCATACAAGAAAGACCACCTCTTCACGGATAGACTCTGTAAGTACCTTTCCAGATGACTTGTGGCTGCTGATCCTAGTTCTCCTCCTCCTCAATCACAATCACTAAAGGCCTCAAGAACGCTTTCCTCGACGCGGTCGACAACACTCAACTGCCACGATTCCTTCAACTCGGTTCTCGTGCAGATCTTTCGTGAAACTACACGACGTATCTCTGAACTTGCGACAAACTGGTGCTTTATTTCAAACCCGGTGCTAGTCGACTTAATTTCGACCTTCTATCGTTCAAGCTTTTGAGCAGCATGGCATTGCTTTTGGTTGTGCTGGAAAAAAGAAATTCGAACTCACATCATCATCATCATCACCATTAAGGAGCGTCTATTTCCGACAGTCAACAGCGACTATGCCTGCTGCTGGTCAACGAAAAATGCAACTCCAATTAGGCATATCGATTCCGCCATTCCACCTTCCCGCAAATGCCCCACCCCAAACCGATCACTTCTTCCCCGCGCTGGCCGGCTTCAAATCCACGCAGCGATCTCCCAAGTCGCAATGCACCCCGTCCACCCCGCAGTGGTTATCCGGCGGCTTGCAGTGCGTTGCGCAGAACTGGCCCATGGAGGTCAGATGTTCCGTGCCGAGCCGTTCGCTGACCAACATGGCGCAGAGACTCATCTCCTCAAACGGCCCCGACTTCGCCCCCTCTGCAACATCGTGGTCCGGGTAGTGCTCCCCGCTCTGGCAGGCGTAGGACGAGGCGATGTCCGGCATTCCGGGAGGCAGTATCCTGTGCAAAAGTATCGTGCTCGTAGTAGTCGCAGTCATGCATTACAAATCTCCTTCTTAACGACGTAAATCCGCATTACAAATTCCATTTGTATTCATGCTGTGGGAATTTGTCATGCGCTTTCCACTACTTAGTGCGATGCTTTTGCATTTCATAGGCAACATCGCGTAACAATCCGACACGCAGTCGCAGTTGGGTACGTGCGGCATCGACGCGGCGTAGTCGTACTTGCTGTTGGCGGTGAGATCCTCCTGGCCTTCCTCGCCCGGCTCCTTGAAGAGGCGTTTCCTGGCCTCCGTGTCGGCGCTGTTTTTCGGTGGCGCTCGGGATTCGGATCGTTTTACGTCGATGGCGTTTTTAGAAGAAAGTGTAAGTGCTGATGCGGTTGTTGTGTGGGCCAAAAGGTCGTGAAGCAGCAATGTTAGCAACATCTGTGGGACAGAACTAAGCACTGTCACCCCGCCGATCAGAGCTGAGAAACGCGATGGCATTGTGGGCCGCGGGGCAAGGGCCCGCGGCGTCTTTTGTTTCCGGGTAAGACGAGTCAATGAGCCAGGGTGAAGATGATCTTGATCGTGAAGGTAAGATATCAGTCTAATGGAAGCGGCAGCGGCTACAGGACATCCTTGCGCGCCTGTGGTCAGGGTCCTGCACCTGCGCAGCTGGCTTTCTTCAATGCATTAAGCTACACAAACGGCCCTCAGGTTAGAGGCCCAAACACGACGAGGCGGCTGACCTCAATCATCAGAAAGAACCGCCCAACACCGACTGCCGGACACTTAGCAGCATGTTCGTCCTACCCTCCACACTCTCACAGTCAGATCTGATGGTAGCTAGAAGTCACGGAGCGGTAGACCGCCACAGATCACGGGATGATAGCCACGACGCAGTGTCGCTCTACTTTTGGAATTGGGGACGGGCCACTGCAGAACAATGGATCGGCGCACCTAACCACAACCCGGCCGCCAGACCTTCGATGCGATCTGCGGCGCGCGCGCGCCTCCTGCTATGTGCCCTTACGCTGGCAACACGTGACCACATGAGAACTGCCACACAACTCACTGAACATTGCTACGCGTCGCCGCGACCACTGGTTCCACACATTCCACCAGCCGCGCGCCCCTTTTCGGCGCGGAACCACACGGAGCAACCACGGGAAAACAGCGCCCGCCCCCCCCCACGAGGGGCGGGCGTCGCCCCAGGCCGACCTGAGCGCGGAATAGGTTGCGCACCACGCGAAGCTGTGCGCCCATCTACCGACTGCGAAGGGAGGCAAAACTAACATACAAGGCGGAGGGCCGGCGGGCCACCCACCCGGACGGCGACCGGTCGCCGCCTGCGTGTTCTGCCTGGGGATTCCTGGGCGGGGCACGAAGAGCGCCGGGCCAGCGCGGTCATGGATTACAAGAAAGAAACACGGAGGGCGCGCCACCGGCTGCCGATCATCCGCGGAACTATGGCGGCGCGCGCCGCGGCAGCGCAGGCGAGGGCGAGCAGCGGGACGGGTGGCCGCCGGCTCCTTCCTCATTATTTGCATTGGCATCGAGAAGCCACGCCGCGTCGGCCGTCTGTCTCGCAGGCACGCCCGGCCGGCGGCGCCAGTGAATCAATGGCGCCGCGCCCAGACGAAAACGAACACAGGGGGAGGAAACAGCCTCCACAGAGCGCGCACCTTCGAAATGCTGGCGCGCTGCATGCTCCCACCAAGTGGCCCCCGGCATCTACCGACCGCCCTGCGCAGGCACCTCCAACGAAAAGGCACGCCAAAGCGCCAAAGATTAAGATAGACAACGAACCAAGGCGCGCCACGCTCGGCGAGATCACAGATCTGAGACGTCACAGGATGGCGTGAGTGGTATTGATGCTAGCACTTATGGCGCCCTCAGCTCACAGACTCCATCAGATTTTCAATGAATGGCCGCTCATCCTCTCTCAATTCTGTTCCAGATTACTATACTATCTGTCACTTCGCTGCAAAAAGTTCTTTGTTGCACTCGCTGGCGTGAAGAACAACTAACGGATGCCAGAACTCGGGATGGCCAAAACCCTTGAAGCGAAAAAAAATTAAGTATGAAAATTCTATTTGAAACGACCCAAATGTGTGAGTACAATCCTTAATATTTTTCGGGCTCTGGTTGTAGAAGTACTGCATCTACTGTGCGAAAGTTGACGGCCCTTTCCAATTCCAACAAGACCGAAGCGGCCAGCACTTCGCTTGGTGCAAGACATGAAATCAATATACATCAGAGCTTGATATCAACAAGAATACTGTAAAAATCATACACAACAAGAATACCTTTATTCCAACTGCCAACATTTGTATTTCAAGTTTCAAAGACAAAGTTACTGCTCAACAAGATTACAATGCTCAAATCAGCGAAACAAATTCGATGTGTATAAAGTTGTTCAAGCAAAGGTCTGACAAACACAAATCCTGTACCACGCATCGGAATCGTCAAGAGCAATGACGTCGATGCTTCTTCTGCTAGTGTAAAATCTCAATCTGCTGCTCAAACTGAAAAATTCTTCGAATAGAAGGTAGGACTTTTCTTGGACGCTGGTGTCCTTCTGATACGTCAATAGCCCCGTACGAGTGTAGTTTACGTTTACAAATCTGTGAAAAGTTGTGAACCTAACTGTGAAATCCAAACAAACATAAAAGACGAACTTAAATCTGATTCAAGTCAATACAATAAAACGATTTTGCTCTGAAAGCGTAGCTGAGGCTGACAGCTACTTGTTTCTGCTATTGTGAAACTGCTACCAATAATTAAACACCTGCTACCTATAGTCATTATTGTGTGATAACATTTTGCAAGAACACCAAAATTCGGCAACCCCCACAGCCCTAACCCTTCTCATACCGACATCTGACTCCCGCTCAAATCGGAGGAGTCCAGCCCCAATTCCTCCCGCAACCGCAGCGCTTTCTGCTTTTCTTCCTCAATATCCGCTTTTTCCGCGGCGTCGTCGCGCGCCCGCAGTGCCTCCATCTCCTTCTCCCGCGCGGAAGAACTGTTTGTGATCGTTTATCTTTGGTAAAAGCGACCCCACCCCATAGTCAAGTTGCGAACTCGGCAACACAAACCCAGGAGTTTTGGTAGCCATGCATGACAAGTTCGTCTTTGTAGTTTAGTGCAGGTTGGCAAGGACAGTCGCATCGCAAGCTCATCGCCTCATCCTGTTTACAGCATTACAAGTGCCAAAACACGATTGTAAATTCCTCTCATGTAGTAGGTGCGCATTACAAATGTTCCTGTTATTGCAAACCTGCATGACAACTACGGTGCTGTGGGGAGAGTTTCTACATAGGATAGCGTTTCCCGGAACGTCGGGGGCTGGATGGGCGTGGCGGACGCCGAAGCATCGGAGAGGAGGAAATTATGGGTCTGCTTCGTTGAGGAGGAAATAAAGTTGTTCTTGGTTTCTTCTTTGTTCTCTAATTCATCTACACCGGCTACTGGATGAGAAAACGGCTGACTTTCGTCCTCAAAAATCGGTTCTGGAGCAGCGGCCCCGGTTGTTGCGGAACCTCCTGGCACAAAAGCCACCTCTCCCGGGGCGTTACTGCCCGGTGCGTTCGAGCCCTGTTCGTTGTGTAAGTCGTAGGTCGCGTATGCAATGTAAATTTCCTGTACATGTACAAAATGCATGACAAATTTCGCTACCTTGCAGAGTCCAACTTGTCATGCTGGACTAGGATTGAAGGCGAGTAGTTTTGTCATGCAGAGACTGCATTTGTACGTGTACAGGAAATTTACTGTGGATATCGCGAGAGAGCCTCCGTCGACCTCGAAGTTGTTTGTGTTTACCAACTATGCTCTGCAAAAGTATCACACTCGTTGTAGTAATTGCAATCATGCATTAGCATTACAAATTCCTTTCTTAAGGGAGACCCGCATCACAAATTTCATTTGGCATGCTGACGAGAAAGTTTGTATTGCATTTCGTACTAGTGCGATGCTTTTGTAATGCATACCACCGATTCGTCCTGCATTTGTGACTGCGACTCCTCCTCGGGCAGGAGGTTGCTTTTCGCTTTCGACGACACCGTACTCCGGCTGTCGACCTGCTCTTGGTGCTCGGCCTCGATCTCCAGGGTTTGGGAGGGGGCGTTGTTGTCGAGGTTCAGGGCGTCGTCGACTACATTTGCTGAAGTTGTAGGTGCTCCTGCAGCTTCATCGCCTTCTTGTTTTGATGGTACTATTTCCGGAGGTTCCTGTTGTACAGCTTCTGCTCCTGCTGGTACAACTACTTCACTCTCCCCACCTCCGACCGCGGGTGTGCTGTCTTCTCCCAGAATCTGCTCATTGTCGTTGTCGAGGACAACAGTTGCGATCTCTCTTGCTGTATGGATTGCAAATATGTCTTGGTCTGGAAACTTGTAATGCTAAAAGTGAATGCTAGACGCACTGCAGTACGCAGCTATGCATGACAAATTTGTTTCTTGGCTGCCATGCCTTACGTATTCGGCATGGCAAGCTGCGTTTTTGCATGACAGGTAAGAGGGCCTTTTCGTGCCTATGCAACAGAGATTCTCGACCTCGAGTCATGCCAGACAAGCATGACAAACTTGCATTCTTCCAGACCCAGACATTTTTGCATTTGATATGCTGACGACGCTACCGTCCCTTCCGGCACCGCGTTCAACGTTGGTGCTTCACTGGCATCGATGTTTTTGCTTTTCGCCGCATCGCTAGAACCGCTGCTGCTCACGTGGTCCCGGACTCCCGCCTCCAACAACCTCGCCGTCTGGTCGCCAGCCTCCGAAGTGTTCTTGCTCTGCGAGCCGGCGGAAAATTCGCTGATTCTCTCCGCGCCGTAGAGCAGCTGGATTTCCGCGACCTCCTGCGCGATCCGCTGCTGGGGAAGCTCGTCGTCGGGAGAATTGGTGGCTGGTTGCTCAACTGGTTCTTGTTCGGGCACTGCTCCTGCTGGTGCGGTTGCAGTATCAGTAGATGGCTTCTCTACCACTGATGTTTCCTCTGCTTTCAGTTTCATCTCCACCGGAGCTGCAGAAGCATCTTCCACCACTGCGCCCTGTCCCGAAGCACCAGGCGCATCCACAGTCGTTGCTGCAGCAACTGCTTCTTCCTTCAGCTCTGTTGTTTGCTGCGCAAGTACAGCTACACCCGACTGCGAAGAAGACGACGCTGCAGCTTCTGCCACAACTCCACCAGCCTTGCTTGGACTTTCATCCTCGTCAATCGCCAAATCTTCCACATCGCCGTCCGATGAGTTCAAATGGGACGGAGAACCGCTCTTGCTCCTCTTCTTCCGAAAGTTCTTGTTCCTCTTGCCTCGTTTCGGCGACGAACTACCCCCGTCCGCATCGTCTTTCGGTGACCTCGGTTTATTGCCGGCCGGGTCACGCAGACTCCACTCCGCGGGCCTGGCGAATTCGTCAGAAGAGGTATCCGTTATCCGCCTCCCAGTAACTCGGTCGTTCACGTCGGACAGTTCCGAGCTCTGGTGCTGAGACGGCTGGTGCCCAACTTCGGATTCTTGCTGCTCTTCCTCCAACGTGGTTGTGTTATTATTCCCGGTGGCGAAACGGACAAAGTTGGTTTTCTGTTCGGAGGTCGCGTCCTCGCCTTCGAGTTCTTGCTCTGCAGAAGTAGCTGCGGGTGGATGTTGATCTTCTGCTTCTGGTGCTCCTTCTAATGGTAGATCAATATCGAGATCGCGTGTAGTTTCATCGGCGTCCTTTCCCACCTGTTCGATTTGCTGCTCAAAGGAAACGTCTTCTTCTTCAAAATCGTCCGCAAATTCCTCAATTTCCTCGGCCAACGTCCTCGCTTCCCGCTGCAAACGCTCGGCGTCGCGTTGCTGTGTTGTTTCATTGTAATGTGCACCACAATATTGAATTTCAATTTTGCAAAGTTAGATGCAACAGCAATTCATACTGCTCAGGCAAAAGTTAGTACCATGGAAGTATCGGGGGCCTGTCAGTCAGTAAAAAAACCCACCAAGAGTACTGCTACCCATACAAGCAATATCCTACCTGTTCCAACGCCGCACTGACCGTCTCGTCTCCTTGCACCGTCATCCGTGCGTCGTCTGTTTCCTTACTCGGCTTTTTGCTCAACATGTATTCGATCACGTTGTCAGACGCCGTTGGCCCGTTTGTCAATTTCAGTGCCGGTTTGTCCATCTCACCGCTCGCATACGCCATCTGCACTGCGAGCTTTGCGTCCTCCTGCGCCTGGGCCCGAGCGGCGATTTTGTCAAAGAGCTCGTGATGCGTGACGGAACCCATGAAGTCGTATTCGGGGGAATACCGGTGCCGGTAGGACTTGCGGAAGCTGGTTTATTTTGTTGATAAAAAAAGTGCTACTTCGATGCCATGCGAAAGCAAGTACTTATAGGACGGACAGTAGCGGTGTGCTGCGTTCCTATTTCTCAATTGCAAATCTTCAATGCAGCTTAGAATAACAATGGTCTAGTATGTCGCATGTCAAAAATCAAAGTAAAACACCAACGCAGTAGTTTTATTTATACTGTCCTTTCTGCGCAAAGTGGTCTTCCGCGAATTTCCTGTGTTTCGGCGATAGCAACTTCTTCCTCGCCTCCACCATCTTTTCCGGGGATTGTTGTCTCTCCCGCCGTTCGCCCATCACCAATCTTCTCGGACTGGACATGGATTCCGTTTGGTTTTCCGCGTCCAGGTCCATTTCTTGCAGCAACACCGACCCCGGCCTCGGGTGCACCGCCAATTCCAGATCCGGTGCGTAGTACGCGGGTGGGAGATGTTTCGACATCACTGGCGGCAGCGATTTCTCCAGCGCCAAAGCCAATTCCGCGAGCTTCTTCGTATCTTGCTTGTAGATGTCTTTTTTCCTCCTACTCGGTGACGACGTGCCACTACTACTCGCCCGGTTCATGGCAGCCGCGTTTTGCAGCATGCCGGTGAGGTTCGAACCTCTGCCATTCCCCGTGCTTGGCCGAGAACTGTTTCTCGTCGGGGTCAATCCTCGCTGTCGAATCTCCGCCAACGTTGGTCGGTACGACTCCCCGTTACCCAAACTGTAACGCTTCTGGAGAGTGTCAAATTTCGTGATTTGCACTACTAGTCGCTGTTCTGTCTCGGGGATGAGCATGGGGAGGCCGGAGGAAGAAGATGAACTAGTCCGACTTTTCGGCGTAAGTGCCCGCGATGATGAGGATTTGCTTGGAGATCCTTTATTCGCCTTTGATTTCTTCAGCATGTTGGTAGCCGCGGGGAAATAGACCGCACCAAGCTTGTTCTTTATCTTCGCCTGCGATTTCGACCGCTTGGACTGGGACTGATGTATGTAAGTAGCAGTTTTTGGAATAAGAATAAACTACAGTGGAGTAGCAAATCCTAGGCAACAGCAGCTGCATGATAGTTAGCACATTCATCCTTTATTACCTTTTTTCATATCAAGCACGCAACATGAGAAAATGGAAAATCCCAGACGCCGTATTATACCTTGACTAAACTTCCGTCAGACCGAATCGGCACTCCGTTGCTATTCAGCGTCACACTCCTCGACGACTGCGCGGATAACGGTCTCGACCTGGCGCTAGTCGGTCGGGATCTACTACCCGATTTTGACCTGGATCCATGCGATGGGACTCTAGTAGAGGATCTGGAGCTTCGGAGATCTTGTCTCGAAGATTCGTTCTTCACCATGTGGGGCAGAATTTCGACGTATTCGAAGGACATAAATTTCAGGGATTCTTCGCCGATAATCGGATCCTCCACTTCGATATCTCTCCCGGTTGCGTGTCTCAAGCCGTCCAGCTCGTGTCGTATCAATTGCAAATATGTCTGGGTCTGGAAGTGGAAACTTGTGATGCTAAAATGTGGATGATGGACACAGTTCCGAATGCAACCAAGCATGACAACTTTCCTACGTATGGAAAGCGAGCGTTACAAGTTCCAACCTTCCAGGCCCAGACACTTTTGCAATCCATATGTCGCCCGTTTTCGCCGATCGGATTGGACTGCAGGTCCAGTTGCCGGAGGGTGGTGTTGGATTTCAGACCTAATAATGAATATGACAGACACGGGCATCTTCTTCGGCATTGTCGCAGCCACTGCCACAATGACACGCTGCGAGAACAAAAGACCAAAATTATGAGAGAAATGCACGAGAAACAAGATATAATGCGCACTGTTGATCTTGATTTAGCATGAGGGAGTATTTGTGTTTGTCGTGGTCAAACTCTACTTCAGAAAATAGTTTATCAAGCTTTTTTCACTTACCCATGCACAGCCACCCCAGTCCCCAGTCATCGATGCAGTTTTCCCGGACTTCTAAGCACTGCAGGTAGGTGTTGTGCGCCAAGGTTATGGCGAGCGACTTCGCCCCGACCGGCCCGATATGATTGCGGTTCAGGAACAGATGCGTCAGCTCACACTTCGACTGCGAGCCGTACCCCTTGTCCATTAGTCGTGCGATAAACCCGCAGCCGACCGACTTAATGTGGTTCTCGTTCAGCGAGAGCACCTGGACCGCCTGGTTTTCACGGAGCATAAAGCCCAGTCGTTCGCAATATGGAATGCGCGAAAGTATCTACATCTCCGCAATAAAGCATTTACTTCTTTACATTTTCATGCGTATTCGGGTAGTTGTAGGGCAGATACAGATTTACAAAATTTTTTATTCATGTCAGATTGCTATTACAGATAGTCGTGCGAGTCATGCGGTACTTCTTTTGCGCAGGATACACAAGCAACGTCATTGATGTTGCACTTCTCCAGCTGGAGCTTGCGGATACCTGAGTAGACGGGTTTATAATATTTTTCGAAGAAAGTTCATCATCGTCACACTGCTGGTGCTATTGAAGCAGGTCAACCTCAAAAACACGGCTGCTCACTTGTAGTTGTTCGAGCTAAACTGACAAACGAAATTTGTTGAAGAAAGTGGTTAACAACTACAACAATCTGAGCTGTAACAATTATAAGTACGCGTGTTGTGCATGAAGCAGAACGCGAAGTCCCGGTAGAAGTGCCTGGAGAAGTGGATCCCGAAGAGACTTAAAGTTTTCGGGTCTTTCGGGTCATTTCGGTGCAGCATGGCCAGGATGTCCTCGGAATAGTGCTCCAGTTTCTGCTTGTCCTCCGGGGCTAGCACAGCCTCATCTAGTATCCACAGAAAAAAACCCATTCCCATCCCCATTCATTTTTCGCATGATAAACACTGCTTCTGATGTATATTTTGCATGACAAATTGGATGGGGATGGGTTTTTTTAGGTGGATATCCACCTCGATGTAGCCCATGCGGGCGTCGCGAACTTCCCGTTCCTTTTTCGGCATTTTCGCGCTTTTATGGAGTTGTGGAAATTTATTTTCGTTTGAAACTTTTCATTGTACAAAAAAAGCTCCTCTTCGTCGAGTTCCCGCAGCTAAAAAAATGAGGACCAGACGATGACGATCAAGATCATAGAAGTTAGAGAGCAGAAATCTCCACCAAAGAGACGTCGTGAATGTCCGGATAAAGAGGAGTTACTCACACACGAGTTTGAAAAATATGATCCACGAGTCGTATGCGACAATTCAGATATTCTTCGTGGCCCAACGAAGTTCTTGTGACGAGCAGCGCAAACGAAATATACAAGAAAACTTCCTTCGCAAAACATCTTCAAGCGATCTTCTTCTTCAACATCAACAAGACGAAAATAACGACACTACTGTTGCAAAAACGAAAAATCACGATCACGATCGACCCCTTGTTTGTTCCGAAATGACGAGCACGATTACGACAATTTAGATCACGATAGAAGTAGTGCTCGGCTCAAAAATATCTTGCGATTTATTCATATTTCTTCATTAGGCGAAGAACACCTGTGTGTCGTTTCGTCATCCTTTTCGCATTCGACAAGGAGGTGCCAAATGAGCATGAGATGTCCTCCGGTGCTGGTTTGATGAGTGGAAATCGACCACTGTTGTTCATCACGTGCAAATTCGTAATTCCGCGTCAAAAGGATAGTGCATGTTCGAATCCAATCTGAGTAGCGTTTTGTTTCCGTTTCCCAATGTCAAACATGAACAAATTTGAGTGCCGTCAGGCAATTTATTCTTTCTTTTCCTTCTTCTTTTTCTTCTTTGCGGGCTCGCCGCTTTCGGTCGCTGGTTCTGCCGCGGCTGGAGCTTCCTCATCACCGGATTTCTGTTTTCATTTGATGACAAAACGGTAAAATTTGTGATGCAAAAGGTCAAACTACAGCAAGTTTCTGATGCGTATAATTCAAGAAGTTGTTGATCATTTACAGGAGCAAATGGTACATCTACACCGTACAGCTTCTGTTCTTTACAAATCAATTGTATGTGATGTATTTACCTCCCGCTTTTCCTTCTTTTCCTTCTTCTTCTTCTCCACGACCAAGCCTGGCTCTTCGGTTGCTGGCGTTGACGTTGATTTCACCGCAGTTTCAGCTTCAGCTTCCTTCTTAGCCGGTGCTGGCGTTGATTCAACGACCTTCTCTGATGTTGATTCTTGTTCTTTTTCCGGCTTCACACCCTCTTCTTCCTGCATCTTCGCTAGCCTCTGCAATCGGTCTTCCGCTTTCCTGTTTTGAGGCGATAAGTTTGATGATGAAAGAACAAGACAATCAAAAATCTAGTTCCTTCGTTTTTCGCATGACAAGTTTTTTTAGTTGTCAAGCACGATCTTTCCACTCTCGGGAGGTCTACGTGGGTGCAGTGCTGTGTACCAAGATCGGCATGACAAAAACGGAATAAGTTCATATACTTCGCATCCTTCTTTCGAAATTCCTCGACACTGGAACTGGGCAGCGCTCCCTGCTTCTCGCCCTTGGTGATTCGCTTTTCCAGATCCCACGTGGGCTCCCCCTTCGCGAAATATCGGTCCTGCTTGTCATCGTAGCTCCAGTTGACGGCACCGGTCAGGTGCTGATGAAGGTCGGTTTTGCACTTGCCCATTTTGGAGGAGCGCTTTGGGTTGTCGTGGGGTCAGATGCTGCGAAGCAAGAATTAAACGATGTCGACGGAAAACGAAAAAGTATAAATTGAAGTGTGCTGAGTTGGAGTTCGCCAAACAACGATCAAACTGCCGTCGGCAACGGTAGTACAGCACTAGGGTTAGAATGTTATTTACAGTCTTGCGAAAAAAAAACGTAATCAATGTTGGAGCAAACGGTCTGCGATCTTCGTCGTAGCACGAATGCTGCCTGGAAATCATGAATGATAAAATGCGAGTAGAAGGCTAGTGAAGATCGAATCTTCTCGGAAACGAGCAGGATTGAGTCCGTCGTGATCACAGGTGGCATCAGCACAAGGTTTCAGTTTGTCAAGATCTCTTCGCTGTTCTCGTCGAGGACCTCAAGATCTTGCTTTTGGATCTGAATTTTTATTTTCGCTTGAACAGGATCGATCCATTGCTCCTGATCTTGAAACACAACTACTTCGAGTGAGTTGTCGTTGTATTTGAGATGATCATCCGAGTCTAGTAATCTTAAGGAAGGAGCGTCGCACTAAACGTAGGCGGAGCGCTCTTGTACAGATCTTCCCACAGTGCGTCGATTCTTTTTCTTTTTCCTTCCGAGCATGATGCAGAAGATGCTACCGCGCGCTCTTTCGCTTTCAGACCACCACCTGTAAGCAGGTGCACTACAGGGCAAAGCCACGTGATCAGAAAGTATACATAGGAGTCGCTGCGCGACAGCTGGCAGCACTCCGATTTTGTTTTTGACCGCCAGCAGCGTCAAGAATTATTTTCCTCGCGTTTTATTCTTTTTACAAGGTCAGTTCCTCAGTATCAGTTGCGTCAGTTCGTTTGCTACCAAATTCAAGTATACCAGAATGTTGAGCCATTCCGCGTTTGTCATTCAGTTCACGAGACGTGGCGCGTCTCGTGTGGTTTTGCCAGAGCAAATAACCTCCGGCTACTTTGATGATTACAAATAGTTACTTTCTCAGTTGTCTTGGTCTTGTCTTGACGGTCTCGAGTCTATATTGGTTTAAAACCTTTGTGAAGATTGAAGATGTTGTCATACACTTTACAGGATTCTTTTCCCCATCCTCCTCTGCTTCATCCCACCTCACTCGCTACACCAGATTGTCCGGTTCCAGAAACACCCTCTTGCTCTTCTTGAACGTCTTTTCAAAGTGCAGCATAGTGTCGGTCAAGCTTGGGTGCTGGTCTAAAGCAGGGTTCAACCGCATCAGGTCCGCAGACTGTATGCCTTGCAGGACGTTTATCACCGCTTCGAAGCTGGACAGCAAGTCGGTGGCGCGGTTCAGCTGTGTTTTTTTTTGAACTTTGGCTTCGGTTTTGTGCACGACAAATTCCTACAAGAATGCGCAGCACGCATGACAAAATCAAAAATTATGCGGCGGCATCATTTTTTTTATAAAAAAAAACGACTGCCGTCATGTACCGTGCCCTTCTCCTCTTCAAAGCGGAAAGCGTAGGAGGACAGCTTGATATTTGACCCGTTGTCTACGAAGTGAATGTCCGGTGTTTCTGCCATTCCCTGGACACAGAAGGTGCTGTTTTATTGTATGAGGGTTTGCATTTTGTTCGTTTATGCGTCCAGTGCAAAACGAAGCGAATCGCTTCATGCCAGTCGTGAAAGTGATACAAGACAAAGTTGCACACTCACGCTGCTCCGGCTATTATAAGTACCCTTCTGGTGGTGGGTGGTTTGACTTCGCGAGGAGGTAATCCATGAGCAGAAACAATCTCGGATCCGGAGCGGGTTCCCGGCTCAAGCTGGACAGGCACTGGGTTGAAAGCACGGATAAGCTCTGCAGGAATCCGATAAGTGACCGGTAGGAGATTTCCTGAAGAAGGTGTGTGCGATCGTTTTCGAGTAAAATTTTTCCTCCGTGTTGTGCTGGAAAAGGAAAATTGCATGAAAAAGTCAATTATGATTGCCGCGGAACTAATATCACCTGCAATTCAAAAAACTCAAACCTACTGTACCCTCTGCGCCAGCACTCTCGGATGCGGGTGCAGTTTCTCCTTTCTCCTTGACTCGAGAAAGGGCCCGAGACTCAGAATCGCCTTGGCCAGGGGCTGCAGCGCCTCCACAGCGTGGTCCCTGATAGAGCAAGGTCGTGTTCATAAGAAATCGTAATTCTAGTGATGCTGACGAAGACTTGTTTGTTATGCATGCCAAAGTACTAGTACAGCTACATCTTGTAAATGCAGAATGCACTATGTCAAAACGAAAGCAATACTCCCTTTCCGTGAGCCATATGTTTTCCCAGGTAAACCAGGCGTCGATGAAGTTTCTGGCTAGATCCCCGGGTATACTCGTGGTTTCTTTTGCGATAAACATCCTTATCTTCGGCAGGAGTGGCTTCCACCTGATAATGTGTGACAGGATGTGTTGGACTTGGATTCCGAATAATCAACAATTACAATATCCGATAGTCTGGCTGACATGACAATAAAAGTGGTCGTATATTGCTATGCAATACAAAGCATCACATGTAACTCAATACGCCAACACAAAGTCATCCCTCGCCAGCAAGCAGGTTTTTGAAAATTCCATGCCTTGCCCGTTCAATTTTTCGTCATTTGCCATCTCCAGAGCCGCGACGAAAACTTGTGATGGGAGGAGTTCACCTTGGAATGCCGTTTATGCATGACAGATTTTTTGCTGGTGATTTTCATCGCTCTTTTCATTGCAGCATGACGAAAAAAGAAGCAACATATTTACACTCATATGCCCATCTTCTTCAAACTAACCTTATACCGTGGGAAAAAAGCCCTTGTGAGAACCGCACGAATTCTGTTCTGTGTGGCGGTGCTGGTGGGTTGGTCTCGCCCAGGTTCTCCTCAAGTATTCTGAGGAAATCCGGTAGGGATTCCTTGTGTCCGGTCTGCAGAAACTCCGCGCGCAGGGCGCGGGTTGACATTTGCGCGGCCATGGTTCGTACTAGTTCTACTCGGACCCGCTGCTACACCCGCTGGATCGTCCTCTCCGTACCGGCTTTACGAGGTGGCTGAGCACGTGTTTTCTATTCAGTAGACAAAGTAGTCGCTGTTATGTCTGTAGCTGTGTCCGTGGTTGTCGTACCTTAAGCGCCAGCTAAAACCAGCAGTCGTAGGAGCGCCAATGCTGCTGTTGTGCGTAGTAGACGGATAGTAGACCACGCCGAACTCCAGTGGTTTCTTTATTGCGTTGACGCGACGAAGGATCACAAGCTGTACGGAGAAACAGCAGTAGCAGCTGCTTCCACTGGTCTACTCTTCGACGGAAGTTGTAGGTGGTTTACGTCGTCGTCGCGCTCTTGCGACGGAAACGGATTTCTTGCTCGACGGCCAGATTTGTTCCTCGTCGACCGTCTTATTTTCTCGCCGTCCAAAATCGCCGCTAGTGTTTTGGGCGAATGCGGTGTTGCAGCTTTTCTGCCTGCCGTTGCTCTACTCCGAGGCAAATCCCGGCGTCGTCCGAGAAGTACCAGCAATCGTAGCGACAACGTGCCCGGCCGTGTAGTACGCGAGGAAGTTCTACTCCTGCTTGGACAGAGAGTGGCCGGGTCTGACTGGAACTTGGGAAATAACGCAAATTAGTCGTCCTCAGTGGGCGAGCGCGAGTTGCAGCGTCGTTATACCAACACAGGCGGGCGGAGTTGACGATCCGTAGCAGAATCGGAGGGGTATTTGATTCGCAGCCGCCGCGAAGCCGTACTAGGAGCGTCGAAAGAATACCTCGACAAGAACGGTTTTTACTTCACTCCTACCGGCTGCACTGCTGCTCGCCCTAGCGTCCCGGGCGCCGCGTGGAAAAGTCTCAGGTTTCGGTCGAAGCGCTGCTTGCACGTTCAGTGCGCGAGGAGGGGGTTGCTCAAAAACCAGTTCGTGAATGCGGCTGCACAGCGACGTGGTTGCCGTCGCGTGCGACTGCGAGTTGCTGGAAATAGACTAAAGAACCTCCGGCAGCAACCGTCGCCCAGAACAAGGTCGCCTTGCAAGCTTGAAGAAGGTACAATGTAGTGTCTCTCTCGGTGGTGCTTTCTAGCAAAGTTGTTGCATGGTTAATTTGTTTGAACTCGCTCCATCCACAACGCGGCCACGCAATCTCTCTCGTAATCTTAGTTATGGCTTAGAACGTCAGCAACTCGACATAGGCATAGCACTCGGTCCCAGAAGCAGCAAGCAAAATGCTCTTCACTACGCGAGTAGAGTCACGAGACGAGGTCAGCACACGGGTATCGCGTTCACTCACACACGCTCTGTTCGCAATCTCGAGCCTACACAAAGAGCCGATCCACCTCCACGAATTAAAATTATTCATCTCCGCTTCTCTTACCTCGCCGATTCTTTCAAGCGACGAAGTGTGTGGCCGAGCACCGACTTTTGTATCTAACCGGCGACACATCCACAACACGACTGTCGGCTATGTCAGAAACTGCAGCGTGGCGACACATTCATCGAACACCCCACGACGACTGCTTCTCCTTCTACCTACCTCAGCCTGCCTCTAAAGATTGCGCCTTTCACACAATCGCAACAGAGCGAGACTGAGGATCACATCGACACAGAGCCAGAGAGGACGGCGACAGAAGGAGACCTGCACTTAAAGAAAATTCGTTCGTTGCTGCAAAGAATGCTAACTGCGAACAACTGGCCACCAATACGGGCCTACTTATTGGCCGGCCCGGGAATGGGAGCGTGGCGCGCGTCACTACGCGGCCAGGCGGCGCGCATACATCGATCCGAACTTCGCCGCGGCGCGCCGCGGACGCACGCCAAGCACGGACGGTCGGGCGCGCGGCTGGCAACGGCCAGGCCGGCGAGCGCCCCCCACCCTCCCCCGGGCCGACAGAGGTACACATACAATACACCACACAAACAAGGCCGGGGAAAATACAATGCCCAAGGAAGGCGGGACGCCCCCCCCCCCTGCCCCTTTTTGGCGGCGGGCCAGCCGAGGCAGGCAGGCGCCCCGCCAAACACGGGCGGCCAAGAAGCTAGCGGCCCAAAGAAAGGGCCAGCGGCCCGGGGGCGGTCGGGCGGCCCGCGGGCCATGCGGAAAGAAACTTTCGCAAGCTAGGCGCGCAGGCGCACCGCTGCAGTGCGCGGCAAGTATAGCCGAAGGCATGGCGCTGCTTCAGGCCTGCCTGAGACACTGGATCGCGGTCGCGCTGTCCGATCGGATCTTGCCGCCGCCGCCCGAGAGAAGGGCGCCCAAGCGCCGGGCCATCGGGCGGCACTTCCCGCGGGGGCCACGCCTGTTGCGCCGGGCCACCGGTTCCCCCCCGCTCAACCGGCCAGCCCGATGGATTGCCAACCTGCACCCTCCAGGTGACTGGCGCGGCGGCAGCTCAGGCACTGGCGAAACCCTTCGCACCGGGCTAATCCTGCTAAGCGAGGCGGATCTGGTTCGCGACAGCCCGGCCACTTCTGTCGCCCCTCCTTTCATACTTCCTCGGCCGCGACGGCCGCCGTGGCGCCGAGGGGGGGCGCCCTGGCCATGTTGCCGGAACCCACCGCGCCCGCCTTTTCTTGTAGTTGTGTCCGGATCTCCACGGCCGAGCCCAACACCCGCCCCGGGGCGCCATCCTCATGGGGCAGGCGCTGGAGATGGAGGCGGGCCAGCCTCATGCTTCGCACTTTGTCGCGTTGGTTTGCGCGGCTCCGGGTCTACTACCGGCTGAACGCTGCGCGAGGACGTGGGCTCGGACTTTTCCACGAGCTGCGCATCTGCTGTGCGTCCCTTCTCTCTCCCGATTGCAGACTTGCCGCCCTTCCCCTTGCCGGGGGCAGCAAAAATGAGAACACACTTACCCGCCACTTCGCCGACATCACCTTCGTGCGCGTGCGAGCGCAAATCGTCAACATCTGCAAGAAATGCGTATTTTCCTACGTTTTGCGTATATTCATTTGCAGACATCATAGGCAGTCAGCCTCGATCTTCAGAGACGCATTCGCTTTGTTACTTATACTTACATCCGAATAAAAGACATTTGATTTTCTATCAGACAACGACAAGACTGGAGCTTTCTTGTTTCCAGTTATTCTGCCAAAAGTTACAGCTAGAGCTCCGGTGTAAGTAGCGGCAAAGGATTTCAGAGGCGGTTTGCTGTATTGTCTAAAGTAAAATGGCGGGAAGATCCAGAAGTAAAATGATTATTGTCAAGACTGCTCCTGGTTCTGCAGAAACAAAATATGGCACCCGCTGAGTTTAAAGAGGTTACTAGGGCACAAATAGCCATGTTAGCGAAGAACGTAAGTAAGCGCTTGATGAAAAATTGCTGCAGCACTTCTACAAGAACATAAGCAAGCTGGTGCTGATCGATTTATTAGTACATTTTCACAGAATCAAAACCATAGAAACATCATCTATGTGATCTCTGGCCCTGCTGCCAACCTGGGTGAGGACAACAATCGACCTCACTGTTGCAGGAGAGCCAGGACCTGTTAGTCCGAAGAAGAAGAAAAATAATACTCAACGCAGCTACTACTCGTAGAAGTTGGAATTCATTTTTGACATCATCCACGAAGGATCTTGCTGTCCCTGTGATAGATCATGAGTTGTTGATTTCTATTTCAGCAACTGCATTTGTCTTTTCCATTCCTCATATTATGATTACATTGTCAAATTGAAATGAGTTCTTCCGAGGAGCCAGCAGGCGGCGACGATCTCACGCCATGCTGTTGTCCCTGGGGATTTCTCCTCCCCCCTCGTCCGTCTGAATTACTAGAGGGCCGAGGCGGAAAAAAAAACGCGTCACTGGTCGACGTCCTTTTCCCACCGCCAAGAATGTCGCTCACAGCAACCTCCTCCCCCTTTCCCAACAACTTCAAAATCTCCGCCCTCCTCTCCCGCACCGCGGGGTTCGCCTGGTAATACAAGCCCTTCCCGCCAGTTTGTTGGATCTCTTCCATTGCGAGCTCCTGCGCTTTCTGCGCAAACGTGTCATCCTGCACAAGCGGTTTCAGTTTTTGGTCCACCGTGAGTTGGATTTCCCGCATCACAGCCTGCGCATCCATCCCCAAATCTCGGTCGTTGTCTCGTTTGTAGGTATTGTAGTGGACGGAGCTATAATCGTCGTAGTTGTGATCATGTTGATCCTTAACTTTGCCGTTCGCTGGTCTGCTGCTGTCAGATGTTGCGGTTGAGGTTGTAGCCGTCCCGGTATGTAGTTGTTGATGCTGCTCATGACTATTTCCACCAGAATACACGTGCAATCTGTCATGCCTTGCTAGCGAGTCTTGATTCCGCATGGAGTTGGGGAGACTTCCGCCAAAACTTCGGTTGATTGTACCTGGCTGCGAGTTAATATTTGCGGAAGTTCCTGTGTCGAAATTGAAGTGATTGTCCCAGACCGGCGCGGAGCTGTTTCCCAAATTATTCCGCAAACTGTTTTGCTCGTTCATGCTCGTGATTGACCTGGCTAATTTCGCGGAAATTGACTCCGATAGCTTCGACGGCTTCTGACACATCCCAGTGGAGAGGAGGAGCTTCATGACTGCGTTTTGCAACGTATGCAATGTAAATATCGCGTACATGTACAAAATGCAAGACAAATTTCGCTAACTTGCAGTGCGCAACTTGTCATGCTAGACTAGGACTGAAGCCAAGTTTTGTCATGCAGAGACTGCATTTGTAGTTGTACGTGTACGGGAAATTTACTGTGGATACAACACTGCGATGAGTTTCATGTTCGGGTAATATCCGATCGCATTGGTCAGTTATCCACAAAAAAAGACCCATCCCCATCCAATCTGTCATGCAAAACATGCGTCACCTCCTGTGTTTGTCATGCATACCCGACTGCACCACATCAAAAACCTTTGCACCGTCGCCGCAAGCAGCTTCGGACGCAGGAGATCTAGGGTCAGTTTGTCATGCACAAATTGGATGCGGATGGTTTTTTGTCTGTGGATATCAGTTGCCACATCAATCCTCCAAACGCCGCGTTGGGCTCCCTCAAGTTATCAATGATGAACTGCACCCATCCAGGTGCGTACTGCGAGTTCGGGTCTCCGGTTAACAAGTAACTCCCGACCAGATGCAGCCACTGCCCGAGGTATTTCCAGATGAAGCTCTGGAACGAGTACACGTTCTCCTGAAATTTCACGGCCAAGTCCGTACTTTCCCACGCCTGTCTCGCGGAATCCGTGGCGCCTTTGCCCAACACCCCCTGGAGCAGCTCCGTTCCGAGCAGTGCCGCGACGTTGGTTATGAAACTGGGAAGAAACACGTAGACGAAGCCAAACATGAATTTGCACAGGCAGTGCGACGGGTATTCCAGTAACTCTTTCGTACTGTGGATTAGGATTCCGTCTTCTATCAGCCCCGTGCCGTGCCAATCCTTAATCCGGAAATCGCTAATCCACTCGTGATATGCATTGCAAAAGTATCGCACGCGTACTCATACAAAACAAATGCATTACAAATTTCCTCAGCATGAGAAATAAAAATATTGTAATGCTGATTTACCTGAAGAAAAAAATTTGTAATGCGTGACTGCAATACGAGTGCGATACTTTTGCACAGGATACGTGAAACTTGTCCTGCTGGCGGTGCGCTAAGACCCAGTCAGAGAAGGACCAGACGATGCCAACCGCGAACCAGACCCAGGGCGTGATGATCAATCCGACTTTCGCCGCCAAGGCGGAAACGCCCGGGATCGTGCACAATTTCAAAATCGTTAGCACCTCGTTCTGCCACTTCTGCTTGTACTGAGACAGTGCGCCGTCAAATTCCACCATGGGGTCTATGTAGCCCGCGCCCCGGCACACGATTTCGTAGGTTTCGTACTCGTTTTATCCACAGGAAATTTCCCGTACACGTACAAATGCGGTCTCTGCATGACAAAACTTGGCTTCCATCCCCATTATAGCATGACAAGTTTTACATACAACGCTCCAAATTGGTGAAATTTGCGATGTATTTTGTACATGTACGGGAAATTTGTATTGCATACGTTTGTGCCTTCCACCCGTAGAAACTCCACCTGGCGGAACAAATCGTTCTCGCAGCACTTGAAGCTGCAGCTGTTATCTTTCAAACAGTGCCAGTCGCACTTCTGCTTGCTGTATCAAATGTAAAAATGTCTGGGTCTGGAAGATTCCAACTTGTCATGGTAAATCTGAAGCATGCGAAAATCTGTGTTGCATGAGTGCCAAAAGCTGTACAATTTTGACCAAGTTGGAGGGGGGTTTCTCATGCAGGATAGGCATGGCAGAGACCTCGCAGAGTCTGTCATGCTAAGTCCCGCATTCCCGACCTCATGGCTCATGGAAAATCTGCATGACAAGTCTACACTTTTCCAGACCCAGACATTTTTACTTTTGATATGCTGCAAGTGTCATAAACGGTTCTGGCCGGGCCGCCCGCGCCCCAGGATTTGATCCCCTGTGCCTGTCCGTAGCCCCAATCCAGCCCGAAAGAGAGGAAAACTTTGTTGTACTTGGGCTTCGGGGCCTCCGGTTCGTTAGAATCTTTGAAGTTTGACCGAGCACGGTAGTCATGGATGAGTTGTATCTCGATTGGGTACGGTGTCACAGAAGCGGTTGTCGAAGAAGAGGAGGCCTGGTCTTCATTTGTGTTCTCCAGTGCGCCGCGGAGGCCTTGCGATGTAGTTTGTTGCTTTCGATTTGGTGCATCAGCATTCAGTTCGCTCCCACCGTCCCCGCGGCCCTCATCAAACGTGATTTTGGTTGCCTTTGACCTCGCGCTGACCTCCAGAACGACATCTGCTAACGACGGGGAGGACAGCATGCTGTTCCGGCTGGACGATTTATTGATCAAGCTGTTCGACGCAGTTGGCTGAACCGTGCCAGACCTCCTTTCAGATGACAAACCTCCTCCGGACAACACAGCTGAACTTGTACTGCTGCCCTGACTTGTTCCTATCAAACTCTCATCCGTCTCTTCGAGTTTCCCACTGCCAGCGTTGTACCGGTACAGGTGGTTCAACTTGTTTTGCGGGTTTCCCAGCAGCCTGAGTGTGTTCCCGGGCATTGAGTGGATCGGCTGGACGATGTGAGTACGCGTTTGCGCCTATCCACTGCAAAAGCTGCGCTTGTATTGTTGTAATTGCAATACTGCATATACAAATTCCATCCTTTTACCTCACAAAACATTACAAAATGCAGCCTCATTTTTTCAACAACATCACTTGCCAACATTTGTATATGCGGATTGTAGTAGATGTAGCGCATTTGCATTGCATAGCTCCACTACGTTCTCCCAAGCGCCCTCCACTTCCTCGGCAAAGTCCTGAATTTCCTCCTTAATATCCTCAACAACGACCTGTGCGTTCTGAAGTAGTGATTTGTCTTTCATCTTGATATCCGGACACGCCCGGCGGATGTCGAACGGCGGCTCTGCCGCGACGGGGGTTTTACTGTCAGAATCTTCTGCGATGACATTCAAAGTGTCGTGGCCGGTGGTATCAATTGCTTTCTCCGGATCTACCCCTTCCGCAAGTCTCCTAGCGCGCGAAAACGTGTAGTCGCAGATGATTCCTGTGTCGTGGAGAAACCCCTTCCATTTATGCAAGACAAATCTCCCGCACATGTACAAGATGCATCACAAATTTCACCAATTTGGAGCGTAAAACTTGTCATGCTAAACTAGGATAGGAGCCAAGTTTTGTCATGCAGAGACCGCATTTGTACGTGTGCGGGAAATTTACTGTGGATACCATTTGTTGATGTCGCATTGGAAAAGGTTGTACTCGCATTCGATCACGTATGGGAGTCAGTGTCAGGATCGAAATCGTCAGAGTTGAAATGGTTCGTGATGCATAAAACGGATACCAGTTGGCGCCTAGTTTTCAAGCGGCGCATGACAAATTTGGGTAGAACTCAAATCCAGTTTGTAATGCTGTTTGGGCACGGAAGACGCCTTTTGTCATGCTACTTTAGCAGCTCAATTTCTGCCCCTAAACAGGCTTACAATCTGCATCCCTTGCGTCCTCTGCAATAGAGGCAATTTCTGCGTTGCATTTTATGCATCGCAAACTACTTCAACTTTGACGATTTCGATCCTGACGCTTCCATATCACGTCGAACGCGGAATCTGGCAGCCTTTTCATAAAACGGTGTTGCTCCCCATGCTTGTTCCTTATCTTCGTTTCGTCCCGACTATGTTTTTTCTTCTCCTTGTGTGCCGTCGAAGAAGCTAGTGACCGCGTGTTTTTCCCACCAGGAGGTGAGAAAATGTCCACCACCGGGCGCAGGACTGTCAAGTGCAGTCTATTTCGGTAAACGAAACCCTTCCAGGAGCCCACTTTGCAAGACGGTGCGGTGCTGCTATTCAAGCACACTTCCGTTCCAGGGTTCTTTCGGTCGAGCGTGAATGCAGAGGGGGAGGAGGAACGAGTAGTATGTGGTGCCACGACTGCAGCTAAGTTTTGCGCGTTCGTGCCCCCTCTATTCGTTGATACAACTGAGCGGCCACCGTAATTGCCACTGCGAGTTGTCTTACTCCGGCCTCCTCCTCGTTCCTGATTTCCCTTTACGTTCACGTCCACGCACCGCCCGTGTACAAAGCACTTGTTACTCGGACACACACATCTGTTATTCCGACATTTCGCGTGGAACCACAGACACCGGCTCGGTAAATGCATCGCTTTAGCGCCGAAGAAACCGTCGTCGTAGCAAGTTTCGCCCGTATCCTGCTCGCAGAAAAGTTTCCCGCGGATGTCGGGTCGCGGGTCGTAGTTGCGGAACTGCGTTGTACCAGTTGTGTGCGGATGCTCATGGTGTAGTTGTCGTGTCTTTGATGGTGTTCTGGAAGCAGCGGCACTACTAGCAGCATTTGCTTCTGTCCCTGGTAGTTCTTGCGAAGATGTTCGACTTCCACCAACCACAGCACTGCTCATAGCTTTTGTGCTCTTCGGCTTCGGCCTGCTTTGCGCGGGGGCGATATTGGGACACATGTCTTTGATCCAGACTTTTCGCGCGCTCGCCACCGCTTTCGCCCGGATCGTGTCGATGTCGGTGCTTAGAGTGTTGACTTCGTCTTTTGTTCTACTTGCTGGTCGAGGTCGTGTACTAGCAGGAGATGAGCCCGTAGCCGCTGCTGTCGAACGTGTTGCTGCACTCCCACTCGTCTTCTCGTCATAATTTCGATCGTCCACAGCGTTATTTATGTCCTCTTCTTCCGTACTCACCGAAAACGGGCAGTAGCTTTCCTGCCCTTCGATCGGCAATACCACGCACTCGTGGAACCCTCGGTGGCGCCAATACTCGCAAAAGGCAATTCGGCACTTGAAAAAGGACTTCGAGTAGGTGTCGGTGCTGGAAACGCTGTTCAGATTTTCCATCGCCCAGCTCGAGGAGAAAAAGTGACGATTGATGTTGTTCGCGGCGGCTTCCAAAGTGGAGGAACTGTCCCACATAAGCATATCGTCCTTCCAGAAGCCGGGAATTCCGATATGAGAGTACACAACTGCCCTTCCCCCTTATTTGTATTGCATGAACAGCAACACAAGCGACGCGCGGAGTGTGCCTTTCGCATCACAAATCTGCACAAGGACAGGTAGTCTTTGAGGCCCCAAATCGAAAATTTGCCATGCAGACAGTACTTAAAAGGACGACGCGGACTTGGTTTTTTGCATGACAAATGAGGGACAGGAGGAGGAGTAGTTGTGCACCGTCATACCCGGCCCCGACCCGCCACAACGGCATGTAGCTCTCGTCCGGCATGAGAACATTATCCTGTGCAAAATTATCGTACTAGTAGTAATCGTATTCATGCATTACAAATTTCTTTCTCAAGTCAAATCTGCATTACAGATTTTATCTCTCATACTGAGAAAATTTGTCATGCGATTTATACTAGTACGATAGTTTTGTAAAGCATAAACATACACCGGATTCGATTCGTACCGCCAGTAGTCCATATTTCGCTGGAAAATCACGGGTGGGGAAAAGTGAAATTGGTTCGAAACAATCTCCTTCACCGAGGCCCAGAGTTTTTGTCCACCCGAGGCTTTCAGGTTTAAATTCTGAACAAAAGCTTTCCCGCGACGATAGTTGGGACCCGCAGTAGTTTTGGGAGATGAACTACTGCTTAAACCGCCTGCTACTCGCACAGAAGTAGCAGTTCTGCCATTGTAGGAGCCACGGTTTACAATTCCGCCGGGTGTATAATTGTCCGCCCCGCCGACGTCTCCGTCAGTTTGGTTTCGCATTTGCCGCTCCTCGTCCTCCAGCAAGTGAACTTGGATACCCGTGCGCTGCCGCACTTGATGTTTGTTCACGGAAGTTGTACTGGATGACTGGCGGTCCCGGTCGTGGTCCATCTCGTCCTCCTCGCTAATCAGCTTCAGCCGACTGGTGGGCGAGGATAAACCTGCGGCCCCCTGCTCTAGTTGTACCCCGCCATGATCTGTAATTGTTCTATCACCTCCCGGATCGTGGACTTTTTCTTGGAAACCTTGACTTTTGTACTTCATAAACGGCTCGTCCTTGTCGTGGAGCCAGAGTTCGTTCCGAAGTTCTCTGACGACTTGCTTTTCATCCTGGAAAAGCTTGGAGTAGTGGTCGATGTTGATGATCGGATCTGGTTGTGGTTCTTGCAGGTAGTAATCCTGATTCTTTTCTTGTTCGTCCAGTTCCTCACGCACGTCGTCGCCGACATGATAAGCTGGCCCATTGTTCCTAATCCTCTCTTCCTCCAGCAGTAGTTCTTCCCGTTCCAACGAGCGGGCAGTCCGGGAAGATCCAGATCCGGGTGGAATTACTGGCGGTTTTGAAGGTTCGTCCGCAAGGTTTCTCTGTAGTTCTTGCGTACTGCGCTGCTTTCCCCCGCGGCCCTGATCTCCAACTAGGATTTTTGGAAGCGGTGGCACGTCGAGCTCTTCCTGAGTCGACAGCTGCCCTCGTACTATCAGCGGTTCGTCTTGTTTGCCGCTCCCGCTTGAGTAGTTTAATATGCTTCCTTGTAGTTCATCGTCACGAGCCCCCCATGCAAGCGACGGCAGGGAAGGTTCAGACTCAGCAGTAGACGAAGGCGTTCCAGTGGACTGGTCCAAAAGTGCGTGTTCCGGGACCGTAGAATAGGGAGGTCGTCGTGGGGGGAAAACCGGCTGTGATTCTACCAGCCCCGCTTCTACATCGTCTGCACTACTACTGCTTGTGGCTTTTTCACCACTTCTGTCGCGAAAAGTTGTTGTACTAGCAGGAACTACACCAGGCTCGTATGGCGGTTGTCTCAGTCTTCTGTCTCCTGTATCTGATGTGAGGCCTGCGTGGTCCGAGGCACGCCACAGACGAACGAGGTTTTTCAACATGGTTCTTTTCTTGTCAACATCGGCCCAACATTGACATTGCTGGTGCGAGAGTCGCTCCTGGTCAATATTCGTATCTCAGATAAGCTGAAGCATACCTCCGATCTTCAACCACGGGATCTTGGGAGAACACCTACTGACTCTCTCATCGTCATCGCATCCGAGTAAGTGCATCCGAGTAAGTAGAAAAGAAGCAACAGACAAAAAGCGAAACCAACCAAAAACCGGACGAGAGAAACTCACCGCAGCACAAAACAAGACAACAAGTCATGAAAAAGAATTTCATCATGAAGCACAAAGAAAAAACGAAAATAAAGACCCCAAAACATTCTACATCCACGCGTTTACTGTGTCCCAGCACACGTCCCTTGAACAGGTCCGCACTTCGTCTGGCGTCAAGCACAGACAAGACAATTCAATAGCCCGCTATTCCATTATGTTGTTTTTCCAAGAAATTCATCTATGAAAGAAATGTCTTTGACGAGCTGTTTGCTCCTAAAAAAAGTCATAGTTGTAATTGTACCTTTATCAAGTTTTTGTTTTTTGCTTTTGTCAGACGTAACTACCAGAATCGGAAAAAACCCAATCTCTGCACCAAGTCGATAATAAAAGCGAAAAAGGTGGAATAAAGTGAAATAACCCGTACGGCTGCAGTAATCGTTTGTTTTAAACAGAAAGAAAAAATAAAACTAGTCGGAAGAATTTCCATTTTCCCTCCGGATGAGACAAATAGTGTGCGAGAGGAAGTTCTTCTTATAGGACGGGAAAATAGCTAAGTAGGCAGCACATCTACACAGGTACTAACAACAAGACGACGTAGGGGCGTCGTGTGTAAAAAGTACTTTCATGTTTAGGTTTACACAGCTTCATCATCTACATCTTCATGTTCTCATTTTCACATCTTCAAACTGAACAAGGCGTTTCTTTTGCGTCACAAAGTCAAACTAACGTAGGCAACTACAAGAGTCCATCTGAAGCGTCTACTTGTTCGGTCCACACATTCTTCAAACGCCCGGCATGAAGAGAACTCGCGACAGGCCACACTACTTAACCACAGAGAATCCACCTCGGGTTGAGTCTGAGCATGAGGGCGAAAAAAGTAGACGGAACAACTATGGCAAATGCATACATATTGAAAAGAAAAATTCCTGAGATACACGACAAAGTGACCAAACACAAAAAAAAAAATCGAGGAATGTGCAGCAATATAATATGATTGACTATGAAATCACCCGGAGAGCCAAAGGGCGGAGATCAGAAGCACGAAAAAGAAGTTGATAAATGAAACCACACTACCAATACTATGGTCTTCGATAATATGCTTGCATCTCCTGTGAAAAATAAATAGTTCAAATCTCGTAAGTATAAAGCAAACCAAAAAAAAACTCCACCGAAGGGAAAACCAAAGCCCATAAGCCATTTTCCCCACCAGACGGAGGGAGAAGAATGATCGACATACGTTGCGACCACAATATTGAAGATTCGTGCCTCGTTCCTTAGTGAAAATAGCATAGCATTGAAATAATTAAATTTGAAGAAGAATGTAGAATGAGTTGTAAAAATACGAGATATTAAAAGACGTTAAAAATCACTAGACCAGTGAGCCACACCATCGGGATATAGCCCAGGCCCTCATGGACCGGAAGAGAAGAGCGCAAATCTTTTTTTTCAAAAGATCTTGCAGGTGCTCTGAGAATGACAAAGCGGCAATTTTTCGATAACACACCTATGTTACGTGCCTTAATCGTACAGGTACATGCGACTTGAAAGAAAAAAATGATGTCAACTCAATCTATTTCCCCCACTATCAAATTGAAATATCTTCTTTTAATTAAAAGTTTCTTATGTATAATGTCGAAGAAGTTTGGTTATCTCTAGATGTTTTCGTGTTGTTTTTTCTTGCAAAATAAAGTCACAAAATCAGAAGACAACGCCCCGGCATCATCACCTGCATGCTTCGACTGACCTCTCGCCAGTGAGTGCGATAAGCGTGCGGTAGATGCGGAGCGCTCGATTTTGTGACTTGCTCTAAAGGTAAAGGTGGCAGTCGTTGCTTCTCGCGTAACTTCCGAAGGGCCTAATTCCTAAAATAAAGATGTTATAGCTATTGTTCTGCCATGTTTGCACTGCCAACACTACAGATCGAAAGTTTTACGAAAAGAAAATAAAGGTGTGTCGAAATCATAATCAGAAACACTACCCGTAATTTATTGATAAGAAAAAAGCGCAAAAGAGAGCACATATTAGGGAAGTCCACTGATCAAAACTGGTCGAACCTTGGTACTCCTTGTGGCTAAGGTCAATTATGGTCAAAATTATTCTGACCTTGCTGGTCGTCCTTGTGGCAGCTAACTGCTCTTTTATCTCCAGCGGTGTACGCGAATGGAAAAATAGAGCTGGAATAAAGATTACATAATTCTAATTACATTTCTTGTCACATCAGAAATGCTTCTTCCAGAATCTCTGGCTGCTGCTCCTCACACGACGTCGCTATCGTTGTGGGTCCGTCTTCCCAGCGCCCCGAAAGTAAGAGCACGAGGTAGATATTCGCCCTCATCCTCCGTCTGAATCTCCTCGAGAGCAGGGGAGCAAGGGGAACAAGCGGCCGCATCCGCATCGCACGTTGTTTTTCGATCGTCGCGAACAAGATTCACCACACTTCTTTTCGGCGGTGGCGCATCAGCTGGTGCGAGCAAAAGTGGCTTTGAGAATCTTCTGGACAGAGCTGCACCAGCTGTCGCACCGCTCCTCCGCATACTTGTTGTGATGGACGTTGTAGTTCGGCGATTTTTATTTACAACGTTGATGTTCTTTTGGTCTTCTTCCTTCATCATCACCGATGATTTAAAAATCCGTGACGTTGACGCTTTATTTTCAACGTGGTCGTTTCTTATTCCCTTTACCTTTTGCGCACCTCCGGAGCCACGACTACGCCCGGCGCTACGAAATATGCACGCTTTGCGGCAGAAGAACAGCACCCCGACGCAAACGGAGAGAAGTAATGAAAGGAGCATAATCGTTATCCACAGAAAAAAAACCATCCACATCCATTTTTTGCATGACAAACTCATCACTTGATACAACGTGTTTTGCATAAACAAATTGGATGGGGATGGGTTTTTTTCTGTGGATAATCGTAACGACGATAACGGCCGTCGAAACTTCTACAGGAGGAGCCGGTCCGGCTTCTGCTGTCACGACATTTTGAACGAGGAGATCATTCTGTTCCTGTTGTAGTAGTTGACGGTCGTTTAGTATCAGCGCGCTGCCGTTCCGTGTCGAGCGCAAGAGGGCATGGTCGTCAGGTAGGAGAAGCACATAGTCACGATGCGTCGAAGTTCTTCTTCTACTAGTACTACTTCCCGGAAGTTGAGGAGCTCCTCGAGTTAGTTATCAAATGCAACTACGTCTGGGTCGTTTGGAAGATTCCAAACTTGTGATGCTGCCTCTGGATGCTAAAAAAACTTGTATTGCATGACCAGCAAGAAAACTCCAGTTGACGCTACGCGGCGAGGTCATTTCTCATGCGGAAGAGGTGGCATCACAAAGCCTTCAGCTAATATGTGATTCCGGCTCATGCAACATCACAGACATCATGGATCATTCAAAACATGCATGACAAACCTCGCAATCTTCCTCCAGACCAAGATGACATAACTGCATTGCGTATTCTTGGTGGAGACAGAACAAGCGCTCGACCACCACTCGGCTGGTTCTGGTCGTTGCCCTTGACTACTCCTATTTCACCAACCGCAGTACTGCCGCGATTATGCTCCAGACCCTGGCGAGCAGAACTCAGGGAAGGTGAAAATCCACCAGTCAGAGGCCGCGAAGGGGAAAGATCCGAGGACGACCAAGAGAACGAACGCCCTTCCTCATCGATGCCACCCGGTAGCGTAGCGGTGGTACTCTGCGTAGTGGTACGTTTGTAACAAGAGCCAGCTGCACCGTTGATTTCATCATCTGCCTTCATATTTAGTCCGTGAGCAGAACAAGATGAAGTGAGAGAGGAAAAAGAACATTTGGTCAAAGACCGACGTTCATCTTCGTGATGGAACAAAAAGAACTGCTCTTGCGGTTGCTCACCTCGTCCACTGGTTTGGCCTGAGATCTTCATGCCGTGCTCACTTGTTTTTACCCCAACGGCCTCCTTTTGCAGAAAAGACACAAGGCCCCCTTGGCTGGTTGATGTTCCGCCGGCACCTGTTCTCGGATAAGTAGTGGCAGATGAATCTTGTTGCTTCTTGTTGTAGTCCACCTCGCCGGGCGGTGTTCTCATTCCTGAAGATTTATTTTTCAGAAGACCCTTCATCTCGGTGCAGCTGCGAGGACCACACGACGACTTGAGAGGACGCTGCTGATGACTCGAAGCTGTGTTTTTCTTGCTGTTGTCGTCGACAAAAACACGATCACCCTCGTCCTCTTCACGATCATCGTACCCATGCACAAAATCGTTTCCCCGCACCAGAGAGCGCAACATCTCCACGACGTCGCTTGTTGGAGCTGCATCTGCAACTATCACAGGGGCAAATGAATCACAGTACAAATGAATCACCATACGGAAAAAAAAATTTTTCCAAGTACCGCAGTGCATGGCCAGGCTCGCACGCATAAGGTAGCGCCCAACATATGCAACCAAGTAACCTGAGACACAGCGACGCTTCTCAGGAAAGTCGCGCCTTTCTCGATAAGGTTTGCGCTATTTGGTTGGTGGCTACGGGGGACGAACGCAATGGCCATAGGTGGATGCTGGGGCCATCGCGCCTGAATAGCTCGCAAACAACTCGGGGGAAGCATTCACAACCCAAAATACCAAGCAAAAGCCCATTGCTAAAGATAGGAAAAGCGGCACCACAAAACTGAAGTGATTACACCTCCATACCGTCGGGCGTAGCGTCTCGAGGGTGTCGCATTTTCTGAAAAAAGGTCAATTTTTGCCAAAAGTTCATCTTTTTCGAAGCAAAAAAAGAGGTGTAATCACCTTGCGTTTTGTAGCTATCAGTTAGCCCTATGATTCATTTGACTCGTCCCGCTTAGTATCTGCTTGAATCACCCCTGCAAAAAGTCGCGACTTTTGGCATCAAATTGATGCCCGAAAGACGTCTTTTTCGCGTCAAATCACCCAAGCAGATATCAAGTGGGTTTGACTTTTTTTTCGTCTGAAACAGGCTGAGCATCTCAAGTGATTACACCTCCACTGTTCCACTTCCGCCACTTGGTAACAGTAGAGTAAGGAAAGAGTAAGAATAATGCGCCAGTAGCACCATGCGGGGTAGCATTATGCACCATGGTATGGTGCTTTGGGGCTGGTCTTGGGGTATCCTCTATGGCATCTTCTGCGCGCTACATCTCGCAGTCCTCTCCTTACCAAAATGCGACGCCTGGGGCCTTTGGTCGCAGCCTTCCCAAGCATTCGCCCACTGCAATCTACCGACCAGCTGTGTTTGGCGCGGGGAAAAAAGCTGCAGGCGCTACGGCAGTTGGGGACGCTCCGAATTTTTTTTTTTTTCGGCCCTATGATTCTTTTGAAAGTGATTCACTTGCTCCTTTGATACGCACCATAGAGCGCAACATCTCCACGACGTCGCTTGTTGCAGCTGCATCATCTCCACGGACCCCAGAATGGCACGGTGGATCATAACCGGCCGTTCGTGACCGGGTTTCAGCACACCTTCCAGCCCAACCGCTTCCATCCTCTGTTCTTTTTCCTTCTCCTTGTCCGCCGCAGATTTTCCCGCCTCCGCCGCTGCACCCCCGTCCGCAGACGTAGCAGACGCTCGCGGTTCCTTCTCTTCCACTTCTCTTCCGTCCATCATCCGCGGACGTGCGGCAGCAGCAGCAGCGGCTTGTTTTTTCTCTTTTTTGTTCTCCTTGTTTTCCTTCGGAGCAGCTGCAGCTGCTCCCTTTTCTTGTTCTCCTTCCGCATTTGCAGCCTCGGCTTCCTTCTGTTCGTCCGCCTGCGTGCGGAACTGCAGGTTGAACCGCATCGGGAAGAGGAAATCCAATTGCATCGTCGCACACTGGTGCTGACGCCCGATCGCGTCTTTGACCTGAGGTAAAAATAGGAATTCACAATCGTAAAATTGCATCATTGCTGAGGCTACAACTCATCTTCGTTCTGGTGCTGAGGCTGACGCCGGAATGAGCAGCGGGCTATGCTTCTGTCATGCAGCCGCGTAAGAAGAAAACCAAAAACACTTGTAGAACAAAGACGAACAAATTGTCATGATACCTTGAAATCGATTTTCGGTCCGTAAAATGCCCCATCTCCCTTGTTCAGTGGCCAACGACAGAAACGTGTTTCCTGGAACCAAAAAGTTCCGCTGACTGGTTCTCGTCGGGTCCTCAAGCGGCTGCTCGCGGAGATGATCATGAGGCGTGTTGTGACTCCTGTGGGAGGTTGTAGAAGAACCTCTGACACCAGCGGGACTTCTCTGCTGCACGGCGACCGAAACCTGCACGGCACTTTCGTCGCCCTCGCTAAGGGGAGATGGTGAGTCAGTGAGAGAAGATATCACAAGAAAACGTTTTAACGTGAACGGTTTTCACAGATTACGGTCATGCATCACAAATGTAGTCTAATATGCATGTTATGCATGACAAACTCTGACACGTTTTGTGATGCATCGCTGCATCACAAATTCCGTTAACGTGAACACTTTTTCCTGTGATAGAAGAAGGGGAAGACGGGTGTGGGTCCAAAACCTGGCGCTCCGCTTCGGAGCCTTATAAGACAGGAAAAAGTGATGTAGCTACACGCCGTATAAATGGAATTCATTTTCGTGATGCATGCAGAAACTAAGTGGTCGTACATCACCCTAGTAAACAAATTTGTATTGCATAGCGGCAGGAGCAGGCGCGCTAAGCATAGCTGCAATCTGTGATTGTGAAGAAGTGCAGCAACCACTAGACCGTTTATTGTACGTGGAAAGACTTCATTTTTCCGTTGATATGTCCACATCGGATTCCATATTCGACAGGCCCTGATCGCCAAAGTCCGGAATCTGCACCGGCGGAAAGCGGACGCCATAAAACCCCAAATCCACGGTCGGGGTAATCGCGGCGCTCGAGTCGTAATGGTATTGCTGCATCTGATTCACGATGGCCGACGTGTCGTCAAACAAGTTATCCAGCGGGAGGTAGTCCAAGGGGTCTCCACTTTCCACCTCCGAGCCACTTCTATCGAGTTCGTCGATAATATCGTCAATATTGTCTGCTTCTTCATTTTGTTCTTGATCACCTGCGGGCGGCACGAGCTCTTGGTCCCTGCCAAGTTGTCCGTCAGTATTACCGGCCGACGGCGCTAGTACATGCTGTAGTACTGATGGTCTTGGCCGCTGTAGTTGTTCCTGCTCAACACAGGGGGACAGCGCACCCGTCGCGCGGCCGTGGCCCGTCGGATCGAGGCACATCGGAACAGCATGTGCAAAGGACGTTGACGTGAACGGAGTCTGTTGTTCCTGCTGCGCCCCCGATGTCCTGGGCCTGTCACTTCCGGTTGTATCTGTTTCGCCCTTCATGACCGTAAAGATAGCTGCTAGAAGTGAAATGATCAAGAAAAAGACGAATTTTCGTACGGTGAAAATTGTACTGGTACTGCAAGAAGAAGTGACCTTCTGCTTCTTGTAGCCAGCTCGGTTATCGATAAAATATGATCAAAGGCGTCGCTTTACTTCGTTCTTCGAAGTAGAGGTCCAAGTGGTTTCCAGCTCGTATAATGATTGTTTTCAAGTTCTTCAGCAGCGTGTTCTGTTCGGCTGCTGTGGAGGGTGGCTTTTTCCCTTCTTTCTGAGTCTTCTTCTTTTTCCTGCTCGTAATCCTCCGTAGGTAGTTCTTACACGACGCTGTGCCAAAGGAACAAGCACCAGAGGAAGGCAAGTAGACGAAGTAGCGTTCTTCTAGTCCTCTTCAAAAACTAGTACAAAAAGTACGGTGAAGACCCAAGAAGATGTTCGCTGCTTTATCTGCTCACCGCGATAATTTGTAGAAGAAATCGTCCCAGAGTGCAATCCTCAGACAGCGCCGCCGGCGTGGAGATCATAAAGAGCGTGTTCATCTACTTCCGAGGAACAGGATGATGTTGAACGACCCTAGAGGAAGAGCCAGCCCTGAAGGGATTTTGTTCCTGCTCCGTCGAGGAGTTCTTGTTTTCTTTTGGTTCACCACTTGTTCAACACCTGGAGGCGCTACTAGGCCTCAAGGGCATCATGGGGATGCTCGCCACGCACCGTCCGTGGGAAGCCACGTGCCCAAGTGCGCCAGCACGACCTGAGTATTGATTGATGGTGCTCTTCGTCTTCCTCAAGATGATGAACACGATATTGTAACTACGACACGACAAACGCAAATAGTAACTCAACGTCATCGCTCTTGAAAAAAAAAAAAGACAACTGCCTAGCAAAGAATACACGAATTTCCTTTTCCATAGGCCCCGGCTGCATAATCTTCTTCACACGTTCACACGCGACAGTCACAACGAACAGGTACCAAGCCGATAAAATTTTCTGAAGCCAGACTCAAAACTGGCACGAAAGAAAAAGTAGATGAGAACGCATGAAAAAACGCCCCCGTGACGTCGGTGCAACATCAAATCGAAACAAGATTTCGCCGCTATGGTATGGCAGTGAATAGCTACAGATAAAAAGTGCTTTTGTTTTGTTCCATGATGGCTTTCTTTTCTTCTTCGATCCTGACAAGGAGATCTTCAAGAGGCTGAAATAGAAACAAGCGACACAACCACCGAAAACTGTTTATTTCACTACGGCACCGCAAAGGAAGAACTACGTAGACGACGAGAAGCTAGAAGACCAAATGAGCAATTTTGATAAGAACATCACGACGCCGGGGCCCGAAGATGCTTTCTTTTTGATGAACACGAGCCAGAAGATAATATTTAGCTGGCCAGCTGCACTGGTGACCACCAAGTTGCGAGCGCCAGCACCTTTATCGATATTTTTCTGTTTCGTTCTCGAAGTATTAGTACACATTCTAGACGATCCTGTTTGTAACGTTGTTCACGAGCGAGATGGAGATACATCGCCCTGTTTCAACTTCTATTGTTGAGGTAAGTTACTTGTTGCGGCTTCCACCTTTGCTCCTCGCCAGCGCTATCTTCGGTGCTTTGCTACAGCTACTAAAGAAGTAGTTCCGCATCTCCTGTAGTTCCGCCATTCTTGTTGTAGGATTTTTTTCTTCTTTCGCTTCCAGAGTTTGTACGTCGTGCGCAGAAGATAGAAGGTGCTCTCGGGACCCCAGCCATGCGGCTGAGCGAGTAACACCAAACTATTTCTGTTCGTTTGCATCTTTCTTCTTCACTGTATTTTCGTAAATTGATATGCCCATCCTGATGGGAAGTGCGGTGCGTTAGGAGTGAGTCCGTGCCGTGGTCAACAACTGCAAATAGCAGAAAGTACCAGCGAGAAGTCTTAGTGTGTAGCCTTATAGAAGATGACCATTTTTAGCATCATAGCCTTGTCAATTCTCGTCAAAATAATCTTCAATCACGAATCCTATAGTGAAATCCTATAAATCGAAAAATAGCTTTATGTGAAACTTGTAAATCAAACATATCCCCTTTTTTTTTATCCATTTCTGCGAAACTGCAGCGCCTCCCTGCAAACGCTGTGTGCGGTCACGGGAACGCTGCGTCTATTCGAAAAATGAATGATTATCAGCGATCAAGTTTTGATGCCATCATCATATTTCCATTTATTGATCAGCAGGAAATTAGTTTTTTTGTTAAATACCAGTTGTGGTACTGGTAGTGAAAATTTTTTTCGCATAGGTGCGATTATTCTTACGATTCGTGGCGCGGTAAAATCGCTATCAACAATCCTGGGTTTATATTCAATCGCAAAGCCATAGCCTAATCAGACCACTCCCATTGAAAATGTGCAGAGATCTTCCATTGAAAATAAATGTGCAGAGAGTTTTTGGCTCCGCGATCTGTGGCAAAAAAAAAAGTCGCTCTAGTTCTATGCTTTGAAGCACAGAGGTCGCTGATAAGCTCTAAGTTATTTGAACGTGATGCCATGTAGTACTATCCTCGAAGTCAATGAAAGCTACCTTTGACTTCGTAGCATCATGTAGTCGCCCAACATCCTTATACTTTACCAAAAAAATTAATAAAAAACCGAATTGCAATTCAACCAGAGCCTAGGTTGTAAAACGCCACTAGAACAACATCAAATTTGTATTTTTTTTACGCGCTACAAAAACTCATGATTTCTCCGCCTTCTTTCAATTCTGTGGTCCTACTTTCTTCATGATCGTCGATCTAGGTTAACAGTGCACAGCTATCATTGGCTTTCGATACAAAACCTCTGTACTATTGCAGTGTCTTCTTTATGTTTATTGCCACTGAAGGAGAGAACAAGAAATACTGAGACACCAGCTTCAGTACTTTCATCTCAGCTCTGATGGTCATATTTTACGATAGCAACGAGGACTCGCATGAACGAAGTCGTGATATTAGCGTCATGCTGTATTAGTATTTTAGGGCCGGCACGTCGACAGCCAGGACTTCTAGACTAGAATGTCCGAAGTATTCTTGCCTGTCGTGGTGCTGGCCTCCTTTCTAGATTCATCCCTACCAGTTGTGTCTTCTATTGCTGACCCCCACACTCGATCATGATCTCTAGAAAATGAAAATAAAACTGTTAATATACCCTCCTACACCAGGAAACAGGTATACAAGTTCCTGCCATACGTCATCACTTGCGAGGGCCGACGTGGAAAAATAAATAAACCGTTTATCTAATATTTGCGCTGTTTAAGATTATTTGAAGGCGTGATAAATAGAAAAAAAATTGAAGGCGGAAAGAAAGAGAATTTGACAGTAACTCGACGCCTCGTGTTGAGTAGCTCTGTAGCTTTAGCGCAACGTAATATTTTAGCAAACGGATCGGAACCTAAGCTGCTGCTGACCACCGCCAGTCTTGGACTCACAAATACATCCAATCATATCTCCTGACAACTTCATAGCTCCCCACATAATTCCAGTCCGTTAAATTTTTTTTTGAAATAAATCTAGGCCCCGAGGATAAAAGAAATAGTCGTAGTACGAGAAGTGCTGGTAGTACTAACATCAAGCACTTCCTGTTCCTACTGCTGTCGTGTCAGGTTCGGTTATCATATTTTTTTGGCCATACAAGGGTATTCGGGTGGTGGTTGTGGTAGAACTAGGAATAGCAATAGATGTAAAGTAGATTCGCGTCGTTGCTTTTGTTTTTAAACAAGGTCGCTAGAGCATCTTAGAATTGAGAGCGGAAGTTGTTGTCGTAGTGCTGCACACACTTCCTTGACGGCGACACACACAACGGTTGCGTTGCTGGACGAAGTCTTCTTGTCGTACATTTTCATCGTTTACGAACTTCTGCTCGTTAATACAGTAGCATCTTCTAATATGCCCTGCTGGAAGTCGTACGTAGTCGTAGTGGTCGTGCTAGCCGATGTAATGTATTCTATTCCTGCAAGGACAAGATCCTCCAGGTACTTTCTTACATACACCTCGAAGTAGATTCGTCAGAAGGAGCGAGCCTTTCTTTCATGGATAGGGACGTCGACTACGACTGGGGCCTGATGTAGGAGGCGGCGGTGAGGGAGGGGGCCGACGCTCCTGATGTACTACAGTACAGGTGTCGTGGTTGTACTTATCGATATGGAGTTGCTGTTGCAGCTCCATAGCTGGTGCTGGATATGGACATCTGATATCGCTATCACGATGGTATGAGGCAGGTCAGGAAGTATGACCATGGCCGCCGTTAGCTCGTGGCCAAAAAGCATGATCATACTCAAAAAAGAGGCACTTTTGACCCTCCCGCAACACAAATTTCGCGCATGTGCGCGCACTTTTTTCGCTGTTTGATTTCCGTTTTTTCCTCCACCCTGATCACCGCCGGCATCCGGGCTTTTCGGCCGGCGCGGGGGCAGCTGAGCTGGCCGCGGACGGGCCTGGGCTTCTGGCCTTTGTGGCCATCTATTACTCCAGGTCTTTGTGTTGCTGTTGAGTCAGCAGGATCACGCTCATGATCATGCTGAAGGAGCAAGCGTTGCACATGTGACACACCGGGCGTCTTCTCGTCTGCATCGCGCCCACTACACTTGCAGACGCGAATCGGGACGGATTGGCCTGTCTTCTGTGGCGGCCGGTATCTCTGACGAAGATCTCTCCCGTTGGCTATCATAGTCATAACAAGCGGCCACATTCTAGCTAGTTAACCACCCCACCCATATGTCGCAGCGAAAATATACCAGACACATTGTTCCTGTGGGGGGGATGCCGCATCAAAAATGAAAAAAAAATCGATTTTTGCCGAAAAGTGGCCTTTTATGAGTATGATCATTTTTTTCAGCGCGATAGGAGTTGCTGTTGCAGCTCCATAGCTGGTGCTGGACATGGACATCTGATATCGCGCTTATTTTTGGAGGTCGTCGCTTTTTTGATGACCTCAATTTATATTCCATTCGCATTCGCATTCGTCCAGCCTGCGTGGTATACAACGCTTGTTGCTAGAGTAGGTCAATCTGCAAATTCATCATGCAGTTTTGAAACAGAAACTGCGACCCCTTCAGAAAATTGGCCGCAACGAGGCCTACCCCTTCAAGAAAGGGATCGCCATAGCTGCGACCCCTTGAATAAAGTGAGCCATTCTTGCTCTGTAGTTCCTTCCCATTTTCATCATGCTACGCAAGGTGAAAAACAAGGGCAACAAGACGAAGACGAAAGAAATTAAGTAAGGATGTAGTGTGTGTCTGGTATATCATGAAAAAGTGGAAATGCGGGGGGGTACAGTGATTTAGTTCAAAAATTAAAATTTATTTCACATTGAAACAGCATGGCTGAGGCTGCTACTTTGACTTTATCTGCAGATTAATGAAGGCATCATATAGAAGCAAAATACGGAAAGGGTAAGATACTTTGTTGAGAGAAAAAAATCAGGCACAGCATCCGTCCCTTTCCATAGTCTTGCTGTCCTGGAGTTGCAGCGGGTCGGTTTCCTAGACCTTCATCTTCTTTTTCTTTGTTCGACTACAATTCCAAGGCGTGCCAGCTGTAGTCTATCTTATTCTCGCATCTCCTTCGATTCTAAATAAATCTGGCACCGTTCGAGGAAACAGATTCTTCAGAGCGATGCTTTTAACTATTAGGAGCGGTATGGGCCCGGAGTCGGAGCCCATCGAAGATAATGAAAACATAAACACAATATTCCAAAGTGAAAATTTAATGAGGATGCATTGATATTTTTCTTGTGCGTGATAGGCTGCACGAATCATAAACATTGCAGATACAATTTTTACTTTTTGTTGCACAGGAAGACTTCAATATTACTCGGAAGGTCTAATTTTTTATTGCAATGTTCGGAATAATATCTGCTCGAATAGGGAAAACACAAATTTCGTGCGAGGGAAAACACAAATTTCCAAACGGTTCCACATGACCTTCAACTACAAACAAACACATCTGCTCGAATAGTGTTTCTCATTTGTTGCTGCACCTTCCAATCTTCATAAAAATTATTACGTATACGTATGCAGCAGCAAATTATCCAAAAGAAATCAAAAACTTGCACCAAGGTATAATCTCTTCCAAAGAGTTAAGCTCACACAGTCATGCAACGGTTCTATTTTTGATCTTGTTACAACTAAAGAAAAGTTTGGTAATTTTCTTATCCTGCAAATTGGTCTTGTTGCTGTGGAGGCTTATGGCGAATGCATAGTAGTTTTCCTCCCCAAAACTGAAACTATCGGCCACAGGTCTTCACAAAACAGGCAGGCCTACCAAGGCAGGCGCAATTTCAAAAAATGAAGAATATAAATATTATAGTGCACCAGCGGCGTAAAAAAGTAAAGAATCTAGTTCGTGTACCTGTACTAGCGTGTACAAACGCCTCGAGTGCAGCAGATTCGTAGTTGTGTCGTTTGAGTAATTAGATGTTTAGTACAAATAGTAGAACGCGCGAGACCTGCCTAAGTTCTGACTTCTTTCACACAAAAATAAAGCTCCTCGAAGAAAAAATTTTGTTTCCGAGAAAAAGACGGCTCAGCTACAACATATTATGGCCGTCTGCGGTACTAAATCTTCTGTTCGTTTTGCTTTTGATGCGCTTCTTGCAAAGTCAACAGTGTGAACGTCGACTGTATTTTTGCAAGAACACAACAAAAGGATCGACCGCTGCATAGTCTGATTTTTCCCAAATTATGCAGATCCAGATTTTAAAAAAAGCGACGTATAAACGAGCAATGTCGTAGTCGCTTGGACGAGTTATCTAAGTATTCTCATGTCGTTATAAAAATACTTTTTTCCAAGTAGAAACAATTACAGTGATCAATAAAAAACTTAGATTATCGGCTCCTGCTGTGATGTATTTTTTCTCGCAGTAGAAGCCGACTGCTTGTAGTAGAAGAGCGAAACAAAAATATTACGAATCGTAAAAATCCTTTAGATTACATTATGTAGCCCAAACTTATTTATTACCTATCCTTGCCATCCTCTTTAATCCACCGAAGTACGAGGTGCAATAGAACTTGGACGATTTCCGAGAATATTTTTACTGATATTGCGCACTCTTTCATAAATTCGAAAGAGCCTTGTCACCAACACAGGCATAGTTTCTCACTCACATCAATCATTGCTGCCACAATGTGCAGCAGTTTTTTCTACTTCTTACAGCAAGAAATTAGACCGCTGTGGAGCTACCGCCTCCATACTTTGATTTTTTGTTTTTGCCAAAGTTGTACTAGTTGTTTGAGCCTGTGTTGTGGCGTGCGGTCCCGGGCGTAGCTGCATCTTCTCAACTGGAAGCTCATCGACAGGTTCTTGCAAAAATAGATCTTGTTCTGCCCGCCCATGTGGTCGTGCTTCTGGTTGTCGTACTTGCTCCGGTGTCACATCATTCTCCGAAGCTGTTCTTGCAAAGAACCCGTGATCAGTGAGCATATCCAGGCGCAGGTTCTCCTCTGGACTGCTGAAATTCCCCGGATCCATTATCGAAAGGAAAAATCCCCCCTCCCCATATCAAAAAGGCACACCTCAAAGAATTTGCGATGCTTATTTGTGATCACAAATCGCGTCTGTCTAGCAACAAAGGAAAGGCACAGGCTCCGCCACATTATGCAGGCGATTTGTAGTGCTGTTGGGCCTACAGCAAAGACGTTCCTCATGCGGAGTGCCTAGGCCAAAACCTCTTTGCATTGGCATGATATGGGCCTGCAGTCCTCTACTGCAAGACAAATCTGATTTGTGTACGCAAATCCAGCATCAGAAACTTCGTTTCGATAACGGGAGGCGGGATTTTTCATTTTGATATCCAGGTCGCTCACCCAGCCGCACGACGCGAAATTCGGCAGCCAATATTGCACCGAGGCTGGCACCACGCGGAGCAAGCTGCGTTGAAATCCGGCGAGAATGGTTCGGGACAAGGTCGCGGCCGCGCTGGTAATTGCAGCATCCTGCTGTTCCAGAGGAAACAAGCTGCCACAGCCGAATGGTCCAAGAACATCGGGATCTTTCTTGCAGGTGTCTTTCAGTTCTAGCATCACTTGTCTTTTTGCAGCACCCGTACAGGTGGCAAGAGCGCCGTGTCGTTGTGAGGTACTAGACCCCGCCCCGTTTGCTGGTCTTGATACTCGTCCTGTCGAAACGGTCGGCCCGGTTGTTGTACCAAGTTGAAGTTCTTCTTGATGGCCGTCCAACATGCTTGTTCTATCACCTGCAGAAGGCGCTGTGAGTCTCCAGGTTGGCAACACGGCGAAAATAGCGCGAAAGAGTTTTAGGTTGGACGTCGCCCATTGCTCGCTGCTGGAGGGTCGTGATGAAATGGTGGCGAGAATATGATCAGTGTTCTTAGGGTTAGTAGTAGCATCATCTTGTCCACCAGCACTCGGACCTCCAGCTGGTGGCGTTCCATTGTCTTGTGCGAGGCGTTGTACAGGGGTTTCTTGCTCCATATCGTCCGTCTCGTCATAACTTTGCGTCTCTCCAGTTCCTGGAGTAGTGGGCCAGGAAATGCAACAGGCTTTCGTGCCCGCAGCTTCTGGGTGGTCTCGCGGTAAGCGAGGATGCCGACAAGAAGATGAAGAATCAGCACTTGTACTAGAAGTTCCCTCCGGAACAACATCTACATCAACCCGTGGTGGCGGTGCTCCTGCAGCGGATCGATTGACATCTTTTCCAAAGATCTCAGAAAGCAGAGGCCCGCGCAACGGTGCTCCTACTTCTGCCGCGGGTGCTGGCAGATGATGATGAACAGATGGCATCAAGTAGTGAGCAGAGTTAATATCCTGCACAGTAGATGAGCAAGTTGTTTCCTTGTCGTGCTCCTGTAGTTCGTGCTCGTTTATTTCCTGCCGTGTTCGGTCGACGTCTTCCTCCATGTCAACATCTTCTCCCACCACGCCATCCTGCGGATTCAATATTTCCGGAAGGTCCTCGCGTCTTTCCTCCGTGCCTGCCATTGTTTCTGAAGCTGTCGCAGAAGCAGCTGGCACACTCGCCGACCTGGAGTGGCCACCTCCTCGGGAGGAAGACGAAGATGTCGATGTCTTGAGCAGGAAGTCCCGGATCCCGAGCGCGTCGTCGGACCCCAGAGCGCTACCCTCGTCCGCGGCAGATTGTCGGGAGGAAGATTGTGCCAGGGGATCCGAATATGTCAGAACGGAACTCTGTCGAGACCAACAGGTGTCGGGGAGATCGTCCAAGTCGTCAAATATGCTCTCGCTCTCCTCAGGGAGGTCCTGGAGTGGGGGCGAAACTTGCCGCGAAAGCGGGTGATTCTCATCCATGTAGGGGTGATGCAGCCGATGATGTTGAGGAAGCGCGAGGGTAAGGTAAGAGCTACCGGTCGTCGTGCCCCGACTTGACGTCACTCCGCCTCCATTGCTCATCAATGCACTGCTTCCCCCTGGCACGCTGACCACCCTTCTTGGCGACAACTTCCGGGGGCTGCTGCTGCGACTGCGTATTCTTTGCCCAGACGCCTCCTCAAGATTCTGCACCGTACCGTAACCGAGGGGGTCCCACGACAGGTCATCTAGCGCTGCCTCATCGCCGGGAAGTAATGGCGAGTGGTTATGCGACGGCGCCGCAGAGCTTTTGGCAGAGGCCGGACCTGCTCCTGTTGTCGCTCCCCAGGTAGTTGCTCCTACGTGAGGAACAGTACCTGTGGCAGCTCCGGAACAACCAACCGGCCCACTTCCAATCCGGCTGTTGGCCGCACTCGACCGGACCGATTTTGCGGTTCTGCGGCTTGTGGAGCTGCTGTTTGTGAAGCCGGAGATGCTGGAAGCCGCTTCTTCCAGAAATATGGAAGGGTCAGAATTGAAATCGTCAAAGTTGAAATGGTTTGTCATGCATAAAATGCAACCCACAAAGTGCTTGTCTTGCAGAGTAGGTAAGGGAGGCAGATTGTAAGCCTGTTTCGGGGTAGAAACTGAGCAGCTGAAGTAGCATGACAAAAGGCGTCTTCCTTACCCAAACAGCATGGCAGACTGGATTTCGGTTCTACCTAAATTTGTCATGCGTCACTTGGAAAATGGGCTACAACTTTCATCCATTTTATGCATTGCAAGTTAAGTATTTCAACTTTGTCGATTTCAATCCTGACACATCCATAAGAAATTCATCCACGTTATTCATCATTTGCAGAACGATTTTCCCAAACTTTTCGTCAAAAATGTCCAAAGACTATGAGAGTGCACAAACCCCCCTCTCCCTCATTTGTATGGCATCAACAGCACTACAAACACCTTTATAGGTGGAACCTGTGCATGACAAGTTCATGCGCCGAGGGTAGTACTATTTAGACTTCCTGAATTTGTCATGCACACGGTGCCACGACAAGGTAGCAACTGTAGTCGGGTTTTTGCATGACAAATGAGGGGGAGGGGGGAGTTGTGCCCTGCCATAAAGCCTTCCGGAACGTAGGGCGGGTGGATCCGTTACTCGGGTCGTGGGGGACCAGCAACGGCTCGAGGAAGGACCAAATCGGTAAGTAGTCCCACTTATCCACTGCAAATGTGTTTGGGTCTGGAACAAGATTGCCAGGTTTGTCATGCATATCTTGCATGACCAAGACGGTCTCGAATGCGGGCTCTGGCATCACAAGCTGTGAGAAGGCTACGCAATGCTGAATTATCCGCATGAGAAATGCCGCTTCCTGGTAACTCAAAGTGAGGACTTCTTGTGCTGGTCACGCAATACAGATCTTTGCGTCGATCAGATTTAGCATGACAAACTCGGACTCTTCTAGAAAGACCCAGACATATTTGCAATGCATACCGCTCGTGCTCCTCGATCAGGAGGCGGATCTGGGAAAGTTTTTGTCTCAAAAGGGTCCCGTGTTTGTCGCTGTCCAACTGCTTATCCTGTGCAAAAGTATCGCACTCGTACTAATGATCGCAGTCATGCAAGACAAATTTCTTTCGCAAGGTAAATCAGCATGAGAAATTCCATTTGTCATGCCGAGCTAATTTACATTCCGAATACTACGAGTAGGAGTACGATACTTTTGCAGTTCATACTGTTTTAGCTGCTGCAAAACCTCTTCCGGTGAACCTTGTAAAACGCTGTACAATGGCCCCTTTCCGTAGTGCTCCGGGCCAGCTAAAAGCCAGTCGTGAATGGTGATAGCGAAGGCCCAGACGTCGACCAACTCGGTGTAGGCTTCTTGTTCCGAAACCTTTTCCGGGGCCGTGTAGCGAAGACGCGAGTAGCGCAGGTGAGAGCAACGCTCCAGGAGCGCGATTTGTTGCAGTTCCTGTGGGTTTTTTGCACGTTCTTATGATCTTTTCTTGCCGTTTGGTCTTTATCATCAAAAAAGAAAAACGATGAATTTGTTGGTTTTTACTTCTATGCACAGGACTTACTTCTATGGACAGGCACAGGTCGTGCTGCACTGACTCTCCAGACCCGAAAAAGAAAATGTTGAAAAGCCGCTACTATGATCTTTTCTATCATACCTCAATTTTCTTGGCGCTTTCGAGCGAGATTAGCATCGGATTTCCTTCGCTGTCAATCCGAAAAGAGTTCGGGGAAAAGTCGTCATGACAAAGGTGCGCCCGTCGGTGCAGGGCGTGCATCGTGAGGAGCATCTTGCGAATCACGGGCAAACTTAGCTTGTATCGGGAGGCCGGGAGAAACAGCAGATCGGCATCATAGTTTGAGGGGAATGAGTCAGACTCATCTAATATTCCAGCATGATTCCCTTTCCCACCGTTGTTTGCAGCAGCACGACCTTGCTGCTCGTACAACGGGATTGCTGAAGTAGATGACCCTGCTCCTGCCGTGCCGTCCTTGCCACTAGAACTTGATGTTCTGGCATCAACCGAGCCACCTGCTCCCACAGAGCCGGCGCTATCCTTGTTTGTAGTTCGCAGGTCTCTGGAATTGTCCTCCCGGTGCAGCAGAAGTGGAGGTTTGCTCGCTCCTGCTCCGCCTGGAAGCGTGGTCAGCGACGATTTTGGTACGCTAGACGCCAAATGGCTCGCTGCGGAGGTACCCGTGCTGGCCCTTCGTTCAAGTTGATTTGAAGATGATGATCTTGAAGCCGTTTGTTCTAGTACATCCGCACAAGAAGACGACCCGCGTCCGCTCTGCTGTAACAGCTGTTTCTGATTCACCATGTGTTCACCTTCTTGCTTCCGCTATCAAATGTAAAAGTGTCTGGGTCTCCTGGAAGAATGCATGTTTGTCATGCTTGTCTGGCATGACTATTAAATCTGTCATGCACGTTGCCAGAGAGCCGCATTTTTCTGTCATGGGGAGACGCAATTTGTCATGCAGAATAGGCAACACCTACAAGCTCAGAAATTTGTCATGCTGAGCCAGCACTTGTGGCCTCCTCATGCTACGCCACTCAGCATCACAAGTTTCCAGACCCAGACATCTTTACATTTGATATCCGCAAGGCGCTACCCATATTCCCCGGCTCGCTTTGTCTCCGCGCGACCGGGACCTGGCCCAAATTCTTGCCGTCTTTCTCTGGTTGATGTTCCACCGAGGGTAAAAGCCCACACCGGCGCACTCCGGCGTAGAGCATCTCGCGCATACGGTCTTCGGTTTCCTGGCGGGAGCGCTGCAGCTCCAGACCGTCCGCCGCGTCGGCTTCCACGAACATGGTCAGTAAAGCGGAGAGCCGCGGGCCAAGAACCGTGCTCAGATTCATACTGGACATCAACGTGGTAGCCCCACGGGTTGATGAGTTCGACGGTGTCGCCGGAGCAGGTTGCTGATGTCCATTTCCTCGTTGTACGAGCTGATGATGATGCGAATTTCCACCTCCACCTGCGAGTTGCAGCTCCTGCCGAGAAGCAGCTCCTAAAGCCTGTAGCAAAGGGTCATCCGGCGCCAGGTCAGGTACGCCGGCCGTCAGCTCGGATGTCACCGTGGCAGAGTCAGAAGTCTCCGTCGGGTCGTTCAGGTTGCTCGCACCGCAGCTCGACTGCTGCTCAGGACTACACCCACTAGTGCCATCGTTTAATGTCCTCTTTCCCAATTGATTCAGTCCTGCTGGAGCAGATTTGTTGCGGTTGATCTTCAATTGCAACAGGCTCTGCGATTGTTGCGCGTTTGCTGGGACAACATTTGATGATGTTGGTGGTCCTCCGGCGGCTGCGCTAGTAGAAGCAGTAGGCATTATGTGCTGAAGATCTCGCTCAGGAGCTCCGTGCGCAACACCGTCTTCATCCTTTCCATCATTAGTCCCCGAGTTGATGTGGTCCTCCTCCGCACTAGTAGTTCGCATGAAAAACGAGGGCGCTTGGTGCTGAAACGAAAGGCTCGGGCTGTTCTGCGCGCTGGACCGCCTGCTGTGCTCGATGATTTTTTCCTCCACCGTGTCGAGCCCCCGGACAAGTGGGTAAACAACGTAGTTCTGCAGAACCTGGTTGATTGCGACGTCCAGCATTTTATGCAGCGCGGAGGGCTGCTCGTGCGAGTCCTGATGGTGCTCTTGCCCGCAAAGGGAGCAGGATGTCGAGGAAAGCCCATCCTGATCTTGATGTACTTCACCGTGCGGTTCTTGTTGCCCTTGCACTTGCTCTGGTACTAACTCGTTGTCTGGATCATGAGCTTTTTCTTGTTCTCGCCCCAAGAAATGAACTGGGTCATCGTCCAGCTCAATCGCCTCTCCCGGCCCAACCGCTCTAGAAGTGCGTCGGTGGACTCCAGCAGCTGGCGACCGCTGATTCGTGGCACGACCCGGAAATAGTTTTTGGCCCTCCTCACCACGATCCTCTGCTGCAGTCGACATCGCAGCCGCTTCCGTGCCTATGAGCGACCCGGTGTCACCAGCACTAGTACCAGGGTCAAGGCCAACATCAGTGCTAAATGCGTCTTTTGCGTTATCTGCATGAACAGCACCTGCTGCATCATCTTCCTCTTCGCTTTCCTCCTCCTGTGTGGCCTCCAAGTGTGGTCGACGCACAGTGCCAGCAGTGCTGCTTTTAGGAATGTTGATGCCCACACTAGCACTAGCTGAAGCTGCACCACCTCCCCGCTTCATGATCAGACCACTGCTCTTTTTAATCATGTTCTTCTGTCCGAGACTAGGAACCACCCACCGCGCCGCCAAATCGTTCATTAGGCTCGGAAGGACGCTCATCACTGCGCGAAACTTGTGGAGCGCCGACATCCGGGTTGCAACTTGGTTCTGCTGTCGCTGGTTTCCCAGGCTTGCCATACTGTCAGCTTGATGCCCGATGGTCTCGCTCACGCTGCGTTGGAAGCTGGTACGAAGGCTTTCGTCTGAATTATGAAAATGGAAGAACTGTCTGAGAGTCAGCGACACGGGGTCGTGATGAACATGAACAACAAGAACGGGATGAAAATATACAAGCCTCTGCATCTACTCTACATCTTTCTGATCGACATAGTGACCACCAACCGCACTTGAGTACTAGGTAAGCGTGATATATCGTCGTTCTCCCAAACTTTGTGATGCGACATGGGAAAAAATGACAACAAGACAGAACTCCGCGCAACATCAACACGTCGACTGTAGCTCGTTTATGTGATGAGCGTGCGAGGTTGCGTTCCCTGTGATGTGCGATCCAGGGTATAGGATTTAGCGGAGATGAAGATCACTGCAGGGCAAAGACAAATCATTTCCAGCATGACACCACGACGGACTCAATAGGTTCATCTTGTCCCAGGCTTAGGCAGCGTCAATGGCGTCTAAATCTTCGATATGGATTGTAAAAGTGTCTGGGTCTGGAAACTTGTGATGCTGGGTGGCGTATCATGAGGAGGCCACAGGTGCTGGCTCAGCATGACAAGTTTCTGAGCTTCTATATGATGCCTATTCTGCATGACAAACTGCGTTTTTGCATGACAGAAAAGTGGGGCTCTTGGGTAACGTGCATGACAGATTTAAGAGTCATGCCAGACAAGCATGACAAACATGCATTCTTCCAGACCGACCCAGACATTTTTACATTTGATATTCGAGCACGCTCTCCGGAGATTGGTCCAGGAAATTCGCTATGAATTGCAAAAGTATCGCACTCGTAGAAATGCATTACAAATTTTCTCAGCATGAGAAATGAAATTTGTAATGCGGATTTACCTTAAGACAAAGATTTGTAATGCAAGGCTTGCATTTATACGAATACGATACTTTTGCACAGGATATTCGCATTAATTATCGCCGGATTTCTCAGTGTGTTGTGTTTCAGCTGTTCAAATAGCTCCTTCCGCTTCCGGTCCTCCTCTTCTGCCCTTCGCTGCACCACTACCGCTCGTCGCTCGGCCATGGTCACTTTCGGATGTACGTAAGGTGGGTTCCGCACGACGATGCCGTTGAGTGTGTCCATAAAAGCTTGAACTTTGTTACAACGAAAAGCTGTTGAATTTGGGGCTGTCGCGGCATTCAATCTCGTTGCTGAATGCACTTTTTCTGCTCCAGAAGAATTGGTGGCGGCGCCACGTGATCCTGCTGAGCTAGTAGTTTCATTCTTGCTACTACCGCCCACAGCCTCAATAGGTAGCAGAGTCACATTCATCGCCCTCGTCCGAGGACCTCTTGGTCCTCGTTGTGCCCCCCGTGTCAACATACTATGCGGCGCAGTTTCAGAGCCCGCCATATCAACATCCTCTTCCTTATGGAAGTGTCAGAATCGAAATTGACAAAATCGAAAAACTTGTGATGCACAAAATCGACGTCAGTTGGAGCCCCAGTTTTCAAGTGGCACATGACAAATTTCGGGGGCACCCACATCGAGTCTGTCATTCTGTTTGGGCAAAGAAGGCTGCTCCTGTCATGCTACTCTGGCAGCACATTGCATGCCCCTAAACAGGCTTACAATCGGCCTCATTTGCTTGCTCCCCAATACAGGCCTTCAGTGCCCTACATTTTATGCATCACAAATTTTTCGATTTGGTCGATTTCGATCCTGACATATCCATATTCCTGCGGAAGGACTGGTGAGGGCAGCGACGGCGAACTTTCAACCTCCGGGGAACTGACCGGCGACCGCTCTCCAGAAATAAGGGTTTCTACTTCCCCAGAAGGTCCTCCACCAGCGCCCGCCCGACGGCCACCAGAGGAGGCTTTTGACGTCGTCAGGACCGACACTACTGTACCTGCGTCGGATTCTTGCCGTTCTAACTTCTCATCGACTTCGGTGATCTGCCGCAACGGCAGGTCCGCTCCCGGTAACTGGACCGCAGAAGTCCAGGACGGCTTGTTGCGCACGACCAGGGCTGGTGGGGGCTGTGCGATGTGTTGTTGAAATTGAAGCGCTTGGTATAGAACGTCGTGCGAAGATGATGTAGTTGGCGCACCAGCAGGTGGAGGTGGTGCTCCTCCTCCGTTGTTGTAATTATATGGCACACTACTACCTCCTCCGACGTAATACGCGCCAACATGTGTTGGACGTTGCTGCTGTTGCAGCTCGAGGTGGTGCAGTGCCTGCTGGTGTTCTTCTTGCATCTGATTTTTAATGCCAGGAGCGGTTGTTGGCTGGTGATATTGTTCGACGCGTGTGCTTTCCGTCTGATGTTGTTCAACACGATTTCCGCGTTGGAATTGCAAAAGCGCGTTTGCCTTTCCGTAGTTCGTCCAATCCTGACTGCAGGGCCAGGGTGCAGCGGATCTCCCAGTCAAAAAAGGTCTGGTGCTCGACATCGTCCCGTGAGAAGCAGGGTAGCTTGCATCACTCTGCTGTAGTTCCTGGGGATGTTCACGATGATCCTCGCCGATCGCTCCGCCCGCATACGAAGTAGCTGATGGTCCGCGTGCAGCTAACGACTCCAAAAAGCTGATTTTTGCAGCTCCTTGCTCTTCTTGTTTTCCGATTGTTGTGCCGAGGGGCAACACGACTCCTCCTGGAACAAGATGATCAGCAGCAGCGACATGAGAAGGCACGACAGAACAAGCGGCTTCTGAAACTGGATGAGCTTTAGCATCGTGATGCATGTTTTTGTTCACGACAGGATGTTGTCCACCCTGTCGCCCGGAAGCTCCTGCACCGGGCAACGTCGCCGCGGAAAGAGGAGTCGGAGAGCACGAGGGGGAAACAGAGCCCGTACCGCTTCTCTGCCGGAAAATTATCTGCAAGCCCGGCAAGTCGCGCTTGTTGCGTCTGCTGGCTAAAGCGGACAGCGCCGGCGCGGAACTAATCCGCCTAGCGGGGTAGGTGTTGTGCTGCATGTCGCTGAAAAAAGATGGGTCCGGGGCCGACAACACCGACGGGCTCGGTCTGCAGTCCGACGGGAGCGAAAGGGCGGATTCCGAGTGTTTGGAAGAGCTGGAAGACAAGGGCGCGCGGAAAAATGTCGTGTGCGCGTCGAACGCGGTAATGGGGTAAGGAGTCTGAGGAGGGGTCCCGCACCGATAGCTGTTGTATGCATGGTATTGTTGATCTTGTTCACCATCTTCGTGGTCAACATCCTCAAACAAATCATGAATCGGCGGCACGCTTCGCGCTGGAACCGGCTGTTGCTGCACCATGTGTTGACGCTCCTGAATAGTACAATGCGAAGAGGACGACGGTGCAGCGGCCCCAGCCGAGAGTGGAAGAACAACCCCAGGAGCGCCACCAGTGGTGCAGGAGGAGCTCCGGCGATCGCGATAAAGCAGCGGCTTCTTATGCGGTTCTTCATGATTTTGACGCTGGTCAAGACGAAGATGACGCAGAACATCACCATGCTGTTCACTAGTAGAAGCATCAGCTGGATTACAACAGAACTGGTCGAGGTCGACTGTGGGCGGCAGATCGGAATTATCGTTCTTGTAGTTTTCCTCCACGCTTCCCTCTCCCGAGTTCGCTCGGTCAAAAGCGTAGCGTGGGGAAGTAGTCGGAGTGGCCGGAAGTGGTGACAACTTCTCTTCTTGAATACCACCTGGTCCAGCTCGTGCTGCTGCGACCCCGGTGCGGAAGCAAGATGCCGACGACGAAGAGGACGAGCCACCGACGTGCATTTTCATCTTGCCTTCCGCGATCGGCGCACTAGTACAAGAAACCGCCTTCTTCTCGTCCTGGGAACAAAATGAGGATAATTGCTGACGCTGATGATCATGTTTCGGCGTATGTTCACCACCACCTCCACAGGATACGTTCGTGCTATAATAATCAGATCCACCAGCTGCAAATGAGTTGTTGTCCTGCTGATTGGTGTTCGCAAAAAGCTGCAGCGGCGTGTTGGTGCGGCTGGTTAAATTGGTGTAGGCACCGTCGGCTAGCTCAGGACTGGCCACTCTCTCGATCTCAAGTTCTACTTCTCCAGAAGCTGCCCCCCCAACTCCAGGATGATCTGCTGCAGCTTGTCCACACGCCTGCAGTAGCTGCGGCGACACTGCCACCGGGGCGGGAAAATTATAAACTTCTTGTTCAACATCTTTTTGTTCTTCACCATGAAGATGGCTCATATCAACATCATCCGGCTGCGGAAGCAGGATCCGCTCCTGCTCCTCTTGCTCATGATGGTCCTCGAGTGTTTGTTCTTCAACACAAACGCGCCTTGTATTTCCATTCACATTCTTCTCCTCACGCGAAGATGTTTCTGTTTCATCCAGCTCGACGGCCTGAAGTTGACGATCAGTTTTTGCAGCTTCTTCCTGTGTACAAGAAAAAGCTGGCGGAGGACTTTCCCGCCCACCGATTTCAATCGAAGACGTCATCGCCGTTTGCCGCAGCACGTGCAATGGTGAAGTTCTGCCGGAGGGGCCGGACCCCAAGTTATTTGGCGGGGAGTTCATAACTTTGGCAGCTTCTGGAATAACGAAGCCCAAGTGACCACTACTCGTGGCGCGGCTCATCATGGCTGCGTACTGAAGCTGTGGGGACGGGGTTTTCGTGGCGGTCCGCAAAGGGGACGCCTGGGCTGAAGCGGCGTTGAAGATACTGCTGCCTCGGCTCATGCTCTTGCTGCCGCTCCGACGTTGATGGTTGTACAACTCAGCGGTACAAGTAGGAGTAGTGGGACGAGCAAGACCTACTCCGCCCACCGAGGATATGGCGTTCTCAAACGTTACATTCTCAATTGTTACACGAATTTGTGATGCAAAAACAGCAATAGGGAAAGGGGCAGGGTTGCAAGTCTTGCATCACAAATTTGGCACAGATTTAGATGCTGTTTAGCCCTTCGGTAATGTGTCTTGCGAAGCAGCTTGATCGTCTGGCGGCTCATGTTCTTTTTGCATGACAAATCGTGTAACAGTTGAGAATGTAACGTTTGAGAATGCCATAGAGGATCCGGTCGCGGCAGATGAAGATACTGAGCCCGCCCGTGGCCGCGGCCCTTCAGAATGTTGACTTGCCCGAGAAGTGGTCCTGCTCGTGTCATGCTTTGCCTTTCTTGGCGGATGAACATCGTCGCTTTGTAGTGGTCCTTCTTCCACCGGAAGAACATCTGAGTGCTCTTCCAAACGAAAAAACGGTACATTCTCCTCGTACAGGAGCTCATGTAGAAGTCCTCCGTAGGCTGGCACCATCGGTGTTGGAACTCTCAGATTCTTTTCGTGGTAGGACGGCTTATGGCGTTCTCAAACGTTACATTCTCAACTGTTGCATGAATTTGCCATGCAAAAGCACGATCATCATCCTCAGGATCAAGCTGCTCTGCATGACAAATTTGCGAAGGGCTACGCCGCACCTAAATCTGCGCCAAACTTGTAATGCAAAAGGCGCAATCTTCCTCCTTTCACTTTTGCCAGTCTTGCATTACAAATTCATGTAACAGTTGAGAATGTAACATTTGAGAACTCCATACGGCTGACGAGCTTCTTGTGCCTCTACTTCAGCCGCATGGTCGTGGTGCCAAGAGAACTATAGTACTTGCAGCAACTAGGGTCAAACCTGAAAGCGAAAAAGGCTCAAAGAAGGCTACTTGCTTTATTTTTGAAATCTGCATGCTGCTGTGGTGCAGACTAGGCTCAAACCTGGGCCAAGAAGGATCAAATCTCTAGAGATGACCTTTTTTTTTCTAATATTTTTTTTTGAATCACCACGCTCGCTACTGCGAAAAAAGGTTGATAAGGATCAGGGCGAACGCCTCTAGAGCTCGAAATCCTGTAGAGCTCAATCTCTAGAGCTAAATCTCTACAGCTGTTTGGTGATGCTCTAGAGCCTAAGCTCTACAGCTTCCGCCTATAGCGAGCACCTACAGTTCGACAGCCAAAAGGCTTTTTTATCGTTTCTCACACTAATCAGCTGCAGCTACCCGGCCGGTCTGTTCCTGTTGCCCCTGGTGCTTGCCTAGGAAGCCCAATACCGGGAGCACAGAATCAACGAACCAACCGCGGTGGGGCTGGGGCTAACACATCAGAAACAACCAGCCGCATGGCTGTTGCCTCCATGCTGTGAGGCGTGGCCGCCGGTGCCGAGAGTAAAACTAACCCAAAAACACCACTGGCAGGCGTGCCTCTTACTTAGATTTGTTGGGAGGCAACCACCAGCAGCTGCGTGGTCCTGCTGCTTGCTGCAGGATATCGGGCCAAGCCTCGCCGAAGGGCAACCCGGATGGAAAAGCATGCACACAACAAGCCCAAGACCATACGCAAGAGAAACTCTCGGCGCACAGCGGCGGGCTGATGCGAAGGCAACAGATGTGAGCCGCCGCAGAGGTTACGTCGTTGCAGCGGCGCAGGTGCCTTCGACAGGTTGTAGCGTTTTCTTTCCACGCCGGGCGGCCACCTGCTACGACGAGTACCAACGCGGCGGCCAGGAGTCGCACCTAAAAACAAAAACCTACTTGCGGGCCGCAAAGGTTCGCTGGCGTTCTCGCCCTAGCTGCCCGCGCTTGCTGGGTAGCTGAAGTAGCAGGAGGGGAGGCCGCCCGGCGCGGGTCTGCTTTCCATTTCCTAGAAGGTAGACGGCACGCCTACCGTGAGGCGCACCAAGCGGAAGCGCGTGCCCTTATCTACCTCTACCTGACCCGGCTTTTGGCACTACAGAGGCCGGCCGGATCTGGCGCACTAGGCGTTGGGCTGCAGTTGGTGGGCCGGTCGCTCTGCTGGCCGCTTTTTCTTATTCATTTTATGTTCCTGGCTACGCGTGCTCTTCCTTTTTGTTTTTGTACTTTGTTGCCATCAAGCTGCTTGCCATCATCGCGCGGCGTTAGCGCGTTGGCTGCACTTCCGGGAACAACCAGCCCCAAAAAAAGCACGCTCCAGCTCTTCAACCAAGCCTCTTCGAACTGTTTCTAGTTGCTGCAGTACTGCTTTTCTATTGTTATGTGCAGATCCCCGCGCCGTTGTGCCAACACGGCGGCGCGAGCTTCTTGTGCCTCTACTTCAGCCGCATGGTCGCGGTGCTGGAACATCATTTCTTTTTCTGCGGCTTTTGCAGATTGCAAATCCTTGTAAACGTGGGCCGGTGAGGACGTCGTCGGTGGACCAGTCTGAAGAAACGGCGAGCTCTTCTTGTGCTCAGCCTGTAGAAGTTCTTGTTGTAGTTCACCCGATGGTGTAGTACTAGTTGTTCCACCTGCTTGTAGTTCATCATCTCCTGGGCTATGTCCCGACGCGGTTGCCTCGCGGCCTTCTTCAAAAGATGTATCCATTTCAAAAACATACGGCATGTCCGACCCCCCGGGGCCGGGAGATTCCTCGCGGATCAGCCCAAGGGGCAGCAAGAACCCCGGTATTGAGAGGAAAAATCCCCCCTCCCCATATTGAAAAGGCAT